CCCCACCAAGGAGACGCCCAAGCCCAGCTCGTCTCCCAAGACGCCCACCGGCAGCATCGGCAGCGACAATGACCACTTCGGCATCACCTACACGCCGTATGAGCCCACCAACGGCCAGTGCAAGGACGCCACCAAGGTCTCCAACGACATTGCTGCCCTCAAGAAGGCTGGCTTCACCACGGTCCGCGTCTACTCCACTGACTGCAACACCCTCGAGACCGTTGGCTCGGCCTGCAAGACCCACGGCATGGGCATGATTGTCGGTGTCTTCGTCAAGGGTGGCTGCACCGCCGAGACCCCCGACATCAAGGAGCAGATTGACAAGCTTGGTGCTTGGGACGGCTGGAACATGGTCAAGCTTGTCGTCGTCGGCAACGAGGCCATCATGAACGGCCACTGCTCGGCCTCCCAGCTCGTCACCCTGATCAAGACTGTCAAGTCCATCATCCCCGGCGGTTACAAGGACAAGATCCCCTGCACCATCTCGGAGACGCTTGACGTCTGGCAGCGCAAGGAGGTGTCGAGCGCTCTCTGCAGTGAGATCGGCATCGTCGGCGCCAACGTCCACCCGTACTTCAACGCCGCGGTTACCCCCGAGAAGGCCGGTGACTTCGTCAGCAACCAGCTCAGCCTCCTGGCCAAGATCTGCCCTGGCAAGGACGCCATCAACCTCGAGTGCGGCTGGCCGAACAATGGCAAGTGCAACGGCGCCGCCTGCCCTGGCAAGTCGGAGCAGGCCAAGGCCATCACGTCGATCCGCAAGAGCTGCGGCAGCAAGACGGTCTTCTTCTCCTTCGAGGACGACCAGTGGAAGGAGCCCGGTGAGTGCGAGTGCGAGCGCTCCTGGGGTTCCGCCGCGGCCTTCTCCATCAACATCGACATCTCCCTGTAAGGGGGGGCTTCGACGCCAGGCGCAGCGCCGGCCTCAGCACTCCCCGCAGGCCTCCAGGTACAAACCTACCGAATGTATATGAACGAAAGCAACGTCCAAACTCGGCCCGGTCCAGGCGGACTGCCCCTCGCCGACATGCCACGCGGCCACGCGACGTGGACCTCGACCTCGCTTCACAGGCTCTAGATGGGAGTAGGCAGGGCTCCTTGGCAGCGGCGAAACGGGCTCTCTCCTCGGAGGCCAGGGACGGACGATGCCTCGGGTCGACTACTTTCCATATTGGGTGTATGCGGAGTTCTCGGCCTCTTTTTCTCTAGCGGCTTCATCTGGGCGGGGTCTCGCGTTGTTTTGCGAGCCTCTTTTGGCATGGTATATCCGGCTTCAGGATAGGGGGTTTCTGCATGTCTGCGGCAACCTGTGCACGAGTCCTTTCCTTGTTGTACATTCGGCCATCTCATTCAACGGCTGTAATTTATTAGTGTCTATTATGGGACGACCTGCTTTCACGCTCTGGGCGTACATTATCTGGCGTCTCTGTCGTTCCTGTCTTGTGCCCAACTGCGCGTGTGTCCGTGTTTGCGTTTCCGAGACCCGGCATCTGAAGGATGCCGGCCGTGACGCGCGCCGTGTTTCTTCCATCAGAAAGCGGCCGAGTGGGTGAAAATGCCCCGTAGCGCAAAACTCTCTGCACCAAAGAGGCACGCGATGCATTGCTTCCCTCGGCCGAGAAGAGGTGGTGGTCCACCCATCCACACACCCGCCCATCCGCCCACCCGCTCCCGTACGTTAGGTAGTATGAGCTGCCCTTGCATTACAAAGTGCCGACCGACCTTTGCCTTCGCTACCTTATTATACGGGCCGCAGGGGGCGGGCGGCTCAAAAGCGCCTCGACTGGTATGCTGTCAACGGATTAGGCTCCACGGCACTGGACGGACGTACGATGCGCGCGGTCCAGAAAAGGAAAGAAGGAGCATGATGACATATCCCCCGAAAAACAATTTACCTTGTCATAACAACAAAAACTAAGATAGCAAGGTGGTGGGCGGGCGAGAAGAAGTATTCGAAGCTTCCATCGGGCCCCCCGCCTCCTGGCTCACAATGGGTGGCTGCGTCCCATGTCCCTGTTGTCCTCCTCCGTCGCACCGGGGGAAAGGGGGGGCGTGTGCCTGGGCGGTAGTTAGGTACTTGCCATATTCTCGATCTCTTTTTTCTGTGCATTGTGATACTACCTCGTACAAAGATTAAGCCCTTCCGTTGTACGTATGCAACGGTCAGTACTCCGTACTACAATACGGAATACCACGAGTACTGCACGCGTGACCGACCCTGCGCGCCATCTGCTGCGTGTACACCAACTACGTATGTTTGCTACCGTGGAGGGGCAAGCCGGTGATGAGTTACGGGGAAAGGGGGGGGGCGAGAGTAGAAGGGGCTTTCTCACCAGAAGTTGGCTTGGCTTTGGGGCTTCTTGCGTCTCGGCGGCATTAATCTTTTCTTGGCCCCTATCCACCTGCACGCACGTGCTCTCAGCCTCACAGCCATGAATTACAAGCTTGCATACGAACCTTATGGAACGAATGTGTTCGTTTCTCTTGGCCTTGTCGGCTTGGCGAAAACCCCCCCCCCCCCCCTTTTGCTCCCTTTGCCTCCTTTCGTACCAGCTCTCTGCCACTGACTAGGCCACCCCGATGCGTCGTCACGTTAAAGAGCTGTAGTTGGTAAAAGTATTGGTTCTCGTGGGGTGTCACTACTATCGTGCGTGCGAGGACGGACCAGACAGATGGATGAGGCGGACGGGCGTGTAATGATACCCGAGACCACAAAGGATTACAGGCAGGCACCGGCTGATACACGTTGAGGATGCAATCTATCTGGGTTTGAATCCAGCGCCTTGGCAGTACACACACCAAGACAATACAAGGCCCCACGAGAACCAAGCATCCAAGGCACCGGGGGTGCCTCCGTACCGTCCATCGCCTTTTTCGCCCGGGGATACCAACTATCAGCTACTACTACTACTTGTGTACAGCAGCCACAATCTTCGATCTGCCAATAATACCTTATCGCCAACTCGGGTTTTCACGAAGAGGTACAGCGTGCGGCCCGTCTGCCCCCGACCGACCGCCACAAAAGGCAAGTCCAAGACTCACGTACAAACGACGCCGACGAAACGAAACGGAACGGAACGGAACAGGACAAGCCGGGCCGAAGGGCCTGCCTGTCGTTAGTTCAGCATCATGTACATAATAGCACGCGACGACATAGACGCGGCGCATGCGCAAGGGCTGGCGACGCGGACTCCGCGCAAACGCGTCAACCCAACACATTGACGGCCCGACACAGCGCGGGCCGGAAAGGGCGCCGCATGGGCTACGTATAAATTAGGAGGCGAACAGCAGTGTTTTCGAGCATTTTGCTTTTTCTTCCCCCGCTGTCCGTTTTTCCCGCCCCGGTGTGTGTGTCATTGTGTGCGTGTGTCTGGGACCACGCACGTACGTACTTCGTAGTTAGTGCGTACATGCACGTCAATCATGCCGGCAATACCCTTCCTTGCATTGCGTTGATCGGTGGCTCGATCGCAGCACGTTTCGGATCGGCTCAGACACTCGACACTTCTCGGCAACTACGCTGCCGGCATGGAGCTGCGACTCTTATTCAGGTGGACAAACCCGATGAACATGTCGAAGTGTGTGCAGATGCCTCTCGTAGCGGTTTAAATCACATGTGTGCCTTCTCTCGTTTCAAACTGGAGGCCAGTGGCCTGTATATTCGTTCATTTCATTTCGTGTCCTGCGGCCGCGCAACCTCATACAATGCAAGAGGCCCCCGTCCTATGCTAAAAAGTCTTGCTTTGGCATCCTGAAAAATTGATCCAAAAGACATGCAGTTTGAAGACAAGACAGATCCTGGAGATACCCGCTCCGGTCGTTTGTAAATCGTGTACCGTACCACCCAGCTCGGATGCGCCAAAAGGCGCTTCACTCTAAACTTGTGTCCAGGCAGGAGCCTGGAGCATTGTAATGCGTGTATGCAATCGCCGATCAAACGTGTGCATTGCCGTCGCCAGTGGCCGGCGGGCCGGCGGAGCACCCCGGGCGTCCGTATCGACGGGCGCGCCCGAGATAGGTAACACAACCAACGACCTGTGGTCGTGTTGCTTTCCAAAACGTATATATGGTGGGCCATATATCATAGCCTTGCCCAAATCAATAAAAAAAGGTAAGCCATGGATGGCTTCAAAGGTAGTGTAGTGTCGAGTCGAAAACAGAAGTCTGGGTATGGTGCGCGGGAGCCGACGAGCTGCAGTGCTACGCCTGACAAGGCGGCTAAAACGGCTCCGGGCCTTCTAGCAGGGTCGGCACACGGCCGCGAGACCATCGTTGTTGCAGCTCGCACTCCTCGTCTCGGTCCACAAGCCAAGGATATCGCGTCGACCGCCGCAGCCAGGCGTTCTCCAAAGAAACGTCGGGGCCTCTTCCGCAGCGCTCAAGCTGCAACACACCGCCACGATGGGGATCGCAGCAGAGCACGTTGAGGTCCTGGCCGTCGTTGGTGAAGTCGATGCCGCCAACCTCGCTGAACACATCGATCGTTTGCTTAGAGCTGAACGTCTGCGCGTCGATCAAGTTGATGTAGTCGGCCTCCTCGGCCGCAACCAATATCGGCTTCCCGCTGCCTCGCGGGGAGAAGCGCAGCCCACGGACCCCGGCCATCTCGGCTCGAATCGTGCATAGGGCAGTGCTCACGCCGCTAGAGTTGCACCACTTTCGGGCATCCCAGATCTTGATCGCCTTGTCCTGGAACCCCGTCGCCACGGTCCAGCCGTCATCGGACCAGTCGCAGGCGAAGCCGTAGTCGCCGTGGCCCGTGAGCTCCTGCAGGATTTCGCCCGTGTCTGCATTGACGATGAGCACGTTGGGGTCGTCGCCCACCACCACCTGCAGCCGGCGGTCCGGTGAGTTCGCCGAGCAGTTGAGGCAGAACGGGTACATCTTGCGAGAGACAAACGTTTCTGTCTCGATGTCCATGACCCGAAGACCTCGGTCGTTGCTTGCGATGCTGGCGATTGGCCTGGCATTCCGGCGGGACGTGTGAATCCTCAAGTGGTTTGTGATGCCGTCAGGTGATATTTGCCCCTCTGAGAATGCATTCTTCTCTTCTGAATCTAGGGCCTTGAGGCAGTAGTCCCCATTGAAGGTGCCGCCCATCAGGACGCCACAGTTGGCGTCAAGCGTCGAAATCACGCCGCCCGTGGCGGGGAACTCTCGCGTGTTCACGATCAGATCTGTCTTTTTGGACCTTAGGTTGAGACGGCTTATGCCATTCGGACTTGGGTAGAACGCAAGCGTGCGAGATGGGCACGCAAGCACGCTCCGCAGCTGAAAGTGCGCAAGGCTGGCGTCAGGCCGTATATCCATCGTCTTGAATCGGAAGAAGCTGTCCCTGGCTGGTATCTTGGGTGACTCGGAGGGTAGCTGCAAATACAGAACTGCGTGTCAATGAAAGCCCATTCTTTGTTTGGCTGCACGCGAGGTTGGCTTGTACTTACGGTCCATCTGTCGGAGCCTGGTCGGTTCACGTAATTCCGATATGAGTTGAGCCGCGCCACCCTCGCAGCGTCGCGGGTCGTCCCCATGGCAGCCCAATCGAGGCCTTGAAAATCGCATTCATCCCCTTTCAACCCCGCGTAGATCACCCGCTTGATCTCGGCGTGGGCCTGCCTGTATACTTCGGCGAGATGCGGAGCCCTCCTCCTCGACGGGCGCGCGAGTCGAGTCTGGTTCACCCAGTCGCGTAGAAAGTCGACCAGGCAGAGGTTCGTAGATCCAAGGATGCTTGGGTTCGGGTTACTGAGCTGCGGGGGAAAGTTCTCGAGCCCTGGGTCTGCCATGGCAGGCGGGGGCGCGTCGTCAAAGTCCAGTATGGGGAACGGCCAGATGTTATCCGGCAGCTGACCATCAGGGTGGATGTTGTAGGGGAACGGAGGCATATGCATGTTTAGGTAGAAATCGGGTAGCGCTGGGGGTTGGTCGTGGGCGTCCTCGCTGGCGCCGAACATGTCGTCGGCGTCGGCGGCGTCGTCGTCGTCGTCAGCGAAATCGGCCGCATGCGTTTCCAACTCGGGCTCGGAATGCACCGGCCCGTCGCCCACGTCCATGGCGACTAGTATGTCGTCCAGTGGTGCGCCGCCATCGCTGTCGCTCATGTCGAGGTCATCATCGTACGGAGGGAGTTGCTGGTCAAGATGTGGCTGAGGGGCGCCGTGGTACAGGCATTGGGCCTCGCTGTAATCGTCGCCCAAGCTCGAGTCGGACTCGTCGTGGACAATGCACCCGCTTTCCTGGTGACGGGAGGCGACGGGTGCATTGGGCATGACGAAAACTCTGGCCGAGTGCCGGCGGTGGTCGTGTGGTCGGGTGCCGTTGTGCTGCTGGACGGCTTCGGGGTGCACGTTCCTCCCGGGGGGTCTGGCGACAAACGATGCGGCGGCGCCGGCACTGGCAGATTCGGTGTCGGCGCGATGGTCCCAACTGCACGGGCCGCGGTCGCAGGTCCACGGCGGGCAAGCCGAGTCGCGGTCGCCGTGGGCCCGGTCGTTGGCTCTGTCGCAAAGATGGGCGGCCGGCGTCGAGGGAGACGGCAGCATCGCTCGCGGGCGGCGAATCGGCGGACGCCCGCAACGTAGGCCTGAGGCTACTGCGCCGTACGAGAATGCCGAGGCGAGACAGCAGCAAGTGGATTGATCGCGAGCCGAGAGAGCAGCCAAAGCCGCCTCGATCAAGCTGCGTTGCAGGGCCGGGGCGTTGCGTTGGTGGAGGAGCAAAGTGCACGCGCTGGATCGTGCGGCGTTTGCGGCAGCAAACACGCTCACCGGGCGAGGGCTCTCAGTGGCTGAGGTGCCCTTGTCTTTCCCCTGGGCGAGACTTCCGTGAGCGACCCAAGCTGGGGTGTCAGAGAGCCCTTTGGTGCTGGTGCTTGCTTTCCTGCAGCCACCTTCAGGGAGCCCCTCTTTCGCCTTTTGGCTAGACTGGGCTGTCGAGCTCTGCGCTGCGGTGCGCCGTTTTTGCTTTTGCGCCGCTGCAACTCCGATTGTGGCCGCCGGGGTTGCTTTTTCCTTCGCCTCGCGCCGGTGAGGGCCAGGCGGGCAAGGGACCGACAATACCGATGGAGACGGAGACGGGACGTCAGAAAGGGGGCCCGCACGAGCACGACAGCGCGGGGCTCTCCCTCAGCCAAGTCGTGGAGGGACCTCGGGGTGGTGGAACGGGACGGCAGCAGTAGCTCTCGATGGCACACGGGCCCTGCAAGCCGATGCTGTTGCGGAGCAGAGGAGGTGCTGGAGGAGCAGTGGCGCGGTCGAGGGAGTTTGTGCGAGCCGGGGTGCACAGTCGCTGGAAGCCTCCGGGCATGATCGTGTGGGGAATACGACGATGGCGCATTGGCGTCTGGCCGCCGCGTCGTCTTTGGTCGGTGAGAGAAGCAGATGATGGGCGATGGAGGGAGCAACGCGGGGAGGCGAGTTCAAGTTTCGATCTGGGAGGAGGCGAGATGCAGCAGCCTGACAGAGAGGCGATGTGAGCAGGTGGGGGAAGCAGGATCCGTGAGGCAGCCAGCGATTGCCTTAATAAAGCCTTGGTACCGAGAAGAGGTGCAGTTCCTCGTTTTCAGCTTTGCACAGCACCTCGAGCGGCCGGGAGCAGAGTACGCATCAGTAGGGGCAGGAACGATGGGGAAAACAACAGCGCCGACTGCGGCACCTGCACTCTGGACTCTAGAGAAGGCGAGGGCCCTTGATACATAATAAGGAAATGGATGTGGAAGTCGACATGGAATGTGCCAGGGTTCCTTCCTGATGTGCTGCTGCATTTGCTCCTGCGGAAGGTACGAAGTACGAAGTACAATGCGTCGATATCCGTCTGATGCCGCTGAACGGAAAGTTGCCTCCCTCCGTCCCTTCCTCCCCTGCCCTGCCCTCCCCTCCCCGTATGATCCATCCCACCCTCCTTCCCCTGCAAGCCTCATGGGCAGGCACGCTGGCGATGACATGATGGACGGCATGGCTTGGGTGAGAGGCGTGATGGCAAGTCAGGAACGACATGTCCGCAGCAACCCTGCCCGCCTGTCCGCCTGCAAGGTGCACGCCTCCTCCTGCTCCTCCGAGGCAAATGACACGCCTCCCGCGCAACACATTGCATCTCTCGCCTCGCCCACACTTGACAGATAATACTGCACAGTACAATGGCTGCCAAGACTGCCTGACCACCCCGCGACACGCCCGACGATTCTGCCGATCCGCCTCCGCGACGAATCAATGGGCAATGCAAGCCCATGATCGAATCCGACGACGGGCCCGGCCTGCCTCGTCCACTGTCGTCTTGGGCGAAGAGACGGCCACGATGGCAGGCTCCGAACCACTCGTCATCTCACCCGCAGCCGCCGACGGCTCCATCCACCCACCCACTTCACTCATCACTAATTCATTCATTCACGATACTGTTGTACAGTACTGTACCGCATGCATCTCCTGGGCGTCTCCACGCATCCCACGGCCCTGGCGCCGCCCCGTGGCATGACTGGCCGCTGGGCTTGGCGCGCATGCAGAGAGTTGCATGTGCGGTGGGATGGGCCTGGGGATGAGCATGGGGAGTCGGGACGGGGGCGATGTGGGACGTTGGCACTGGGCACCCCGTCCCATGAAGACAACGGCTTGTGCGGCACCGCTGACGCACATGCATGCGCTTCTCGATGCTCCGGACAATCTCCATTCCCCAGGCCGTTGGACCTTGTTGGCAGCGGCGGGCGGCGACTCGACAGCGGCTCGATGCTGCCAACAGAGTGCTTCTCGCAGAACCATGGCCCCGTGCCACGCGCCAAATAGACGAGGCGTCGACCTGCCTAGGTAGGCATCTAATAGCCGCTGGCGACCCGGGACTCGAACGCGGGAGCTGGATGTGTGGCATCATCATCTCCGTCACCCCCATATTCGTCAACGCTGTGGCCATGCTGGTGAAAGGAGGGCGGCGGCCGCTTTGTGCTCCAGTCAGTGATGGGTATAACATCCAACGCGAGTCAATGGTGCCCCGCAGCTCGTCGCGCGCTGAGTTGCTCAATATTACCAGTCACTCACGGCAGCCCGACCCGTGTCGAGCCTTTGCACGTCCCAGCCGCGCTTACATACCTACCGTACATACACTGGTTGCTGCTCCTGTCCAGCCTGTACAGTGTTCAGTACGTACCGCACTGCTCCCTGGTCTTTGCGACATATGATCGGACGAGCCTGTGGTGACCGCCTCAACTCGGACAAGGACGACAGTGATGGAACGAACAAGACGGCACGAGACGGCGCCTGCGCCATAGCCCGCCAAAACCAGGTTGCTCTGTCAGCTCGGACGGTCGCCGCCCTCGGCCCCTCACTCGCCAGCTGCCCACCACCTCGTTCCTCACCGGTCGGCCCTGTATTTTGTGACAGATGATCTGTTGCCTCTGCCCTTTGATTGCCCCGCCCCCCTCTGGACCTGACTGCCGCACTCCTGGCCCATGGGGACCCTTGCCTGCTGTCTCGTGGGAGAAGCTCGGGCGGGACTCGCTGGCTTCACTGGACAAGGTCATTGGCAAGACTGGCTGACTCGCTCGTCCAGTTGTCAAGGTTCCGAGACAGGCCTCGTCCCCAATCCATGGTTCTTGGGCGGCGGACATGACGAGCACGACAAAGGGCGCCTGCCCGCCAAGAATCCAAGCTTCTCGATGCCGCGTCGTGCTGTGCTGTCTTGCTCGGTTTCGGGTCGACTTCCCTCACTGCATCATCAGGCCGAAAGCGGGAGCGACAGCGCCATGCAGATTGCCCGATCGTCTGATGCGGCGGCACACAGGGCGTCATCGCTGGCTACGTACCGTACGCAGGACGACCCGGCCAGACCTCTCAGACGGGCGTCATCGTGCCTCTGCTTGGCGCCTCCTCCGGGCTTGCGCCAGGCTCAGCCCCTGCCGTTCGCATCGGAAACACGACTACCCCTGTCCGATGCCGTTTTGTACCCGGACGGGAGCAGGAAGCGCAGCGGAAGCCTCGAGGCCAGGCCAGGCCATGCCTCGTCCCACGTCGCACCGCAGAAGTGACATATCACGCCAGGACTGCATGAAGAGGTATTAATCACCCAGGCTCCCGCTGTCGCCTTCAGCTCTTTGGCCGTTTCGCACGCATGCCAGAGCGCCGCGATACCCCTTTGCGTCGCCGCCGTAGCCTCGCGTGGCGGCGACCCTGAAATGAGATGATGCACCGCCCGATGCGAGGTGCAAGACCAACAGCTTCCGATGCTGCTGGAGCTGGTCAGCTCTGGAGTTCGGACTGCTGCATACTCCGTACACTCCGTGCTTTCCCACTTCACAAGAGTCCTTGCCTTCTGCACGTCAGAAACACACGGCCACGTCCGTGTTGCAACTTGCAAGTCGGGGTGCCTGTACATCTTTGCCAATGCCACGGGCTCCCGTCCCCGTCCGCCTCCGCGCCCTGTCGTCTCGTTCACCGGGCGGCCCCGACTTGAATCGAATCGGCGTGACTCTGCTCGACCCGACTCATGTCTTGGGCAGCTAGCTTGCGCTCGGGGGTGAGGCCCAGGCCTTGACTACTACCGCCCTGCCGCCCGCCGTTGGTAGCGTCAACGGCCTCCACGAGTCTTGACTCGATGGGGCTGGAGGCGAGCTCTCACCCATCAATCAGTCTTCTTATTCTCTCCCCTCGCCCGAGCGGTCCTCTTGTTGCCGCGCCTGGCTGCCGATGATCACAGCTCTTTCGGCGCGGGGTCCTGGGCAGCCGCCCGGCAGACCATACATACGGGACATTTCCTCCGTAGTGATGATCCGGCCCATCTGGAGCTGAGAGAAAGGTATTTCCGCAACAGGAACTGCAGACTTCCTCGGACCGAAAAAGCAAGCCCGCGAGGCTTGTCCTCGCATGCCCGCCACGATGCCCGAACATCATCAGCGTGGTACTCGGAGCCTGTCAGTTCAGGGTCACCACGTCAGAATGGCTGCGGAGTAATTTAGCGCCTCGCTGCATCAAGGGACCACCAGATGGGCTCTTCCAGGCCACCCTGGCAACCTTGCAGGATCCCTTCCAGGCCATGCCATTTGCTCCGGCCATGTAACGTGCGTTGTATGAATGGAAGCACGGTCCCTTGTCTCTCGTGCCCCCATTCCATCCCACGCCAGAAAAGTGGGCTCTCCTCTGCCTGTGCTTTCGAGCCTCGACGCACGACATGCACCCGTTCCCGCTCGCCGTCTGTCTGTCTGCGGGCGGGCAGCTAACCGTGTCTCAAGGTGCCACATCTCAAATCACGTCTGTCCAGTGGGAGTGAGACCTCGGCAATGTTTCTTCTTTTCTTTTTCCCTACTTCTTTTTCGAAATGGGCTTCTCCGCGGAGCTTCGCCTTCTCTATCTCTCTCTCCCTTCTCTATCGCTCTCACTGTCACTCTCACTCGACACGTCGACCGTTGCCCGCCGTCCCCTTGCACCTACACCATCACTCCGACCACCGCCGCCACCTCACTCCGTCGTCATTGTGTAAACCAAGAAGATACCGTCAGGATTTGCTTCTCAAGTGGTCTACTCTACTGCAATCTCTACAATGGTTCCGCTACCCCCCACGCCATGCTGAGATCGCCATCGCGCATTCGCCACCCGGGCCGGCTGACGGGGTGCCGGGCGTCTAGTACTTGTTCTCGAGTCTCCTCTCCGCCTTGAGCTTGAGCAGGTGCTCCAGCGCCTCCTGCACCGGGATCAGCTCGCCCTTGCTCTGCGTGCTCTGGTCGTCGCGGTTGCGGATGTTGACCGTGCGCGACTCGGCCTCTTGGGCACCGACAACTGTGTGGCGGTGTTAGTACGCAACCCTCCCTGAAACTAACAGACTGGCAGATTGGAGTTTCCAACGCTGGGGGGAAATGCTTACCGAAGATGAAGTTGTACTGCTCCAGCTGGCCCGTGCGGATCTTCTTCTGGAACGTGTTGCTGCTCAAGTCGACGTCGGCAAACAAGCCACTGTCGTGGAACTGCTTCTGCACCTCCTGCGCGTAGCCGTTGACGGCGGGCATGACGGGGACGACGAGCACCTGGCGCGGGCTCAGCCAGAAGGGCCACTTGCCGGCAAAGTGCTCCGTGAGGATACCGATCATGCGCTCGAAGCTGCCCAGCACCGCTCGGTGGATCATGACGGGACGGGCGTAGCCGACCGGCAGTTCCGGGTCGTCGTTGTTCGTGGCAGCACCGCTGTCATCCTTGGCCGCGACGTATCGGAGCTTGAACCGCTGAGGCTGCATAAAGTCCAGCTGGATCGTGCCGCACTGGTGGTCTCGCCTCAGCGCGTCGTAGACGGTGATATCGATCTTGGGGCCGTAAAAGGCACCATCGCCAGGGTTGAGCTCCCACTTGGCGCCGATGCGCTCCGTGAAGGAGATGAGAGCTTCCTCGAGCTTCTTCTCCGCCAGATCCCATAGCGAGATCTCGCCGATGAACTTCTCGGGTCGCGTGGACAGCTTGAGCTTGAACTGGAACCCAAACAGGCCGTAGACGGCGTACAGGAAGTCAAAGGCACCCTCAATCTCTTGACGAATCTGCCAATTGTCAGCGTCTGGCATCTCTCGGCTTCCGAACGAGCGCATACCTGGTCGATCGTGCAGAAGATGTGAGCGTCATCCTGCTGGAATCGTCGCACACGCGTGAGGCCCGTCAGGGCACCCGAAAACTCGTTTCGGTGCAGCACGCCAAAGTCGGCCATCCTCCAGGGCAGCTCCTTGTACGTGACGTCCGAGTGGGCAAAAATCTTGCAGTGGCCAGGGCAGTTCATGGGCTTGAGGCCAAACTTCTCCTTCTCGACCTCAAAGGTGAACATGTTCTCCTCGTAGTGGGCCCAATGACCCGACGTCTTCCACAGGTCGGCCTTGTACATGTTGGGCGTCATGACCTCGACGAAGCCGCGGGTCTGGTACTCGCCCTTGACAAGCTCCATGAGGGAGTTGAAGATTCTCGTGCCGTGGGGAAGCCAGAACGTGGAACCGGGGGACATTTCGTCCCAGAAGAAGAGCTTCTGGTCTTGGCCGATCTTGCGGTGGTTGCGCTTGGCAGCCTCGGCCAGGAACACCTTGTACTCTTCGAGCTGCTTCTTGTCAGGGAACGAGATGCCGGCAATTCTTTGAACGGACTCGTTTTTGCTGTCACCAAGCCAGTACGCGGCGGAGTTCTAAATGCTGTCAGTGGAGTCAGGGTGAGATCGAGCGACGAGACGGCTTCATACCCTCAGGACGGAAAAGGCCTTGATGTTGCCCGTATGAGGCACGTGCGGCCCTCTGCACAAGTCGATGAGGGGACCACATCGGTACACCGTGCTCTTGGTGCCGTCGGGCACGCGCTGGTTGATGAAGTACTCCTTGTACTTGCTGTATCGGAACATCTCGAGGAGCTCGTCCTTGGTCATCTCGAGGCGGACGAAAGGCTGCTTCTCCTTGATGATGGAGGAGGACAGGGTCTCGAGGGCCTTTTTGTCCTCGTCAGAGACGGCGGCGCTGCACAATGGCCAAATATTAGCGGACACATTCGACTGTGGTAGTCTGGCGATAGTGTGGTGCCAGCCTTACCCTTCCATGTTGGCCATGTCATAGTAGAAACCCGGGGGATCCTCCGTGGGCGGGCCATTGCAGAGGTAGCAGCCGAATCGGCGCTCGCAGGCCTCGCCCAGAATGTGGGCAGACGAGTGCCAGAAGACCTTCTTGCCTTCAATGTCCTCAAAGTCGATCAGCTCGAGCTTGCAGCTCTTCTCGAGGGGCCGCGTGAGGTCCCAGAGCTCGCCTTCGACCCTCGAGATGACGGTGCGCTCGAGCAGCGACTTGGAGATGCCCTTGGCGACGGCGGCGGGCGTCGTCTCCCAAGACGTGCCCTTCTCCTCCTTGCCATTGGGCAGGGAAATGGTGATTTCCTCGCGGGGCTGGGCTGTATGGGCGCTGTCAGTCAAACGGTGTCTCGGTGTGGCCGTCGTACGACGCGGGGTCGGTCGGGCAGGCGGGGGGGAGGACGAATCGCACCAGCAATCTCGGCGTCTTGTCGGGCCTTGATCTTGTCAAAGAGGTCGAGTCGGTGCTGGATGAACTCGGGGAGCGTGGGGAGCTGTCACGGCGTCAGCGCAATGGCCCCTCTGCCGGCGAAGTCGACCGCCTCGGGATCTGGGATCTGCCACCAACCTCGAGCCCCGCGCTCTTGCCGCCCTTGGGGGCCTTCTCCTTGGGCTGCTTGGCGGGTCGCGACGGGAGGCTCTGGGCCTCAGCCGCCTTTGGGGCCGCGGCGGCTTGATCAGACGACATGGTGGCGGGTTGTGCTCCTCGCAATTCGTGTGTGCGATGGCAGGTGCGGTGAAGAAATGTTGCGGAGCGGTCTCACGATGCCCAGGCGCAGTTGGTACCAGAATGCTGCACTCGTATGGCGGGCTTGGAGGGGCAGCGCGGTACCCTTAAGGGGGCAAGCGCGCCCGGCGCAGGTGGGGTTGACTCACGGTCCAGAGAAGAAGAATTTCGGCTGTGGCCGTGCCTGAGTCGAGTCACACAGCCTTTGGTGGCAGCCAGCCCACGGCAGATCCTCGGGCGCCTTGTCCACCGCCCGCAAAGTTCACGGCAGTTGGGCTCTGGGAGGTGTGGGATCACGAGAGTCACCGATCGGCCCGTGACACGGTACTGACTGACTGTATTGACGGAGCAGCATTGCGTCAATCCGGTGTGGTTGCTTATTAAAATCTCTCCGACATGCCTCGCGGGGCTGTGCGAAGCCTTCCTATGCGTCACTGTTGAGTCGTCCAAGACGCTCGACGTCCGAAGTCGGTGCATTCAGTATCCAGCATCCTTCGCGCTTCTTCTTACAGTTTCATTTCCCAATGAGACAGCCCATTGCCTCAATTCCCTCTTGATGGGCCGCCAATTACGGCGTTGCCTCCATTTGTAAAACTATATGGGTATCATAAGAACAGCTTCAACGCCCTCACATGCAATCCGCACTCGCCCCTTGACTCACGCTCTCCCTTCCCTCCCCGTCGTCAGAGCCCGTACCTTGTCACGCATTCCTCGCGGTGCGTCTCAAGGCAGTCCAGCGCGCATACCCTTGTCCCGCACTTCATGCACCGCACCCTGCCCCAGTACCCGCAGACCTCGCAAAACGTCCTCGTCGGGTACGTGCCGTCACGGCGGCCCAGCGCCTCGAGATATGTCAGCGGCGGGTGCGCCAGCAATGCCCGCAGCTCCTCGTCCGACGGTACGTCCGGCACGCGGGACATGAGCAGCGGGTCGTCGTCGCCTGGGTGCGCGGCGGGGGGCGATCGGTACGGTGGAGGGAGGACCGGCAGCAAGGGCGGCCCGGCGTCGGCCATGGGCGTGTCCGCGTCTTTGGGCGTTGCGGCCGCCGATTGTTGCCTCGAGGATGTGGCGTCTCTCCTGCCGGCCTGCGAGGGCCGCTTGCCGTTGCCGGAGGCGGACGTCGCGCCCGGTCTCGCGGAGCCGGCTTGCGCACTGGGGTTTGCCTCCGTGAGGGCCTGCAGGGCGAGGAAGTCGTCGAGGTGGTTCGCAAACGTCTTTTGCGACTGCATGATTCGGCGCACGTTGGGCGTGAACTTGACTTGTGCTGGTTTTCCTGTCGTTAGCCCGTGGCCTTGATGCGAGGCGGCGCGTCCGACGTTACCTCTTCCGCTCTTCACCGGCAGCGGAATCGACGCGTCCCTCGCGCCGTCCCGGTCCAGCGCCTCAATCTCCTTGCGCGCCTTGGCCTCCTGCCGCGCCGACAGGTCCCCGATGCTGAGGTTGCCGCCGGGGGCGTTGCGCGCGCGCTTGCGGTTCGCGGGCTGCTGGACGGCGGCGGCCGGGCCCACGTCCGGCACGTAGGCCCATCCCGGCGCGGCCGTCGTCTTTGCGCCGGCGAGCTCGATGACGCCAAAGTTGTTCATGCCGGGCCGTTATGTGGTGGACAGGGAGAGGATGCGCAGATTCCAGGCTGGACGGCCTGGATGTGTCCAGTGACGGAGGTGTCGTGTAGCGCACGTGCAGCTTCAACAGCCCTTGCTGCGTTGGTAGGTAGGGAGCGGGGCCCTGGACAGCTGGAGCTCCAACCCTTGAAACACCCGCCAAACGGCACCTGGAGCCCGCCGGAAAAATCCGCCACAGCACACTGGGCAAGCCTCCATTACCCGAAAGCTCCAGCTCCATCCAGCGACCAGGCCCAATCAGGGAGGCCCAGTTCGCCCAGAGATTCCGGGGCACGGCCAGTTGCCAGGTGGTGCTCGGCTCCCCCCAGCCCAGCAATTGCGCCGCCGCCCCCAGGTCTCGTGGCATCCGAGAGCTCGACTGCTAGCCGACGACCTCGCCGCTCCGACCTCACCTGGCTTCGCCTCGCCACGCCACGCCCTCGCTCCAGCTCCCCTCTCAATCTCTGCCGCCCGCAACACGCATCGTTCGCAACCCATACCGCAAAGCAACGACGCCCAACACATTTCACCATGCTCGGCGCCGCTAGAATACTCGCCCGTGGCCCCGGCCGCGCCATGTTCGCCCGTCCCTTTTCCACATCAGCTCGCCGCATGGCCGACGCCGCCGCGCCGCTGCCCGCGCGGAAACCCATGGGTGCCTTCCGGGGAGGGTGAGTCTCGAGTCCCGGGCGCTCCTGGCTCTGCCTCGGCGCTCTTCTTCGTCCTTCAATGACCGTGGTGGGCGGACCGCGTCTGACACCTCCTCTTAGGCTCTTCGGCTTCCTCTTCGGCTGCGTCCTGTCGGGCGGCGCCGTCTACAGCTATGTCCTGAACGAGTACAAGACCTCCAACGACCTCCTGACCGAGGACATCTACGTACGTCAATCAGATGCGTGCGACGTCTACACACACGCTCTGCAGATGTTGCTGCCAATCGTTCTGCGACCCGGCAAACCCGGATAGCATATGCTGACCGACGTCCAGACCCTTCAAGCCTCGGTCACGCGCCTGACCAACTACGTCAAGAACCTCGAGGAACGGACACAAGCAAGGAAGTGAGGGTGGCTCGCGCGCAGTTCGAGCGTCGAGGGAGGCATCGCAGACTGCAGCTCCGCTGGCCGTCGCGTGCAGCGGCGAACCCAGCCACGGAGGGATGCGTGATATACGTGCTGGAGTTTTGCGACTGTAACATTACCCGCGTATGAGCATTCCGTCCCGCGGTTCCCTTTGCATCGCAGTAAATAAAGTCGAATCGAACCACTTTTGATCACGGGGCGCGCACAGTGGCAGGCACATGATGGCATTGCATCGCAACATATCGCAATTGCTCAGTGATTCCATACTACCGTGCAAACCTATGGAAATCCCCAGGTATTCAGATAACCCGCAAATCCGCGTCCGGGAATAGTCATGATCGTGGGGCATTCGACGCTCCCTTTTACACACAAAGAGTACATGGTCACGTTTACAGCTCGTCGTGCTCCTCCTCCTTCTCCTCCTTGGCCTCCTTGGTCTCCTTCTCCGTGGCGGCGGGGGCAGCCTCCTCGGTGCCCTCCTCCTTGACGGAGACGGCAGCCTTGTGCTTGCCGTTCTCCTTGATGAACTCGATGAGGTCCTCGACGGTGCGGGCACCGCTGTAAGTGACAGGGGCGTCCTTGGCGCCAGCAGGGAAGAGCTTGATGGTGGGGAAGCCAGCGATCTCGTCGGGGACATCGTTGGCGGTGGCGTCGACCTTGGCGATGACGACCTTGTCCTTGAACTCGCTCTCGGCGTACAGGCTGCCGAGCTGGTCGTACTTGGGGGCCAGAGCCTTGCAGTGGCCGCACCAGGGAGCGTAAAACTCAATCAGGACATCCTTCTTGTCATCGAGGACAATCTGGTCATAGTTCTTGGCGACGACGACGGTGACGGGGCCATCCTGCTTCTCGGGGATGGGCTCGGACTTGATGCTAGGCTCGATCTTGCCCTCGACGTACCTCTTGACGAAGTCGGCGATGTGGTCGTGGGCAACCTCCTTCTCCTGGTCGAAGGGGAACTTCAGGTTCTTGACGGTGTCCTGAATGGCGAACGAGGGGAACTTGTCGGTCTTGAGGTTCAGGTTGGCGGCGTGGGCGCCGAACTGCTTGGCGTCGATGGTGGCGAAGTTAATCTTGCCCTTGTGCTGCTCGGCGATGGGCTTGAGGGCCCGGCTCAGGAGTTCACGCTCCTCCTGCGTCTCGGCGAAGATGTAGGCCAGGGGGAGACCGGCCGACATGTAGCCGGCATAGGTCTCGGGGCCGACCTCGCCAACCAGGGGAGTGGCGGAGGTCTTGGCGAACTCGGTGATGGCCTCGGCCTCGAACTTGGACTCGAACTTGTTCTTGCCCTCGTCGAAGGACTTGTAGAGGACGATGGAGGGGAACTTAACACCCTCGGCCTCAGCCACGGCGGCGTCGTTGACGCCACCGAAGAGGTAGTCGTCACGGAGGGTCTCGGCGACCTTGGAGAAGGTCTCGTTGGAGGCCTTGTCGTCGGCGGCAATGTAGGCGACGAGGACGACCTTGTCGGCCGTCTTGAAGTCCTCAAGGGTGTCCTTGGTCAGGAGAGAGACGGCAGGCAGGGACTGCTTGACCATGTAGGAGTGGATGCTGCGAACTTGTCAGCGGGATCGGCGCACGGACGTAGCTGAGAGCAAGATGGCGGCGACTTACGCATCAGCCTTGCGCTGGCCATTGTAGGGCTTCACGTCCTCGAGGCCGCGGAAGACCTTGAGCGTGGGGTAGCCCTCGACACCGAACTCCTGGCAGAGGTCGGCCTGCTCGGTGCAGTCGACCTTGGCGAGCTTGATGTTCTTCTCCTTGAGGGAGGTGGCGGCCTCCTCGTACTCGGGGGCGAGGGCCTTGCAGTGGCCGCACCACGGAGCGAAGACTGGGAGCTGCGTGTTAGCGATCCGTCGGGGTACAACAGCCTGCGTGAGCAAGAGGACATGGAGACATACACTCAGCCAGGACAAGGTCGTTGGCCTTGACAAAGTCCTTGAAGGTGTCCTTGGTCAGAGAGGCGACGTCCGACTCGGCCGTGGCAACGGCGGCAAAGGCGGCGATGATGCCGGCGGCAACGCGCTTCTGATGCATGGTGGGCGCTTGTGGCGGGTATTATCAGGCAACAAACAAGGAAGGGGAGAAGTGAATGGAGAGGTCCTGCACAGCTGGTGGAAGGCTGTCGAGGAGGACGATGGGGATGGGGAAGAGAGGAACGACGGCAGATGTGAGGGCTGGGACGGGGAAGTTTTGTACTACGGGATCAAGTCGCGGGATGGTCTCCCTGGGCTGGCGCATGGCAGGCGAGGCCAAGCGGCTGGTTCAATTGAACAAGTGTCCCCTTTGCCCCAGGGACCGCCTATCCCCAGTGGGGGCGGCGACTGGGCAGGTAGCACTAAGAATGTACCCAAGCTCCCCCCCTGCACGCCCCCGCCCGCCTGCCGAGCCTCCTCGAGGACGACTCGGGAGGTACAGTACTTGTTCGATACGCGTACCTTTTGCGCCCGCGCCGGTACTCGTACCTGGCCGCCCGCTGGCCCCGCTAAGGCACTCGCTCCCTGACGCTGACGACAGGCGGCTTGGGCTGACTGGACGGCTGGCAGCGCAGCTCAAGGCAGGACGAACAGGAAGCTTCGAGTACCTTGCGGAGTACCCATACCTCCGGTACCTTACGCGGTATTCGATAGCACATCATCTGGCGTGGCGAACCGACATTGTGCTGCCAAACCTCAGGTTGAACATGGCCGATATGGTACCATCCCGAGCCTGCCATGGCGGCCAGGCCGGACCCAGCGGCTTTGACCTGCGCCTACCTCCTCGGGCGGCTGGCAGCACTTCGCCCAAGTACGACTGGGTGTGTGCCAGCCCAGTGTGGTGCCACCGCGCGCAGCCTCGTTCAGCTCGTAGTCACCGGCCTTGCCTCCTGACAAATCGGCTTCCGTGAATCCGCGCCTCGCAAGAGAGACGCCGTATACGGCCTCTCCAGCCGCCCAGTGGCCCTGTGTGACTTGGCGTCCATGGAACTTGCGAAGTAAAATGTACCTACTTCTGGTCTCGTCCCGGGGCGAAAGTATACCGATGTTGGAGACACGTTTCCTCTGGTTCAATGAGTGATACTGACCGAGGCGTTGCGGAATCCGCAACCCCTTGACGGACACGCCTGGTATGTGCGGGCGCTATATGGAACAACGACAAGGGGTACTGGCACCGCCGAAGCATTGACCAGCGGCAACCATTGCCGGACTGATGTGCAACGATGAACCAGTCCATCCAGTCCACAATCGGCATGCTGATCCACGCCTGTCTCGCTCAAAGGACACGCAGTCAACGCAGGACAACTTCCCGCGGCACGACCCTCGCCAGCTCACAGTGCGACTGCGTCCTCAGCCACCTGGTCGCTGCAGGTGCGGGATGCAACGTACAGACGTGATCCGTCCTCGTATCAGTGCTGGCCGTCCCGCCTCTGCCGCCCGAGCCTGGACCTCGCGGCTGTCACAAGGAGTCTCTCTGCGAGATGCACAAACGCAAGCAAGCGTGGCAAGTACCTACCTAGGTAGTTACCTCCTCATGCACGACACCGTGCAGCGCTGCATTGATCTCCCTGCCGTGTAATGCCCTTTCGGGCGCAGGAGAGCAAAAGGATGAATTGGCTCCACGGAATCCGAGGCTTACGCAAGCATCAAGGTGACACATTGGCCATGCACAATCCAGCCTGCGCGCCCTGCGACGAGCCGCTAGTAAGTAGTTGACAAGAAACCTCGATGCTAAATCTGTCACATCACAGTTCCCCAATTCGCAGGCGGGACTTGCGCCGGGCGGCTGGCGCTCTGACTGCCGGACCCCCAATCCAATGACCTGCAGGCTCCACTTTTTGGCATCCACCTACCCTGCACCTCTCAACTCTCAGCGACGCCATTCTACGGAGATTTTTCTACTCACGATTTCGACTCATCGCTGGACCAGCTTGGCATCTCATCGCCCAGCTGCCGAGTCATTGTCGCCGCCTCCACCTCACACATCTCAGAGTCCGCTGACCTGGCGGCAATGGGCAAGACACCGGTCATTGGGCTGCTCGGCGGCGGCCAGCTTGGCCGCATGCTCTGCGAAGCGGCTGGTCCACTGGGATACGACATCGCCGTCCTCGACGAGGCTGGGTGCCCGGCCAAGCAGATCAACGCCAACGACAAGCATGTGGCGGGCTCCTTCAAGGATGCCGCCAAGGTCCGGGAGCTGGCGTCTCGATGTGACGTTCTCACCGTCGAGATTGAGCATGTCAACACCGAGGTCCTCGAGGAGATTGCGACTCAGGGAGTCCGGACGCCCTCGGGCGAGCTGCGGAAGGTGCCCGTCCACCCGTCATGGCGCACCCTGCGCCTGGTGCAGGACAAGTTTGCCCAAAAGGAGCATTTCCAAGCCGCCGGGGTGCCCATTGCACCGCAGATGGCCCTCGGCGCGGGCGAGCTCCTGCCCGACTCGCTCAAGGAGGCTTATCAAAAATTTGGCTTCCCCTTCATGGTCAAGGCGCGCAAGGGTTCCTACGACGGCCGGGGCAACTTCAAGGTCAACGGGCCGGAGGACTTTGAGGAGGTGGTCAAGGCCTTGGGCAAGCTGCCGCTGTATGCCGAAAAGTGGGTGCCCTTTGCCATGGAGCTCGCCGTCATGGTGATCCGCACCGAGGACGACGCAGGCAACTGCACGGGGGTCTACGCATATCCGACGGTCGAGACGGTGCACGAGGACGACGTCTGCAAGACTGTCCTTATGCCGCCGCGCAAGGTCGACGGTGCGGTCTGCGCCCAGGCCCAAAATGTGGCACAGGACGTCATCAGGAGCCTCTGGGGGCGCGGCGTCTTCGCGGTCGAAATGTTTTTGCTGCAGGATGGTAAGGTTTCAGAATGGCATCTCTCGTCTTCCGCCCATCGAGCTCACGCGTTTCAGGCACCATCATGGTCAACGAGGTGGCGCCCCGGCCTCACAACTCGGGCCACTACACGATCGAGGCCGTGCCCTACCTGTCGCAGTACAAGGCGCAGCTCCACGCCATCATGGATATTGTGCCCAAGACCATGCAGCTCACCCCCCGATGCTCGCAGGCCATCATGCTCAACATCCTGGGCGGCGCCGTGCCCGAGTCGCACGACAAGCTGGTCCGCCTGACGGAGACGGAGTACATCCGCGGCACGGACGTCTACCTGCACCTGTACGGCAAGGCATCCAAGCCGGGCCGCAAGATCGGCCACATCACCTTTACCACGCCTTCGGTCGAGGTGGACCTGGAGGCCACGATCGCGCCGTTTGTCAACGAGGTGGACCTGATGCGGCAGCAGCGCCTGAGCGCGTCATCTGCCCAGCTGCGCCCGACGGCCGCGCCCGAGGCCAACAGGAAGGCGAGCTCGCGCGACCCCAACGCTCCGCTCGTCGTCGTCACCATGGGCTCCGACTCGGACCTGTCGGTGCTGGCCGCGGGCCTGGACATCCTGGAGAAGTTCGAGGTGCCGTATGACTGCACCATCACGTCGGCGCACCGGACGCCCGCGCGGATGACGGAGCTGGCCAACGCGGCGGCGGCACGGGGCGTCAAGGTGCTCATCGCGGCGGCGGGCGGCGCGGCGCACCTGCCCGGCATGCTCGCGTCGGAGACGACAGTGCCCGTCATCGGCGTACCGGTCAAGGCGACGCACCTGGACGGCAATGACTCGCTGCTCAGTATCGTGCAGATGCCGCGGGGCATCCCCGTCGCTACGGTGGGCATCAACAACTCGACCAACGCGGCGCTCCTGGCGGTGCGCATGCTCGGATCCCACTACCCCGAGTACCGCGAAAAGATGGCGCGGTACATGGAGACCATGAAGGTCGAGGTCGAGGGCAAGGCGGCCAAGCTGGAAGAGGTAGGTTACCAAGCATACCTAGCGGAGAAGGCCAAGAAATAGAGTCGCGCAAGTGACACAAAGAGACACGCTTTACGGATGATCATTTTACTTTGTCTTTTCCATTGCACGCTCCGCTAATGACCGTGGCGTCGCCCTCTATCGGGTCGTCACACGCTCTATGATTTCCACCTCTATTGATCCCCTCTCCGTAACGCTCGTCTACCGACTACAGCTTGAACGCGGCCTGCACCTCCTTGGGCTCGGCGCGGTGGTACTGGTTGGGCCACTTGACGGGCACGCCGAGCTCGTGAGCGGCATGCAGGACGAACTGGGGGTCGCGCAGGAACTGCTTGGCGGCGAGGGCCAGGTCGGCCGACTGCTCGGGCCCCTCCTGGACGACGTCCCTGGCGAAGGCGGCGTCGTCGATGCCGCCGACGGCGCCGATGATGAGGGAGCTGCCCTCGTCGCGGAGGGCAGTGCGGATGCGCCGCGCCAGGTCCGTCTGGTAGGTGCGGGCGCGGTCGATGCGCTGCTTGGGGTTGTTGCCGCCGCTGCTGACGTCGAGGACGTCGACGCCCCAGCCCGGCAGCAGGCGGGCGAGGCGCAGACTCTGCTCCAGGTCCCATGAGGGCGCGCCCGCCCACTCCATCCACTCGGTGGCCGAGATGCGCACCCACAGCGGCATGTCGGCGGGGATGACGGCGCGGACGGCGGCGACGACCTCGCGCAGGAACCGCGTGCGGTTCTCGAAGCTGCCGCCGTAGTCGTCGGTGCGTTGCTGGAGCCTGGGTTAGCTTTGGCCCTGATCTCGCTCTCAGGAGCATGGATAAGTGACGATGGTGGTGACGACCGAGGGGCTTTACTTACGTTGGAGAGTGGAGACAGGAAGCTGGTGATGAGGTAGCCGTGCGCGCCGTGAATCTCAACGACGTCGAAGCCGGCCGCGACGGCGCGCACCGCCGCGTCGGCAAAGGACTTGACCAGGCCGCGGATCTCCTCGACGGTGAGCTCCCGCGGCGGGGCCCAGTCCTCGGAGTAGGGGACGGGGCTCGGCCCCACGACGTCGGCGGGCCAGCCGCCGTGCGCCTCGTCGGCGACGACCTTGCCCGCGGAGCCGGCGATCCACGGCGCCAGGGTGCTCGCCTTGCGGCCGGCGTGGGCGATCTGGATGGCGGCCTTGACGCCCTGGCTGTGGGCAAAGTCGACGACGCGGCGCAGGGGCGCGACGTGGGAGTCGGCCCAGATGCCGGCGTCCTGCGGGGAGATGCGGCCGCGAGCCTCGACGGCCGAGGCCTCGACGATGACGAGCCCCGCGCCGCCGAGGGCGTACTGGCCCAGGTGCACCAGGTGGTAGTCGGTCAGGTGGCCGTCGTCGGCCGAGTACTGGCACATGGGGCTGACGACCCAGCGGTTGGGCAGCTCGACGGAGCGCATCCGCAGCGGCTTGTAGAGCGTCGGCGTGGCGGCCGAGGTCGGGTCCGCGGCGGTGCCCGGGGCGGGTTCCTGCGCGGGTGTGTAGAAGGGCACGCCGGCCTGGCCCTTGTTGCGGAGGTCGAAGCGGCCCATGGTGGCGGTGGTGGTGGTGGTGGTGACGGTGGCCTGCGGTGCGGTACGGCGTGGGTGTGAAGCTATCGCGACGAAGGGTCGGCGCGTTGGTCCTCCTGTGCGGTATCACAAAAAACGGTGACGAAAGCGGCAAACAACCAGGCAATGGAGAAGCACACAGACAAGAGACAAAGAATGCGATTGGAACGCCGCTGTTGCCTCTATCTACACCCTCAAGAAAAAGGTTGACCCGAGCGCTTTTCTTATACGGACGCCAACCGAGGTCGGATTATAAATGCAATTGATTGATTGCGCTGCACACTTCCCGCTAGCTGACTAGCACGTAGAAGCAGTAGCCCCTCTGTAGTCGTGTCTGGATTCCATTTTCTGCGGGCACTGGAGAGTGGTGGAGGGAGGAGGAGGGGTCCGTCCGTCCGTCCCTGAAAGGTTGAGGTGAGGGAAGCGGGGCGGGGCTTCGATGGCATCACCGAAGCAGCAGCGGGGAACAGGGGTGAGGGGCACACCGCAGCCACGCAGCCACACGCAGCGCCTCCCAGGGGCCACTCAAGTTAACAGCGGGAGGCTTTCCCGGTCCCCTGAAAGTCAGCACCTAGAAAGGAAAAAAAAAAAGGATCCGAGCAGTGTCGTCGATGGAATTCATAAGCAACGTCGCACTGGAGATTGGGGGGAGAGGCCAGGAAAAAATAGTAAGGGTCCGAATTATGTCCGGATTGTTTCCGCGAGGTGACATGACGTGCCCGTGACTGACGGGAGGAAGGATGTCCCTCCCCCCACCCCGAATATCCCGAGCCACTCTCGAATCTTGTACCACGGCAGTTGAGATTTCCACGGAGGGTTGCACAGCAGCAGTATGACATCGGGGACATTGTTTCTCGTGCCGCTGTACGAGTCACTCATCGTTTTCTTGCTGAACCCGTACGCCTGCGCGCGTCCCGAAAACTAGCGGTACGGGGTCACGGATTTAAGGAGAGTGCGCATCGCGTCGCTCCGGCGTGCCTTGGTAAGCCCTGGGTAGGATTCCCGAGCCAGGCACCTGCGTGAACGCGACATGACGCTGAATAATTGGGGAATGGGGTGAGCCCAGGACATCATCAGTCCGGAGCGATGCCGTAATGAAGGGGAAGTCTCGCAATGGCCCTGGCTGTTGCCATTCTTGCCCTGATGGCAGCGCCGGCCGGCCCGTCGATGGATGTCGTGATTCCGACTCAATGTGAAGGAGGGGTTCATGGGCCACGGACAAAACGTCTATCCGCGGGCCCAGTCCTTGGTCCTTGTGTCAAGGTGCGTCATGTACGAAAATATGTTCCTTTATGCATGTACGATTGGCCCGGACGATCCTCAACTGTCGTTTCGCCCTCCCACTTTCTCCCCAAACATGGGCAACGCGAGAAAACTTGGGAGCGCTCTGTACCATACGTACCTCATATAGATATCTTGTATGCATGCAAAGCGTACCATTTAGAAGGAACCGCCTGGTTGGTTGCCCGCACCTCGCACGCGTCCATGGAGATGGCCTTTCAAGCCATTGACACACCACACCACAACCACACCGTAGACCTGCCGACGAAAGGATCTAGGCAATTCCGTAACCCCTTAGAAAAGAGAGACACAGTCTTTGAGCTGCTGTCGTAGTAGTATCCGGAGAAACAAGAGCAAAGCAGGGAGACGACGGCATTGTTTCCCGTATCTACCGCACACCGTACNCCCCTCCTCTTCCGTCCCGGGGAGTTCGCGCCCCCCATCCCACGACAAGGACACACCCACGGAAAGACACCAAAAGCCAACCCTCTGCCTCTCAGCTACCCACGCTGTCCAAATGGCACAAGAACCAAGAACCCCGGTGACGACCCGGCCTTCGTTTTTGCGAACCGCGCGGGCATCCAAACGCAGTTGCAGTTGCAGACGCAGACGCAGGCCAGGCCAAAACAGAATGCGGGGAACCCTGCTCCATGCCGCGCCGTGCCGCGTCGCCCATCTCCCGAGAAGCACTGGCTGCACGTTCCATCTCGCCCCCTCCTCACGAGCGGCAGCCAATGACCACGCTGCCAATCCAATGCCCCCGGCATCCAGGAGTGAACCCCAAGGCACCTTTAAAAGGGGTGCCGTCGCCCAGTTTCCCCAATGTCCCTTGTCCTCATAGACCACTTGCACCTTGGCCAGCATCCTCCCAGCGTCGTCCATGACATCAAGTCACGGCAGCTCGCCAACTCACAACAATTGCAACACCGAGTAAACAATCAAATCTTCTTTGTACAAGCAAGTCTAATCGTCATCTCCTGCAGAGATCCGATGTCTATCTGTTCGACGACGCGCCAGTCTCTGCGGCCATCCGTCTTCTTGTGCTCGAAAATCAGGCTCGACAAGCAAGGCTCCGCTGACGAGAGCGTGCCGTGAAAAAACTCTAGGGAATCCGATCCATCTAGTCTACATCTCGCCTCTGTCTCGGCTTGTCTATCGCGTCTCATCGCTCTCGCCCTCCATTTTGACCCTGCGGCTTGCGCCGCGGAGAGATCGCTTATTTGGACTCGTCCCAAGTGGGCTTCATGGTCCAGCGCTGGCCCTCGGTGCCCTGGGCAAACGGAACGCCAAGCTCAAACAGCTTGGTGACGACGGCCGAGAAGTCCTTGAAGAAGGCCTCGTTGTCCTTGGCGTACTTCTCGGTGAAGGGCTTGAACTTCTTGTCCTGGACCAGGACCATGTCGGTGGGGAGCATCATCAGCGTCTTGGTGGTCTTGTCCTCGTACTGTTTCCAGAGTCAGCAAGCGCTCCGCACGCCAAAGTTGGTGCAGTCGTCATATCTTACCTGCTTGGGGCCGTTCCACTTCTTCCACTGCCACTTCTCCTCGATGAGCAGGCGGTAGTAGTCGTTGGTCAGGATGGTAGGAGAGAAGGTCCAGGGGCCCTCAAAGCCGGAGCGGTCCGTGTGGCAGCGGCCCAGGGCGTGGGCACCAGACAGAGCAACAATCTCCTGGTCGTTGAAGCCCATGCGGTAAAAGATGTTGCGGAGGTGGTCACCGCCCTGCGTGGCGTCGGGCAGGCGGCCGTCGGGGGTGCAGGCCGAGACGTCACGGTCGGAGCGGCCAGGGCGGTAGGGGACGATGGGGCCCTGCATCTCCTGGACGGCGCAAACGCCACCGAGGATCCAGAGATCAGAGTAGGTGATCCAAGGGAACTTGGCTGCGGGCGCAGTTAGCGTCAATGCCGGGATCCCGAATCGCGAGTGCGATTCTCGACAAGTGTCGGATGCAATTCACTTACCCTTGACGGGCGCGAGGAAGTCACGAGCAGCAAGGAGACCGGCGTTGGCGCCGTGGTCAGACTCGGGAGCGAAGCGCATGGTGGCGCCGTTGCTGCCGCCAGTGCCAGTCTCCTTATCGTACGTGCCCGAGGCGTGCCAGGCGAGGCGCAGCAGCACGGGGCCGAAGCTGCCATCGTCGTAGTCGTCCTTCTCCTCGAGGCGGCTAGCGATCTCGTTGTACACCTTCTGGTAGTCCTCCTTGGTGGGGTTGACGACCTTGGTCGAGGCGGCCGACGGCGCACCGCTGGCCGTGTAGTACCAGTAGCCGAGGCCACCGGCGGCGGCGGCGCCCGTCAGGTACAGCCACGTCGACGACGACTTCTGGGCGGGCTCCGACGAGTACCAGCGGCGGCCCTGCTGGCGGAAGGCCTGACGAGGGGCGACGGCGAAGGCGTTGCGGGCCGTGGTGCGCGTAGCCACGCGGGCGAAGTGACGGGTAGCCGAGGCCATCTGGACGCAGCAGCTGCCGTCAGCAAAAGCTTCATGCACAAGGCGGATCGAGTGATCGGCTCGAAAAAGGACCACGACTCGGACAGGACGCTGAACTCACTGTGAGGGCTTTCGACGACGAGAGCTGTGTGTCGTGGGTGGGCGCAAAAGACAGACAGGCCAAAGGAGAGGAAGCCGGTTGGGCGGTGGTGAGATGAAGGACGCAAGTTTCACGAGGTCGGCCGGGGGGATGCAGGAAGAGTTCAAAAAAGGCGGCGGGTGGAAAGTCCGAGAAGCAGCAGCAGCAGCAGCAGCTCGGGGAGCCGAAAACGCGCGAGCGAGACACGGACGGACACCCGGCCGGGCAGCTTTCCTTCCTTCCATCTCCGCTCTCGAGCCGCGCGCGCACGAGTCACAACCGGGGGGGCAACCGCCCACACGGCCGCCAGCACGTTGGCAATGCCAATGCCGGGGACCACGCCCCCCAAAACATGGAGGGAAAGTGCGCGCCCCCCAGAGCAGGAGACCCGTCGGATTCCAGATTCTGTTGAAATCGCCACGACGTGACTGGCTGGGCCGGCCGGTGGGTAGGGATCCTTTTCGTTAGCAGTCGACCCACGCGGAGCCATGATGGTTACCCACGGGCCCCAGCGCGCGGCGACGACGATGGACGCCGCCCCCCTTCGAAGAGGGCGGCCATCACGGTGCCTCGTTTGCCTTTCATCTTCAGCTCGCAAAAATGCCTGGGTCGCACACACGAGGGCACAGTCCGTCGGCGTCAGCATACCTGTCGCCATCATCCCGTGCGACACGGCTCTCTATTATACCGCCAGCCGGCAAGACTAAATCCATCAAACAGACGGGACGCCACGGCCCAGGTACCGCAACGTCCCGGCCGCCTAAAACGCCCGGCAGGGCCCCGGCGCGGCGAGCCTTGAGCCAGGTTGACATCACATGCAACCCGATCGGGTAACAACCAGCGAGGCGCCCTTCCCTGAATCAACCTCCATCCAGCACCCCTAACAACGCCCTGCCACTGCCACTGCCACTGCCACGGAGCCCTGTCGCGGCGCGGCTCCCGTTGACCCGTCAGCCCGCTGCGGGATCAGGCCACCTTCTTTTGTGTGTGCAGGAGGACATTGACTTTTCCGTTGATTCATGCCCGCGCTCCCAGGGTTGTGCCGCGGCCCTTGGAGGGCCCTGGAGTCAATTTATGATTGTTTGCCCAGCGACAGCAGATGCCGATACTGCAGACAGGCTTGCAGCTGCGTGCTCCCCGCCAGTGGCTGCCGATGCCGCCGCTGTTGCCCCGTGTCTCCGTCTGCAGAGCGCGCAAAGAGGTGAGGCTGAGGTTGGAAATTTCTCGCCAGCCCTCGCCACCCCTGCAGGGTCCAAACAGAGCCCCTCCAAGAAACCTGAGGCGAGCCGAGGGGCGCCCATTCCGAGCTCCGCCCCACTTCTGACGCGAGGAAAGGAACTTCTCCACCGCGCCGCCCCATGCCGCTTCTGGAAGGCCGCAGCGATGCCATTTCAGTTCATCGACTTCACTGCGCCGTGTTGGTCAGCCTCCAGAGCTCGGTCCTAGCAAACACCGCATCCGACGTCACTTTGCTGTAGCCGACACCACAGTGCAGCACAGCATGCGAGTGTCACCTGTGTCTACTACACATACAATCAATTGACCTGTCTCCTCCGTGCGTGGCTACCTTGGTATCGAAAGACGGCATGGCTGCACCAAAAGCATCTTGCCAACAGCCGCCCAGCCGAAAATCCACAATATCCGCCAGACCAGAGCTGTCAGAAAGCTATCCGTGCGCCCGACTCAAATCTGTCTCATCTCCTCTTCTCCGCGTCTGCTTCTTCGTCGTCCTGTTGTTCGTGTTCATACTCGTACAGCTCGTACAGCCCTTGCTCCCTTGCGTCTCCGTTTGCTCCTTTCGGCCGATGTGCGGACCGGGCATTTCGTACGTGACCCTTCGCGCCCAGCCCGATGTCCAGCGGCTATATCGTACAAGAACATGTATGGCTGCTGCCCATACTCACATTCCAGTTCCCTGGGTACTTCCGCCCTTCCCCGGACGCCTTGGTGGCGGCTCTTGCTTTACTCGTAATCGGCCGGGCCGGTGGCCGCCGAGTTCTGTTCCTCGTGGTCATAGAAGAAGAAAAGCCGCGTCTCGGCCTTCTTCAGGGTTTCTTCGTCCAAATCTGCGCCTGCCTCGCCATTCTGTTCATTGACCGACAAAGCGGCCACAGCTGCGGAGCTATCGAGACGGTCAGTTTCCAATCAGGCCAGGTGTCCACGGAGAAGCTTCAACGTACCCGAAAACGGCGCGGTCCACCTCCAGGAATTCCTTCATGGCATCCTTTCCGCCACGATGGACCAAAAAGTCCAGATAAATCTTGCCCAAGTCTCTCTTGACGGCCGCCGACAGGCGGCTCCTGCGGCGGAACTCGTCGTACACATGCTTGACCCGTCGGGCTGTTGTCTCCTCGCCCTCCGTCTCGGTCGGCTGCTCGAGCTCAAACTTGAACCACTTCTCCCAGAAGAGACGGCTGTCGCCATACCACTGCGCGTTCTTAACGAAGACACCGCGGGCCTGTTCCGCGGAGCCCTTAGCCTTCCACAGAAGCATGGCCCACTCGGCCACCAGCATCGCCTTGGTAAACAAGTTGACAGTCGGAGCTTCGATGTGGTCACGGAGCACCTGAATGGCGGCATCGGGGCCACCCTGTCGGCGCTCGAGGTGCGCCCAAGAGATGATAACCTCGGTGCAGTCGGGGAGCTTATTGAGGATACCAGCGTGGATGTCACGCGCAACGTCGACGCGACCGTTGCTTTCCTCAAAGTAAGCCCACTGCAGACGGATGCCTGGACGGCTAGCTGGCACAAGGAACGCGGCCTGCACGTAGATATGGCGGACCTCTTCCTCCTTGCCAGGCTGAGTGGACATCCAGCGGGCGAAGCGGTACCAAAACTCGTCGTAGAGCGCACACGTGTTGACGCAGCGTTCGTAGAGAAACTTGATGCGTTCGTAGTCACGGCCGGCCTCCTCAAAGTCGAGGTACTTGCGCCAGCCGTTCAGCTGCGCATGTTGGATGGGAAGGGTGGTAAAGTACTGGTGTCCCAGCTCCGACTCGTAGGTCCAACGGTTATTGACCTCGTTGGCGGTGGCAGTGAACACGTCGTAATACATGGCATCAATCTTGGCGCGGACATCGCGCTCGACCTCGAGCTCGGGTCGCGAAGTAACGCCATGGGCGGCAGACTCTGCTTGCACCTCAGCCTGGATGCGGGTGAGGTCCTCTGGGGTGGCGATATCGGTGAGAGGCAGAGTGTGCGCCATGGCACGCAGCTTCTCGTAGTAGCGGCTGTACTGGTGAAGGGGGATGCGACAGATGCGCACGAGGAGCGCAAAGACGCGCGTATGGGCCTCCTGGCGCGTCTCAAACTCGATGTACTTGTCCCAGAAAGGGTGCGACATGAAGTCGATGCCGACGGCGTGGGATGCACGCTCAAAGTGCCTTTTTGAGCAAACGTTAGATGATGGACCTGGTGAGACAAACAGAGGATTGGAGAGGGAGAGATAGGGGAGAGGGTCAGTACAAGAGACGAAGTGCTAGGACCGGGAAAACAAGGAACCAAGCGTCGACGTCGATGGGGTTTCGAAGGGGGGGCAATGCGAATGATTGAGACGACGAGCAGCTGCAAAGGAGCACGCGCGGCACGGAGACAGCCTGGTGCGTAGTATGAGAGAACACATCGGCGTGGGGGGAAAGGAAGGGCGAGTGAGGGCACATTTCACCACCACCTCACGCGCGCGCGAGGATCCATACACATTTGGGGGGGCGTCGGGGGGTCATCAGAGGTCGCGGGAACGGCCACGTTGGCAGCTGTGCGTTACGGGTAAGGAAAGGCCATCCACCAATACTTACTCTCGCACGACGTCGAGGTTATGGCACGTGTCCATCTTGAACCGGCAGTACTCGGCCCAGAGATCGACAGAATGGGGGTTGGCGGCGATGCCGCGTTCGTAGACCTTTTTTCATCACTAGTTCAGCACGGTGACCTTGAGGGGCGGTCGGCGAGGTATGCCCACCATCTCGGCTGACTCGGTGCCAGATATAACAAACTCATCCTCGGCGTACTTCTTCCAGTAGCCAAAGAAGAGAGGAGAGCGGTGGAGGAGGCGCTCGAACGACTCGCGAGCGAGGGAGAGCGCCTGGGGGTTCGAGTTGCGGCTCAGGCCGCCTTCGACCTTCTCGGCGGAGTTGATGTGCTTGTCCCAGAGGTCGAGGTTGTCGGGATCGCTCTCCTATTGTATCACGCGTCAGTCGTCGGTCGGTGGCAATATCCCATGAAGCAATCTGCAGGAGACCTGGGCGCTGGGGACGGCCAGGTGCGCGCCAGATTTGGGAGGTAAACAGCCACATACCAGTGCCGTGAGCTGCGTTCGAAGCGCATGAATCTCGTCATCGACGCCGCCGGTTGGGACGTAGTCGTTCATGGCGGCGGTGGAGCGCGTCGCGGCTCAACAAAACGAGAGGGGGAAGTGGTGCGGGAGGAATGAGTGTCAAGAAGCTGTCCGACAAACCCGAAAGCTCCTGCTGTGGCAATCGCACGATGCGAGGTTTTGGAGGTGAGTGAAGCTTTCAAGAAGGGACGAACTTGGCAGTCGACGACCGAGTGGCAGGCACGTTATGCCCTTCTCGGCGACGTAGAAGCTTGACAGTGTGGCGGGAGAGTGAGGTGTTGGGGTAGAACTTTGGGGGGAGGTAGAGGGTGGAGGTTTGTGGTGATGCAGGTGGGAGGGAAAGGAGGCAGAAGGACTTGTGGCGGAGGTAATCTTTAACAGACTGGGGCCCCATCTTGCGCACCTAGTCCCGTCTGGTCTACCACGGCTGAGTCATCACTACTGACTAAGTTAGAATCTGCGGGGCCCACGCAAATGCTTTATATTGGGGCCCTGGAGCTTGGCCGGAAGTTTCTTCCCCATTCATGGCTCGTGATGATTTCTTAAACAAAACATGATAGGAAGAGAATGAATGCTGTCCAATGGAAAGCATGATCTCAAATTTGAATCTGAAGCCTTTATATGCTCTGTATCTCATTGTCTTCTTTTCTTCCGCGCCGATGTTTGGCGGCGGACTCAATTGCAGGCAAACGAAAATTGCAGCCGGGCAGGCACCAGCGGCACGTCGGTTTGCAGGCGCGAGTGTGCCGTGCCGTGCTCCATTGCAGCATTCGCAACGCCCGGGACAGGCTGCAATGTCTTTAAGAGGGTTCAAGGTTGTGTGCCTGTATAGCCACAGCGCCTGCAGCCAGCTGCCGAGCTGACCTCTCTGTGCACCCATCCGAGCGAGTGCTCCCTACCTACACCCATTGACGAAGCATACACTGGCTGAACCTTCAAAGCCATCTGATTCCATGACAGCGCATTCCCTCGGGTCCTGGATGTTACAGCTTAGGATGTGCCACAAGGTACCACCAGAAGCCTGACTGCGTCAGGGCCGTTGATCTGGGTCTCGGATACTGTTGCTCCAACGTCAGCTTATGCAGCATCTGCGATCTAGGCTGCCAAGCGGAAAGGCGAAGCGTAGGCTACCACACATCTCCGTGTTCAATTATCGTCTGGAACGTCTCTAGTACATGCTACCCAGGTCGTCAATACGATCGGGAATCGCACACCTATCAAGGACAATTCACCGGCAGCTCTCTTCGGAATGCGCTGAGCCGAGAATCGGGCTATACGAGGAACGCACGAACATGTAACTCGTATTTGTCCTCGTCATGTGGAAGCCGTGTTCCTGGCATCATGTAAGGGGTGCCGCCTCGCGGCCTTGGCAACACACGAGCTTGATGAAGGAGACTTGTAGGCAGAACTACGGTTCATTCGGGCCAGTGAACAACCCAAACATCCATTTACTTCCTTCCAAAGCCATTGGCGGTTTTGTTTGCGTTTCGAGCGGGCCCTCGGGACGACCCATAGTGTGTAGGACCCGTGGGTTCTGTATGCATGACGCACGCAGCCAGGTCCGGAGAAGCGAGTTGCCAGCGGTTTCTGGAGTCAGCGGCTTGCATTCTGAATTGCCAATGTCTTCAAATTCTCAGCTGGCTGCCATCGGGCTGTCTCGACAGACCGCGCTGCCCCAGCTCAAGTTTTGCCAGCACGCAGACGTCTCGTTTCAACCCTATACAAGTCAATTCCATGGGCTTTCCATACATTTCATTCTGCCGGCGCTGGCCGAAGAAAATAGAAGAAGAGAACCTGTGAAATGCGACGTATCGTGCGGACCCAGAGGACTTTTGCTGCGCCGGCTGGACTTTGCTCCGCGTGTGTCTGCATATGTGCGAAGTATCTTGGCTAATGCTACAGGATTGATGGACTGCAATGTAAGTTCCGTGGCCGAACCAACATATGGACGAATTGTCGAGCAGCTGTAGCTTCGAGTTAAAGAGCATGAGATAGTCACACACCCAGTCTGATCTCGTCACAGAGTCTTGGGTCCCCAGCAAGGCTCCCTGTCACACCAAGTGAGTTCAAACTGCCGAAGGAGACGCATCCCGACTACGACCCACGGCCGTCGTTTGGTACGTTATGCCTCGATTCGAAGTGCACGGGGAGCGCCCTGCTCCGTGCTCTATTGCATCCCGCGAAGCCGAATGCAGTAGGAGACAACGGCCCCGCATACGATGTGGTCGCCGACATGAACCCAACGACCTCAGCTGCGAACGCGATATGCGCCGTTGTAGGAGCGTGTGCAGGAAAACGGACAGGGTACAGCAGCAGCAACGCTTTGGACTCTTGAGTCAAGGGCTAGCTAGAGGAGGTTCGTGAAATGAAGTCGGACGGCTTGCTCTGATGCAGTATCAGTTGTCCGAGTCCCATTCTTAGTTTGCCAGGTCTAACGGATGTTATATCAGGAAAACTGACACCTCGACTGCTTCACCTCTACACGCAAATCAATGCCGGGCACCTGATGCCTTGGGAAGCTATCCTGTGCATCATGCGGATGGTAGGCGAGCCCTCGAGCTGCCCGTACAGTAATAGGACTCTGCCTAGCCAACTCGTCTCAAGTGAAGTCCATGGTTTCCCTTTTCCATTTGAACCAGTCACGGCCTGTGTCAAAGGTTCCAATTTCCACTATGCCGGCCATGCCGCGCGTATCAATGCCGCGTCACACACGCCGCCAACGGCAGCCTCCTGTCCCTCGGGGCCGACGACCAGACGCGAGCGTGATGTCCTTTGCAGTCGGGCTGCCCTCGAGCCAACTGCGCGGAACCCGTCCACTACCTACACTCGCCGCCCTTGAATCCTTGCTCCCGTCAACCAACTTCACTGCTCTGCAAAGCACAGAAACTGGGCTTCCCTAGCTACCTGCTCAGTCAGGAAAGTCCAGCGCGCGTCGGCACTGGGATCCGAAGGGCTGCAGACCAGGGTAACCGCAGAGAGAAGCTCTTCGCCAAGATGCAGTGTCTTCGCATCATGCCGGGCTACCCGCGGGAGGCCGACTGTCGGCGTGAGAGTTCTGGTATAAGTGCGCGAGCCTCGGCCACAGGCTTGGTGGAGCAACAAGACCTTCTCTTGCGACGCTCCACATTGCAAGGTCCATTGTTCTTAGCCTTAGGGACGATCACATCATGGTCCGCGTTTCGGTGGTGGCGTCGCTGCTTGCTGCGCCAGCCGTGGTCTCTGCGGCAGCGTCTACGCACAGCTCCCGACGCTTCGTCCCCGGCGCTTACATCTTTGAGCTCGCGGACGGTCATGTAAGAAGCAACGGCATATAAACTGATAGTAGTCATACTTACCGCGCAAGGATGCGTCGGCCATGCTCTCTGACGTCGGCACCGCCGGCACCGTACGTATGCACCTGAATTACAAGCTGTTCAAAGGCATATCGGTGCAACTTCATGACGTGGACAAGGCGGAGGAGCACGCGGCCAAGATTGCGTCCTCAGCTAGCATTAAGAATGTCTGGCCCGTCGAGATCCATTCCGTCCCCAAGCTCCCAGACCAGCACCTTGCTCGAGCTTCCATGACGAAACGCGCCACCCTCACAGCGCGTGATGACAATCCGACCAAGGATGATTATACGACGCACATCATGACCCAGGTTGACAAGCTGCACGCCAAAGGCATCACAGGGAAGGGGGTCAAGATAGCCATAGTTGACACCGGGGTACGTGCCGCGCCGCCTATAGAGGCGGCTACATCTCGTCTTCATGCAGGAGCTGACCGCGCACATACAGGTCGACTATAAGCATCCGGCTCTGGGCGGCTGCTTCGGTCCAGGCTGCCACATCTCCTTTGGAACGGATCTTGCGGGCGACGACTATACAGGATATAACACGCCAACGCCTGACAACGACCCGATGGATTGCATCGGCCACGGCACGCACGTCACCGGCATCATCGGCGCGCTACCCAACCCGTACAACTTCACGGGGGCCGCGCTCGATGCCACCCTGGGGATGTACCGCGTCTTCGGGTGCTTGGGCAACGCAGGCGATGACCTCCTGATAGCGGCGTTCAACATGGCGTTCCAGGAGGGCGCCGATATCATCACAGCGTCTATTGGCAGCGCCAGCGGCTGGACCGACACGGCCTGGAGCGTGGCCGCCGCGCGCATCGTCGAGAACGGCGTGCCGTGCACCATATCTGCCGGAAACGAAGGCGTATATGGCTTGTTCTTCACCTCGCAGGCAGCCGGCGCAAAGGGGGTCACGGCCGTCGCATCTTTCAACAACGCCCTCACCACTGTGGCGACGTACACATGCTACGCCGAGATTGATGGCGGCAACAGGCAGGACTTTGGCTACCTTCCTGCGCTGGAACAGTACGACTGGCCCGAGGAGCCGCTGCCCCTATACGCCCTGAGTCTGAACACGTCCATCGTCGGCGACGGATGCAGCCCGCTGCCCGACGACACGCCCGACCTCAGTGGGTACGCCGTCTTGGTTCGCCGGGGCGGCTGCTTCTTCGTGGACAAGGCGTGGACGGTCATCGCCAAGGGCGCCAAGTACATGATTGTCTACGACGACCGGCCCGGCTGCGACGGCGTGGACCTAGGCGCGGCCGGCGGCAACATGACCGCTGCCGGCATGGTCCCCGCGACCACGGGCGAGGCCTTTATCGAGGCCATCAAGGGCGGGCACAACGTCACCGTCGTCATGAGCAACCCGGACAAGGGGTTTTCGCAGTATCTCTACTTCAACGACAACCCGGTCACGGGTGGCGCTGTCAGCTCCTTCTCGTCGTGGGGCCCAACCTTCGAAGGCGACCTGAAGCCTCAGGTAGGCGCGCCTGGTGGCAGCATCATCTCGACGTGGCTCACGAATAGGGGCAGCTACACCCCCCAGAGCGGCACATCCATGGCGGCGCCCCTTGTGGCATCGGTCATGGCCCTCGTCGGCCAGGTGCGCGGGACATTTGACCCCAAGACGCTGAATAACCTCCTCTCCGCCACGGCAAAGCCTCAAATCTGGAACGACGACACGCAGTGGCTTCCCGGGAAGCTGGCACCGGTGCCCCAGCAAGGCGCGGGCATCGTGCAGGCGTACGACGCCGCCTATGGAACCACGCTTCTCGAGCCGTCGGGCCTCTCCTTTGGCGACACCGACCACTCTGCAAAGGAGGTCACCTTTGCCATCTCCAACAAGGGGGCGCAGCAGGTTTCGTACAACATCTCCCATGTGCCGGCCCTGACCATGTATGCTCTGCAGGCGGGGAGTGCCTTTCCGCCCTGGTTCCCAAACGACATATTTGACGGATCTGCCGCTCTCACTTTCTCGGAGACGCAGGTCGTCCTCGAGCCGGGCCACCGCAAGACCGTGTCCGTATCGGCCCAGCCACCGCAAGGCGCCAACGCGAAGCGGCTCCCGGTGTGGTCGGGCTACATCGCCATCAATGGCACCGATGGGACGTCTCTGTCGATGCCGTACCAGGGCATCGGCGGCTCGCTGCACGGAGCGACGATCCTGCCGGCGGACGGGACCTACATCGCCCGCAACGACGACTATTACGTCCCCGTGGCAGCCAACACGACCTTCACCCTGCCGGCGCCAGGGAAGTGGACCGGCGAGCAGGTCGTCCCAGCCATCAACATAACGCTGGCGTTCGGCGCCAAGAAGATGCGCTGCGACGTCGTGCCGCTGACGACGTGCCCGCCGGCCAATCTCACCGTCGACGACCCCCTCGGCGGCGGCTTCAAGACCGTCGGCCAGCTGGACCGCTTCCCCTACCTGCTGAACCCTCGCGTCGTCACCACGTACGACTGGGACGGGCTCCTCGACAACGGCAACTACGCACCGGCCGGCAAGTACAAGCTCGTGACGCGCGCCCTGCGCATCTTTGGCGACGAGGCCAAGCTGGCAGACTGGGACGTGTCGGAAACGGTCGGGTTCTACATCAAGTACGAGACGTAGTCGGGGAGGGCTGACGGGATTGGGTTGAATTCAAGGTTGGATTTGGCGCTGTCAGATCACGCAGTCGGCCGGCAATCGAAGTGGTTGTGCACGGTCAAAAGCGAGCGCAGCTGAAAGAACGCGAGTGCGTGCGTGCCGTTGAATGTGTGAAGTTGAACGAGTCTGCGTGTCAGAGTGCCCCCGTGGCAGGTGGTAAATGGTATGGAACTCGAGCTGCTCCTGCCCACCCGGACCACGGACATTCCGTAGTAGCAGAGACTCCAGGTACCTTAGGTACAGTGGCGGACAGGAGGACTGGACGGCGCCACCTCACTGAACCTTTACAGTTGCAGGTGGCTGAGTATCGCTGTCGTCACTGTCGCCTGGATGGGCGCGCTGACGGGCCGCCAACCAGTCCAGGGCTCCTGTGTGCCCCGCACTGACCTTCGTCAATTGAACCTCCAGCTATCATCATCGTACCTCGTAATACTTCGTACCTCAAACGAAATCTCCCAACTCGCTTACGCCCAAATTTACAAACACCACACCAATCCCGCTCGAGGCGCGGCCAGCCAAAGAGTCAGGGAACCGTATACCATCACGTTTCGACCATGGACGAGCCCCCTCACCTCTGACGCCTCTCCGCTCATCCGCGACCACCGCAAGCGCTCGATGACCACGTCCTCGACCTTGTATCCTCCACCTCTGCCGCTCCTCGTCCTCTCCTCGTCCTCTCCCGCGACGACCGGCCGCAATGGATCAGTCGCCGGGCTCCTGGGCCGCACAAGCTCCCGCCCCCGAAAAGTCGAGCGAGCTCTATATCCGCGACTTCCCCGTCCGCTCCATCGCCATCGTCTCCGCCTCCCACGCCCTGATCCTGCGATACAGCTCCACGGCCAGCGACGGAGCTGATAATGGCTCGCACTCGTCCCTACCATCCGCCAAGTCTCGGACGCCCGCGGGCGACGCATCTGTATCGAAATGCATGGTGGAGTTCTCGCCCGTTTCGAGCCGGCTGCTCAAGGACTACAGGCCTTTGGCGCCACGCCCCGTTTTTGGCACCCTTGGCCTCATCGCCGTCAACGGCGAGGTCTTTCTCTCCGTCATTACACATGCCGTACGCACTGCGACGGTCCGCCCGGGCGAGACGGTTGAGCGAATCGCCAGCGTCGCCTTTTACTGCCTGAGCAGTGCAGACTACGACGATGTCGTGCCGCTCGAGTCCACCGAGCCCGACCTGGCCGACGCCGTGTCCAATTACAGCGCCAATTCGCCCTACGGCCAGGGCCTGAGTCGCCGAGATGTGCCCATGGAACACCCTTGCCACGATCTGCGGAAGCTTCTCAGCAATGGCTCGTTTTATTACAGTACCGACTTTGACCTCACAAACCGGCTGCAGGACAGGTAAGTCAGGGTGTGTTGACAGACGCCAATATCCAGCTACTAATTTCAAAGCAGACCCATAAACACCAATTCATTTGACATAGATAACTTTGACGACAATTTCCTGTGGAATTCATTCATGATCAGTCCCCTGGTACAGTTCCGCTCACGACTTATGCCTCAGGAGCGCGAGGCTTTGGACTCGTCTCGCATCCTCACCTCTGCCATAAGGGGCTTTTGTAAGACAATGACCCTCCCGCAGAGCGCTGCTCCGCTCAAGTCCAAGAGCGGCATGCCATCCTTCCTCACTCTGATTTCAAGGCTGTCTTGTATGCGGGCTGGAACTCGCTTCAACGCGCGCGGAATCGACGATGACGGGCACGTTGCCAATTTTGTCGAGACGGAGACAACGTTTTATAGCCCCAGCGGCACCTTGTTCTCATATGCCCAGGTGCGAGGATCTGTTCCGGTATTTTGGGAGCAGGCTGCAGACCTGCTTCCGGGCCGCCAAAAGGTCACCGTCACGAGATCATCAGAGGGCACACAGCCGGCCTTCAACAAGCACTTTGAGGACCTGGAGCACACGTATGGCGCGGTCCATATCATCAATCTCCTAAGCGAGTCGAAGCCGGCAGAAGTGGAGCTCAGCAGCATGTATCATAAGGGAATCCAGCACTGCCCCCTGAGCCAGCCCGGTGCAGACGGCTCCTCGGACCATGCGCTTTTGCGCGAGACGCACTACGACTTCCACGCCGAGACAAAGGGCCCGGCAGGATACGAGGCTGCGCGCGAGATCCGCCGGTATATCGAAGACTCTACTGATGGCTTCGCGTACTTTTTGGCCCAGGAGGCTGGTGACGGCCCGGACGGTGGCGACGGCCGCATGGTCGTCGTCTTGCAGCAGGAGGGCGTCTTTCGGACAAACTGCCTCGACTGCCTCGATCGGACGAATCTGATCCAGACGCTGATATCGCAGATGGCGGTTGAGGCGTTTCTGGGCCATCGCGGCGAGTGGGCCGCTTCCGACTTTTGGATGCGGCACGCGAGCCTTTGGGCAGACAATGGCGATTCGCTTTCCAAGATCTACGCCGGCACAGGGGCTCTCAAGTCATCCTTTACTAGACACGGCAAGATGTCGCTGGCTGGCGCCATGGCAGATGTGCGCAAGTCTGTCCAGCGCATCTACCACAACAATTTTGTCGACCCTTCGAGGCAGATCACGATTGACATGCTACTCGGCCGCCTCATCGGACAGTCGCAGGTGCACCTCTTCGACCCCATCAGCGACTTCGTTTCGATGGAGCTCGGTAAGCGCAGCGACGAGTTCACGTCGTTCGAATCCATCAGCATTTGGGCGGGCACGTTCAACCTCAACGGCCGCACCGAGGGCATCGATCACGACCTGTCCCCGTGGCTGTTCCCGCCCTCTCTGGGCTCGGAGCAACCCGACATCTACGTGGTTGCCTTCCAAGAAATTGTCGAGCTTAGCCCGCAGCAGATTATGAACAGCGACCCGTCCCGGAAATCGCTCTGGGAAAAAGCCGTCAAGAGGGCCCTGAACCAGCGGCAAGCGAGCCTCGGAGGCGAAAAGTACGTCATCCTGCGCAGCGGGCAGCTCGTTGGCGCGGCCCTGTGCCTGTTCGTGAAGACGTCCATCCTATCAAACATCAAGAACGTGGAAGGAAGCGTCAAGAAGACGGGGCTGTCCGGCATGGCGGGGAACAAGGGCGCGGTCGCGATCCGGTTCGACTACGCCAATACGCACCTCTGCTTTGTGACGGCTCACCTGGCGGCTGGGTTCGCGAACTACGACGAGCGCAACAGAGACTACACGACCATTCATCAGGGCTTGCGGTTCCAGCGTAACAGAGGCATAGAAGATCACGGTAAGCTAATCTGTCGAGGCTCCGAGTCGAGCGAGGTGGCTAACGAGAACCAGACGCAATCATATGGCTTGGGGACTTCAATTACCGCATCGGCCTGCACCTTGAGACAGCGCGGGCACTCGTAAAGAAGCGCGACCTCGCAACCCTGTATGAGAATGACCAGCTGAACCTTCAAATGGTGGCAGGCCTGGCGTTTCCCTTTTACTCGGAGGCACGCATTGGGTTCATGCCCACTTACAAGTTCGACCTTGGGACGGACACCTACGACAGCTCGTAGGCAGAATCCTTCCCTTATTTATGGTATGCCGTGTGCTGACAAGGAAATTATAGTGAGAAGGCGCGGATACCGGCCTGGACGGACCGTATCTTGCGAAAAGGAGCAATCTTGCGTCAACTCTCGTACGATTCGGCACCACTTCGGTTCTCGGACCACCGGCCGGTGTACGCGACATTTGAATGCAGGGTCAGCATTGTCAACGAAGAGCGGCGCGAGTCCATTAGCCAAGAGCTGTACACGCGTCGCAAGGCCGACGTGGGAGACCCCACGGCGCATGCCGAGGTGGGAGAGGAGTCAGAGGATGAAGACCTGATCGGATACGACTCCATTGAGCCAGGACTGCCACCGGCGAGTTCGGATCGCCAGAAGTGGTGGCTGGACAACAAGCAGCCGGCGCGTGCGCAGGTGTCGGTGCCAAACGGGCGGGATGGGCAGCCGATGGCCCTCAATCCGAATCGGCCGTCAAACCCGTTTGGGCACAGCGACGAGCCGGACTGGGTCAGCATCCCACGAGGCTCGCCCGGGGCGTCTCTGTCAAGCATATCCAGCTCACCGTACGAAAAGGTGCCGCTCCCGAGGCCGATGCAGATGCAGCCCCCCAGCGCTATAGCGAGGAAGCTGCCGCCGCCGTACGATGCCGGGAAGCTGCCAGCCAAGGTAGGGCGCATGAAGTTGGACGACGAGCAGAGCATCAGAAGCCAACAATCCGACGCATCGACGACGTCGAACGCCGGGCTACCGCCTCCGCCTCCGCCCAGGCGACAAGTGACAGCGGCAGGGTCGAATGGGTCGCGGCGGGACACGGGCACGTTGGCGAGGACGCAAACGTTGCCACCCCTGCCAACGACACAGCGACCGGCGTCAGTGGCATCGTCGCATACCTCGCAACTGTCGCAGCAGCTCAAGGCCAGCAGCGCGAGTGGCAAGTCCCCGCCACCAGTGGCTAAAAAGCCGGCGCATCTGGCGACGAGTTCGCAAGGCAGCAAGCCGCCGCCAATGGGAGAGGAGGGAGGCTTCCGGCCCGGAGTCCTCACGCGAGCATCGACCACGTCGTCAACCCAGACAGGGAATGTCCAGCAGCAGGCTGCCGGGCCGCAGGGCGGCCTCGATCGGAAGCCCGTGCCAGGACCTGGGCCAAGGACTACCAACGGCAAGGCGGCGAGTCAAGCCCATGCGAATGGGCGCGGGCCGGCGGGCTTCACTGGGTTCAATGGGTCCGAGGGGCTGAACGGACAAGGGCCGCCACTCCCGGCCCGGCACGGTCAAGGCGTCGACGATGGACCGGTGGACTTGCTCGACTCGGTCAACGAGGGCGGTGAGGACGCCATGGGCGGATGGGAGACGCTGCAACCCAGCCGCGCGAGATAGAGCTGTGGACATGGTCGCACGGGCAGATGCCGCGGCGGCGGTGAAGGCACGAGACGGCGGCGCCGGGGCTTGCACGGTCCCAAGCAGAGTGACTGGGCGAGAGAGGGCGATGTCTCGCTTGAATGAGCCGACGCATATAAATCTCAAGTAACGTAACGGCAGATAGGATGGAGTTTGTGGAGCCTGCATGCACAGAAGCAAGTTGGATATGGGACGTACGAAGCACTGGATGGCTTTAAGTGCTATGCGAGAACGTTGAGGCAACGCGACGTGGGTATCCGCGTGTGGGTACGAATTGCTCGCCGAGACAAAAAGGTGGAACAAGAGAAGCATCGTACAGTACAGTACTATACAAGACAAGACAAGACATGGGATGGCCGGATCGCCTCTCAGGTCTCACGTCTCACCGTGTTCGCGTCGGCAGCGTGCAGTCGTCGTCTGTGCAGTGCAGCCAACCGACGCAGAGCTTGTTGCAGCGTCATGAACCGTCGTCATCGTCGTCGTCGCGTACGAGGACAGTCCTACGTGTGCAAGGCTGCACGTTGCTGGGCAGTACAGTACTTGCAGAGTACAGCAGAGCCCTGTGCTGTACTTCTCTTTCAGGAACACGAAGCACTTGTATGTATGTACAGGATGTCATGAACGGCTCGCAACACAGGCTGGTCTTGAGCCACAGCACTTGCGTACCTGCACAGAGTACGATGTGCGAGGTGCTACATTGGCTCCAGGCGGTCCTCCTCCCCACCCTCCACCGCTGGTCATGGGTCCATGATCCTTGGGCTCCACGCGACGGACGGTCCACCCCCGCAAGGAGCCTCCTCGCGCCCAAGTCGGGCGGACGGGCGGGCGGGCGGTCGGTGGACACGGCGGGCAAGCCAGGATGCAGGCAGGGTCTGGGGTTGCGGCCGTCGCCGCCGCGGAGGACTGCCGATGAGGCAGGAGTCTGTGGCCCGGCCGTCGATGACTGTGCGGCGCACACAAGTCGCATGGCAGGGCAATTACTGGCTGCGAAATACATCTACATACAGTACAGCAGAAAGCAGCAGCAGGCGGCGGGAGGGCGTGGGTTTTCGTGCAATGCAGACGCGGGACCGCGCGACGCCCGTTGCCGCAATCGTGCCACGGGAGGGGATGGAGCATCTTGGGCGACCAGTGACCGACCCGGAGGGGGAGGGAGGGGAAGCAAGGGCAGGGGTTGGAGGAGGAGGCATCATGGCACCGCCCGGGCGGCGGGCAACAGCGGCGGCAGTGGGGCACACCTAACACGCGGTAGTTGAATACAGATGTGCGATTCAAGCAGATGGGATAGAGTACTTGCATACGTTAGCGCCTTGATCGGGCTCGCCGTTTGCGAGTCTGGATCTGAGGGTCGCGTTGCATTGGATTGCGAACTTGCATTGCCGCTGGCCGTTGGCATTGCGTTGTGACCTAGCGGGACACGGGCATCGAGGCCCCCGGGGCAGAGCCTGGGCGGAGCGCCTGGGCTCGTTCATCCCATGGAACATGAAGTGGAATGCTACGGTCCGGGCTGCAGTGGACTCGCAGCGCAGAGAGGTGCAGTGCAGTGGTGCAGAGGTTTGAGTGACTGCCGGACTGCACTCGCACTGTACCGTGGGTACGGCTCGTATGTTCCAGTTGGCGTGCATGCTTCGCGACCTTGGCCAGTAGAGGTAGGTACCTATTTGAGAAGCTTTGCAGTGCCTCGCTGCATGACAAGGTACCTAGGGTAGTACGTCGCAGCTCAGAAGGAGGACGACAGTATCGTGGTGCGTATATGCACCTCATCAGGCCAGCGAGAGCAATAAACCATCTCACATGCCAGTGCAGTGGACTGCTGCTGCAACAACCTACAACCGCCCCCCAGTCGTCCGGCCGGCCCTCGGCTTGGACACGCTCCAGGCGGCGGGCTCGTCCCATCGCGCCTTGCCTCAGGCGATTTTCCGGGAAACGTGACAGGCCGGGGAGGAGACGAAGGCGAAGGCGCCACCCACGCTCCGCCAAGGCGGGCGCACGCCTGCGCACGCACGGCACGAGACCACCAGCCCAGCCCAGGCCGTAGGCATGATGTACCTAGGCAGCCCAGTCCCCCGGCCAAGCCAAGCCGAGACCCCTAAAACCATGCCCTCCACCAAGCCAGCCCGCCATCCATCCATCCATCAAGACCAACCGTGCCCAGCCCAGTCGAGCCAGCAGAAGAAAGCGAACCAACCGCCCACCCATACCCAACCATCCGACCGCGCGTGCGCCCGCCGCCTACACCAGGGCCGCCGCGGCGCAGCTACGCAAGCAACGGCCCCCCGCCCTCGTCGAGGGGGGGGGCGGGTGGGCAAGTCTCACCACTCAGGTGCCCAGCGAGGCGAGCGGCCGTCTGAACCTCGTACGAGCGGCTCTGCCAGTACACGCACTCGGTTCGGGATTTGCCGCATGGTGTCGTGGTGTTTGCCTTTGCCCGTTGGGCCCGGTCTTGGCTGGGGGCCGGTCTTGGCTCGAGCGAGGCGGCACCAGCAACCGGTACCAGCACCAGCTCCAGCACCAGCTCCAGCACCGCCATCGGGCCCAGCTGCAAATCGTCGGTACCGCCAGGCGGATCCCGCGCCCCCGGGCTGCGTCCCTGTGCGTCAAGCACAGAGAGGAAACCCACCTTTCCTTTTTCCTCTCATAGAGGTGGTGCCTCCCGCCTGTCAAGTCAGGTCAAGTCAGTCAGTCACCTCAAGTACCGGCCCTCGGCCGCCCTGCGCTTTTCCAACTGAACTGACTCCCGTCCCCGTCTTGTGCAGTCCCAAGTACCCACCCACCACCGGCCAAAGCCAAAGCCTCGTTCCAGTCCGGCACCGTACCATCCTGGACGGCACTGCACAGTACGGTGCAGTCCTCGGCCGTCGTATCAAAAGATATAACATCATCCTCCCCGTTGCCCGCCTGCTCGCCGCCCACACCCCCTCCGAGCCCCGGCCTCCTCCACCTTTTCGCTGTACCACATCACATCGTACGCCAGTGTGCCGAGACCCTCCCGTAGAGGCAGCGCTTCCTGTCGACGAGCAAAATTCTACATTGCCGATTCGCCTGTTTCCTGATTGCCAACTCGCGAGCCCTCGCAGCCGCCTTTTCCTCCCTCGCCCTACGTGCTCCGGGGTCTCAAAAGCAGCCGCAGGACCGAAAACTCCAGGGCTGGCGGCACACAAGAGAGTCGGCGCGGGCGCAAGGGGTGCAACCGGTGGCTGGATTCGTCGCTTTCCACCCAACAAGACCGACTTGATTGCCTGCTCTTGGTGAGCGAGGGTACGCGCCTGCCGCTGTGCGTGCCCCTCCCGTCGCCATCGTCCTGATATAGCCTCCGCGACGCGAGCTGCAGACCGGGTGCCAAGAGGCACCACCGAGCACGGCGCAGGCATTAGACGGAGACCCTCACGCGACACTTTCAGCCCCGACCCGTCAGGCGTTACATGAAAAGACGGGCTCGTCTCGGCATCACGACTACCATTTTCTGAGCGCCTTGGAGCAGCTCAACTCTCATTCGGCCGTCGCCCTCGTATCCTCGACTTGACCCCGAAAGACACATTCCGCTCTCACCGCCAGTCAAGCGGGCATCACCACCATCCATCATGGCCTTCCCCGACGCAGCTCTGGCCGACGACGTCAATCCACCCGCCGCCCTGCCGTCCTGCCTCTCCTCCACCGCCCAGGCCCGCATCCTCATCTGGCGCACGGAGGTCGCCTCTGCCCTCGCTGCGCCTCCCAAGTCGTCACCGTCTTCATCCGCCTCCACAGCGAGCTCTCTCCCCTCAGCCCCGTCCACCGCCACCTTCACCACCACCGCCTCTCCTCCTGGCGACGACGGCGCCGGACACGGCAAGTCGGGGCGGCGGCATCGGTTCTGGCGCCGCCTCGTCCGCCGCCTGTCCCTCCGCGGCGCGGGTCCCGAGGGCCCCAGCCACGCCGCCCTCCTCGACGGCTCCGGGTTGCCCCCGGATGCCTGCCCCGGCGGCGTCGTCCCTGGCGGCGAAGTCATCCGCACCGCCATGTACCGCCAGGACGCCGCTCCGCCTCCGCCCGAGAACAACCCTGCGGCACTGCGGCAGGAAGAAGACGCCCTGCACGACGCCGACAGCAGCGAAGACGACGTGCTGCGGAAGCAAAAGAAGCAGCAGGAACGCCTACAGCGCGCGGCCCGCCTGCTCTCCCAGCAAAACGCCCGGCCCGCGGCCTTGGCCCATGTGTCCTGACAGAACAGCCAGAACAAGGGCGGATAACGCCCAGACAGACGACAGAGGCAGTGGCACAAGAAGTGCGCCCTTGCCGTGAGGGATGCCTCAGCAGCAGGAGAGCCACATCATATATACCCATTTGACAAGACGGTAGCACAGCACGGGCACGAGGTTCTTCTGTCCGGTCTACTCTTTTTTTTGGTTTTTGTTGTCGAATTTTTTGTTCTGTATCTGGAGTATGGGTTGGATCACGGCACCACCAGCATCATCATCACCGCCGTCACAGTCACCGTCACCCATCACGACGCTTGGATCAACGAGACAAAGACGTTTTGCATATCTCGCCGTGGAACGGCGCCGACATGCATATGTGTATACACGTGTACATGGCCCCCTTTTTTTCTCGGCCCGACGAGTTAATAACTAAATGGTAATCACCATCCATCGAGACCGCTTTTCGAAGCAACATTGTGTGCCTGTTCCTCGTACCGCTTGTGCTCTCTTTTCCGGTGCTTCGCGTAGACGCAACGCACCTAGCTTGTAGTCATGCCGGACCTCAAGCCCTTTGATCGACCTTACCTCCGGCATCCGAACGCATACCGCTGAGCGAGGGCTTCTCCAGGCCGCGCATCTGCTCTGCTCATGACTACGTGGCGGACACTACTCACACGCGGTCTCTCACTCTACACCCAAAGCCCACACGTCACACGTCACGTTGGATATTGTAGTTTGGCCATAGCTTTATTTTGATTTCTTGTTCATTATCCACGCCCAAGACTTCTGTCTAACTTTCTCCCCCCGCAAAGCATCACCCAGACAAGAAAACGAGCAAAGGGGAAAAGTTGCACGACGGGACGACATCCCCAGAGCGAGTCGCCAGCATCCGTAGGGCAGGCAGATCCCAGCAGTTCCCCCGCGAGGAGGAGGACCGAGATGCCCGCCGAGAACGAAAGGTTGGCTGCCCGAGTTCGCATCGAGTCCCGTCCAACAAAAATCTCCCATTTCCATTTTCCCGCCCGTGGTATGTGGTGTGCCGCAAGAGGAGGAAACCGACTGGTCGTCGCAGTCAGCCAGGGTGAGTGGCCTCGTGCCGGGGTGGCCATTTCTTTTTTTGGGGGGTTGAACGGCGTGTTGTTGATGCGAAGCCACGATTCCTTCTCTCCCGAGAGAGACGAGCCATCAAATCGGAGGAAGACACAGCCGCAGAGGGGGGGGATGGGGGGAGTTAAAACCGGATAGAAAAAAGCAGAAACAGCATTTGCATGGGGTCGATCCAGCAAAACCGTGAATCGATAAGTCTCGAGACAAACAAGGAAAACACCAGGGCAAAATCAGGCAGAGGGGACCACGCCTCAACATTCGCATCCCAGGGAAGCCGGCAGCACGACGCTCGCCGTGGTACAACAGCCGCCACGTTCCTCCAGCCCGGTAGACCGAGGCCATGAACGACGCACACGACGTTTGACGCACGCCCGCAAATCCCCAACCCAGTTTCCATCCAGACGGAGCAAAACATGCCGTGATCCCTCCCCGCCATTGCCACAAAATCAACGCACTGCGCACCCGCGCAATATCACCTGCCTGCCAGCCCTAAAAACAGAGGCACGCCACTGCTCGCCAAATACAGCGGTATAGACGCGGAGCAGGCGGCCAAGCATCGCTCCTCGGTCCCAGTATGCCGAGGAGCCCATGGTATCGGGTGGGTGAGAGAAGCAGATTTAAGAGGCGGCCGCGGGGGCGGGCTCCTCGGCCTTGGCCTCCTCCTCGGCGGGCTTGGGGGCCTCGCCCTCCTCCTTCTTGGGAGCGTCGGCGGCGCCCTCGGCCTCGGCGCTGTCGGACGAGGTCCAGAGGGTCAGGTTGTCGCGCAGCAGCTGCATGATAAGAGTGCTGTCGCGGTAAGACTCCTCAGAGAGGGAGTCAAGCTCGGCGATGGCATCGTCGAAGGCCTGCTTGGCCAGGTGGCAAGCACGGTCGGGGGAGTTGAGGATCTCGTAGTAGAAGACGGAGAAGTTGAGAGCGAGGCCCAGACGAATGGGGTGAGTAGGAGTCAGGTCGGTCTGGGCGACGTCGGTCGCGTTCTGTATGGCGTCTAGGGTAAGCATCTGTTTTGGGGGCCGGAAAAAATCGAACCAGAGCACGCGGCATGTGACGTCTGGTCGCGAGATTACGCACCTTGTAGGCCTCGTGGGCGGCAGTGGCAGCGACCTTGCGCTTCTCGCCAGAGGCGAACTCGGCGAGGTAGCGGTGGTAGTCACCCTTCCTGTTGTGCGGGAACGAGTGGTCAGATAAGAGCTCAAGGGACCCAATGACAAGGCGGGGTCTAGGAGGGGGGGGCTTACATCTTGTGGTAGAAGACCTTGGACTCGCCGGTGGCGGCGTTGGGGATGAGGCTCTCGTCGAGGACGTTGAGGACATCCTGGCAGACCTGCTCGAGCTCGGCCTCGATCTTGTTGCGGTACTCCTTGATGGTGGAGACGTGCTTCTCGGAGCCCTTGGACTCCTCCTTCTGCTCGATGGAGGAGATGATGCGCCACGAGGCACGGCGGGTGCCAACAACGTTCTTGTAGGCGACGCTGAGGAGGTTGCGCTCGTCAACGGTGAGCTCGCCGCCGAGCTTGGCGACCTCCTTCATGTAGGTGACCATCTCATCGTAGCGCTCGGCCTGCTCGCACAGGCGGGCCAGGAAAGTCTTGCTGTATTCGGGGAACTCGGTTAGCGATTCCATTTCTGTCTGCACGTGGCAGCCCGCGGACGGTCTCGGACGGCCCTGGAAGCTCGACAAACCTTTCACGCTGCGAGAGAACAAAGGTCAGCCAAAGTCAGTCACATGGTTTCACGTTGAAGCTGGGCACGAGAGCAGAGCGCGGAAAGGGGGGGTGGGCAGGTCACTGGCGCCAGAAGGACGGGCAGGCAGTGACAGAACACACGCTGCCGCCGGCTTGCCAAAACATCGCCACGGCCATGTGCGAGCCTTGCAGGCCGCAGCGAGGCCGCGACGGTTTTGCGGGGGACTCGCGCAGACGCAGGGCGGGCCGTGAGGCAGAAACAGACGCGGCGGCAACACCGGTGCATGGAGAGGCAACGTGGGAGAGGGAGGGGGGGCGGCGCCGCCTTATCCCGCGAGGGGCGGGCGGCAGCAAAACGCAGCGGCAGCATCGTGAAGAAAGCACGTACCTCGGTAGTCATGGTGGCGAGAGTGTAACGGACGAGGGGATGCGGGATCGTTTGGGAGGATCGCGGTGGTTGGTACGGAGAATGATGCTTGCGAAGAAAGATGCGGGAGAGAGGAGTTGGGAAAGGCGAGAGAGAGTGAGTGCAGAGAAGAGGGGGTGGGTGTTTGTGTATTTTGATTGTGGATAGGCCTTGGGATTGGGGGTTTCTTTGGGGTTCGTCCTCTGGGCTGGGCTGGGGCGGAGCCGGCGGCCAGCGGCCAGCGGCAGGATTTAGCGGGCGAAGCTGGGCTCTGCTGGGCGGGTAGTTGGCGCCACGACAGCAGCCCAGGGCAGCTCAGCAGGACACCTCAGCGGGGGCCCGACGACAGCTCATCAGCGGCAGCGGGAACTGGAGCTGGAGGCCTGGGGCCGCCGCCGCCGCCGCCGCCGCGCACCACCTCACCTCACCTGGGCTGCCCGGGCGGGCGGGCAGTTTGGGGAGCTCACGCCTCGGGCATCCAGGGTACCCCGGCGCAGGCGGCGACTGCCCGCAAACGCAATGTACCTTCCATGATTTACTGGAGGTATCGTGGCTCAGGCACGAATCAGTACCACTACCGACGAAGTAGACGTCTGGTCACCATTTCTGCGTTGCGCCTGTGCGCGCCCCTCCTCCCGGAGCACAGCGCAGCACATTACAGCACAGCACCCGCAAGGCAACGCAACCATCGCTGCATGGAACACGCCTGGCTCATCATCAGGCAAGTCCTGTCACCTCCAGGGCTACCTAGGCCCACGGGTCCTTGAGCCACGATAGCACCGGCGGCTGCTCCGGCGCGCGCGCGCGCGGGCGAGGGCGAGGTGCCCCGCCGATGAAGGGCCACCATGTGGAAAACTTGGCGGATCAGCAGGCCACATTGATGATGCACCGCACCCTCCGAAGCTCGAACAGCCTACGCGTGGTGGTACCAATGGTACCTGGCGCCACTGCGTTTTGGCGCACCTGCTGCAGGTACAGTACCTCGGGCGCTTACCACTCTGGCTCGTGCCCCATCGGGAGACTGGGCCTGGGCTGCCGGGGAGAGTCGCTGGCGGCGGGCGGGCGGCCTGGCGGGGGGAGGGAGATGGGAGCCGGGCAGCCAAAGGCAGCAGTGCCACAGGCGGCGCGCGCCTGCATTCCACAGAGGTCCAAGGTTGGGCTGCCTGAGGTGTGCGGGCTGATGAGGCTGCCGCTGGTGGCCCCCGGGCCACCTTACCTGATCATCACCACTGATGACCGGCCGGGCAGGCTAACAAACCCCACTGTTAGGCGTCTGTCCCGTCCGTGTCCCCTTCCGCCGGGGCTGTGGCGAGGGTCACGGCCTGAGGTGGTTCGGGTCGGGCAGTACGAGTACAGCACGTCGACCACCGCACACCAGCAGGCTGCTGGTACTTGGTAACAAAGGCCTTGTTTCCCCCCGTTCATGCTCTCCCGCCGTTCATGCTTCTCATCCGCAGAGCGGGCGCACTGACATTGTTGTCAATTCGGCCATGTGGGACTGAGATTCCTGCACGCGCGCACACACAGGACGCGGGCGGGAGGGCAAAACCTGGGGTTGCTTTTTAGTGTTTCCCTTGCCTTCGCACTTTTTCGAGGAGCCAGATTCCCCGAACAAGAGCACTTGCGTTGGAGGGGCATCTCGGACATCTTGCTGCCAGATCTGCTCTCTGTCGGCCTTTTTCCATCGCCCGACGCGTAAATGTTCGTCATACAAAGTGACAAAGCTTCTCTCTCTCGCCTTGGGGGGCCACCACCACACCTTGACTGCGGCCCACGGGGCCTCCATGCCACAACCACAACCACTGCTGCTGCTGTCCGCCACCGCCCATCATCAATTCCGCTTCGTCATGCGCGCCGGATCGCGTGGCCCGGACCGCAAGAGCCCATGGCGGGACGCGAAACAGCATAGACGCCAGTCCCTCCCCTCATCATCATGCGCTTTAAAGAGGGCGTCCGGCATTGGCGTGGACACTGGCATCATCACCGGCGGCCTTTGCTCCATCTATTTCCTACCTGACATTGCACTTACGGGCCTTACCTTACCGACCAAGGTAAAGTAATAATAGCAGTCAATACTACGGCATGACCCTGCGATCGATGCCCCCCTTCCCCGTGGCAGGGAGCAATTTCTCACGTTCCCCGCCTGCAATTTGCAATGGAAGCCCAACGACCACTGCGTCGTCGCTACCACTGCCCGTCTCCGGAGCCTCATTTGGTCAGCGCCTCGGTTTTTATTTAACAGCTTTAGTGCCGGGGGTTTCTCCATTCACGTCACGCAGGCCAAGGGAGCATGAAAAAAAAATGCACCTCGCCTGGCCCCCGGTTCATCTCCGCCGTGACGCCGGGCGCGCATGGTTCGCGAATCAACCCCGGCCCCTCACGGGGTGAAGGTGCAGGCGATCCAGGCTCTGCACGACACGAATCGTCCAGGTTGACGATGGTGATGACGATCTATGAGCTAGTTATACGCAGTCCAGTGAACAAGTAGGTACGACTTGATGTCCGTGGCCAGTAACGTCCATCAGCCCACAATATCAGCCGGCCAGAGAGAACAGACAGACAGGCAGGCAGGCAGACAGCACACAGACCCTTATTATTAGTCCACGGCGGATCCCCAATTAGGGGCGGCTCGACTCGCTACCCAGCGTCCAGGTCCACGACCGCGGCCCGGCACTCATCCCTCCGTCCCCGCTTGACAGAGACCGACAGACGACCAGGGCAAGCAGGGGAGAACTGGACAATATTCTCGAACGTAGCTCATCATTGGCACGGGCCAGCCGTCATCAAAAGCTTCGCCCTCCATCGTCGAATCTGCGGACGGATGAGCGAGGGCGAACAGCACCAGAAGCACCAGAAGCAGCCAGCGATCCGGTGTCGTCGCCAGCCCAGCCCAGCCCAGCCCAGCCCAGCCCAGCCCAGTCCAGCCCAGCGAGGCTGTGCCCTGCCCACGCGCGATCGTTATCGCTCCGGCACGGTTCCCATCCTATCCCATCCTCTCACATGACGATGACGACGACGAAGCCGCCCCCTCTCCTCTATGAAACCACCCATCAGCCTCGTCCAGGCGTCACGTCGACATCAGCCTCGTCGCAAATTGCACCACCACGCACCACCACGTCCATACGTACCCAGGTATCTCGCTCCCCCCAATGAGTCACAGTCACTCCTCCTCTCGACCCCTCCCTCTCTCCGGATCCGCCCCCCGGGTCATCCGTGCCTCCCCGTCATCTCGGTCGCGTGCCAGCGTTGCACAGGGGGGTAACAAACACACGTCGTCGTCGGGGCCTGAGCAGGACTCGTGGGCCCCTCTCCTCTCCCTCTCTCTTTCGCTCCAGCGCGCAGATTTGCTTGCTTCGCAAGGGAGCCAATGGCCGCCCAGCGTCCCATATCTCGTTCTTCACTGGGTGCGAGTTCCTTCTTCCAAGCCCCCGTCCGTCCTTCCGCCTGTTGCGTCGTTCCGCTTGCCGCCCAGGCCCACCTGGGCCTTCCTTGCGCGGAGGCCACGTCTCGCCGACCTCACCCTCCCTACCCGGTACAGTAGCCGCTTGTTCGCGTCGGCACGTAGCTTACGTACTACATACTCGTATATTCAAGCAAACACTTGTTTATTCTGTACCTCGTAACTTTGACATGCATGAGGAACCATTATGGCGTGGGTCACGCTCGCATGGCTGGCCCCAACTGCTTCCAATCTGCAGGCATGCAACCGTCAATTACACTTTTGAAGCGCCATGCGTCAGCGAGTGAACTTCCTGCTGTCGACGACGGAGACCGCATCCGGGGATGAAACAAGCACCACCCAGCACCACGCATCTATTGACCCTGTTGTAATTATTGCACAGTCACAGGAAGTGCCAATTGCCAGTACCAGCGGCATGAAATCGTTCAATTTCATCATCAAAGCATGACGATATTAAACGCGGTCGACGAGGCACTTTTCCCTTCGCACCAAGCCAATACCCGTCCTTGAACATATATGTCCTTCTCCCCCGCCTAAACTCCTTGCGATGCACTGCAGTGGAAAAACCCAAAAGAAAAAGAAAACCAGCAATATGGCGCGGCGTAATATGTATTATAGCTCGCCCGGCTCTTGGTCCGGGTCGGGGGCCGCCCACCCCTTCCCCCAGTTGGCCGGGTCGCCGCCCGGCACGCACAGCCCGAGCCTCCAGAAGTAGTCGCGGTGCGCGAAGAACAGCTCCCACAGCCGGAACCGGGCCGGGAACGACAGCGTCTCGAGGTGCGCGCGAATTGTGCCGGCTCCTACCCGGCTGAAGTGCAGCAGCCGACGCACCGTCTTGACGAGCGAGGCAGACTCGGCGCCGGCGCTGCACGCGGGGTCGCTGTCGCCCACGCAGGTGCGGATGTCGCTCTCGGACGGTGTGAGGTTGGGCTTGGTTATGTACACTTCGCCGCCGTGCGGGTGGTAGCCCCATTCCTCAAGCGGGAGAAGAGGCACGGGGTCGTTGGCGTGGGTGACGCGGCGGTACGGCCGCGCTTCGAGTGCCTCGTCGTTGTCGCCGTCGAGCCCGAATACGTCGTCGACGAAGCGCGCGAGCTGGTAGTTGCCCACGCGCGGCTCGCCAAACGTGGTGACGGACACGCCGTCGAAGCCGAGCGAGACCTTGAGTTCCAGCGCGGCGAGACAGGCCACGGCGCCGCCGAGGCTGTGGCCGACAAGCTGTATGGAGTACGACGGATACTCGGCTCGCAGCTTCTGAAGCTCGGGGAGAACGACGCGACGGGCGTTTCGCCACGAGTCGAGGAAGCCCATGTGCACGGTGCAGTTGTCGCATCTGTGCCTCGGCGGCTCCCGTGGCATCTTGGAGCCGTCGTCGGGTGACGGGTACGGGACGTACTTTTGGGGCACGGTGCTGAGGTCCACGATGGTGTTTGTGATGCTGTAGGTGCCTCGGAACGCAACGATGATGGACCCGCGGCCCTTCCTCGTCTCAAGACCCGCTGCTTCATCGGCACCGTCGTGCTTGCGGCGGGTCAGACCTCCCCCGCCTGTGTGATCCACGGCGATGTAGCCGCAGCTGTCACCCATGAGAACGCCGGTGCTCCAGGTGTTCACGAGGGACAGGGCGGGAAAGTCTTTGCAGCGCGAGACGCACTGGAAGGGCTTATGGACACCCGTGTTGCCGATGCAGTACGAGATGTCGACGAGGCGCGACAAGCGCTCGAGGTCGGCAAAGAAGGGCACCGAGATGGCGGCGGAGGCGAGCCCCGCGAGGAGCTGCCATGACACGGCGAGCCAGAAGAGGCGCCACATGATGAAGGCACGCACAGAGCGTACAGCGTGTGGTTGTCGGCGGGAAGTAGAGGCGGGATGTGAGGTCTAGCGATGCCGGGGCATGTCGCTGGCAACGGACGAGAAGTGCTCGAGGGCTTTGTTGGGCCGACGCAAGGGCAGCAGCAGGCAACCGCTGTTGTCGCTGCAACGTACGTAGCGTCGCTGGCGCCAACAAAGTCGTAGCGATGTTGCGAGTTTGAGGGCGCGCGAACGAGTCTAGGCCTCGGCCTCGGCCTCCTCCTCACTCAGCTGCGCAGGGTCTGACTCTCGCGTTTTGGGTGGGAGAAGGGTTTCTCAATGTCTCAGACGCCCGGCGAGATGGGGCATGGCGGCGCAGAAGCACAGATGCGAGAGAGACAGAGAGACACACGGATGCTGAGTGTGCCGCGCGCCAACCCAGCGAGACTCGATGGACCTTTAACAACTAAAGAGAAAAACGGCCTGCGCACGGGTTGAGCGCTCCGCTGTTCAGAACGGCTGCTCGAGACGCGGGGCTGGTCCCGTGGCTGGATCGTGTGCGACAGGCGGGTTCGAGGCGGACGGTGAGACGATGCATGACCGAAGTCTGGGGAATCGAGCGGTCATGTATCCCATCAAGTAAGTGCCGGTGCGGGGGCCGCTTCCTTGCGGGCGGAGCGGTGCCAGCGGGCAGCCGCTTGACAGCGATTGGATTGGATTCCGTAGGGCCACTGCGCTGACAGGCGCTGCAGGGGAGAGCGCGCTGGGGGAGGCCTGGAGTCCACTGGCAGGCATCGCTGAAAATCCGCTTGCGGCTGGAGCCACCGTCCACCAAGCAAGCCACAAATCGTTCCGAACATGGAATCCTGGATCCCCTTCCCACGGACCACGTGGCGCTCCGATGCGATTGCTTCGCAAAGTTTAAGCCACACTTGGATATCCCGCCGCAACTGACAAGCTCATCCAGATGCAGGCCAGCCCGGCCCCCAAAGCATGAAGCTATCCCTCAAGCGAGGTCTTGGCCACGATGCCTCATGCCGTCTTCAGATCTTTTCTCGTTTTGTGAAATGAAATGGAAAACTTAATTCCTGAATCTGTCTGCGCGGGAGAGCGCCTTTTCGCCGACAAACAGACAAGGCACTTCACACGTCTCGCGCTCCCGTACGTCCACAGTCCCGTCGCCGGCCGACCCTTTTTCAGCGGCCGCCAAAAATGGACACGAAGTCCAGCGTCGACGCAACCATGCCTACTCCCCTGCCCTGCTCAACCGCCATCATCATCTGCCTCGTCTCCGTGCCGTTCGCCCCGCCGGGTCCCCTGCCGTATGCCGCTTCCGCAAACATGCGAAGCTGCATCGGGAACCGGAGGTCGTCGAAATAGTCGATGATGTCGCCCTTTGTGATGGCGCAGCCCAGGTCGTGCCACTGTCCTCGCGTCATGCCGAGTACCTCGCAGTTCGCTTGCTTGTCGTCGTTCCACCATGGCGGCAACATACCCGCTCTAGCGGCCACGCGGCCCAGGAAGCGCTTGAAGCTCTGCAACCCGTCCGACTTGCCGTCGTAGATACTGTCCGCTTCCACTTCGCCATCCATGTTGTAAGTGTCCTCAACACGCAGACGGTAAGCATCAATGAGTAGTCGGAAGACGTCCTTCTCTGGTCGGTCGTGCAGCCAGGTGCCCTTGTCCAGACGAGTGAAGGGGTCGGGGACGCCGCTCTCGAGGCCCTTGGGAGGCGACAGGTCTGTTGCACGCACAATCCTGAGTCTGGAGTCTGATGGTCCGTCCGCTTGCTTGCCACAAATTTTCTTACGGGTCTTCCAGTCTGCCCTCTGGCAAGTCCTTGAGCAGTACAGGGACACGGAGCATTTGGCACAATGCTTCAGACCGACCTCGAGCGCCGACTTGTTGCAGTTGGTGCATTTGGAGGCCATGGTTGAGTCGCTTTAGGCTGAGGAAGATGGGATGGATCTAGTCGTCAACTATGCGTACCGGGAACCAAAGCACGAAGTAGTTGAGACTCTTTGCTGAGGTCTCAAATGTTTTGGATGAGATGTTCGACGAGGCGGCAACGGGCAAAGTCGTATACGAAAACCCCACGGATGTGAGCCGACTTGGCAGGACCCAGAACGGCTCCTTCCTGAAGATACTGATTAGTCTCGCTTGGGGGGAAGAAGCTGGAATAAGTCACGTACTTGAACAACTCTTGGAGAAGGAGCTGCCGCGCTTCAGCTACTTCCAGTCATCACATCAACGGATGTGAAAACAGAAGAAACGACACATTTGCCGATGACGATGTGAGAACAGAGAGGAAAACGGGAATAGAAAAGAGAGGAAACGAAAAGAAAACACAGCGAAGGTCAGCTGCCGACCCGGCCAATTTGGTTTGTGTCGCACGCCCAGTGAATCACAGCCCCAACTCCAACAGATGGAAGACATATGTAGCGAGTAGCCCGCCAAAACGAGCGTGGGATATCATTGATATGTGCCTCGTACCTATGTCAAGGAAGAAGCCAAAGGGCGGGATACTCCAAGAACCTGTCTATAGAGGATGAAGGAAAACCTGATGGCGCCGCCCCTGCGGCCTCTGGGACCGCACTGCGTAGCCTTTCATGCAACGTATTTACATCTGCCTGCCCGACGCCGTGATGCCATCTCCCCTTTTAGTACCGGCCTCAACTCGCATTAACACAGCTCGCGACATCGGGAACCCAAAACGCGCAGGGAGCAGCGCGTTTAGATGTCGTAGGACCAGGCGACGCCCCTGGTCTTCTTGTTGCGGACGACGTTGTCGCGTCGGTGGGTGGGGTCCCGGACGGGGTTGATGCTGGTGAAGAGGGCGAGTGTGTCCGTCTGGTTGGACTTGCAGACGCCGGAGCTGCCGCAGTGCAGGGGGATATCGGCGCTGCCGGCGACCTCGTAGGAGGGAACACTGTGTTATGAGGTTAGCCTCTATACAACATCGAGAAAGAGGAACCTGTTGAGGAGCCCTGGAGGATGGGGCCCAGGCCTTCATCAATGACCGATGGGAATAGGGCTACTTACCCTCGGGTGTTGGGGCACACGCGCTCGATCACGGTTAACCGGTTCTGGTCTCCCTGCCAGATGAACTTGACATTGCTGTCGGCACACGCGAATCGCGGCGTGAGGCCCTCAGGAGTCGTCGAAGTCGAGGTCGTGTCCCACGAGCAGGACGTCGTCAGGTTGGTGTTGGTGTTGCGGTACTTGAAGTGGTACTTGTCCAGGTCCGAGGCACTGGCATTCTTGCCGCCCATGAAGTGGAGGACATGGTACGAGACGGGCAGGACGCAGTCGTTGCTGTTGTCCTTGGCCACGGCAGCGAGCGCCGCAGGCGCCGTGTAGGCCGTACCGGCCAGAGCCATCGAGGGCAGCGCCGCGAGGAGGAGAGATGACAGCTGCATGATTTCGAGAGGGAGTTTTCCTTTGGAGTTTTTGAGGGCGAAACCGAGTCTACGGTCGGGGGTTGAAGGTGAGGATGAAGATGTGGCTTGGCCTGTCAAAGGTCTGCGCGAAGGGAAGAAAGGTGAGGTGAGGTGTTGCTGTCGAAAGCTATGCCTCAAGCAAGGAGTGAAGGAAGATGTTTATACAGATGGAGGAAAAGAAAAACAGTCGGTGCCAACAGGGGTGGATGAGGGACGGGACGATCTGGAGTGTGACCCGGTCGGTATATATGTCTTTGCTCGACTCAAGTAGGGGGTGTGATGAGGGAGTGTCTCTGAAGGGAAAATGTGGTTCCTCTTACACGGGCGACGGATACATGCAGGAGAGTGAAGGACAATAGGGTCACGCACAGGAGACGGAACAACAGTTGCGAGAGAGTGACGGATAAGACGAAAGCACGGTGGAGGAGTGAGGTGTGTCCGCGCAAGAGCCACGGCCCCCGTGGAGCGAGGAAGGGGGAGAGAAGCTGCGCGTCCGCTGCTGCTGCTGCTGCTGCTGCTGCTGCTGCTGCTCCTGCTGCGACACATTCTTTGATACCCAGCCAGCCAGCCAGCCAGCCAGCGGTGGTGCGTGGGACAGACGGTTTTTCGATGGAGAAGGAGAAGCGGCACTTGCACATCAATGGAGACGCCGGCCGAACTCTCTGCCAACTGCCCAACAGGGGCCACCCCCGTCCTGGCATCCCGGCATCCTGAAGCCGCAGGCCAGCCAGGCCAGGCATGGATGATAATCGCACAGGTCGATGGATGGGTACGGAAGGACTACCAAGTGCCCTATGTGACGTGGATCCCCGGCGACTGATAGGCGGAGAGGGCGTCTGGATCCTTGTGTGATGCTTTTTTTGGGGCCCGCGATCCAGTGGCTTGAGTGGCTGCCACGGGCCTTTGGGAGTTGCAAGTGTCCATCCGAGTGTGCCTGCGTACAGTAGCGTCGGCTCCCCGTGACGGTGCAGTGCAGGGCCCGTTGCAGCGGCGTTTTGGCAGCATGCCATGGCAGGGCACAGGACGTCGCTTGCGCCCCCAAAAGTGCCCGCCCTGTCGATCTCATATCTGCAAGCCCATTGTCGCCAACCAGCGACTGGGGCCACAGGGGATGATGGATGGACATGCACCACCTCCTTGGAAACGGCTCTTTCTTCGACACACTCGCGGCCGCTGCAGCATCTCGCGCAGCGGCAGGCTGAGAAACGGAGCGCCGCCCGTGTCGAAACAAGCCATCTGTTTCCCCTTCTCCATCTCGATCAGCACGGCAACGTCGGACGAGGTGAACCGTCGTCGTCCCGTGTCATGTGTTTGCGCGGCCCCCATCCATCCCATCCCCAGCGTCTCCAGCGCTCCGATAAAAACACTGGGTTCCGCTGTTTCAGGGCACGAACCGGGAGGGATCTACCTACGCAACAGTGGAAGAAGACCGGACGAAGCCGCGCAAAACGTGATGAACCTGGTGGATGGAGGTCCAGTTTGGCAGTGGAGCGTTTGAGCGTCACCGTTTAAGCTGCGACAGGGGGGGCTCCAGAGGGCCCTCCGGGTGGCTCCACCGACGGGGTTAGGCTGTTTCAAGCCGCTGTACGGGGGGGATGCCGCTGCCCGCTGGCGGTCGGTGCTTCAGTGTCGCCAGCGCTGGTGCCACCTGCAAGGCACCAGCTGAGGCAGAGGTGGGCGAAAGGTTTGGTTCCTCGTGGCCCCGAGCGCCACTGGCAGAGCCTCCGCCACCCATTCACTCCGTTTCGAACCTCTCTTTTCCACGGTTGCACGGCTTCCATTCACTTCACCTCCCCTCCTTCGTGAATAGACGCGGCTTTGCGTGCTTCGTGTCTCCTGTGCTGTTGCTACACCGACAGTGCACAGCGTCGTCCCGACGAAGGACAAGCATGTCTCTTGCTCTCATTTCCCTCCGCCCGCACTGCCCGTCCCGTGTCTTTGCCTGTGTTGACAGTAATAATGCGCCGCTCTTATCGGATCACCACCGCCCGTCTTTTGCAAGGGCAAGGGGGGAGGGTGTGGACAAGGCAGAAAACGGCAGTGATTCTCTATGTTGCAGGTGCAGGTGCTGCTGCTGCTGCCGCCGCCGCTGGGGCATCCGCACACAAGGCCCGGCAACCCACCCGCCTGCTTCAGGTCAGCCGCTGGCCGAACCTGGTCCGTTGATTACGGGCTATTAATTGCATCGCCGCTCCGGAGCCTTCGCCTGCGGGCTGCATCCTCGATCCGGCTCGCGAGCTGTCAGAATCGGCCGAGAGTGACCGGGCGGTCCGACATCACGACCGTAATTGTGCAGATTCTTACAGGTAAGGACGGCGTTCGGTCACGTCACAATCGACGAGCCGAGACAATGACGACGAGACGGGGGCCACGGGCGGTTGTCGACGGTGACCGGCGCTCAAGTCAGACATTTCTCCAAGACAAAGCTTTCTGCTGAGCCGTCTCGTGTCTCTTCGGTCACGTATCATCACAATCGCCCCGGCCCGGCCATCGCTGCCTTTTCCCGTTGCCGGTGTGCGACCAATTTGTCCATCCACCGCAACGCCCGGCGGCCTTATCATGCCCGTCTGGGCAGCTACCGCCGCGCGGGCGCTGCACACGTATATTGCCCTGCTCGCAGATCTGAATGACGGCTCCTTCTTCCTCCCAAGCGAGCGCGACGGCGATGCGGATGCTCTGCCTCTTCCGACCATGCGCGTGCCTGAACGGGAAGGCCGTCAAGGAGCGGCACCGTCGATCCATCGATCAACGCGACGTGATGGCACCCGCCATGCGCTTCGGGGGTGCAGGCGGTGCTTCTCTGCGGTGCGCGACCGGGAAAGCGATGCCGCGTAGATCTAGCCTCCGTCTTGCAAAAATGTACTGATGGACAATGGGATAGCGTCGAGAGGAGGTTGTGAAGGTGTGCTCATGCGCATTTCTCTCCATGTTATCCCGATCCGTTCTGATGTTGAGAGCATCGTGGCTGGGATCTCCGACAAGTGCGAGTCGAGTGAGGCTTGACTACCTCATCAGCCACAATCCTCCGAAGACAGAGTCCTGCACTCGACCAGTCAGCAGCGGGACTCGGGCGGAGATTGTTACCGCTCATGATTGGCTTGCCGCAACACCTTCAACTTCCAGACTCCAGAGAGCCACCAGCCGTTGCCAGCTCGCTTACCCTGTTGCACGTGACCCACAGCTTTTTGCAGAAAAAAAATTCCGCGCCATGCCCATGGTGCGGACCCATACGATGTGTGCGTGTGCGGTGCGTCCTCGTGCGAGCGAAGCCCCCATCCACCAAAATTTCCCGAGTCCCCTCCTCTTCCCTTCTCGATCCCTTCGACCATCACACCCAACGCCGAGTCGACAACCCGCCGACACATCACGACAAAATGGCCAAGGAAGCGCCCCGAACCGGTCTGGCCGTTGGCCTGAACCGCGGTCACGTACGTTGATACCATCACCATTCGCAAATACATCATCACCACCATACACACGTGCGGGCGCATCGCGCACGCACATACACACAATGTCAATCTGCGGTCTCACCTCGTGGAGGATCTCTGCTTTTCTCGCCGGATGAAGGAAACGGACTGTCCACCTCCTGTGAGGGCGGGTGACCCGGCTTCTCCTCTGCGAGGTGTTGGCTTGCAATCTTTTGGCAAACCCTTCTCCAGACCAGAAGAGACACCGAAACAAAAGCAGACGATGGACGCTGACAGTGTGCCTTTTGGTTTGCCCCTTGTATAGAAGACCACCGCCCGTGTTGTCAAGCCCCGTGTGTCCCGGACCAAGGGTCACCTGAGCAAGCGCACGGCTTTCGTCCGCGAGGTCGTCAAGGAGGTCGCTGGGTGAGTTCTAACCCTGCCGCTCACGTCCAGAGATTTAGCAGTCCGAGGGAATGGAGGGAGACGGGCAGTTCGAGATTCGAGTCGGAGAAGGCTGGAGATGGACGAATGGCCGGGCGAGTGTATCGCCCTCGTTTAGCTTCAACGGCCTCTTCCTCGAGCGAGTCTCGAATCACCTGCCAACCTCGACCCGGACCGCATCAATGGACGTGGCATACAGCCTCAAACCCATATGCTAACATGCCAACTCCAGCCTCGCCCCCTATGAGCGCCGCGTCATCGAGTTGCTCCGCAACAGCAAGGACAAGCGCGCCCGCAAGCTGGCCAAGAAGAGGGTACGTCCAGGCTCAACACCCAAGACTCTCCTCCAATCGCCTTCAAAATCACTGACCCTTCTCTCGCAGCTCGGTACCTTCGGCCGCGCCAAGAAGAAGGTCGACGAGCTCCAGCGCGTCATCGCCGAGTCCCGCCGTACCGGCCACTAAACGGATGCAAAGAGACGCGGAAGCGCCTTCTTCGTTTTTCACCATCTAGTTTGGGGGTATCAGCGTCGGAGGGGATGAACGGGGAGGACTGAAAGGGAAAAATTAAACGATGTTACATCATGGCAAATCGGGAATTTCTTCGCATGGGAATCGGCGTGGTCACGATTTGATCGAAGTGTCGCTTGACGGCTTTGATGCGCCGCGGCAGGGCATAGCTGCGGTTCGTCGGAAATACCAAACCAATTCTTAAAGCAGCAGTGAAGCGTTACTTTGTGAAGCAATGTGACTTTGACGCGGGTCGGACGACCTGTTGGATTTACCTGCAGAAGCTCTCTGCCACTCCCATCATATCCCAAGTCTACGGGTCTATTCCACAGTAACATTTACCGTCCACGGTCGTAACGCCGGTATCCATGCTCAATACAACCAACATCGCTTGCTTCCCAGAAACCCTGCCAATGCCAGCCCGGCCAGTGGCCCGTCACAATCATGCGGCGCGAGGCCTACTTCTTCCCAAACTTGAACCACTTGGGCACCTTCTTGCCGCCACCGCCCTCGCCGGAGCCCTCGCCCCTCTCTGCCTTGGGCGGCTGAACGTGCGCCGCCTTGCCGTCTTCGACAGCCTTGGGCACTTCAGGGACCTTGACGGCCTGCCCCTGCTGGGCCACGGTCGTCTTGAGGAACGGCTGCTTGCGTATCTGCGGGGGCACGACGTCGTCCCAGACCAGGTTGACGAGGACACGGCCCGAGAGCTTGTACCCCTTGATGAGGCCGTGCTTAGGGCTGGCGTCGTCCTGGATGACCGTCTTGCCACCGGGCAGGACGAGGTGGAAGGGGTATTGGGCGTCGGCCATGACATGTCGGACGGCTTCGTACAGGAATGCGCCCGTCTCCCGCGGGCCGACCTGCCAGTCGCTGCTCGTGTTGTCTGGGAATCGCACCTTGACGAGAACCGACTTAATCGCCGCTAGACGAGCTGCTTCGGCGGCGGCCTTGTCCTCGATCTCTTTGTCTGAGAGCAGCCGCTTGTTGCGTGAGGATTCCTGCAAGCGAGCCTGATGCAGCTGGGCATGAGCTATGCTGGGAGTGAAGTCGGATTCGGACTCAGAGGCGTGAAGAGCGGCAGCGGGGACGTTGCCAGAGGGTGCGAGGAAGACGGAGACGGGTTGGTAGGGGTCCTTGGGCTGGGAGGAGTCGCTGCTTGGCGTCAGGTCTTGGGGAGTTGATTGACCCGTGGTGGTTGACGAGTCTGTAGGTTGTTGTTGCTGTGACAGAGGAGCTTGCGACTCGGTAGAGGAAGCGGGAGGCTGCGCGGCGGCGTCAGCCATGGGCGTGTCTTCCCTTTGCTCGGTTGACTCTTGTTGAGGCTCGTCCTTTGCGGCGGCGCTCGTCCCCTCCTTCTTGCTTTGCTCCTCCGTGTGCTTGAAGAACTGGCTTATCTGCTCCATGGCCTCAAACAGCGTCTGGTCCGTCTTTCTGTACGACAGCCGCACCAGGACATTGCCTGAGTTGTGCCCGAGCTGCGACAGCGTCTTCTGAAAGTCCTGAAACGCGGCGAGCTCCCTGCCCATGATGTTGAGCACGGGCATCTCGTAGTACAGCTGGCCCGCGCCGCTGGTGACCGCGCCGGCGACGCCGCGGGCCGTGATGTTGACATTCCTTCCGGCGCTGGCGTCGCCGCTCTCGAACTGGCGCAGCACCTGCCACAGCGTCATGTCTGAGGGGAACTTGCGGATGAGGCGCCCGCCGGGGATCTCGCGCGCCTCGGACTGCGGCACCTGCAGGGCGATCTGGACGGCCGACGGCGTGTTGGACTTTACGACGAGCTCGAGCTTGGCGCCGGGGAGGAGGCCCGACGTGCGGAAGGGGACGGAGAGGTCGACTTGCTTCTGCTTGTGTCTGGCGCGGCGGCGTTAGCTGGGTCGCTTCGTCCGACGGCAAGGAGACAGTGAAAGGGGGGGGGGGGCGGGGTTGGTGATGGGAGGAGCCGTGCTCGGCGAGGGTGATATACTGACTTTAGCAGAAACTTGTCGCTCGAGAGGTTGAGCTTGGTGCAGGCCTCCTGCAGCACGTCGATGAGGTATGTCCCCGGCGAGACCTTGACGGTCGTGCGCCGGAGGTCGGTGGCGATGACGACGACGTGGGACGACATGGCGCCGAGGTGGTTATGCGAGGAGGGAGAGAAGTGAGAAGGCGATAGGAAGTGAGTGTTTGCGCAGGTATATTAGTCTCGAGGAGGAGCGAAGCGGCGCCGTGGACGCCGGCGGTGATGCGAGGCCGTCGTCTCGATGGTGGGGTTGAGGATATGTCGTAGCGGCGGGACTATGAGATATGAGGTGTCGAGCACAGAGCACGGTGGCTGGGGGTGCAACTCCTGGATTCAGCGATGTTGTCTCGACGATTCGAGATGCAGGTCAAAGGATGATGGATGCGGGGCCGCCCATGTAATCCCGTCGCGATGGCGGTGCGTGGCCAAAACTGCTCAGCTTGGTCCCCGTTGCACGTTGCAAAGCCACCTTCTCGAAGCCTCTCCCGGTGTGTCAGTCAGTCTGGGGGCGGCGGCCAGCAGCACCAGCAGCGCGTCACCCACCAAGCCCACCTCACCAGGCTGGCAGCGGGCCTACGTAAGAACGGCAACCGCTGAGCGGCCGCTGCAAGGGCCCCGCCAGCGAGAGCTCCGGCCAATCAGACGAACTGTCGGGCCCTTCTCCAAGCAGCGCTCTCCATCGGGGCCGCGCCAGACCGTGTTTGCCTTGCCTGGCCCAGGTGGCCTTGCTGAGCTGCTGGTGCTGCTGCTGGTGCTGTGGCTGGCGGTGGGCTGCGTCGGTCACGGAGGGAGCTTCACTTCAACCTCAACCTCGATACCCCCATCCATCCGCACCAGCACGCCAACCACCACCGCCACCGCGAATTCCACGACCTCGACGACCTCGCTGCCAATTGTTCACCTCACGCGCGCAGCGACAGTAAACGGCCTTGCATCGCCGCCCGTGAGGCACAGACCCGCGCCCCCGTCACCATGGTATGTCGTCCGCTCCCGTCCATCAGCCTCGATGTCGTCCATCGTCGTCGTCGTCGTCGTCGTCGTCGTCACCGCCGTCAGCACTACACACGCTGACACTCTTCTCTCGCAGTCGTCTCCCTTCTCGATAAGTGCGTCCTCCGCTCCCCCCTCTCTCCTCCCCGTCCCGTCCACCCGCCCTCCTCAGAAGAAGAAACGCACGCGCAGCAACTGACACTCCGCTCCCCCTCCGTGCAGACGGCGGCGCCTGCGTCGCCATGGTCGGCAAGGACTGCGTCGCCATCGCCTGCGACCTCCGCCTCGGCCTGCAGGCCCTGACCGTGTCCAACAACTTCCCCAAGATCTTCCAGTACGGCGACGTCTTCCTCGGCCTCACGGGCCTCGCAACCGACGTCAACACCGTCAGCGACCTCTTCCGCTACAAGGTCAACATGTACCGCCTGCGTGAGGAGCGCGCCATCGCCCCCCGCACCTTCGCCAACCTCGTCTCCTCGTCCCTCTACGAGCGCCGCTTCGGCCCCTACTTTGTCAGCCCCGTCGTCGCCGGCCTCGACCCCAAGACGGGCAAGCCCTTCATCTGCGGCTTCGACAGCATCGGCTGCATCGACTTTGCAAAGGACTTCATCGTCTCAGGAACCGCCTCCGAGCAGCTCTTTGGCATGTGCGAGGGTCTCTGGGAGCCGGATATGGTGCGTCTCTTCTCCTGGCCTCCCCTTTGGCTGCTCCCCGCTCCTTCTTGGGCCTGGGACTTTTCCCTGGCGCCTGCAGGGACACGCTCACCGACTGACTGATGCGTCTTGTCTAGGAACCTGATGCCCTGTTCGAGACCATCTCGCAGGCGCTCCTCAACGCCGTCGACCGCGACGCCCTCTCCGGCTGGGGAGCCCACGTCTACATCATCGAGAAGGACAAGGTCACTAAGCGGTTACTGAAGGGCAGGCAAGATTAGACGAGCGGTACATGGTAGAGGGCGCTGCGTGGCGACGTGGTGACTGGCGATGCGGGCTTCGCATCACTGTACGACTATCTAGATCCCCGAGCCCCCTTGGGGACGGGCAAAACAAACAAGAAACATTGAATTCCCAACCATGGTCACGGAGAAGGCGACTTGCTCGTCGAATCTCAAACAATAGTCATCAAACGTGCATTTGCGTTACTTTTCATACAGATGGCGGTCGCCGCCTGTCGCGCCATCTCCTTGACACCAGATCCCTATAGTACAGAGTGTCTTAACGGCTGGCCCGGGCCGGTCCATGCAAGTCTTTCTTTGTGTGTCTCTCTATGTAGTGCCACTCTCTTTATCGCCTCTTCACTACTCTATTGCTCCTTCTTAGCCGCAACAGCCTTGACGTCCTCACGCGTCGTGGTCTGCATGAAGAACTGTCGCTCGAAAAACTTGAGCACCTCGTCGACGAGACTAAAGACAACGTTAGCTTGGGCATCCCAGCATGGTAGATGGCGAGTAGACTTACATGACAGGCGCACTGATGATGAGCACGGCCTTCCACTCAGTCCAGTTGAGAGGCAGGATCGCAAACAGGCTCTGAAGGAACGGCGTGTACAGCAGGGCGAAGTGGAGGGCCATGGACAGTGCAATGGCATAGACGAGCATCATGTTCTTCCACAGGGGCAGCGTGAGCAGGGACTCGCTCGATGACAGCGCGTTCATAGCGTTGAACATCTCAATGACGACCAGGATTGACAGCGAGACGGTCGAGCCAGCCTTGGCCATGTCGTTGGAGAACATCTGGCACCCAATCTCGGGAAAGTCCGCCGAGCAGTGATGGAAGCGCGAGAGCTGCTTGAAAGTGATCTGCGGGCCTTCGGGGTTGTACATGAACCACCACGCGTAGCCGGCCACGGTGGCGAGGCCGACGTAGGTGCCGATGATGAGATAACGCAGGAAGAGCCACCCTCCGATGAGCGCCTCGTCCCTCTTACGGGGCTGCCGCTTCATGATGTCATGGTCCGGAGGGTTGAAGGACAGAGCCGTGGCCGGGAGACCGTCGGTAACGAGGTTGACCCAGAGCAGCTGCACGGGAATCAGGGCCTCGGGCATACCCAGGGCCGCAGTGAGGAAGATGGAGACGACCTCACCAATGTTGGACGAGATCAGGTAGCGGATGAACTGTTGAGTGTTGTTGTAGATGGCACGGCCTTCCTCGATGGCGACCTCGATGGTGGCAAAGTTGCTGTCAGCGAGCACCATGTCGGCGGCCAGCTTCGACACGTCAGTGCCGGAGCCCATGGCCACACCAATATCGGCCTTCTTGAGCGCGGGAGCGTCGTTGACGCCGTCACCGGTCATGGCAACGACCTCACCGAGGGACTGCAGAAGGTCAACGAGCTTCGACTTGTGGCCCGGCTCGACGCGCGAGAAGAGCGAAGCCCTCTTGGCGGCCTCAAGCTGCTCGCTGGGGCTCAGGTTGTCGAACTCGCGGCCAGTGTAGCTCTTGCCCGTAAGATTCTCATGCTGTCCAAAGACGCCAATCTGTCGGCAGATGCTCTCAGCAGTGTTGCGGTTATCTCCAGTAATGACAATGACGCGGATACCAGCATCTTTGCACTGCTGGATGGAGCCCGGAACCTCCTCGCGCGGAGGGTCGAGCATGCCGACCAGACCCAAGAAAGTCATATTCTGCTCGAGCTGAGCATACTGCTCGGTCGACTTGGCGGAGAGGAGCGGGCTCTTGGACACATCGTCAATGCTGGCGAGGGCAATGACTCGGAGACCACGGTTGCCGTACTCGACAACTTCCTTCAGCAGGAGATCAGAGAGCTTCTCGGTGAGCGGAACTCGCTTGCCAGCCGCGCCAATGAGCGTGTGGGAGCATCGGTCGATGATCGACTCCGGAGCACCCTTGATAAGGAGCTTCTTCTGCTTGCCGCTCTGAACCAGGACGGACATGCTCTTGCGGTCGCGGGAGAACTCGAACGTTGCCAGCCTAGGGAGCTGCTTCTCGTACTTGGCGCTGGCGAAGTGGACACAATCATCGGGATGCGTGCCAGCCGGGGCGCAAGGCCCAAGCTTCTCCACGAGAACTCTGAGGGCGCCTTCAGTCGGCTCACCCACGCTAGAGAAGGCGGCGGTGCGCTCGTCGTAAGCCAGGTGGGCATCGTTGCAGAGCGCAGCGACCTCGGTCATCTGGCGGACGGTGTCGGATGTCGACGGCAGGTTCTCGACGACGGTGCCATTCATTCGAACAGCGCCCTTGGGTGCAAACGTTGTACCCTCAACGTCAAGCTCCGTCAAGTCAGAGCCCTTCTCGTTGAGATAGACGATCTTGTTGACACTCATTTGGTTGGTCGTGAGTGTGCCAGTCTTGTCGGAGCAGATAACACTGCAGCTGCCGAGGGTCTCGACCGAGGGCAGGCTTCGGACCACGGCGTTCTTAGCGGCCATTTTTCGGGTACCGAGAGCGAGGCAGGTCGTGATGACGACGGCAAGGCCCTCAGGAATAGCGGCGACACCGAGCGACACGGCAATCTTGAGGTAGTAGATGGCGCCCTTGGTCCAGCTACCGTGGCTGGGGTCGTTGAAGTTGGGGATGTTGATGAGCCAGACGAGGATGCAGATGACAGTAATAACCTTGGCGAGGCTATCGCCAAAGTCGTTGAGCTTTTGCTTCAGAGGCGTAGGCTCCGAGATCTGCGCCGTGATGCTCTCGTGAATGTCTCCAATGGCAGTGTTGGAGCCGGTCAAGACAACAACGGCCTTCGCGCGACCCGTGACGACCGTGGTTCCAGAGAAGAGCATGTTGACCTGGTCCTGAAGGACAGCGCGCTCATCCTTGACAACGGCTTCGTCATCCTTGCCGACACTCTCGCTCTCGCCGGTCAGGACGGCCTGGTCGACGGCGAAGCTGTTGCTCTCGATTGCAATGACACGGCAGTCTGCAGGGATGCGGTCTCCGACAGAAATGGTGATGATGTCGCCGGGAACCAACTCCTCGGCCTTTACTCGGGAGACGTGGCCGCCATTACGGACAACGTTGGACTCGTTGGCCGAGTACTCCTGCAGGGCGGCAATTGCCTTCTCGGCGCTACTTTCCTGGGAGACGCCGACGACGGCATTGAGGATGAGGATGGTGAGAATCTGGACGCGTGACCACGGTTAGCGACGAGGACGGAAGCAGGCAGGGAGGAAATGGTTGTGTATGCGCACCACCGCGGGATCGACGAATGCACTCCAGCCGCCCTCATCTTCGAGGAAGGCGAGCGCAAACGACACAGCAGCGGAGCCGAGCAAGATGATGACTAGCTGGTCCTTGAACTGCTCGAGGATGAGCTCCCAGAGCGGGGTCGGCGGTTCCTCCGGGATAGCTGTTTCACGCCGCCAGGTTAGCATCCACGCGAGAAGTGCGATACACTCGCGGGGTTCTTGATTCGGGGGACGAGGCTGCGCACCATTGCGGCCGTGCTTGTTGCGCAGCTGCTCAACTTGCTTGGTCGTCAGGCCGTCGTTCTCGTCGACGCCAAAGTTGGCAAGGACCGTCGCGATCGGACGGGCAAAGGCACTCTCCATGACGAATGTGGGCGAGTGCTTGCGCCAGCGGAGGCAAGGGCTGTGTTGACTGTCCTGTGTCTCGGGATGCTCGCGGCGGGATGGGCACACCACAGCAAGCAAGCGGGAACAGTGAGGAAGAAGAAGAGAAGAGGACGAGGAAGCAGAGCAATCAGCGGCAGGCCGTCATGGCAGATTTGTCAGATCGCGAGGCCCCACGTGGCAGAGAAGGCAGGTGTCGAGAGGGAAGGCTGGTGACAATGGACAGTCCACGGAGGGGAGGGTAAGGTACGCGGTATGGATCCGTGGAATGTCTGCGAACCCCAGCATCTGAGGGACAGCCGGAGCGCCACCAAAAACTTCTACGATACGTGTTCGTTCGGGCCTTTGTGCGGTAAAACGGCTGGGCATTGGACGGCCTGGGCTGGGTGGATGGGTGGGCGCCAGTTGGTGCAGCGCCATCCCCTGCGCTGGAGCCCTGGCGGGGCCTGCCACTGCCATTGGGCGGCGGCAACCCTGAACCCCCAAGGGCCCCCGTCTTGCCTCGCCGGGACTAGCGCCAGGGCCCTTGGCTGTGGCGAGTCTAGCGCCCGACAGGCCGGATCCTCGCCACCAGCAGCCGCGTCGAGGACGGGCTGTACCTTGCCGTCGGCGCAGTGCAGGTACCGACGACGCAGAGTCAGGTTGCAGCGACGTGCTGACGTGCCATCGTGCCAATGACTCGGAGGGCCTGGCCTTTTCTCGTGCCAGCAGTTGGCAGTCTCTGTTTCCTAGTACATGTATCACAATGGCCATCAGCTGGAAAATTTCTCTAGGCACTGAATAGGTAGGTAGGCACTGACTCTCAGAACCATGGATACGAGAACATCACGGCCGCCGTCGGGTATCTGCACAGGTTGCAAAGGACTGCAGCTTCTGCTCATACGTACCTGCGAGGTTCCAGCGACTCCACAGGCGAGCCGCACAGCCACTGCCTGCCACCCCCCGCAAACCCACCCCGTCCACCCGTCGACGGGCGCCCCGGCTGGCCAGTGGAAGTCTCCGCTGGCATCTCCGCCAATGAAGCAACCTGGCCGCCCGGGCGGTTGCCGGCCGTGCGTGTGCAGCTCGGCTCGTGGCTTTCAAGGGCCTTGACGTCGCACCTGGCCTACGGGGCCTTGCTGCTTCCATGCCAATCTGGGAGCCTCCATGCGCGCCTCGTTGAGCCAGCCCCTGCGGCTCAACCTCAAACGCGAGCTGGAGAGCACGTCAGAGTCCAAGCAGCAGACCGCAAGATGTCGCTGCGCGCCCCTCCGTGAAACTGAGCTTTCCCGAAACGTCTCATGGCTTTGCCTCTGGAGCTGAAAGCCGTAACCACCTTGTGTTTGCAGTCCCGCCGATGTGGTCGTCGCGAGGGGGACAGAGATCTTCCAGTTTGCGCTCTGTTCTTCTAGAGTCACCGGCCACGTCTTTGATATCGGCCAGGCACTGACCAGCGGTGGCCTCTTGATCAGGAAGACGCCTTTGTAGTCGTCGACAGCCCACGGCTGGCCCTTTGACATGAGCAAAGTTTGCCTGCGCGCTACGCCCTTGTTTGCATTGCATATCGCCCTTCGTATACGACGTCCTTGGCTCGTCTCGGCCACCTCGCCCGCAAACGTGTGCCTCGGCCGTTACACCTGCCAACGCAGTGAAACTCGGCCTTTTCGTGAGACACACTGCCCCGCCGAGACGAGCAAGGTTGAATACGTGGACTTCGTTCCCCCGACCGTGATCCCACGGGGTGATGTGCAGAGATGTTGCTGGGTTGTCGCGTCCAGTCGTCGGCGGCGCCTTCCTCAACACCAGCCTGCCTTGCATCGATATGCCTGGTTGGTAAATGGCTGACCAAGTATCGGCAAGGTATCTTGCTCGCGAGCAAGCGCCTTCATGTACGCATCGAGACACGTAAACGTATACAGGCAAGTTGCTCCTTGCTATGGCAGGAGCACACGTGCGAGGAGTCGCACAGCTAAGGCACGGCAAGGCAAGGTAGTTCCTGCTACGGAACTCCTGCCCGCTGGGTCATGCAATGTTTCTGCTCCCATTGTTTCCTAGACGCGCGCCTTCGGCCTCCCAACCGTTTCCCCTTCGTCTGGTGTAGCTCGTATCATCCCGCCTCATCCGGTGTCCTTTGCCGATAATGCCTTGACCCCTCGTCCTGGGTCTCACCTCTTCATACCGCTGTTTGGGTGGCTTCTTGGAACCATTTTGCATGTTTGCTTTTTTGGAGTGCCTCTTGTTGGCGATTTTGGGTTCCCGGGCAACATGTCTGTTGACCCGTTGTCATCTTCTTCGCCGGGCAGTCCTACCCAGCCATGCCAAACATTGGACGGTAGCCCCGACCATACCGCTGCTGGAGACGGCGCGCCGCCAGGACCCGATGATGGCGCTTTGACTGAGCACCTGGAAATACTCGACATTGGGGCCGACGTTCTTGACACCTCGGATGGTATTCAACACCTTAGCAGCACACTCGAGTCGCCCGGCTCTGCTCAAGTCACTCCCCAGGAGCACTCGAAAGCACCCAACGAACCGTGCGACACCGCTCTCGGAAGGCTCACACAAAGCGGCGAACTCGAGCCTCCACGTCCTTTCCACAAATGGATGCGTACTCTACATCGAAGGGCCAAGCAGCGACCCTCAGTATTGGGCATTGATGGTGCGCCTCCGCCACGCGAGTCCTTCGGAAGCAGGCGACATGAATCTGTATCCCCGCATCCGTCATCGCACCGCAAGTCTTCTTCTTCAGGATCATCTTTCAGATTCGTGTCCGCTGTCCGGAGTGCTAGCGCCAGTCTTGCCAGTGTGAGCATCATGGCACGCTCCAAGAGGACCGCGGCCCGTTCGCAGTGTGTCTCCCGGACGGATCGCAGCAGTAGGGCTTCCATGTGCGGACCAAGAGCATCAGAAGAGAGTGGCATGGTAGAGAGAGGCGAGATCATGGATGCTGCTGCTCTAGAGCGCTCGGTGCAGCGGCGGCGCATCCTGGAGGAGCTTCTTAGCACCGAGGAAGGCTACATTGGCGACGTTCGCTTCCTGGTAAACGTAAGCAACTACGCAGCCAAGGTTGCTATCGCGCTGCAAGTGCTCACTCTGTTCGCGCAGGTATACGTCACCATTCTGGCGTCTCTACCCGCTGTGTGCATGGGCCTCCGAGCATCAATCAACCAGAATCTGGCTGATATCATTGAGCTGCACGAGGAGATCCTCGGCGAGGTGCAACGCCTAATACCTCATTCAGAGTACACGCAAGTCGAAACGCCAGCGCGTGAGCGGATGACATCAAATCAAGCACGCCTTGGCCCGCAAGGGCACCGCCGATGGGCCAGTTCGGATGCCGCTGTCGCACGCCGCCAGCGAATATCGTGGCTCCAGTCAACTCCGGGTATGCTATGCGAACCGCATGTCGGAGCAGAAGTGGCCAAAGTCTTTGCCAAGAAGGTGTGACTTTCTGTCCTAGGTCTCGCGGACGTCTCAAATAACTGAAACTCGCTAGATGAATCGGTTCTTCATATATAAGGAATATGGAGCAAAGTATGAGATGATGATCAAGGATGTGTCTTCTGCAGGTCAGGCAATGCCGCAGTGGGACTCCTATCAAAAGGGACTCGAGGTACTCGCATCCATACTGAGCTCTGACAAAAGCGCCAAAGACAAGTCCAAAAAGGCGCTCACAATTGGGGATCTGCTAGTCAAGGTGAGCCTGTGTATCCCTGGCGGCTGACTATCATGCTAACTTTCAGGTAGCCGATACAGAGAGTGTGCAGATATCCTCTTTTGTTCGCAGAGCTGCTGAAGCACACCCCGGTATCGGATTGCCCAAACTCGCACATGGAGCTCGACAGTGTGCTTACGCGACTTCGCGAGGCAACGGCTGAAATCAACAGGGCAACTAATGACGGCACGATGAAGTTGACGCTCGAGAAGACGTGGCTGTTGCAGGATCGGCTGGTGTTCCCAAACAAGGTGAGTCTGGAGTCAGTCTAGGGATACCTGCTCTGACATGCAATAGAAGCTCGATGCTGCATCCAAGAACAGGGTCCGTTCGTTCGGTCACATTCGATTATGTGGCGTTTTGCACGTCTGCTGGCAGGCACCCACCGGCGTCAGCGGCCAGTACATGATCAGTCTTCTGTATCGCAATATCCTATGTCTTGCGTCGGCTGGGAAAGCAGACCAAATATACACTGCCCAGGCTTGCATAGACCTGACGAGGGCCAGGGTTGAAGACGTTGACAATGGACGAGGTGAGTCTGGCAGCTGTTTGCTCTAGGTAATTTGGCTTGCGGCGCTGACCTAGCTGCTAGGTCTGCAATGTCACACAGCCCCATTCTCGTGGAAGATGGTTTTTGAATGCGACCACCACCTGTATGAGATGATTATGACGGCCTGTACGCCGAAGGAAGAGATCGAGTGGCGCTCGAGATTGACACTTCCTGTCGCTGACAGTTCGGAATCGAGGAGTGTATGCCTGTTCACGTCGCTCGACTTGGATATCAAGAGTTTAGGTGCCACATTTGGAAAGCCTGGTAGGCTCATGTGCTCCCGCCGTTATGGGATTTCGTGCTGACAACTGATCCTTGTTAGGTTCAATCGCCCGGAGGGTATCTATACACCGAGCCACAACGGTTGGACCAAAGACGCCCCTCTATCAAGTGGTTCTGAAGAACACAAGCGTTGTCCGGGATTCGACATGCAGTTTCTCGGGATCGATGACCATCAACCGATCTCAGTCGTTGCTAACTACCCACGAGCGAATACCAGTGCGGATACCGGTGCTCGCGCCGGCACGCAGCGAGAGGGCCCGCTTAGAGGCACTGTTGGCTGAAGTCTGGAGCCGCGAGGTACTTCCGTTTCCCGGCATGACGGCGCGAGCTCGAAGCGAGAGCCTGGTCCGTGCGTCTGCGTCAACGGTGATGAGAAAGTTGAGCGTTACAAGCATCGCTAGTTCCTTCACCAGAAAGCCTGGTAGCGGCTCGCAACGAACACGACCCAGCGACGAAGGAAGCTGGCAGAGCATGAGCAAGCGCCGTTCACGGCAAAGCTCAACGGAAGATGCTTCACCGGACTACAGGATGGCTGCGGCGGATGCCGTAAGGAAAGCCAAGAAGCCCAGAACCTGGCAAGGAGTGGGAGCGGTGGTGGCTCCCGACCAGGTCAGCGGGCCGGAACCGGATGTTGCAACAGTCAGCGACCCATTTCAACACCAAAACGCAGCTCGAACAGTGACTGAAGTCGGCGAAGCGATCGCGTTGCGTGCATCGTCGGTAAATAGCCACAGATGCGGCAAGGCAACACGCCTGGAGAAGTCGGCCACGCACACATCCGAGAAGGAGAACAAACGCTCGAGAGACAAAGATAAGACGGCAAGCCGCAGAAGCAAGACGGGCGGCGCCAAGGGAGAGGGACTAGGCCTCAGCCTTTTGAGCCTGTTCCGATAAGTGTCCACCTTGGCGGTCAATATGCACCAATGTCCGCCCTCAAGGCGCGGCGACCAAACCGTTCTGGGCATGCAGGACAGCTTCGACAGGCGGGAAAAGTCAATGGATTAAGGACTATAAGCGACAATGGTAGCGGCGTATCATCTCTATTGCGTAAGCCGTGCTTGGCCAAGGAGATGTCAGGTCGATTAGCCGTCGGTGGGCAGGTGTCCAGTCGTGATATTAGCGGTGGTGGGGGGGGGAAGCTAGTGGCTGGGGAGGACAGCGTTTCAGTAGAGTAACCCAGCCATTGAAGGATGCAATGCCTCGTTATGTTGCCAAGGTGCAGTGCCGGGGCGTTTGCACATGGCAGCCATTCTGCTTGACTGCGCCCGGCACCGTGACACGTCGTCGTCGAGGTGCCATGCGGTGCAGTCAAGCGAGGGTGATGACGAGTGACGTAGTTGCTGCTCGAGGCGGCCCACGATGCCCCACCGCGGACTGCAGGTGCTGGGATGGCAGCTCAATTGGCAGGGCGCTGGACCGGCAGTGGAGCTGGCGGGAGGCATCATCACCGATTCAGACCGGGGTCACATGGCGACTCGACGCTCTGGCATCGAGAAGATGCTGTGGAGTGTGGACACTCGACGCCTTGTCTCTGAGTCCGATGAAGCTGAGATGAGGGGCGGCCTGGCTTGGCCGCACTGGGCCTGGTGGTTCACCAAGGAGCAGGGCAGTCATGGCGCAGGCCAGGGAGGGGAGGTTCCGCAGGTATGGAGTCTGGAGACTGGACTCTGGAGTACCAGAACAGAGTGAGGGAAGGTATGGAGCACCACCTGTCTGGCGGCGTGGAGGAGGTACCTGCCGCGTCCCCTCCATGATGACGTAGCTCTCGCAGAGCTCCTTCTCCAGCTCCCAAGCCTTCCGGCATTGCCTTTGGAGCTCCTCATCTGCTCCTGCTCTTAAAACCTTCTTTCTCTCCCCTCACCTCCATCCTGACCTTCATCATCATCCATCATTCTGCCACAGGCACCGCGACAGCAACAGAAAACCTCGTCACCTCTTATCTTGCAGCGATCCCTACTGTCAACAAGACATCCCTCCCTTTGACCTTGATTTCTTGATCCCGCTCGGTCAAGCAGTCCAACCGTTTCTGCTCATCCGCGCCAGCGACCTGCACGTCACGCGATACCCCGCAGTATCAGCACAGCAGCTCAATTGCACCTCCCGTCCGCCATCATGACCCGCGGCGAAGCCACCCAGTCCAAGGTCCACTACAAGGGCAAGCTTGACGACTTCGTCGTCTTCGTTGACGACCCCGAGGCGTTCAAGAAGTGGCAGAGCGACAAGAGCGTCCCTCTGGCCCAATTTGTCTCCACCTTCAGGATCTTCCTCACCCACAAGTAAGTGGTTTACAATTCATCAGCACGTCACTGTGCCCTTCTCGCGCCACGTCGCAGCGACGCCGGCACCTCGGGTGAATCGGCAGCACCAGCCCCAATTTGTCCAATTTCATAAGTTGGAGCTGTCCTCCCTCTGGCAGGAGACAGTCCTCATGAGATACCAGATGGGGAGGCACACGCACGACATACAAGAGGCAGAAGGCTGACTGGTTGTGACACAGGCAAGGAGCGCAAGGCACCCTCGACGCCGCTCCCAAGGGCACATTAGCTTCTGAATTTGGCACCGATGATGAGGACGAGGTCATCAAGAAAATCTTGACGGAGGGCACCATGCAGACGGTCGAGGTAGGCGGAGAATCCCTTGGTTTGAAAGCTCAGAGCTGACACCGGTGGCAACAGATGCCCAGCCGACAAGGCGTCACCAATGAGTCCATGAGCTCCATGAAGGCTCACTAGAAAGGGACCGCGCCATCCCGTCCCATCGCACACTCGGGCTTGCGCAGGATAGCGGCGTTCATGCCATTGCGTCGCAGCCGGTGTCCGATGTATCGAGGGCGCTGAGAAGCATGGCTGTGGGAAATCATGTCGCGTCCAAGGCGAATGTCACACAACACCAGAGAAGGGCAGCTCTTGGGCCTTCAGTTGGTGCTTAATCATGGCGGGTCACGACGGCAGCCACGGGGGGCTGTAACGGACCTTGCCGACTGTATTTTCGCCCGGGATGCTCTACGAGAGATCATAGCGGAGAACGAAATACAACCAGCGTCGAAACATGTTCGTGTGCTTGCGTACCTGTAGCCTTGTCGACTTTGTCATGCTCTTTGAACACAACGATGTAGGCGGTACATGCTCGAAAGCAAAAACGTTGCGATGCTCTATCTCTTGCGGCTGCGCGGAGATGAACAGCCTACTTCCACTTATATGGATCATTGAGCCTCACATCTTCAAGCACGGCACCGAACCAACCCGCCACTCTCTCGCGTACTTCGCCCGAGCGAGAGGACTAATCGTGCAAGGGACTAAGGCCGGGCGGCTCGGGTAATATGGACGCACCTTGGCTATTATGCCAACGTCAAACCCAAGCGACGTTTCGGAAGTCGGGACGGTGGAGGCCCGCGACGCTGGTGGCGCAGGGGCTGACACAACGGACCCCCCCCCCCCCGGGTCCTTCGCGGACCGACGGCGACGACTACATGCTGCTTTTCTGTATACGAGGTGCATGACACACGGGAAGCTTGGACATTCATCTCGACTTGAACTTCTGGTGGGCTTTGGTAATTTTTTTTTTAATCTGCAGTGGCGGACGGGCCGTGGTATCGTTGCCAAAACGGCGTCCGTTCGGGGGCGGCGCATGCTCCCACCTCGAAACGCGCGACAGCTCTCCGCCGAGTCGTGACAGGCTGACAGCGACACCTCTCTAATCGTCTCAACGTACCGTGGAAGAGGCGCGGGCTCTTCTCCCAAAGCAAGACGCGTGCATTGTCCGGAAAACAGAACCAGAAACCCGCCACGCAATGCCCGCTGAAACAGGCTCAGGCGCATCACCCTCTCGCGCTCACTCAGCGCGTGACTCTCCCCTCCGTCGTTGACTCGTCGTCCCCTCCATGACGCCCCCTTCATTGTCATGACAGAAAAACACACCAAAATGCGAAGATCGTTGCTATGCACAAAACGCCAACGCTCACTCAAATGCAGCAAAAGACAAGAACAGTGGAATGCTCGGTCGAGAAACGCCGAGGTTTGGGAGCAGGACCAACATGACCGTGGGTTGCAGAGGCGCGCGTGTGATTAATCGAAAAGAGAGGCACTGGGCCTGGCTCTAGTGACATGGTCGGTGTATGTACATACGAGCGCGTATATACGTTGGTTGCCTATTCTCGCATGCCAGCGGCTCCGCGCTGAGGCAGCGTCCACGGCTTCGCGCAGATCATCTAGTCGCAAAGTCAGAAAGTGTGCAGACCAAATCGCCGTCCGCTCAACTTACCTCTCCTTCGCTGTAGGCCACAAAGTACACCACCATGCCGATGAGATAGTAGATGGCGGGGTTCGTGGACTGATACATGAGCACCGCGGCGAGAGCCGTCAGAGGCAGAACGGCGAGCCGGAACTCGAGCGACCGATGGATGCTTGTGCCGGCGACAAAGGCCAGCGGCCACTCCAAAGCCAGCATACCGAGGCCAAACAGTAGGTTGATGATTTGCAGAATCGGTATCGGCTTGACGGCGCCATCCAAATTCTTGGTCAAAAAGTCCCAGAAGATCTTGGGCCAGAAGAAGCCTTCCACGGCCGCAGCGACTTGATCTGTGTGAGTGTCTGCATTAGCTGGTGTCATGTAAACGTGGAGGGAGTGGCGTACAGAGTGCGGCAGTCAAGATGATCAGGCGACCCCAGTGGTTCTTGATGAGTCTCCCCATGGCTGCTTGTCAACTCAAGATTTTGCTTCCCTCAAGCTCCGTTCTGTTTCTCTCAAATTTCCTGGTTCTTTGGGATTGCTCCTCGCGGACGATCCCAGACTGGTCCTCTTCGCTCTTCGTGGCCTGACCTAAGGTCGAGGAGTGATTCGAAACTGATGTCTCGCAGTGCTTGTCGCCGTCAAGGCCCTAATCTCTTTCACTGGGGCCGATACGTAGCGTCGTTCCGAAAATGGCGTCGAGCAGGAAGGGCAAGCGACAGGGCAGGTACCAGACCTGGGAAATCCAACAATGGGCAAGAGAAGAAACGAGCGGCCGTATTAAATGAGGGTTATCCTCGACAGGCCCAGACTGTACGAGAATGCGGAAGAGAAGGGATCGAACCGGCGTTGGAGATGAATTAAATCCAAGGCAGACAGTTCGGATGGCAGGTGATGGGTAAACGGCGTGGTTAAGATGACTATAACTGAGCTGCTTGGCAGCGAGCCGTCGGCAGGGCTGACAACCCGTGCCAGGGCTGGTGCCGTTGCCGAGGGCAGTGGAGATGTCGAGTTTCAGACACTGGTGTCAAGCGCGACGGCCGAAGTATCGGATGTTTCTGGGGTTGCGACGGAGTGGCAGCAATTTCGCAGCGGTGGTGGTTTCGCGGATGGCCTAGTCCGAGCATAGGAGGCATCCGAACGGCAATAGTTGGGACCGTTCCCACCGGGGCAGGCGACGCATAAACGGGAAGTGGCTTTTGAATGTTGCGCCTGTCGATGATACCACGGCCAGACGTGGTGCTACAAGTCGCTCGCGGCGCCACAATGCCGGGTCCTTCACCTGAAGTGGGAGAAGGTGTACGAGGGCCGCAGAGTAGAACGGAGTCGCTAGTCGGTCTGACAAGTCGGGGGCTCCCTGGTGCGAAGAAGATCAGACAAGAGTCTGGAGGCGGCGGTTTTGGAATCTGGCAGAGGCGAGGCGCAGTACGTCACGGGGAGGCGCGGATGGCGAGAAGAAGGGAGGAGGATCAAACGCAAGCCTCTGACCGGGGCAGGTCGCGGAGGAGTTTTAAGAAACGGCGAGGTGGTTCTGCGCAGACGCATGCGGTGTGAGGGCCGGGGCCACTCGCAGACGCACAGGGCCGCCTCGTGAGGAGGACGAGGGTGTGCATGAGCCGTCGCGGGGCGAGCTCGACGCCGCAGCAGGCGCCGTGAGGGGTCTTCTTCTGGGCACGACTGACACGACTGGTACGATCAATGGACGCATGTACAGTAGTAAGCGACGGGGCCAGAGCAAGAGGCCGTGCCGGCGGAGGCGAGGCCCACGATTCCGGCATGGCAGGCGAGGAGCGACATGGCCTCGCTCCCGTCTCCGCTCCAGTCTCGAGATGCCGGTGGCTGCTTGGGCCAAGCTACTGCCAGCCCCGGCGCGTGCTGGTCACACAGGGCTTGGCCTAGGCATCACGTATGCAGGTTCCGGACGGCCATTGGGGCGGGCGGCGGTGGCGGGAGGGTGCTTGTCGCTCGTCGCTGGGCGGGCGGGCAGCTCTCGTGTCTTGGGGCGGAGATGGTGGTGTTGAGCGACGTCTTTCTGCAACCCCCATTGCGCAGACGCCACGGGCCCTGTAGCCCTGATTGGCCCAGGAGCTGCGTGTAACCGCCGGGCAAAGGTGGGAGGGTGGCAGGGGTGCAGGGGCCAGGGGCTGCCCCTGCCCATCCAGGAGCTTCCGTTCCACAGTCGGCTTGACGACCCATGACGAAAGCGCGGGCAGGTGCCCTGCTCTTGTTCTCGTTGCCCATGCGTTCTCCATCGTGGTTGCCTCTCTCTTCGTGCCTGCCTGCCTAGATGGCGGCTGGAACGTTGGTTGGGGAAAGACCTGACAGACGGCCGAGGAAGGAGCAAGCGCGATACCCGTCCCCCTCCCGCGCCAGATCCCGCCAATGGTCAGGCACCCAGGTACCGCACCAAGGTCGCATCTTCGTCCCGCCGTGTCACCCACCATGGAACAGTCCGTCCAGCATCCACGGCATCCATTCCCTGCTTCCGCTGCTGTTGCGCCTCCCGTATGGCAGCGTGGGCCTCTCTTGTCAAGCCTCGCCGAGACCAAGCAGGCATTCTGTTCACACCACTTGGTGTGCCGTCGCTGCTCCTCGGTTCGCGGCAACGCCCAACCCGAAGCTGCATGGACGGCCTCGTCTCGTCGTGACCAAGATCGCGCGAACCCGATGAAAGAGGTTGCAACCAACATGGTTCGGCCCTCGCGCATCCGGCGCTGGCCTGGTCTTCCAGCGATTTGCCTGCCGCTGCAGGACAAGGATGGCCATGTTTCTATTTTCCGAACCACTGCTCCGTACGGATAGCCTCGTGCTCGACGCGGTCGGCTCATTGCCTGTCCGCCTCGCCGATGACATGAGTATGCTTGTCGAACCTCTCATTGCCAATGGCTCAGCTGTTGCTGCAGTTGGCTGTGCGTTTTTTGACCTCCTCGAGCCAAACATTCAGACGGCTGGGCAGATGGCCGGCTTGCAAGTGGCCATGACGTTCCACTAAGCGCCGGCCGGGCATTGTGCTCACTTTGGCTCCGCGCGGGACCCCATGAAGCACGGCTTGTCTGATCCGGGCGCCACACCCCTCCCCCCTCCCTCCCTCCTCCTCCTCACTGTGACCACACGAGCTGCCATCCCACCACGGTATTGGTAGGGTTACCATGGCCGCGCTTCTTGGATACTTCTCGCACCCATCTCCATCCTCTTGGGTTTTCAACCGCCACTTTCGTCCCGCGAAAAATGAATGAGGCGGGCCAGATTCCGGCCAGATGGTATCGCAACCTGTGCCATCATCCTCTCGCCTCAATCATTGGCTTCCGCTCCTCGGGGTCACCCGCCGTAAGCGTGAGCGCTGCCGATCCGAATATGGACGTTTCTGGCGAAGCATTGCCAGCTTTGGATAGCAGAGAGGGTACTGTGCCCCAACGAGCACGTCCGATCCCTTTGGATCTGAGATTGGGTAACCAACCCTTGTATCATCGTGTCAACCTCAGGAGATAATCTGCCCGTTTTGCCCAATCCCACCGCCGATGCAGCGACGAGTCTGCATTTAGATGCTCATACGGATCCCAACGACATCAGGCTGTCAACATACGTGTGGCTGCTGTTTTCCAGACCCAGGCCTGAGCCATTTTCTTTGTCAGAATATCGTGCCATATTCCATGTGACGATTCCTCTGCCAAGATGTGAGCCAGAATCGAAAGACTCATCACAGACAAAGTCGCCAAGCTCGGTGTTGATGCGCGCCCAGCGGTGAGGGCCCTTGGCCCCAACATGAACGGCGCAATGCGTCCATTCAGCTCTTCCTGCACCCCTGCCAGGTCGCCCATGTGTCCATCTTCATGCATCGACCTGCCTGCAGGCGGCGGCTCTGCGCTTGTCCCCATTGGCTCGAGGCACCATCGGCACATCAGTGCATGCGGGACCCCAATACTTGCAGAGAGCTCCGCCGTTTCTGGACGTTGCCAGTGGCCGGTTTTGTGTGATGCTATTTGTGTTGGTGCGGCTCATCTTGGGGGTCCCCCATTGAGAGGCTGGAAGTGGTGATAGAGCCCTGTTTGGGCATCGCAGCAGTCACCATCTTCAAAAGCGTCTCTGCCTCGCCCATTCGATGCAGGGACTCCTGCAAGCACGGCTCTCAGTCAGCCAGAAGTGTTAGGAGGCCCAGCCGAGTTTCAAGGAAGAATCATTGTATTTGCGTCGGCTCCTGGTGACCGGTTCGGAACCGACTGATCATTGCCATTTCCCGTCCTCTACAATCAAGCTACTCTCCGCGGATATCTCCACCTAACCCAGCCTGTAATGGACCTGACCACCAACTAATACCCATGACTTGCCCCCGGACCCTCCGTGAAGAACGAAATGACCTTTGCCGCCTGCGAGTCCCCCAGATACTCGGCAATCTTGCGTTGGCCGGCAGGGTCATATGCATGTCTCGCCAGGTCGGCGAATCCCGTGCAGATATCTGACAGCATGTTTGTCTGGCTTGTCGTCAGTCGCGGGCCCCGGCTGCAATGGGACAGGACCTCCCGCATCCTGAGCAGGTCCTGCGTAGGCGTCACAGCCTCCGGGTCGGGCATGCTGCACTGCTGTCGGAGAGAGTCGAGGCAGGATGGCAGCTCGCGGGCTGAAGCTATCGGGATGATGGATACGGTGCTTTCGGCGTAGAGCGTCCTACAGCGCTGCCGTGTCAGGAGCCCTGGGCTGAGTTGCGGCGGCAGGATGTTCATGGCGTTCTACGTACCACATCTGGAGCTCCATGAAGGAGTCCATGCTCCCTTTTTCCTCCAGGAGGAGGATGACGGCGGCTTTGCCGTCGCCGTCGAGCATTGACAGTCTGTCGATTCTGGTCCTGGCTTCGGGCGTGTTGGCCTGGCTGCTCGACAGGAGAATAATCCGAAACATTGCTGGACCGTGGCCTGCATTGGCCCGCAATGGGAACGCGACGTCGTGGGACTCGAGGGTTGTCTCTATGAGGCGTTGGCATCGCCATTGCTGGACGAGGCCGAGGGTGATTCCGACAATGCAAGTCTTCTCCACGTACCTCTCCAGCCTGGGTTGGCTGTCGTGGCAAGAGCTTGGACGGCTGTGGACCATTCTCGCCTCCTCCGTAGCGCCGAGCAAAACATGGCTGGTATTCCGCGGTGACTGCTAATGGTCAATGAGTGTGCAGTGTTCAAGCTTTTGTTTTATTCAATTGTCTCCTCGAGACCGTAAATTGTTCTCGAGCGGGATTTGAGCCGCGCGCCGGAGTGGAAAGTGCCCCTGGTGCCGCCTCCTTCCTGGCCGACCATGCCCACTGGTCTAGAGGGGCCATGACCTCTCCATCTACATTGTTCCACAGATACTCCTTCCGCTCCAGGTAATCTATATACGTCCCGTTTCCATATTCGTACAGTATAAGAATGATGTGCTCCCGGGTTGACAATGTTATGCCCTTCCTTGCTGGCCACTTGCTGGCCACTTCTGATGTCAAGCCAGCCGTCTATCGTGAGAGTAGATTGTGTGTGATGAATGAGCGATGAGTGATACGTGCTATTCGCTCCGCGTGGACGATGGTCAAGGGCGCATCATGCCGCCCGCAAGCTCGGTAGCAGCGGCTGTTTCGTCTTGGGGTCTTGGAGCGCCCGCAGCGCCTCCTCCAAGGCATCGTACCGCTGCTGCCGGCTCCGCTCCGCCTCGGCGAGCTCATCCTCGCGCAGCCTGAGCTCCTCGAGGCGGCGGTCGAGCTCGTCGATGCGCTCCTTGTTGGCGTCGGGCTTGCGCGACGCCTTCCACGTCTCGTAGATGATGAGCCCTCCCGCGACGGCGAGGATGAAGGCGTCGCCAATGACGTCGGCGAAGAGGTCCACGGCCTTGGTCTCGGGCAGCGGGCGGAACTTGCGCTTCCAGACGTTTTGGAAGGTGAAGCCGCCTCTGCGCTGGTGGGCGTGGGACGATGTCGACGACGACGACGATGATGACGAAGATGTTGACGAAGATGTTGACGCTGATGCTGACGTTGACGTTGAAGTTGATGTTGACGAGGCGTGTTCTGTCTTGGCGCCTGCGGCCTTCTCCTTCGCTGCGGCCTTTTCCCTCGCCGCCTCATCGCGCTTGTGCTGCTCCTCCGTCTTGACGGTCGGCGCCTCGGCGCGCTCCTTGGCTCGTCGCTCGGCCTCGGGATCCCGCAACAGGGCGACCGACATGCGCATGTTCAGCTGGTGTATCGACTGGCCGTAGCGGGCGGCGAAGGCGCGGAAGCGGGGATGGTCGTGGGCGCGCGCCTTGATGCGGTTCTGCGCGGGGAAAGCGTCAGCCAAGTCAAAATTTCTTCTGTACCATGGTATGTCCATGGAGCAACAAAGGTTCGCAGCGGCAGGGGGACTCCTTACAGCGCCATATTTGGAGACGTGCCGCACGAAGAGGGCCGCGAGCTTGAAGAGCGGGAGGGGGACCATGGCGATGGTGCGTGCCGGCTGTCGCGCACGGAGAGAGAAGACGACGCGGGGAAAGAGAAGGATCAAGCGCGCAGATGGTCGTGGTACCGAATGCAAAGAACGCTGACACCCATTGATCGCGGGAAAGAGAAGGATTGAAGATCGCGGATTCGCCCGCTTCCAGGATGAAGTCGAAGGCGGCGGCGGGCTTTGCGTCAGAGGTCCCGTGCCGTGGAGTCGCGAAAGTGGCGGCCGCATGCTCCGGGGCCCCGTCATCTCCCACCCGGCTTGGCCACCCACCAGGCACGGCGTCGACGGCCTCAGGTACCATGCATCATCCACGGGCCAGTGGCGGCAGTCAAAGACCTCCTGCCCAGCAGGTTACAGCGGGCTCCAGGCGGGCAGCTGCAGTGGGGCCAGCGCAGTTGGAGCTGGGCTACACCCTCCACTGCCCGGTAGGTGGATCCATGGATGGCTTGGATGAGGTGGGTGGCCCGGGAGTACAGTGGGGCTTCCAGCGGCCGCCCGCCCAATTAGACAGCAAGACCGCCTGCAGATGGCCCCAGCACAGCGACCACCCGTGGATGGTTGCGCCGGCAACGGCTGCCCATGGCAATCACTCAGCATGCAAGACTAGCGAGCAACAACGTACACAAACCACCCCCGTTTGCTGCTTCCGCACCTGCGATGCTCGCACAGCCGCGACGCCGCGACCGACCGACCACTCAGCCAGCACACCAGCCAGCCAGCCAGCCAGCCAGCCGGAAGCCACCTTCACCCTTCCGTTTTGCCATCCCCAGAGGCACGAAGCGCGGCGTCGACTCCCAACATCAAGCATTGTTTAGTGTCCCGTGCTGCCTCGCGCGCCGCCAGCAACATCCGCCCCAAGCAATACATGCCGCAGTGTTTGGCGAATGCCGCTTTGGCGACCCGGTGAGTGATTCAATCCCGTCCTCAGGCAGTGCCAATCCGCCGCCGCCGAGTTTTGATCACACGAGAGCTCGTTGCGTGGTCATCGGGCAGCTGGTATCACGTTCCCGACTAACGCATTGAGCTTTTCGACATCGCCAGGTTGCTCTCATTCATCTCCTCCCGTGCGCTGCTCCAGTTCACGGCCTGACCGCCAGCCGTTGACGCGCACGTCTCGACGTCCTCCATCCGACGCGTCTCGATCCGCCGTCAACCATGGCTCACAGGTTGGCTGCTGCCAGAGCCGGCGCCGACCTCGAGGCATTGTCCCCTAGGGATGCCAACGCCCAGAGGGTGCCGAAGGTTCCCGAGGTCAAGACGAAGACGGCCGCACAGTTGAGGGCCGCAAAGGACAAGGAGCACCCTCCACCTCCTCCTCCCGAGGTCACGGAGCCGCCCGCCAACGATCGCCCGAACGGTGCCGTCTACCATGTCGGTAAGTTGCTGGGCAAGGGTGGATTCGCAATCTGCTACAGCGGGCAGCTTGCCTCGACCAAGCAGAAATATGCCCTGAAAATCGTCAAGAGCCGCATGCCGCCCAAGATGGAGCAAAAGGTCAGTCCACCTTCACTTGGGCCTTCTCTGATACCGTTCTAACATGGCTGCCAGTTTCAAACCGAGCTGCAAATACACTCCAAGATGAGGCACAAGAACGTCGTCCAGTTCCTGCGAGCCTTTCCCTTCGACAGCTGCACGTACCTCGTTCTCGAGCTCTGCAACAATGGCTCCCTCATGGACATGGTGAAGCGACGAAAGGGCCTCACGGAGCCCGAAGTGCGTTTCTACTCGGTTCAGATCGCCGGCGCCATCAAATACATGCATGGCAAGGGCGTCATCCACCGAGACCTCAAGATGGGCAACATTTTCCTCGACGCTCAGATGAATGCGAAGATTGGTGACTTTGGCCTGGCCGCCTTGCTGGTGACTGGCCGAGACATGCAGACCATCCGCCGCACCACCCTATGCGGAACGCCCAACTATATTGCCCCCGAGATCCTGGAGAAGGGCAAGAAGGGGCACGACCACATGGTGGATATCTGGAGTCTGGGCATCATCATGTAAGAAGATACAACTACGCTTAACACCTGACGGAGTTTGCTTACGATTCGGGATTTCTAGGTTCGCCATGTTGACGTCGAAGCCGCCTTTCCAGTCTTCGACGACGGATGAGATTTACCGCCGTGCCAGGGAGCGTGACTACGAGTGGCCGACGGCCGAGTCGTCCCAGAAGTTCATCAGCCAGGATGCAAAGGACCTGGTCGCCGACATGCTTCAGGACGCCGACATGCGACCCGACCCGGACGTCATCGTTCAGCATCCCTTCTTCACCTCAGGCTACATGCCAACCGAAAACGACATGAGCCCGCGGCTGCGCGAGGTGCCGCCCGAACGTGAGGAATTCTACGCTACGCGGATGAGCAGCTCCATGCAGGCACAGTCGTACCGAAACCTGAAGGATATGTGCCGCGAGTGCTGCGTGGGACCCTGGACTCCGGTCCAGGTCATCCACACGCAGATCTGGAAGGAGATGGCGGCTGAGGAGAAGGCTGGGATGACTCCCATGATCCCCCTGGCCGAGAACTTGGTCTATCGGCCCTTTGACGACTGGCTCAGAGAGCAGCAGCAGCGTCGCGCCAAGAGTTCGTCGTCCATGATGTCGTACGCATCGCAACCCGCTTCGTCGTCGGACGACCAGCTGGCCAGCACGTCAAGGCCCCCCACTGGACTTCTCCGACAGCCGCCGCAGAGCTTTGCTGCCCAGCAGCGGGCGCAGAGCAGGCCTGCTGCGTCCACAGCCGCCAAGTCTAACCCTCCTGTTGACCCGATGCTTAGTGCCTCTCAGAGCACACGAACACGACCCCGACATGACGCGATGCGCGATATGGCTTCCAAGGAGGCACCAGATGCTACAGGCACTATGAAAAGCATGCGTGGCTCCATGCGCACTCAGCTTCCTGCCACGAGATCTGCTCCGAGTCTGCAGGTCGCTGAGCGAGCGGCGACCCTTTCCTCGGAGCGGCCATCCCTGCACACGCGACAAAAGTCGGACTCGGTCCGGACTGCATCTCTCTTTGGTCCGACGGAAAGGCCACAAGAGGTCTCTGGCACGCAACCGGATGTCATCCTGGATCGGTTGAGGCGACTTCAAACAGAGCTTGAGAGAGCTCTCAATGCGCGAACCATGGCAATCGTCTCGTCCAAGACGGTCACGCCGCCTCACCCGCACGTCGTGGTCAAATGGGTCGACTACACCAACAAGTTTGGCCTCGGCTACATTCTCAATGATGGAAGCGTTGGATGTATCCTCCGCGACATTCCCACGACAGAAGGGAGCAAGACGGCGATACTGCCGCCGGCTGGAGTCTTCATCCGCGGAGCAGAGAAGCATATCCTTCGCCGACAGGACGAAACATACCTCGACAGGAGTCAGCCCATCCCAATGAACCAGTCGATCAAGTTCTTTGAGAACAATGGGGAGACTGGCCTGGCCGAAGTTTCGGTATCTCCGGAACATTTCAGAGTCGCGATTAACGAAGACGGCACCGCAGGAAAGATGAATCCCGGAAAGGACATCTTCCAGCACCGAAAGCGCGAGAGGATCATTCTCTGGAAGAAATTTGCCAACTACATGATCGCCTATGGCAGAGACGAGGCTATCCCTACGGAAGACGGCGATGCTGGCGGCGTCATGTCTCCTGGCCAAAAGGGCACGCCGGCAGAGCTGGTGACGTTCTACCAGCGGTTTGGTGACGTCGGCTGCTGGGTCTTTTGCGATGGCCATCTGCAGGTAAGTTGAGCTGCTACAGGACTCTCATTTTGGATCACAATACTGACAGCTGCCAGTTCAACTTCCCTGACCACACCAAGATTGTGCTCGACGCGACCGGCACCTGGTGTCACTTCTGGCACCTCCCGCAAGAGGCAGCCGAGCAGCTTGCTAGTTCGGGCACCATAGGAGCGGCCGCTCTGGATGACCGCGCCACGCTGTCATATCCTCTGCAGACGTTGCTCAACTTCCAGTCCAAGCCGTCAACAACCCGCAGCGGACGCACGAGCACTCGAAAGCGCCCCGAAATCGAGCCCGAGCTGCAAGGAATCCCCGCGGCCAACGACTTCCGCCGCAAGATTGAGTTCATCAAGAACGTGGTCAAGGAGTGGGTCTACAACGGCGGTATGGGCAACAGCTCCATGAGCCGCGAGACGCGACTGCGTTGGACCGGGTATCGCGAGCTCGTCAACACGACGATCCCGCAGAAGCACGTTTGGGTGACCATCGGTTCCCGCTGGGGGGACCACCGCCTGTCGACGTACGTTGACCCCCGCAAGCCGTGGGAGCTCGGCGAGGACGTGGACAGCTCTTCCAAGAAGTGATGCTGGCGATGGTTGCCTGTGAAGGAGGCGGCATGCCGCGCGAGGCCTTCCTCGATTCTGTGACTTTTTTTCCCATATACCCTTCTTGAAGCTCCCAGCTGGTTTTTGGCACTAGCGAGCGGGTTCCTGGCGTTGCTGATTCGTGTCTGTTTTGTTAACGGCCAAGGACACGGGGGAAGCATGAGACGATTGAATGACCTGCTATTTTCTTCTCGGCGCATGTGCGTGCGCTTTCATAAAGTGTGTGTGTGTGTGTGTGCCTCTTTGGGCTCGGTTTTCTTGTATGTTCGGTTAATACTGCCGCCTACCGGCCTGTGCTCATGACTTTGACTGGCTTTTGCAGTCCATAATGACTTTGAACAAACTGACTGGCCTCTACCTGCCTCATCGGCCTCGCGGGATGCTCGCGGTCGGGAGTGGCTGCTTCTGGGATATGCCGTGCCATCTGTGTGATCCGGTCCTTTGAGCTGCAAGGGCGAAACGAACGAGGCACCGAAATGCGCGTCTACTTAGTCCACACAACACCAGCTTGCAGGAGGGACAAGGCACAACAAAGTGACGAATCGATCCATGTATTTATTAGCTAAAACTAGAGCGCTCTGCTGCCAACATAGCTTAGACAGGAGAGCACCGCTGGTGCGCCCGGGGGGCTCGCAAAAATATCAGACGAAGCCTGCAGGAAACCCGACGCCGCTCCAATGATGATGACGATGACGATGTTGATGGCCACTCCAATGATTATGGTTGCGCGACCAAGACGTCCCCTTTGCTTCTCATCCAGCCCCGACTGCAGCGCTCCCCGCCCTTCATCCAAGAGGAGGCGGGGAGACATTAGCTGAGGCAAGGGTGTGGATTAAATACTCGGGCTCGTCCGTGCACCGCGACGGGCGCGTAGACACATAAGCCGACAAAGGTATATAAAGCTTGGTTGTGCCCATCCAAGAACCATTAAGAAGCCGAAAAGGGGAGCAAAAGCAAAAGACCAGACTCGACGTGCGAGGATCCCAATTATCCGTTTCATGTCATGTATGTGCGTGAGTGAAAATCGAAGGCCACGTATACCGCCTACCCCCAAACCACCGAGGCGCCCGCGACACCAGAGGAAACAAGAGGCAGATGGATGCAATCAGGCATCCGAATAGTACTCCTCGTTGTGGTAGTGGCCTTGGGGCATTGCCCAGCTGCTGTGGCTTCCGCCGACCACGTTTTCCCGCGAGCCCCAGTAGGCGCTCTTGGATCGCTTCTCGCGCTCAAACTCGGCCCACCGCTTCATGGTGATCTTGCTGCTGTCGAACTCTCCCTCAGTCTCGTGGCCGCCCTTCTTGCTGTCGCCAGCAGTCTTTCGCGTGTCGCCCCACGAGAAGTCGTCAAACTTCCAGAAGGCGTACGTCGGCAGAACGAAATTCCAGATGGGGAGCGAGAGTAGGTAGATCAACATCCAAATGACGTACGACCAGTTGTGCGCCGTGACAATGATCAGCACTCCAGGGAGACCGAGAATGAGAGCCAAGAGCACCAGCGGAATGATTTGCGGAGGCGAATGGATAATAGACGTGATGACTTCAACAATGTTAGCAGGGCCGAGCCCAAATCGCCAAAGGGGCCAACGGGACCAATACTCACCAACATAAAAGGTAAAGGCAATGGCAGCGGGAAGCACCAGGGTGCCGATGAGCTCGACGAATACAACAAACTGCATGCTAAAGCAGAAAGTGCCGCAGAGGTCTCGCACAAGGACCAGCTCCATGAGGTTGTGGATGGTCGAGTTGATCCATCGTCGGCGCTGAGACAGGAGGACCATGAACTTGTCGGGGACAGTTGTCTTGCACACGGCTTGGGGTACAAAGACCTGCTTTCGCTTGGGGAATGTGCGAAGCATGAGCGTCGTCAGGTATCGATCTTCACCCAGGAGGTACAGGTTCTTCTCGTGCAGCGTCTCGACCACGTTCTCCGAGTAGTGCTCGACAATGTCGGGGTTGGCAAGGATGGGAACCCAGTAGTTCTGCCCTCCCTTGGGCGCCTTGATGCGGTACATGCAGAAACAGCCGGGCAAACACGTCACACCACCAAAGACCGACTCGAATGACTTGGCCAGATGGTGAGAGATGAAGTACTCGAAGACCTGGATGGCCGTGACCCAGCTGTCGCGCTTGTTTGCAATCTTGGTCTCGCCGCACAGGCCCATGATCTCAGGGTCCTTGACCATGGCGGACACCATGTGCGTCAAGCTGTCGGGGAAGACCTTGGTATCGGCGTCCACCATGAGCACGATTTCGTAGTAGTCGGGCGATATTCCCGTCACCTTCCACATGCCGTTGAACATTTCGTACTCGAGCTCCGTCATTCGCTCATCGAACATGACCTTTTGCAGGAACGACATGAGGATGATCTGACTGTCTCGCTTGCCTCGGTTGCCGGGTTTGCCCTTGCCCTCCTCCGCAGGTGTGCCACACTTGACGATAACCATCATGGGGACGCGCTGCTGACGGTCGATGGGGATCTGGGACTTGGCGCCGTAGTCGTAGAAGCCGCAGTATACCTTTGCCATGTTGTGTCGCTTGGAGCCGCTCGCGACAGCCACGTACGAAAACGGCTGCACAAGCTCAGGCGGGGTCGAATGGTCCTTGAGCATGCTCAAACAGGCGTCGGGGGTCGAGACGGCCTCGCCCTTGCCCTTGATGATGCCGTCGCAGATGACGACAATGCACTTGTGGCTGTTGGGGTAGTCCGTCATCGCAATCGAGTCGAGCGTGGTTCGGATGCCCTCTACGCCTTCAGAGTACGCCGTGACCAGACACATAGTATGGGCTAGCGGGAAACCGAAAGGCATCCAGTCAGAAGGAGGCTGAGGGACAACAGCATCATGGATGAAGCCGGCTGGGCCGGGTCCGTCAGACACGCTGCCGCTAGCGTAGGGATCGGATCGGAGGAAGCTCGCTCGACTGTCATTGCCTTGTTTGTAGATGGAGTTGGGGTTCAGCATGGACGAGCCTGGCGTTCCCTGGCTCGCCATTGTCGTAGGCACGCGGCGCTGCCCGGGCGCGCGGTCCGCACCGTAGACGGCAGAGAACCTCGAGGTAGTTGGCAAGAAGGAGGAGCCTCGCTTGCTCATCCTGTCAGAACCGGCAACGGTGCTACCAATGTCGCCGGGCAGCCTGACGGGTGCTCGGTAGATGTCCTCGGACCAGTCCTCGATCTGACGGTTACGCTTCCTGCGATCGGAGCTTTGTGAGGTCTTGCTCGCCGCGTAGTGACGGCTGATGAACCACTGGAACACGAGAGCGAGAACAAATCTCGACAGGACGACCGACAGAATCAGAATGAGTGCACAGTACAGTACAACCTTGGAAGCGATGCAGCCGACCGTCTCTGTATCGATGGAGCCGACCTTGATGATCTCGTCAAAGCACTGGAGGTACTTCTTGTCATCCGACGACTGGAACATGCGGGTGACATCACGGCCCCGGATTGCCTTGTTGACGGCCGAATTGGTGTCACGGATCTCCTTGAAGCGGTCCGGAACCACAACTTGGGACTCGTTGAACCAGTTGAGGAGGTCGAGGTCGAGGACGTTGCCAGAGTAGACAATGAGGTTTCGCGAGCTGTTCTTGACGTCATCCCAAGAGAAGTAGACGTCCGCGGCGCCACTCAGATCGAGGTAGAAGGCATTTCGGGACTTGAGTGTCGTGTGGCAGCCGTACCCAAGGTAGTAGTCAATGGTCGTGTTGGGCTTGGTCGATCCGTCCTGGTTGAACGTGGTGCAGGGGAAGTACCAGGCCAGCTCACCTTGGGCGTTGGTGGGCACATCGGAGCCTGGAGCCAAAGTGATGAGATCTTTGCAATGACCGTTGACGTTCTGGAACAGGAAGCTGCCATCCTGGCCACCGTGCTTCTCCGGAAGATCAAAAAGAACGTTGGCTCCCAGGCCATCGCCCCTCAAAGGAATTCCCTCGGCCGGGGGATGGTGAGAATTGGAGAGGTCATATGCGACGCCGTGGAAGATCATGTATCCGAGGCCGACGTCGTTGACTTGCAGGCGCAGCGGGGGTGCACTGCAGACAGTTGCGGTGAAGCCAAACGTCAGGAAACCAACAATGGCCATAATGAAGAGGATGATGCTGATGAGGCCCATCTTCTCTCGCCAGGCTCGCCGCTGAGCCTTGGTGGGCTTCCCGCAGCACTTGAGCATGAAGTCCGGGCACCAAAAGGTGACAATGGAGCAGTACACGTTCCAGAAGCTCGGGGGCCGGAGCTGGTCCTCGACAACCTTTTGCTTCTTCTTGCGGGCCTCGCGGACAGGCTTACTCTCCTTGACAATCTTGCCCGACTTGGTTCGACCCGGCCGGGTGCGGACTCGCGCGTCACTCTTCTCTTTCTCGCCGCTGCTCACCTTGCGAGGGCGAGCGCCTCGGGCGGAGGCTTCGGAGAAGCTGCCGTTGGCTTGGGAGCCGCCAGACCTCTCCGTCGAGCCATCGATATTCTCGAGGATCGGGTCATTGCCCGTGGACGACGGCAGCACGTCCATGTTGGCTGCATGCTTATGGTAGTGGTAGTTGCGATGATCCCTGCCGATCCTGTTCCTCTCTGGCCTGATTAGACTCCTCTTACGAGATGGCAAGTCGGAGCTGTTCTGCCTCGCGTGGCCATGCGGGTCCGTAGGCGACAGAGGCAGGCTCTCTGTATTGGCATTAGGGTTGGAAATTGTATCGGCGAAGGAGGAGGCAGAGATCCCACGTTCATGATGCCCGTGTCTGGGCACAGAGTGATAGCTACCAGCCTCGATGTCAGCGGGACGCGATCGTCGGGACGGCGAGTTTCGGTATGTCCGGTCGTATATGGGACTTCCGCCCGGCCTCTCCGGTAGAGACATGGCCCTGCGTGGGAATTTTGTCAGCCTGGCTTGGCCAAGGATGAAGAGTATATGGCAAAAACTGCGTTCGTCAAGTCGTCAAATGACCCGAAACGTCGGGATCATCCCGGCGCAAGCGAAGCCTTTTCCTTGGAGCAAATGGTTCAATCAGGGCGAGCGCCTCGTGATTCAGATCCACGTACTGCCCCAAGTTCAAGGGCGAGGGTATTTTCCTCAAGGGCGCGCCGCAAGGCGCATGCAACCACTCCTTGTGCAGCAAGGTCGTGGAAGAGCAGAGGGAGACTTGGAAAGGGATGGCGAAGGAGACTCACGGTATGTGGTGCCGTCAGGCGCGGACGCTCGACGCAGACCAGTACGCTGGTACGATGCGGTGCAGATGCGGCGCGGGACCGCCTGCCGAGGGATGGAAGGCAGCGACGAGGAAAGAAAGGCAAAACGAGAGCCCAGCCTTGCCTCGATTCGACCACGAATGACAGGCTGAAGAAGGCCGCGGCGCGCAGAGTCAAGCCGGTAGAACCAGTCGCAGGCGAGACGACGGATCGCGGCGTCGACTTGGGCACTGGCGACGAACGGCACGACAGAGACGGGTCTGTCTTCGGCGGGCAAACGAGTGACGGGGACTCAACGGTCTCGCGATTCGTCGAGGACTGATTTCGGGGATGCCCGGTCGGCACTGGGGAGGAAGTGATGGGACGAAGCGGTCGAGCGACTGCGGCGCCCCCTAGGCGGGCGTGTTTTGCTGCTGGGCGCACCTCGGGCTGAGGCGGTACTCGAACGGAGACGGGAGAGATTGGGGCGATCGGAGTGGCACAGACGCTCTTCCGTGGCCGCGCTGGAGAAGCAATATGGGCTGGCACGCGCCGTCGACTAGGTTGAGGCAGAAGAAAACGGGTGATGGCGGTTAACGAGAGACGGGATGTTTGTTTCTGGGCCTGGCAGCCTTGCTTTTGCGCCCCCCTTTGAGCCGGTGCTGGGGCGAAACAGACGCGGACAGGGCTTGACGGGGTTGAGATTTCGAGGGTGGAGGGAGAGAGACGAGGAACCAGCCAAGGCAGGGGATGGTCAGCAGCCAGCCTGGGCTGCGCTGCGCTGCACTGCATTGCGCTGGCACGGCGGGCGGCGCTTTCTGCGAAAATGGGGACTGGGCTGGACTGGACTGGACTGAGGTGTGGACTCTCCCGCCAACGCTGGTGGCCGTGCAAGCCCAGCCAAGGGCAGGGGCGGGCTATTCTGGGAGCAACATCCACTGCGCGCTGCAACCAAGGCACGCGCCCTGAAGAGCGTGTGGGTGGACAGTGCGGGCACCAAGCCTTCTGCACAGGGGGCCGCACAGGGACCCCCAGGCCCTCTGCTGCTGCTGGAAGGCCCGTAGCTCCTGGAACCAACCGCCGCCGGCTGCTGAGGCATGAGCGACCCGGAGCACCTGCGCCACCAAAACCACCCAAAAAAGGGGCCAGACAATGGCTGATTGAGCATGAGGCGGGGGTCGTTCGCCCAGTTCCGCCGCCTGGGCACTGTGTGGTTGGCGGCACGGGCCAGTCGCAGTGCTGAACTCGCCGTAGGGAAGGACCGACGCTCCCTACCAAGGCACTAAAGTTACCGTGGCCAGCGGGAAGGCAGCTTGCTGCTGCCCCTGAGCCAAACAGGTCGGCCTGTTTGTGCCACTGGCAGATTACGACGCGCAGGTACCAGCCAGGTTCCGCCGAGCTGGTTTGCACACAGCCGACCACCAGCCTTAGCATCCGGCGCACCACGGCCAGTCCTCCCATTGGTCGTGAAGGGCGCCGGCGCGGCCGAGATACTTGCAAGATACCTCGCTCCCCTCGAAACATCTGACGACAACGGCGCAACGGCTGCTCGAGCTGCTGCTGCCGTGGTTGTCCAGCCGACCACGCTCCGCAAGCCGCACCTGGCCTGCGCCACAGCAGGCCGAAGTCTGCCAAGGGTGCGCACCTAAGGTCTTAGCTCAGGTCGAAAAACATGCCTCGTTACCTGGGCATCCGCAACAACACGAAGCTTGCTTCATGCAGATTAATTACAGTGCGATGCGGTACAATGCCGTGCAAATGGCAATTCGTTCTCACCGGACGTACCAGACTCCCCATCTCCCCGCAGGACCAACGTCGGGCCGCTTGGCTCTGCAGGCGGGCCTGGGCCAGCTGGCAGACTGTGCGTTCCGTGGCACGCGGTGCATTCGACAGAGGCTTCTCCATCCCGCCGATCGGCCGTGGTGGTGGTCCCATGGCCACCAACAAGCCTCGTATTGGAATTTTTTTTTTGGCCCGCGTGTCGCACGGCTTGCCGCCACCTCGGCGCAACGTCACCGCCAGGCTCCTCGACTGTCGCCGTCGCCGGGACCGGCACTTGTCTGGGGGTTCGCCGTTGGCGGTGTCCCTCTCCGACGCGACCCCGGCCGTGTTCCGGGCGCAACGGAGATCGTGATGTGGATCGCGCATCAGTAACGGCGGCAGATGTCATTTCGCCTGCCGTTATTGGCTTCATAAGCGTGCTCACATGCTCATACGCTTGTTGATGCAGAGGACACGTCTCTGGCCCGTGTCTGCAAGCACCTCATTCTTGCAATGTTCCACCTGCAGAGTGTTCGTCCAGAGCGGATCCCGCTTCGCGCTGTTGTTTCGCGTCAAACAAGAAACACACCTGCCTCAAGGACACCTCGACCCAATGGGCGCCGGCCGCATCGCCACGAAGCAAGTCGACACGCCTCCCGTCTACGAAAAGCAATGCCCTTGAGACTGGCGTCTTGGACTATCGTGCGTCGTGTCGCAAGCTGCGTCAACCTCTGTGCTGTTCCGACTGCCATGAGGAAATCCCACGGTACATTTAGATCGTCGTCTCATTCAACGGATGATGCATTGGACAATCACGTTCCCTCGGGGCATCAGCCAACATGCGCGAAGCAAGTCGTCGACCACAGACGGACGCCCGTCTGTCGATTTTCCTTGGGGAGTGTGCAATCTATCACTCGTGATTGCCCCAGGGTAGCATGGTGATGAGCACGGCCACGACCTTGTGCCCATTGGGGGGTAACTGCGAAGACGACTTATTCATGCGCAAGCATGCTCGCACACTCGGGCATGCCCGGGCTTCGTACTGCACATCAAACCTGCTAGGATATGACGGTCAAGCGGCGAGTCAGTCTTTAATCCGCAAGGCTCGCGAATTGACGTGGCGGTGTTCTGGAAGCAGGTCGGCCTTGCATGTGTGGACCTCGTCAGTGTATTGACGGCCCAAGCTCGCCCTAAAAGTTGAGGTCAGATCAGCTCCTTTCGCAGGGCCCCATCTGGCCGAAGAAAAAGCCCACGATGACGTTTGTCAATCAGCCCAACAGAGCGGTCACGAGCGCTGGGTGACCAGGCCTCCTCTCTCGTCCTGTACGGATGCCATAGCTCCGGCACCAGAAACTTGGTGTCACTAGACGGCTGTTGTTCCTGGTGAGACGGAAGAAGCGAGCATTGCGTTGTCAAGACAGAAACAACGACTCAATAACCCAAAGCCCTCGTCGCATGATGGCGCGCCAAAGGAAGGGCCCGCAATTGGGGACGACGCCGGCGTCCAACCCCGGCCCGGCAAAATAAAAAACGCCCGTGATGCTCCGTTCTGCGTAGATATCGACGATTCATAAGAGCAGCCCACAAGGTAAACCAACGCGGGGCGAATTGCCGCTTGCTATGGCTCGGCTACTCGAAAATCGGAAGCCAGCACCAGCTCCAACATCAGCTGCTCAGCCGCAGAGAAAGTCGCAGCTCCGCCTTGCCGTAACACGTACTTGCATATGTTTGAAAGGTTGGTGTGGGCATGCAAATGGTCGGACTGCGTGGCATCGGTATCTTGCAACAGATGTGCACAGCGCTCTCCAGGAAGCCGCTCAAGGTGGGAGGGAGCTGTGATGGAAGCCTTGGCAAGGGCACGACGATCCGTAACCCGAGACTTGGCAGGTCCTTTGCTGGCGGCTAGGTAATTTACCAGAGGGAAGGCATGCGTCCCCCCTGGGCAAACGTGGGATGTGTGGCAGATTCCCACACCCTCTCTCGACGCCACATATGAACATTCTGGCAATGGCGTCGCTTTGACGTCGACTCCATTGCGCCGCCAGAGATCATCAATGGGACGACTGGCGGTACGTTCAGGATGAGTCCAGAGCGAGGGCCGCCGGGAAGCGCCGTGACCAACGCTCGAGCAGGAGATCCGGCAGGAAGGCGGGCAGGATGTGGAGCATGTCTGCGTGAGAGGGGCCTTCTGTTCTTGGTACGGAGCAGCAAGGAGAGCTGGATGGGTCCGTCCGAGGCGCATTGCGGGCGCATGGCATTTCCCACCACCACACGAGGCACGACGCAATTGATAAGCCAGAAGCGCGCATGCGTGCCCGCTCATACGAGCCACTTGTTACGCACCCAAGACGTCGTACTCGTATGTGCATCTGACATGACCTAAAGCGCAGGCGAGAAAAGCCGACTCGTGCTCGGATGAATAAGCCGACGCTGGGTTGTGGTGGCCCTCGTGAGCGGTGGGCACAAGTGGTGGGAATCCAAGGTACGAGATGCACCCGGCTCGGGCCTGGGCCGGGCGACCACGAACAACCGGCACAACCGTGCAGTAGGTGGGGGAGGCAGGACAGCTGGGCGGGAGCAGCGGGGTGGATCGACGTGAAATCGGGGATTCGCCAGTGTCCGGAGCCCGGGGCTGAGGCTGAAAGATGGGCTGCGGCGCCATGTGCGACGAGTGGTTGGATAATGTGGCGCGGCGGCACTCTGCGGCAACCTCCTGGGCTGAGACGGAAACACAGCCCGCGGCGAGCTTTCGGGGACCGGCCGGCTTCCTGAGACATGGGACAGGGCTTAGCGAGGCCGGTGGCAGGTTTGCGAGAGAAAAAAAGATGCCGTTCTCAGACCAGTGGCAGATTTTTTGGGGTTTGTCTGGTGATGATGGACGGTGCTGTCTTGGGGGTGGACGGTGGGCGGCGGGGAGGGGGGAGGTGCGATGGGCTGCGAACTACCTTAGGTTGGTGGGCTCCAGGCGGGGCAGGAAGCACCTCGACACCCACCTGCAGCTTCCATCGAAAGCGACGATGGCCAGACGGGAAACAGCCACCGAGTAAAGTTCAGTATGAGCGTGGCATCGCAAGGTACGCACCTGCCGTGCAATTCCAGAGCGAGGGGTTGCATAGGCAGTGAGGTAGACATGAAGTTCCTGACGAGTCCGGGTCACGGACCAATGCAGACTGTGTATACTTCCGTTCGTATCACCAAAACCCCAAACCGCTACCCACCAGCTCCGGCGGCAAGAACCGTCCGCGTCGTGGATGCTGAAACCTTGGGGGACACGACACACACTCACGCACACTGGGCACACGCCACAGCCGCTGCGGCTTCCTTTTTCGTGGGCATCTCATCCGCCAATGGTACTAAATTGGAACGGTGCAGCGCTGTACGTACCTTGGCTGTGTCGCAACCTAAAAAAAATTGCGGAACGGAGGTTGACGTTGACGTCTACGTTGACATGGTGGAGAGTGCGCGGCCGCGTTGACCGCCCTCCCGCCGACAACGCAGAGCGAGACAAGCAGCAGCTCACGGCAAAATACACGGCACGGAAGGATTCGTTGCTCACTCGGTCAGACATGCCGGCCGGCACCAGCGGCAGTGGCAGCGGCAGCGGCAGCGATAGCACCATCATTGCCACCACTCGCCGGCCCTCGCCCATCTCGTCGTACTCGTGCAGCACAGTACGCGTCCCGGCGCACACTGGAAGTCCTTTTTTTCGCTGTTGCTCCGCGGGGCTACTTCTGGCCAAGAGGGCACTTCTCGTGTCCGGCGGCCCACAACGAGCGCAACGGTGGGCTTCCAAAAGGGGCTTCGCCAGGTCCCTTGCTGCAGCCGCTACTCGTGCACAAACGCCTGCCATCGCGTTTTGCCCCGGCGCTACAGACATGCTACTGAGGTTGACGCAAAGCCTGTGCACCGCTCGAGCCGCCCGTTGCCCGCGTTGCCCACAGAACCGACGTCACTGGGCTGGACGGACGATTGCCCGGCGCGCACGGCGCGCGGTGCGGCCAGTGTGCCGTCCACGGGTCGTGGGTCTTGGCCAATGTGTTGGTAGCACTGGTACGGCACGCCCGATGCGGCGGTAGCGACTGCAGCCTGCAGATGGCGGGCATGTCGTACAGAACGAGGTGCGTGTGCATTGCTGGCTCACCACTGGGCGTGGCAGTGACGCTATCCCCAGTCGGCGCTGCGACGGCTGGCAGGATGGCAGGGTACGGCAGGGTTGGTTGGGTTGGGGCCGGGCGTTGCATCACGGCGCCAGTTCCCGCCTGCTCGGGTTGACGATTTCGACAGCCGTACAATTTTGCGGAGTGAGCGCAGTCTGTATTACTTCGTCCACGCAGGACGAACGCCATCAGGCCGAGCTGGTGAGGAGTGCCCCTTGCTGGGCGCTGCCCGCCTCGCCTTGCCTCGGATCGGTCGGCTGAGATGTCGCTGCTCCGGACCCGGGTCGCGCAAGAGATCTGATGAACGATGTGTCCTGCTGTAGTTAACTAGCTACTTTGCCGCAATACTGTTTCCCTGTGGGCACCGCGAGACGGCCGTGCTTGTACAGTACTGCTCGGAATGAGGAACGCGACATTTCGGCCGCCACAGACCGTCATCTCGACCGACACCCCTGCGACAACCGCCGCCTGGCACCCCTCGCGCTCACCCTCGCGCGGACCCTCACCTCGCGGCCTCGCCTAGGAATTGGCCGCCGCCGCCGAGGAGGGAGGGCTCTGCAGCACGACGAGGCGGTTTCGCCCCAGCGGGCTTGGCTGGGCCGAGCTGGGCTGGGCTGGGACAGGGGGGTCGCGCTGGTGCTCCGCACACCCGCAACGTCCTGGACGAAGCGCTGGAGCGCAGCCCCGGAGGCCACCACCCTCTTCCAGGCAGACCGCCGGGGACGAGCCCCCCCTGCCGGGTCCCTGCCCTGGCACACCTCACCACGAGCTGGGCGGGCTGGACCAGCGGGCCAGCGGACGACAGCGCCTGCGGCACGCCTGCGGCGGACGGGGAGCTGCCAGCCCAGCCAGCCCAGCTAATGGAGGGTTCTTGCGGTCAGGTCAATCCATGGAACCGCCTTGGGCCGATGGGTGCCTGGGCGGGCGCTCTCCTCTGGGCTCCCACGCCCCCCCCTGGACCACAAAGCACCTCATTCATCAAGTCAATCATTCATCACCCGTCAGTCAATCAGCCTCCCACTCCCCCCCGTCCCCATCGTCAACCGGCTCCCTGGCGCTGTGGAATTTTCGTTCCCGTCAACCTCGTCATCCCCTCCTCCTTGCTGTGCTTCACCTCCGGGGGCCTGTCTAACCATTCACTGGCGGCCCATTCCACACAGTGTTCAGCCCTCACGTACGTCGACAGCCCATCGTCTGGCCCTCTTGTCGCCTCGCTTTTCCTCGACTCGCATCCAGCCGGCTGCCACCGCTCGTTCTCCTCCTCCTCGTCCCTCGCTGCCCGCAGTGCACGTCGACCGTCGTTTTCCTCCCCTCGACCCTTCGCGCCTCCCTTTGTTGAAATTGGAGCCGATCGACCGCCCTGCGGACACACACACACACGCCCTTTGGTCCTCTCCGACAAAGGCACCAGGGACGCGACGACCAGCGCACTCAACCTCCCGCAGCCGACTCTCGATCGCACCGCGCGGCCTGACACGGGCGGTCGTTGACACGGTCCGTATCGTGGAACTCTGTCGACCGACGCCCGTCACCAGCCGATCCAGACCATGGCTGCCGTCAGCACCTCACCTCCTCCCATCTCAACCTCGCCCGGCGGCGATGGCTTGGATCATCATGGATCCCCTATCCATGCCATCTCGCCCGTTGACAGCATCCCCCGAAAACCCGTTGCGATTCCGCCCGTTGGCAACGCGCGCCTGCGTGATGGACCCGTCTCCCCCGTTCGCGTCAACTTTCAGCAAGACAATTGGGCACAGCCCTCCAACGCCGACATTGAGCTTGCACGGCCTCAAGCCGCCCACTTCGAGCTGGCTGACAGGACACGCCGTCACGACGAGTCCGAGACGGGTGCCTCACTGCCCGCGGGGCCATCTGCAGAGCTCCCCTCACTCTCCACCGGCGCGCACCAGCCGCAGGCTAACGGTCGCGACGCCTCAGCGATAGAGTTCAGCCATACACCGTTGGAGCTCAACCTCTCTGCAACGGCCGGCGTTGGGCCTGACCGGCAAGGCGCAACGGTCGCCAGTCCGAAGGACCGGGTCCGGAATCAAGATGTGTTCCGCAACAGTCGTGAGTCGGACGAGTCAGCCAGCACCACGCAGCAGCATACCTCGGTCCAGTCCTCGGCGGCCACCAGCACGAGCTCCATCTCGGGCATCATAGAGGCCGCCGAGTACTTGGCCAACGAGGACTCTCCGGGCAGCTCCATCCTCGAGGGTAGCATCCCCCGAAATCAGTCAATCCCACAATTCCAGTATCACCACCAGCAGGACTACCCCCAGCGGGTCAGCAGTGTCCCGAGCGACACCGCCCGGACGCCGTCAAACCCAGAGCTGGCCGAGAATCCCCCGCATATCCGGCGCCACTTGACACCGACCTCGGGCTACTTCAGGAGAAGCTCTTTGCCCCGGCCGCATTCGTCATACTCCAACTTCTCCGACTATGGCCCGCGCGGCAGGTCCCCCAACCTCATGCCGGGCGGCTCCCACATGCGCGCCCCCTCGGTGCAGTCCCGCAAGTCGCCCGACGTGCGCCCGTCGTCGTATGCGGAGCTCCTCAACGTCCCCTACCCCCAGCAGGCGCCGGCGCCCCTGTCCCTCGACAACTCCAACCTGCGGACTGTGGTCGGCAACAATGCCTCGCTGCTAAGCGCCCAGAAGACGCTCGAGATGTACCGCCAAAATGTGAAGAAGACGAATGACTTCTCCATACAGTATTCGTTTGCCGTGTTCCTGATCTCGTCGGCCATGGAGCAGGGTCTGGACGTGTCGGACCCCAAGGCGCGCAAGAACAGCCCGCAACCGCTCAGGGATCTCGACAGCCCGATCGTGGAGGGCTCTGTCGCCAGCCCGTACGAGCTCGTCCGCGAGGCCCGACAGATCCTGCAACGCCTGGCCAACGGCGGCTACCCCTTTGCCCAATACTATCTCGCAGACGGCTACGCTTCTGGTCTTTTCAGCAAGGGCAAGGAGGACTACAACACAGCCTTCCCGCTGTTCGTTCTGGCTGCCAAGCACGGCCACGCCGAATCCGCGTACCGCACGGCCCTCTGCTACGAGTTCGGCTGGGGCTGCCGCAAGGATCCGGCCAAGGCGGTGCAGTTCCTCCGGACGGCCGCGGCCAAGAGGCACCCGGGAGCCATGACGCGACTCGGCAAGGCTTGTCTCTCGGGTGATCTGGGCGAGAAGCGGTATCGTGAGGGCATCAAGTGGTTGAAGCTGGCCACCGAGGCTGCCGACTCACAGTACAATGCGGCGCCTTACCAGCTGGGCTGCCTATACGAGACGGGATACGGCGACGACGTGTTCCAGGATCACAGCTACGCCGCAGAGCTGTTCACGCAGGCGGCCGACCTGGGTCACCCAGAGGCTAACTACCGCATGGGCGATGCCTATGAGCATGGCCTCCTCAGCTGCCCCCGGGACCCGGCCCTCAGCGTTCACTTTTACACGGGCGCTGCCGAGCGCGGGCACGCCGCAGCTATGATGGGCCTGTGTGCCTGGTACATGGTCGGGGCAGCGCCCATCCTGGAGAAGGACGAAGAGGAAGCATATGAGTGGGCGAGACGCTCGGCAGAGCTTGGTGAGTCAACATACTGGGCCGCTCCGCGGTTGCTCCGGAGGCTGGAAATCAGTGCTAACGTGCAGCAGGCTACGTCAAGGCGCAGTACGCGGTTGGGTACTTCACCGAGTCGGGCATAGGCTGCCGCCGCGACATACTGGAAGCCAACGTATGGTACGTCAAGGCCGCAGACGCCGGGGACGAAAGGGCGAAGCAGCGCCTGGCAGTCATTCAGGCGGCCGTCAGTGGCGGAGGCACGCCGATGGATGTGGCTCCCCCGCGCAACGGCAAGGTGACCAAGGGCGCCAAGGACGACAAGGAGTGCGTCGTAATGTGAGACGGCGAAGTGCATGGGGGCGGCACGAAGCGATTTTGACGGATTTGATGGGAGAAATCACGAACATTTTTGACGCGAACGAGCCCCGGAACGGGATACCCGCACGGGCGACATGGCCGAGCCTTTGACGTACGGAAGTTCTGGAGCTGCTTTCTGAGTTTATTTCCGATCTCTTGCTACACCCCGATTTCTATTTTGGACGGCATTCTACTATCTCACCGGGACATACGCATTACGTTGGGGGCAGAGGCACCCTTTGGAGGACGAGTCGAGCCTCAAGATTCCTACGCCATCTATCCATCGGCATATATCGACGTCTGACTATTCGCGGCGGAAGTAAACTTGGGGAAGCACGTCGGCCGGCGGACCATTTTTGAAGCAAAAGCACGGAATTTCCCTGATTTCCCGTTTTGCGTGGCACTCGATTTCGTATCATGTTGAGGACGAGGCTGGAAGCACACAGAACAGCATTGATGGTCGTCGATCAAGCTGGCATGTGCAGCGGAGGAAGGTAATATGCAGTGGTGGCATCAAGTCGCGTGGCATGCGACCTAGGGAAGTGAGGAGGGCTATTAGAGCTGGCCGACGGGAGGACCGAATCGACCCATGGCTGAGGCGTTTTTGGAGTAGATTCGACTTGCATACAACTGGAATCCTTAATATACCTTGCTGCGAGCAGGATCTTTGACCGAAAATCTCGCACCCGTTGGCGGATGGAAATTCTCATTACCCTGCAGAGGACATGGCACAGCTGGCGGCGTGCGAGGACGGGTTACTGTGCTGACCGACAGATCCCCGAGCAGACGGATCCCATGCCATGTACTTTGCGCGGCAAGGCGAGCCGGCGGACCGGCCGGCAGCAGGGCAGAAGTGTAACTCGGCCGATACTTGAGGCGGCTTCCCTCCGCGAAGGCAGGGCAGCAGCAGAGCAGGTTTTCGCCGGGCACTGGCTGCATGCTGTCGGGCCGGGCCAAGACGGCCAGACCGTGGCTATCGAGCCCCCCGGTCCTGTAAGTGTGCCGTGATGGACTCCATGGAGGCGAGGAGCGTCACTGAGCGAAGCGAATGAGCGACGGGGCGGAGGCGGAGCGGGCAGCAGGTGGTGAGTGGAGACGGACGGCGGGCCGTGCTAGCTAAGGTTTGGAGCCTTGGGAGGAGGGCAGGCAGGGGAAAGGGATGACATGGATGGCTGCGATGGATGGGACCGTCGGTGGGTGCGGAGGAGGATATTTTCCGAGTTGGGCAATACTACCGTATCTGGGAGGGAGAGAGCGGTGGTGACCTACCTGGTGGCGTTGCCGTCTGCCATCGGCGGGCCGTGGCCGTTGTGTGAGTGTTGTTTGTATGAGTGTGCGTGCGTTCGTGTGTTCGGATGAAGAGGGATGAAAAGATAGGATGGATGGGTGGGTTTCGAGGGATGTGGGACAGAGGGCAGGGTCATCTAGTTGGCGTCTTTGAAGGATGAGTATGGGGATGGAGATGGGATGAGATGAGCTGAGATGGAGATGGGGGATGACGACATGGAGATTCGCGGCATCGAACATGGCAATCTGAGTTGGCCTCTTCTGATGGCGATATCCCTCTGCCTTCTTTTCTTTTCTTTTTCCTACCACCCTGTTGTTCCCCTTTTGTGGTTTCCCCAGATTTTCATCCCTCTCCCACTTGATGTTTCAGCCGGCTGCTTCTTGCTCCTTTGCTTTTTTTTTTTTTTTTGGTGTTGCGCTTCTCTTGCACGAACGCCTGGGGAAACCTGGAAGGGTGGTGTGTGGGCGAGTGAGTGAGTGAGTGAGGCTCTTCTCCTTTGTTTCTGCGTCTGCTGCGACTATACGCAAGGGGGGAGGGAGGGGGGCAATGGGAGGACGGAGAGCCTCCTGGAGCTGGAACATCGTCCACACACACGCACACGAGCACACGCCGAACTGGAAGCGAGAGACATGCATTTTGCATTAGCATCCGCAACGGTATACTACTGCTCCTAAACTCAATACCGTAACTAACTAGTTGCCAGAAGCAAGGACGTAGGGTTCAGCGGGTTGGTGGGGTTTCCGGTGGGAGATGGATTAAGTTGAGAGCTGAGGAGGGGGTGCCCGGCGGGTTGATAGTAGTAGTGGACGAGCAGGGAGAGAGGGAGGTGGATAGGGGAGAGACCTTACAAACACCAACACCAACACCACCACCACCACCACCACCACCCCACTCACCTTGTTCCGGGCCCCGAGAATATTCTACGTGCAGCAGCAGCAAACTCTCCGGGGAAAAGAAGCAAGTTACGAGACAAAAAGACAGGGGGCGCCGAGGGAGAATACTGCGCGTACTACGTTAGATGATGCGTGTCTCCGATCGGATGTTGCGGTTGCGCTCCTGCGCGATGAGGCGCCTGGACGGTCCGGGAGCAGGGGTCGGAAGGGCGCTTGTGCGTAGCAACGTGAGTAGTCGCCGTTGCTGGTTTGTTCGTTGATAGCGACGACATGCTACGGGGAGCATGGAACTGAATGATAGGTGAGAGGCCGAGAGCGAAAGGGCCGACTTGTCACGTCTGTGAGCGGCACTGGGAAGTTTTCCAGCAAGAGCCCAACCCGGTGTCAAACGTGGAGCAGCCAGGAGGGTATCAAAGCGAAACGCCTGAGGCCACTCGAACTTCTGGCATCCCATGACCTGCCTGAGTGCAAACTCATGCCCGCAAACGTCAGGTAGCCGGCAGCTCAAGCAACAGGTTGTCTCGCCGCACGGTGCTTCTGCCCGTGTCTCTCGTCGTGTTCAAAGGCAGCACGTCCGCGAGGCAACGCACGACCTCGTTGTGTAAGTGGATTGGGCGCAAGACCGGAACCGCATTCAGGGTTGTGGTGGTGGCGTGGAGGAGTGCTGCCAGGTACGTACCTGGCCTCACCACGCTGTGCAGTAAGAGGACGCACTGGCGCCGCCATCAGGGCAAGAGCCGCACGAGCCAAGGGGTCGTTCCTGCGAGACACGCGCGCGGCCCCACAGCGCTTGCACCCGGCCCGAGCGCCATGATTGGGCTTCGCGGGCGGAAACCCCACATATTCTGCTTTAAAAAGGGACTTTAGCGCGCCGCGAGGAAACGCGTCTCTGTCGCGCCGCAGACGCGTCTCGAGAAACGAGAGGGGGGGCGAACGTCATCTGTGCGTTTCTCGCACACCGCACCGCCCACACCCTTGCCCTCGTCTGCCAATGCGCCGCCCCCAGCCACCGGCGGGGTCAGCAGCATTCCAGTGCGAGGCGCAACTCGCGATCGAGGCCCCTCGCTTCCTGAACGTGCTGCCGGCCGTGCCGCGATGGATCGTGTTTCTGTGTGTTTTGTTTGCGGCGGCGGCCGTGGTCGTCCCGGCGATGCCTTCCAGCGATGGATTTGAAGAGACGGCTGGGTGGAATGGGGGCTGGGGTCACACGTCGTAAGGTCAGCGGGAGCCCAACATCGCGATGCTGGCCGGCAAAAGCGCCAATTGACGCCGTGTGGACAGCTGCGTCGTCTGCTGCGCACCTGACCGACCTGGCGCACCACCTTCATCGAGGCCAAACCAGAGCACGGGTGGGAAGAGGCAGCGCGCACAGCACGCAGAGAGCGCATCCCTCCTCCCTCGTGGTGGCATCGTTCCCCTAGACTCGCTTGTCCCCCACTTCCCTCCTCTTGCGTGCTCGCCCTGCAGCCGTTGCAGCTTTCGTTGCAAGACAAAGGGCGGGCTCGGGACCAACACTCTGCCACGAGGGCTCAGGAACAAGACGCAGTTCAGAGCTACTGGAAAGGCAATCTTGTGGGGAAGGACGAGGGCAGGTCCGATAGAGCGCGACACACTCCCCAGGGAGGGAGATTTGGAAGCAGATAGGCGGGCATTGAGCGCTGTACTGTATTTCCCCCAGAGCTGAAGAGCAGAGTCCGTGTGACTGAGCTGCGGTCGGAACAGCAGCTGGACAGCTGGGCAGCTTGGCGCCTGAGGTGGATGGATGGATGGATGGATGCACGAATCGGCCCACGCTCATGCGATCGATCCCACGGGCGGGCGCTGCGGGGCTGTCGTTTCGTGGCCATGACGCGAGGGGAACGAGCCATGCACGCCGTCGCCCACTCGGGAGCGACGAGGCGGCCCGGGCAAGCTGTGTCGATTTCGATTTCCAGAAGGCTCCCACCCCCGGACGGTGACGTCGGGGCAGCCAATTTGCGTCCGGGGCCGCGTTCCAGCGGCAGCACATCAATGGTGATTACGCAGGAGCGAGCATAACGTCACGGGTCCGGGGGCAAGGCGATCTCCAGTGGGAGGCCTGTCTGAACGACATCTGAAGAGCCAGCCAGGCTTGCGTGCGTGTGGTGGTGCTGTTGGGTCGGGGTCACGAACGAAGCGCTCTTTTTTGTCTCTGGCGTCGTGGCCCCTCGAGAGTTGGAGCAGAGCCAGGCACACACCACGACGGGACCAGGCGCAGTCGAGGCCCCTCCTCGTGGGAAAATGGGTTGCGTCCCGTGGGCCAGGCGGAAGGGCGTCTCGTCTCGTCCCGTGCGGGTGACGGATGGATGGGATGGGCTTGCAATGGCTGGGGGGCGCGGCGCGGCGCACTCGCATGCATCCACCCACCGCCATTGTCGTTATTTTAGCCGTCAGCCATGCCATGCGGTTCCAATCCACTCACCCTCTCGGCCGGCGGCGCTTTGTACCCGTGCATGTAGCGGTCGTACACACAAAGCCCGCCTGGGGCCCAGCTGGCACACGGCAGATAAACCACACCTCGCAGTGGGTGTAAAAGACGAAACAAGGCAGCGTTGGGGCCCTCGGAACACGGCTGCGCGGGCAAGGCATCATGCAAGGGTTGCGGCCGCGGTGCCCCAATGCTCCGCATGAAGATGAGGGCGAGCGGCGCCTGCACATCATGCCGAGGAGGCGACTCAGATCCATCGTTGTCGAAGGGAGGCGGGGTGTCTGTGCCGTAAAGTGCTTGCATGAGGGTGGAGGAGAAGGAGGAGGAGGAGGAGAACAGGGGAGGGCAGGGTCGTCGCCCACTCAACCGGTGACTGCCGGGGCACAACGAGGTCGCACGCGTGCTTTGCAATCGGAGCAGAGAGCGCCAGGTTCGGCCAGGCACAGCCAGGTAGCAAGGTAGTCCGTCGGTCAGGCTGGATCTCGCACGTCGAGAGCGATCAGAGCATTGGGCGCGGCGGGCGTCATCGACGCGAAGCGTGAAACTGCGGACAATCGAATCGGGGCGACGCCGTGGAATGCAAATGACCTCAAGGAGGGGGGCACAGGTACCTGCTGGCACGCAGGTGGTACCTGGCGGGTGCACGTGGCCGTGGGCCTGGGCCAGGTACCAGCCGACCGGATGCGGGCGAGGGTCGGGTACTACTAATAGTACCACCAATCTGACGGCACTAACAGCAACCTCAGGCTGCCAACTTTTGTTGGTGGCTTCCGGTGCACTTACTGCCGCTTGCAGCACCCACAGCGCCCGTGGACCGCTCTGCCACCCCTGGTCCAGGGCAGCAGAAATCAATCAATCAGGCGGCCCACCACCCATCAGGTACCTAGTGGAGGCTGCCCTGTCTCACCCGCGCCCGGCGCCCGCACCACGCTTTCGGGACCACCCATCCATCCCGCCGTCCATCAGTGGGCGCTCGCTGCTGCTGCCGCTGCAACTGGGTCCTCCCCCCCCCGGCCAGACGCACCCTCTTTAACTCTGTGCTCCTCCTCTTCAGCGCCCTTGCCTTTCCCTCCCGCCCACTATCGCACAAACTATCGCCGCTGCTTCTCCTCCCCTCCACCATCCCTTTGCCTCATCCACCTCTGCGCAAACCGCAACGCACACACCCAGAAAACCATTATTACTGCCCGAACGCCCTCGACATCCCTTTTCTCTTGCTCGCGAACTACCGCTGCTACTATTACTACTACTGCATTCCTCGACGACGGCGACTCCTTGCGACAGCTGCAGCTTTGCGATCGATTCCCTCGTCGCGGCGCATTCACGCTCTCGCGCAAACGACGACCAAGGCGCACGTCGCATCGCGACACCAGCAGCCATCGACCGGCCGCCCTGGCCCTTGCCATTCACATCCACCGACATTCCACATACAACCGCAAACATGCTTCTCCCGTCGGCGCTCTCGTGCGACTCGGCGCAGTCGCCGCATTCGCGCCTTCAGACGGCGCTCCTCGCATCGCCGCCCGCCAGCCCTCCGACCGTGTCGTCGCAAACCGCCCTCGGCAACATCATGACCACCTGCCGCTCCCTCCAGTCCCTCCTCGGGCCGCCGCTGCCAGCCTCCACTCCGGCGCCGTCGCTGGCGCAGCTGCCCACGCCGCCGCTCGCCCACGCGCCGCCGCCCATGAAGCTGCGCCTGCGCGCGCGCCCGGCCTTGACGAGGACCGGCGACGACCCTAATACCAATACCAATGCCATCGTCACGCGCAGGCGCGTTGTTAAGCGTAGCGCACCCTCGAGGGGCGTCAATAAGCGCCGTCGTGCAGACGACGACGACATGGGCCGCCACGACCTCAGCTCCGACGACGATAGCGACGTCGAGCCTTCCTCGTCGCAACTCCGCGACGAGCACGAGGAACACGACCAGCTTGCGCCTCCGTCAACGCCCAAGCGCGCGCGTATCGCGCCCGAACAGCTGCCCCTCGGCCTCGAGCGGTCCGACTTTCACGACGTGCACCTGCTCAACGTCGGCGCTGGCGGCGATGCGACGGCGCACCAGGCGCCAGGCACCGAGCTGGAGCGTGAGGTAGATGGCGAGGAGTGGAGCGCCGAGGACGACCGCGTGCTCGTCGAGCTCGTCCTCGACAAGCTGAAGCTGTCCAAGACGGAGTGGCAGGACTGCGCGCGCAGCCTGGGTCGCGACCGCGGTGCTGTGGGCCGCCGTTGGAAGAGCCTCATGATGAAGGGCGAGGTCGGCCTCAAGACGAGGGGTAGTCGCCGGACCAAGCTGCACGGCACCTGGCGGTAGCCCTCGTCTAGATGTCTCTTCCCCCCTTTGCATTTACGAGGCCGGCTTGAGCGATGCCTGCCTCCTTACCTACCACATTCATCATGCGCTTCGGCAATCTATTCACTTCTCACCTATACCCCATCTATCTATTCATCTACCTATCTATCTACCTACCTATCTATCCTAGTCGGCCTCCGGGACATCTCTTCCTATACGACGTCCTGCGCGCCGCTCTTCTTCTCGTTGCGGCACACGGTGCCCATGGCAACATGACCCTTACAACCATACTACCTTTATCTTCCTCTCTATTCCTCTTACAAAAGACGTTCGAGTCCCCCCTTTTTTGAGAGGAGGGGTAACACGACCCGCACTACGGCACCGGCGTTGTTATTACTGGCATCATTACGAGTGGTAAGGGAACTGGTGGTGGTGCTTGCGCACGCGCGCTTGTGCGCGAGGGAGAGGAAGAGGACAAAGAAGAGCCTCTCGCCTCTCCCCTTCACCCGCACCTCCCTTTCCCTTCCCATTTACGTTTGCGTTTGGGCACCGGGTCTCCTTTTCGACTTGGCTTCGGTTTTATTTTCACTCCCACTGGGTTTTGTCTGGAGTTCTATTTTCCTCCGCAGCTCGCTCTTCCCACGCCGCCCTTCATTTGCCCGCAGCGCACAGGACATCTGGGGGGCGGGACGGAAGGAGAAGAGGAACGGAGGAAGTGGGGGACGGGGACGCGCGCGGAATGATATCCCTCTTCGGTTCTTTTCTCTGGTTAAAGGTCTATTTCATGTATTGATGAGTATGCTCCGCCGCCGCAACGATTTGCGCGCGCAGGAGGAAAGCTGCGAAAGGAAAAGGGAAAGAAGATTAAGGTAGCTGACGCGCGCCACGCGCGCCCTGCGGGCGTCGCCGCGGCCCTTTTTATTGATCTATTACGATTGATTGATACATGATATGACTTGAAATGTGGCCGTCCTCGTCCCGTGCCGATACGTGATCTCATCGTAAGGAGAGGAAGACGGGGGATGCGTCTGTAAGTGAGTAAGTGAGTGAGAGGCCGGGAGAGACACACACAGATCGGAGGACGGACTCCTTGCAGCTGCGTGCACACACGGGCGAGCCGACAAACAACACGGACCTACTACCACTCAACCCAGCTACCCGCTCGTTCCCTCCCTTAACGTGGCCAAAGAGACATGTGTACAACATGGACTGCAAGCGAAGGCGGCGGCAAGGAGCTGTATGCATCCCGTCCTCACCCAGGTAACGAACGCACCGTATATACAACGTGCGCGCATCGTCATATTCGCCGGATGGAAAATAAGGCTCGCATCGGCCTAGGCACCCAGATCTATATCTCGACTTCTATGAACGCCTCCCCGTCCCTCCCCTGCCGTGTACCCCCGACCACGTGTGTATTGCCATCGTGTACGTGCGTGTACGTTCGTGCGCGCGCGCAGATGTCCGTCCAAAGGTGCGTGTGTGCGTGTGCCTCTTCCAAACGAAGCCTTCATGAATGTAATGCGCCCGCCTCTGTTTGCTCTGCCTCCCTTCCTGCCTGCCCGTGGGCGACTCTACCAAGGCTCCTCCCCGCCCGTCCCTTGGGAAATGCAAAATGCCTGTGCTCGCTACATATGCAAACCGGTGTACTGTACTCCAACACTATCATCAAACCTGGCCCTCATCCTTACCGCGCGGTACCGATACCGTCTTGCTATTCTTCGCGATGATACCTACCGTCGGCTTCTTCAGCGTCGTCTTTGGAGTCCTAAGGCCGCTGCCGCCGCCGTTCTACGGCGGGGTCATCTTCTCCTGGGCCTCCATCATCTTGCGCACCTCCTGCTCGAGGTTGGCGCCCGCCTCGCTCTCGTCCTCCTCGACGGCTCCCGTCACCTTGTTGGCGAGCTCAATCTTCTTCTGGCACGCCTTGTAGATGAGCTCCTCCATCGTACCCGATGAGATCAGCCGCACGACCTCGACGTCCCGCTTCTGGCCCAGTCGGTGCGCTCGGTTCTCCGCCTGGATGTCGTCCTGGGGATTGTCCGACTGGTCGAATATGATGACCTTGTTGGCCGCCGTCAGGTTGATGCCCGTTCCTCCGGCGCCCGTCGTGAGCAGAAAGACGGGGATCGACGCATCGTCGTTGAATTCGTCAATCAGCGTCTGCCGCTCCGCCACGTTGGTGTTGCCCATGAGGATCCGGTGGTCGATGCCCTGAAGCGCGAGTACTTCCCGCAGGAGCTCAATGAGCCGCGAGAACTTGCTAAAGACGAGCACCCGGTCTCCGTTCTTCTGGTATTGCTCAATGAGCTCCAGCAGCTTCCTGACCTTGCCGCTGTCGAGCTCTGCGGCCGCCGGTATGTCAAACTGCTTCAGCAGCTTGGGGTAGTCTCGGCACCAAAGATGGAGCTCAAAGTCGGACGAGTTCTTGAGCTCCTGGACCAGGTGCCGGATTTCCGTTTGATGGAGTTCTGACTGCGGGACCCTATCCATCAGAATTCTGCCCATCGCCTCGACCTTCTCGTCCGTAAAGTGGCGCCTGAACAGCAGCGGGTGCAGGGCCGCCTTCCGGAGCTGCATCCACACGTTGTTCTGATCGTTCTGCCGGCCCTGCGCACGCCCAACGCGTTGCGACGGCTCGAGCTTGAACGTCTCTTCGTATTCTCGGTATACGGGCTCCTGTGTCTCCGTCATCTCGCACTGGACAACCGTGTTGATCTTGCGCGGCATATCCGACAGGACCTGATCTTTGCGTCGTTGCAGGATGAAGGGCTCCAAGATGGTACGAGCCCGCTTGACTCGCTCGCTGTATAGGAACGCCCCGTTAGACACGTCCCGAATGGTTACTTTCTGGCTAAAGATGTAGCGAATGTGCTCCATGCACCCGGAGAACATCTGCGGGTTGATGAAGCTGAGCAATGCCGTCATCTCCATGAGGTTGTTCTGAACAGGAGTGCCTACAACTCGTCAGCGCTGGCCCGGCTCGTGGCTATCGTGTATCCCGGTGCACGTACCTGTGAGCAACATCTTCCACGCTGCCGGAATCCTCTTGAGGTCGCGATAAATCTTCGTTTCTGGGTTCTTCATCTTGTGCCCTTCGTCAAACACGGCGCAGTTGACGCGTATCGATTGCATCGCCTCAATGTCGTCCTCCGAGTTGATCTGAGAGTACGTTGCGAGGACCACGTGGTATGCTTCAGGCTCATGCTTGATGTCCCAGGCGATTTCTGCACGCTCACTCTGGGACCCGCGGTACCCGACGACGGATAAATCGGGCGCGAACTTGTCAAACTCAATCAGCCAGTTGTTGTACGTGCTTGGTGGCACGACGATCAAGTTGGGCCACGGCCGCCTTCCACGAGGGTTGACTTGGTAATCGTCGACAAGGTGGGAGATGAAGGAAATGACCTGGCATGTCTTGCCGAGTCCCATCTCGTCGGCGAGGATGCAGCCAATGTCGTAGTTGTACAGCACCGACATCCAGTTCAGGCCAAACAGCTGAAACGACTTCATCACGCAGTGTCCGTCCATTATATGGGGTTGTTGGGGGATTGGAGGCCGCGTGTACCGTGAACTGCCAACGCTGGTGGGTGTCGGAGGCAAGTCCCTGTCGGGAGTGGCGCGCTCGCTGCGCTTGTGATGACCGAAAGTGTCCAGGTCCCAGGTGTCGATAACACTCTTGACAGCCTGTGCTTTGATCTCGCATTGGGCAACAACTTCGTCAATAGCGGAAACTGCGTTCAGGAAGATCTCGACGGCCTCGACGACGGTCTCGCCGATGCTGACCCTGGCCGACTTTCGCGCTCCAGGTTTCTTGTTTGTGCTCACGCGCTTGGCCTGCGCCAGGTCAATGAACGGCCGCTTCTCCATGAGGGGCTCGAGGAGGTTCTCTTTCATGCCCGTCATCGCCGCCAATTCTTTGGCTGTGCTCTCATTGATGCAGTTAAGGACCCGGTCGTCGTCGTCGTCCTCCGGCTCAGGCGAGAGCTCAGCCTCGTACTCATCCTCTTTGTCGTTCTCCACGAGGTCGATAACCAGTGGATCGTCACTTGAAGGCGGCTCGGGCTGGCTAGCCACTTCTTGAGAAAATGAGTCGTTTCGTCGCCGCAAGCCCTGAACCAGACGCCGCTTGGGTTGCTTTGGCGGACTGGGTGACGCAACGGGGGATGAATCTCTAGAGAGCAGGACAGGGTTGCTGGCTGAACCCTTCATGGCCCCCTTAGACACGAGTCGTCGTCCATTCGGCTTCGGGGGAGGCAGAGACGGAGATTCAGGTGGAGGATCCCGTTGCTGATCTTCCAGGTACACGATGGCCGCTTCAACATCGTTCTTACACGCCTTGAGCGCGCCGCGAACCCTATCCGAAGGGAACCTGTCGCCGAAAACGTCGTAAATCTGCCTAAGCTTCTGTTTCGTCTCGCGCTCGTCCGCCGCGGGGTTGTATGCGAATGCCGCCACCTTGGCTTTGAACGTGGTCGGGCGAATGTCCCCGCGCGACGGGGTTTGGTCGTCCTCATCGTCGGATATGAGAATGATGGGCTCGGGGGCCGGTCGTTTGGGCGCCATGGCTGGCGGCGGCCGCGGAGGCGGGCGAAAGAATGTGCCTGCGGGAGCGAGCCGCGAACCGAGTCGAGACTTGGGAGCTGCGGGAGAAGGGTTCGACTGTCGAAAAGGTGACGAGGCCGGAACCTCGACTATGCTTGGCGGCGAAGAGGACTCTGGCGCCTGGAGTGCCGGACGACTGAGAATCTGGGTAGGTTGCGTGGTGACGGTGTCGCGATCGCGAAGAAACGCTGCAGGTGAACAAGGGATGGTGTCACCGGCAAGTTCGTCGAGGTCGTCAACGGGGAGCGACGTGCGCGCAATAGAAGGCGTGCGCGGCACCGCGCTAGAATGCCGCAGCGGCAGTGGAGAAGAGCTTTGCGCCATTGCGGGAGCAGAAAAGGGAGAGGAGGAGAAGAGGCAGAGAGCCGGGGTGCGCGAACGGCACGAGAACAAGAGCCCGGCGGGGGGGAGGAGCGTTCAGAGGCGCGCGGCGGGCGGTGTGCACCGGCCAGCTGTCGAAACCATTGACTCGGACAGGATGCAAAAGATGGACGGAGATTCGAGCAATTGGGCGACCCGCTCAACCGGGCTATCTGGGGTCGGGTTGCGGACGGGGCTGGGACGTGACGTGGGTGCCCGGCCGGGAGGAGGTGGCCTGGCGGGAGCGTGAAGTGCGCGAACTGCGTGAACGGGGCAAACGCCGCCCAACCCGCGGCCGGGCATTTTTTTTCGTGACGGAGGAGCGGCCGAGACGCGCCGGGCGGCTCGCGAAGTCACGTGTGGCACTCTATGCAGGTCCTCGGGCACAAGCACGCGGCACGAAGCACCATCGGCTCATTCCCAGGGGCAACATATACACGCTCGGTGAACCATTACTGCAAGGATTACAATCGGGTTGAGAACCCGCTATACAGGCATTGTGGCCGCATTCGAGCCCGTCTCAAAAGGCGAGAGGATTAATAACTCGTGGGCGTGACCACGGGCCACCCGTTCACCCATCAACCACCCGGGATCCACCCGCAGGAGGCCTGTCAGCTGGGCGGGGACGCCCGCGAGCGCCCCGTCGTGCGGCTCAGGGCCCGCTGAGCCCCCTAAGCAGTGCCCGCCTCCCAAAACCCGCTGCCAGCGCCCGCCCCAGGTGCAGGTGGGGCCGGTGTTCTGCTCGCCCGGCGCCCGGCTCCAGCGCTGGAGCGTCAATGTCGCCTCTTCGCTGACCTCGCACCTCAAGCCTCCCGTCGCCTCTCATCTCAGCACATCGCAGGCCGACGACGTGCCACCTCCACCACCACCACCAAGCATCTAGACACCAGATTACGCCCACTCCCACCTACCAGCCCATCATGGCGACGCGCCGCATCATCAGCTCCGAGAAGACCATTCTCGAAAAGGACGACCACCCGGAGGAAAAGTCCAATATCAGCCCCGTTGTCCCAACGTGAGCCGACGCGCGCCCACACACCCTCTCCCTGCTCATCGCCGTGCCTCATTTCGCTGACCTCAATCCAAGCCATGTCATATTCAAGCTTCTCGGCTTCACTCTCGCCATGATTGTCGTTCCCATCGGCTCCTATTTCCTCACCGTCGATACTCTTTTCAAGGGTATGCCACATCCCCCCATGCCTCGTGTCTCGCGCCGAGCGTACTGACTCGACTGTGCAGGTAACTCATCGTATGCCGGAGGCCTGGCAGCGTTACTGGCCAATGCCGTGCTCGTCGCCTACGTCATTGTGGCCATGAAGGAGGACCAGTCAGAACTGGAGGCTGCCTCCCGACCAGAGACTAAGAAGGATCGTTGATCTCGAGCGTATCGTATACTCTTGTCTTTTTGTCATCAAACATGTCCTGGGTCGCTATATATACCATGTTTTATACCATGTTGCACGTTCGCCAGTCACTTAAGGGCACCCAAGTTCGTTGCTAACGGTCCTGTCCGCCTTGGTATTTATGAGCCGGCCACTGTGCAGGCCCCTACCGGCCATGCCGCAGATGACCCATCTATATGCCACATAAAACTTCCGTGGTAATTGATATCATGATGATTACCTCCCCTGGCAGAACTGCTTTGCCCTCGGCATCTGCCTCATGTGGATCGGGCAAGAATCCCATCTTCGCCCTGAGCCCGCAAAAAGTGATTAAGCCCCAACGCCGCGTACAGGGTGTCGTATACGTATGTACCGGGCCGTCTCCATCTCGGTGAGCGGTGAGCGCCGTCTCCTTGAACCGAGATCGTGTCATCGTCCACGGGTACAGCAACAGACACGCCCCGGCAGCTGAAACCCCATCGGTTCGCTGCCTTTAGATAAATTCGTCCAAAATCCCGATACTGCGGGCAGTCAGGCTCATGGACAAAGGAAACGTCATCGTCAAAATCCCCATAGCCGTCTCGCGCATTCAAGATGTTTTGCTGAATCGGCGGCTGAACCAGCTTTTCCGCTGCTTGTCCGGACTCTCTTGCCGGGACACTTGCCGCTTCAGTACCGTCTGCTTCCTGGGAACGGCGGGTGCGGCGCCATGCTGCTGCTGCTGCTGCAGGGCTGGCGCAGGAGGCAAAGGATGGCTGTTGCCGCTGTTTGCCCCTAATCCGACCGAAAAGTTGGGAGAGTGATATGTTTGTGCCTGGTTGAAGCCAATACCGTAGTCATTGGTGGGCTCCTGGCGCTTAGCTGAGGATGTCCGGTCGATGGAGCTATTGTCGCTGCTAGTCGGGTCGGTCTGATAGCCTGCGGCATCTGAGTTGCCGCTTTGCGCAGCCGATGTCACCGTCTCGTAAGAACGATCCTTGTGCGGCATGGGATAGATGTTTTGCTGCTCCCTCCCATATGTCTGGTAATGGCCCTCTGAATGCATGCGCTGGGCGCGCTCGCGAGGGTTCGGCCTGCCGTATCCATTGCCATTGCCATTGCCATTGCCATAGCCGCCGCCGTAACCTTGAGCGTCATAGTAGCTGTTCCTGTTGGCGCCGGGGGTCATGGCTCCGTAGCTGCTTTCTGCCCTAAAGGATGTCGGTCGGCTGCCGTAATAGCTATCCTGGGGGAACCGAGGCTGGTTCTGCGGATGGAAGCTGTTTCGTTTGTTCCAGGCTGCAACTGAGTCCGTGTCTGTCTTCTGGTAAGCCGTTGGATCGGGGGATGTTTGGGACGAGCCCATACCTGATCGGTACATGGATTTGCGGTTGTATCCTCCGTCAATGGCGGCTTCGAAGCTTCTGATGGTGTCGAGCGGTCGTTCCCAGCGACTGCGAGTGGGGTTTGACTTGTCGGGATCCGCTACACGAGGCCAGAGGTCAGTATGGCTTCTGCCTTGGGATCAGAAGGCTACTTACAGATTGGATTGCCCCAGGTATCTTTGTGCTGCATCGACCGCAGTGGGACATGAGACGTCTGCGTCATCATGGCGGCGACTGTTGCTGCATCCATGAGTTAGCGGGCTGTGATAACTCGAAAGCGGGAAGACGAGAGGAGCGAAGGAACAGATTCCACCCGAGCCAGCACGGCCACTAGGTGCGCAATGGTAGAAATGGAGACTCACAGGGCTCTGCCTCGTTGATGGCCAGCGACGGGTCCGCCTTGGTGTGTAAGCGTCTTGCCTCCTTCTCCTCGTGGGTCTCGTAGAAGTCCGACTTGCTGCCTCCGCTGTGATGCGACTTGTCAGATCGGAAGCTGAAGCTGCGCGGCTTGGCCCGAGAGGTGGTCTGCTGCTGCGATGGTTGGGAGTATTGCAGCTGGGGGTGTTGCTGCTGTTGGACCAGCCGCTGCTGCTGCTGCTGAGGCGGCTGGGCGGAAGGGTAGTGATACTGCTCCGGAGGCGACGCCATGACGCCGGATGAGGAGGTGCTCCTGTTTTATTGAGCCGAGCGATGGAGAACCAGGGGCCCTGCTGGTGCAACTGACTAGGAGTCGTAGGCGGAGACGAATGATCGGTGCGATCGAGTCAATGGCAGGTGCGCGCGCAGAAAGATGGGGTGCCCAGGATGACAGGGCAAGACCTAAGGAAGCCGGGGTCGGTTAAACGGAGACACCCTGACGCTGAGGCCCAAGAGCGGCGGCTACGAGCGCAATGTCCCTGTTCCTGGCTGGGATAGTTCGAGGTGGAGATTTGTGGTGCGTTTTGGTGAAGGAGAAGCCGCCTCGAGAAGAGGTTGGGGTGATGGTAAAGGCCGCTTCCGGTGTTTGGCTGTTGAGCGAGTGGACTCTGGCCGCTGATCAGGCTGCGGACGGCGCCACAGGGCACCAAAGGGCTCCGTTACAGCAACGACAGGGGCAGTGAGGGGGGGTGGGAGTCCCGGTTGGCCAAGAATCAAGGAAAACGGAAGTGGTGTCGGGCGCAGGAACGGGCCAGTGCCGAACGACCGTCGTATTAACAAGCGCCTGCTGGTGCGCGAAGGAGCCAAGTCGGCCGGCCGGGCAACGATAGGTGCGGGCGGAATGCTGGACGAGGGCCTCGAGAATGCGACCGGGACGCTTGCAGCAGCGGTTCGTCAGCGGATGACAACCGCTGGGTGAATCGCGGTGCGATCAGAGAAAAAAAGCTCTGAACAACTTTGTTGAGTCTGGCTCGTCGGTGATGCAGCACGAGCAAACAGACCCGTGCGACGGCAAGCTGATTTCGCCTCGTTGGACGTCGCTTTGGTCGCAAGGGCGACGATGCTGGAGACGGGTCTCGACCAAGAAGGACGTCGCCTGGGTTGCGCCTTGACGTCAGCAGAGCGCGGTGTTAATGTCTCACTGGACTCGAGGCTCTGGGAACGGTTGCCCGGGAGGCGCGTGTCCCAGGCTAAGACAGTGCAGGTGTCTCTGATGGAGCCCTGAGGCCGTTCGCAATGCTCAGCGTCTTCCGAAAGCGTCTGGAAGAAAGCCCGTATTGGGGACCCTGGTCAGAAGACCCCCAGCTGCGCGTTCCCGCTGCGGATTCCGCCTGTCGGCCTTTCGAGTCCACTGTGGACCTGATGAGGACGGGATCTAAAGTGCCTCGTTGCTAGTGCGGCGAGGTGGTATTGAGGGTCGCCACGATGCCACAGTAGCGTGCACTTGTCGAACGACGCTTGTTGGACGCACTTTGGCCGGAGAGTTGGAGGCGGGGGCCAACGTCTTTTTTAGGCACCACAACGTGCTGGCGGCTGGCTGCTGGCGGCTGCTGCAAGTGCTGCGACCCGCTTCTCCCAGATGGCGAATGTCTCGGTGCCTCTTCCGGGGAAAAGAAGCAATGACGAGACCAGGTGATTTATAAATGTCAACAGTCGACCGGGCACGGGAATCGCGTGCAGAACTATCGTCTCCCGAGCGGGAGCGCCGTGCGGGGGCGAGACGGGACGACGCTGAGAATCGACAGCTGCCGTGCTCGGGTCGAACCGCAGATGTCTAGGAAGTGCGACGATGCTTTGCTGCTGTGGGCAGCCGCTCTCACAAAAAGCTGATGAAGCGGATTGATTAAAGACGAAGGCTGAGGCGGACCAGCTCGTTGGAGCGTGGCTGGAGGCTGGCTGAATTTTTGATTGCGCAAATACGAGGCGGCAACCGCAGTCTGGTCGTGACGAGGCACGGCAGGTACTTTGCAGATGGGGGTGAGAGAGAGTGAGTGAGAGACGGGACAGGAGCGACGACAGAAGCAGGGCTGTAGGGAAAACGAGAGGAAGCCCGAGTCGGCAGTCTCGAGCATACGGAGCACTTCGTTCAGGGAAAAAACCGACTCGCCGGCAGGAAGGAGGCCGGGACACATGGCATTAAATCGGAGGCAGGCGCATCCAGCCAAGCGTTTCCAAATCGATCGCCTTGGACGACGCGCAATGGGAAGGCTGGATGGAGACCATGTCGCCCGCCCACCTTCCAACTGCCCACCACCCAAAACTGCCAATTGCCCGCACTGGGCTGCGGGTGCGGCTGCCTGCGAAGAGTGGGCTGCAGCAGGAGCCGTCAAGATCTACGAGCAGCTTTCGCGAAGTTCCACGTTAGCAGGAGGCAAGGCCAGGTAACCCGCGGCGTAGCGCAGGCGTTTTGCCCTGCCATCCTGCCTTGCTTCACATCCATCGCACCCACTTCTGCCCTGCCCATCGTCGGGTCTGGTGGGTGGCGGCCGACTTGCAGCGGCTTGTGGGATGCCACCCGCGCCGACCAAAGACATGAGGCTAGATGTGAGGCTTTGAGCCGGTCCGGCCCTCTCGGAGGCGCCTGAAAGGAGGCATGGCGAGCTGTTGTTCCCACCACCCGCGACGTCGGATGATGGGGATGCACACCTTCATGCACGGCCATGCAGCAGCCCATCCGTCGCCAGCCCACCCACCGATGCTCCTCCACCGCTCGGTTCGAAACACCTGGTCTTGACAGTTGACGGAGGGTTTTTGCCGCACCACACAGCACAGCACAGCACAGTGCAGTATCAAGGCCGCCCACCCACCTCCATGTCCACGCCTGTTGCGTCCGGTGCGACCAGGTTGCTTGGTTGCACCGGCGCCAGCCCCTGCGTCGCCACGGTCAATCGCTGCCAGCACACCACCACCACCACCCACCACCCGAGTCGCCCATCATTACGCGTCAACAAGCTCCGCTCTTCCCAGGGACCGGCGCGTCGAAAAGCCACCGCCCCGACGCCCAGCCGTCGAACCTAAAGAGCGCTGCCGGGCTCGTGGCGCCACAGCAAACTGGGTCCAGCGTGCCGTGGGGCAGGGCAATGCACTGGCTGCGTGGCCAGCAAGGTTCCGTGCCCCTCCTCAAGGCCGTTGCTTCGCCTGTGCGTCGAGAGCTTGTCGAGCCACGGGCGGTAGTCAATCCATTGACGCCCCAGTGCTGCTATCGCCGCGCTGGAAATGCGCCTGTGTGCATCTTCGACGCCGCGACAGATAGCTGGGTCGTCAAGGTTGGTCGCTGCCCGTCGCCAGCCAGCCAAGCCAACGAAGCGATCAATTCGCCCGCGCTGCCAACGTCCCAGGCAAGCATCGGTGCCTTGTCTCGTCAGGGGGCTAGCAACAAGTAGCCCGCAAGCTGGGCAAATCATGGCCGCCCTGCCGCTGCCGCTTCGTGTTCGTGGTGGTTCCTTCACACCACCTCGCGTCCAGGCCCGGCACCGCCGCCAACCCGAGCCACATCGATCGTTCTCTTTCCGGCCGCCGCTGACCTACAACGACAGCCCGTGCCTTGCTAGTTCAGCTGCACCGGCACCTATCTTGCTCGACGGACGACCAGGCTGTGCCGCGACAACGGCAACGGTTGATGCAACCTGAACCCGTGTGCCCCTCTCCGCGCCGGCCCATGGCATAGTGAAGCACCACCACGGCATCAAAACTCCGCAGCTTGATCGGCCCACCGCCTCCACGGACGGGTTGGACGGCCGTTAACCGATGTTGTGTCTCGTCAGGAATGAGCTCGAACCGCTGCCTGTGTTGGCAACTAACGTAGGTGCTGCACAACAGTCCGGTCTCTCCAGACCCACGCAGTCACAACCTCGATCGCTTTGTTGTAACGAACAAAGCAGCTGCGTGAGCGCTTGGCATGGCTTGCTAATTCTATTCACCATTGTTGCGCCAAAAAGTTACATTTGGCTCAACTGACAATCCCGACGAGAGACGCCCATCCCGCTCCAGTAAGCTGCCGAAAACCCCATCATCGTCATCGGCTTGTCATGGAAACCCGGTCCCGCCCACTTCATGCTGAAATGGGCACATCGCTGCCCTGTTTAGAAGGCTGCGGTGGCCGCTGCGGGTGAGGCCAATGCATGGCGTCCGTCTCGCTCGCTGGTGGCGCTGGATCTCTGTTCGCCCTTGTCTGCCCTTGGCCGGAGCGCCTACCCGGGTACGAGGGCTGCCCCGCCAGCCAGAGCATGCAGCAGATCGAGAGACGACGCAGCGGCTCCCGAGCACCACACGTCTTTGAGGTGGTGCTGCTTCTTCATGGTTTGTGCTCACTCACCTGTTTCATTTGTCTCATTCTCGACTGCAGATACGGGAGCACGGCTTCCGCGCTTGCAGCAGCCACCACCGCTCTGGCCCGCAGTTGGCCAGGCATATCGTCACGAGAGGTGACGAACAACGGGCTCAGCCACCGAGATGTCGAGTTTCCGGGCTTTCCGGATTGAGTGAGGGTTGGACCGGTTGGCTGGGTTGCAGTTTGCCCGTGGCAGCCAAGCGGCATTCCATGCTGCATCCAGCCAAGCGTACGACGCAACGCAGCTTGGGCAAGGAAGTCAATTCACACGAGAATGCTCGACCTCGCTACCGAGCACCATACGGCTGCAGCTGTGGATGAGCTTGTCGCGGGTGCGTTACATTGCCCAGAGTGATACTTCGCGAGGGACCTGCCGAATCGCGAGCCTGCAGGCTCGTCGATATGCCGAGCCCACGATTGACAGCCAAACGTCTGCCGGCAAATAAGCTGATGGCCCTCCGCTGATTCTGCAACGGAGCCGGCTATGACTGTTGCGACACAGATAAAGCACCATCCTGTGACGTCCCGTCGCATGATCCACGGGCGTAATGGCACACGACTCGCGTATTTCCGGGCGGCCAAGAAGGTCGGACAATGCGTGATGGCCGGCCAGCCCAAACATGCTATATACTGCGCCCAGGTCTCCTTAATCTTTACATCATCGCCAGGTCAGGGCGAGGTACATTTTATAAACCGTATGAGGAGCTCACCCCGAATACGATGTTCTGGACCCCTGCGCACGGGTGTCGGCCCAGCTTTGGGCTGGGCGTCTCGGCGACTTAATCTACGCTTGGATCGCTGCGGGCCACTGCAGGTGGTAGAAGATTTCATGCCATTGTGTCCATTTCCAGCCGTGTATAGTACAGTACAGTACTGTACTGTCCTGTAGCTTTGCCATAATTAGAAGCCGGCAGGACGGGCCAGCCATGGGTAGAGGCAGAGGACATTTCGGCTCCCATGTGAAAGACGCAAGAACTCTGCGACAGGAAGACCGGAGGAGCATGGCAAGTTCCCCCGCTCTTTGGAAGATTCGGAAAGCGTAACCATGGTCTCTGGCGGCCATCATGGCGGACGACTCTTGGGTTGGCCGCTGGGTTTGAAAGGGAAGCGAGTTCAGGGCGTTGAAGGAAGGGTGGGCGCTGAGGCCGTCCGGTCGGCGCGCGGCAGCATCTTTGGAGTAACGGAGGCAAGATGACATATGCTGGTTGAGCGATGCATGATGAGATCCAAGTGCAGAGACGGTACGGTCTCGATGACGGCTGGGTCTTGTTGCCGTGGCTCTGGATGATGTTCATCACCATGCCATCACAGGCTGTCATCGACCTCACTCTGTACCTGCGTGATGGCACCGGGTGATGCTCATCACAAGGTCATCATGGCCTGCTATCGACAATCCGTCAGAGTAACACGGTCGGCCTCACTTCACCAAGACTCCGTTATTGAGGTGGGACTGTCGGAACAGCCAATCTTACTGTGTACCAGCGTGATGGCTCCAGATGACGCTCGTTGCCATATCGGAACGGCTCCTCACCAAGACTCCATCAGGATAGCAGTCTTGATCTCAATTTGTACCGGCGTGATGGCTCCGGATGGCGTTCGTCGTCACAGCATCACATCTTCTCACCAAGACTCCGTCAGAGGGCACGGTCAACCTCAATTTGTACCAGCGTGATGTGCGATTTCCACCGTGTTCAATTCGAACCGATATATGCAACTCCATAACGAATTCCATGCCAGGAATCCCAAAGCGCCCAGCAATGAAGAGGAGGTCGACTTGTACTCGTTTCGTTGTCGAATCTCGTTCGTCTCGATCTCGACCAGGTGAGAGGCACCCGGGGTCTGGCACGCGCATCACATCATCACCTTGGCGGCGGACGCATCGAGTTTGGGGTGTTTGACGTCTTTTTAATTGAATGCCTCCAGCAAGGCAATATGCTTTACCCTTGCCTCGACCAATGCAGCCAAATGAGAACCGCCCTCACGACCAACTCCATCCCGAATCCCTATTTATATCGAGGAGGGGTACAGCATGACACGAACCGAAGCACCGAAAGACTTTGTGGGGAGGGGCGAGGAGAACTTGGCGCGGACGACACCAGAGTTGCCTGTAAAGCAATGCTGTCAGCGAGACCGTCCTGGAGGGATGGGGGCTGTATTGTTGGGTCGAGTTTACCGTGCGGCCGGGTGACCTTGCCCCAGATGACGCGGATCTTGGAGCCCCGGATCTCCTTCTGGCCCCGGTAGACGTAGGCGACCTTCTTGCCAAGGTAGAAGCTGCACATGATGGTCAGCACATTTGTCGCGTTCCATTAGGGCCACAAAGCCCTCCTTCGATCGCGTCTGCAGAAACGTACTTGGCGGCGTTGGTGTTGTCAACACCCTCGATCTTGATCAGGCTGGTGCCAGGGTGGGTGACGTGGCGGGAGCGCTGATAGCTCAGGTGGCGTCCCCTAATTCGCGTCGGGTCAGTCAAGGTGCTCTTGCGTGTCCATATCTCGAAGCACTCGTCGCCGGATTGTGTTTTTCGCTGCGCGTCGCCACACAAGACGTCGCCGTCGGTGGGGGTCTTCTGCTCGAGAGCAGACGTGGCAATCGCGCACATCGAAGCCGCTCGTGGGAGTAACTCACTTGACGTATACTGCGAAGGGCGAAAAAGTCAGTGGAAAACGTTCTTCGAGACGGCATTCATTGCGCGGCGGCGCCGGTGCGAGTACTCACATCTGTGACCGCTCTCGGAAGGCATGGTGATGGATTTCGGGCTTCCGGCCTGTGAAAACAACCAAGGAAGAGAAGGGAAGAGTCGAAGAGAACTGTCTTATCTAAAAGACCTTTCCCTGTGTTGCGGTGCACGTCGGTTGTCGTGATGTCGACTTGGGAAGCGAGTGGATGCGACGATGGTGTGTGGTGTCACTAGCACGGAAAACTTTGTGCCCTCGATGTCACGTGTGTATTTAGGGCAATCGCTTGTTGGCTGGGGGTCGCGGCTGGGCTTGTGCGTGGCTGGTGCGACCTGTCTGTGCACAGCCATATGTGGCTGGTGCATGGCCCCGCCGTGCCGATGCGGCCGGGTCGAGGCAGAGGCAGACGAGAGAGGTCCAATCCCCACTTTGATTGAAGAGGAAAGACGCGGCGGCAACCCAATCCTTCCAGAACACGCCTGCATTCAGCAATTCTTACACGCAGCTTCGTCGATCGCTCGCAGCGAGTGCACAGAGTGCCGGGACGACATTTTTGCAAGCGCCCGAGTCGTTGTCATTGGCGGGAAGAATCGCAGAAGAGAAATGAATGCGCACTGCCAGGAGGCCCGGCGATGTCGGAGCGCCGAAACATTGTCCGGGCGGAAGGCGGGCGTCGGTCTTGATAAGGGCGCCTGGGATCGCAGCACCAGCGTACGAATTACACGCTCGATTTCCAATACACCACCAGGGCGGACCACCAAGGCGGGCCCTGCTAAGCGTGCAACGGCCCGTCGCCCTGATGATAGGTGCGAGCTGTTTATCCGCAACGGTGTGACGGCCGTCAAGTCAACCGTGTAAAATTCCCGCAGACCATGGATCTGTTGGGAAGACGCCAACCGCAGCAAGGATGGAACAGCGTCGTGCAGCGCAGCGCTCCCTGTAGGAGCGGGGATTCCGTCTGTCAGTCGCATTACTACGAGCACGCAAGCGGTGCTCGGTGTCGAGTGGATGCCTTGTATCGCCTTGTATCACCGAGCGGAACTGGCTCGCTCACCGCGCGCAGGCCCGGCAGGTCGACCCAGGACAGAACAGCCGTCATCATTCATCGTGAAGGAGGCACAGACGATCGATCAATAACAGCAAGAGAACGGCGTCTCGGGGCCCCGGGCCGGGGTCGGGCCGGGGAACTTGCATCACGAATTGGAAACACGGGGGAGGATACAATTTACAGGTACGTACAGCATCGCCATGCGAACCAGAGCCGGCGAGCGAGGCGTGTCAGGCCACGGCCGTGAAGATGGCCGGGCCAGCCGGGGTTCGTCGCCGAGGTCGAGCAGACTTGGGGGCTGGAGAGCGGGCGACAGATCTCCGGGGCTAGTCACTCCGTATCTGGACGCAGAAACCTTGGCCGCCGGCTGACTGCTTGATTTACCAGCAGCTCCGCGGCGGGCGTGGGTGGACCAAAAGCAGCCTGCGGTGCGGTTCGGGGCGGTGGAGGCGGAAGCCTCGGGGGCGTCTGCTGCAAAACGATTCAACAGGGCCCGGCAGTCGCGCAAGCGGGAGGCGAGACACTGACCAGGGGCATGGCGGAAGCGTGCATCACCTTGGAAGCGCATAGGTACGCACTCATGCTGTGCAGTATTTGGCCTCGTTGGTTCTCAATGTCGCGTCGTCAAAACGTGCAGTGCATGGCAATGCCTCATCGAGCCCGCCGAGGACGGCCCTGTCTTGCGTGGGGGAGCAAAAGCCAAGTGACATGACACGCAGAGCGGCGCTGGCTGGCCGCCACCAACGGCGCGGGACAAGGCCCGGCGGTGGTGGTGAGACGAGGTGAGCGATGGGAGCCCTGGAGGGATGGAGGGGTGGCCACTGGTGACGGCACCCCGCTGTAACGTCGAGCTTCAGGTCAGCTCCAATCGTCATAAGGTCCAATGCTCTGCGCGGGTTGGTAGGCAATTGCCCCGCCCGGCGCGCAGCAGCCCCACCCTCCGGCAAGCAAGCTGCGAACCTCAGCGGCTGCGAGCGGAGAGCGGGTGCAGCAGGTCCATTGAGTTGAGTTGAGAGTTGAGAATGAGGAGGCCCTGCGCTGGGCCGGGCCTGGAGCAGGTAACCTGCCCGCAAGTTGGGGAACGAGTGGGTGCGCGCGGGAGCTTTTTCATCATCAATGAGTGTCCGTCCAATTCGCCCCCCCCCGCCGTCGCCGCCGCCGTCGCCGTTCAGCACCCCCAGCGTCCGTCGTCCCAGCGCCGCCGACCAGCCGCCCGCCCGTACCTCCCTGCCACAGCGCAAACTTACATACAGCACCTGCACCTTGCCTACGCGGCTCCAGGGCTACCTACTTACAGGGACAGCGTCCATGCGCGCGGCGCTGGCGGCGCCCACCTACCTCACCCACCCCGCTGCCTCCACCTCCATGTCCTCGCCCGCCCGCTGGCCGTCCCCTCCGGCCGTCTTTTTCTGCCCTCCGTCATTAATAAACCGGTCCCAGCTCTTCCGGAGGCACCTGCGCTCCCCAACAACAGCAATCTTTCTTGTCCTCCCTCTGCCCTGTTGATTCTTCACCTCTCGCTGCGATCCGTGCCCGAGCTCGTCGTATTTACCGCGACGACACGAAGACGACACCGCCCATCTGCCCCAGCACCGCCGCCTCTCGCGCCTCACAGCCGCCATGGACAGCAAGTCCGCAGCAGCGTACGTGCTCCCTGCTACCCCACCATGAATGGACGGACGCTGGATGCAGTCCGGGAGCAAACCCCGTCTGCGCTGCTCTGCGCTGCACGGAACTGAGCTTTCCCGACCTCAAGCTCTGCGGATGGAGGCCAAGCTCAACCCAAGCTCGGCAGCGGCAGCGGCAGCGGCAGCGACAGCACCAAATTGCACAGCTCCTGTGCCGCAGCTGCGGTGTGGGGGTGTTCCTGCACAGCTTGAGGAAGTCCTGGTTCCTCCACCGGGCGCCAGCTCCGTCTCCCATGGCCTCCACCACGCCGCCGCGCTGACAAGATATCTCAAAACAGGAGCATGGAGCTGAAGGAGAACACGACCATCGTCGTGCTCGGCGCTTCTGGCGATCTGGCCAAGAAGAAGACTGTAATGCCTTCCCCTCTCTTTCCCTCTGCGCCCCTCTTCCGCCTGCCGCCCTAGTGCTAACCTTGTGTCTTTCCTCGACAGTACCCCGCGCTCTTTGGACTGGTGAGCCGACCCAATTGTCATGAAGCGTCCAGGACCATCCTGTCCTGTAGCGTGCGACATGGCGCCTAACCGTCGTTGCAGTATAGGAACCAGTTTCTGCCCAAGGATGTCCGGATCGTCGGGTATGCGCGCACCAAGATGGACCACGAGGAGTACCTGCGACGGATCAGGTCCTACATGAAGACGCCCACCAAGGAGATTGAGCAGCAGCTGGATGACTTCTGCAATTTGTGCTCCTACATCTCCGGCCAGTACGACAAGGATGAGTCCTTCGACGTCCTCGAGAAGCACCTGCAGGAGTTGGAAAAGGGCCGCTCCGAGACGCACAGGCTATTCTACATGGCTCTGCCTCCGAGCGTCTTCACCATCGTCTCCCAGCACCTCAAGAAGTGCTGCTACCCGAAGAAAGGCATCGCGCGCATCATTGTAGGCCCCCCCAGGTCAATTGCTATAGTAAGCGGACCTGACGCTGACCATCGTGCAGGTTGAGAAGCCGTTCGGCAAGGATCTTGCCAGCTCCCGCGAGCTCCAAAAGTCCCTGGAGCCGGACTGGAAGGAGGAGGAGATCTTCCGCATCGACCACTACCTTGGCAAGGAGATGGTCAAGAACATTCTTATCATGCGCTTCGGTAACTCCTTCTTGGGCGCGACCTGGAACCGGCACCACATCGACAACGTTCAGATCACCTTCAAGGAGCCCTTCGGCACCGAGGGCCGAGGAGGATACTTTGACGAGTTCGGCATCATCCGAGATGTCATGCAGAACCATCTGCTGCAGGTCCTGACCCTGCTCGCCATGGAGCGGCCCATCTCCTTCGACTCGGAGGACGTCCGCGACGAAAAGGTGCGCGTCCTGCGCTCCATCCCCGCCATCGAGCCCAAGAACGTCATCATCGGCCAGTACGGCAAGTCGCTCGACGGCAGCAAGCCCTCGTACAAGGAGGACGACACCGTGCCCAAGGACTCGAGGTGCCCCACGTTCTGCGCGCTCGTCGCGTACATTAAGAACGAGCGATGGGACGGCGTCCCCTTCATCCTCAAGGCCGGCAAGGCGCTCAACGAGCAGAAGACGGAGATTCGCATCCAGTTCAAGGACGTCACCTCTGGCATCTTCAAGGACATTCCGCGAAACGAGCTCGTCATGCGCATCCAGCCCAACGAGAGCGTCTACATCAAGATGAACTCGAAGCTGCCCGGTCTCAGCATGCAGACCGTCGTCACCGAGCTCGACCTCACGTACCGACGACGCTTCTCGGACCTCAAGATCCCCGAGGCCTACGAGTCGCTGGTGCTCGACTGCCTCAAGGGCGACCACTCCAACTTTGTGCGCGACGACGAGCTGGACGCCAGCTGGCGCATCTTTACCCCTCTGCTTCACTACCTCGATGACAACAAGGAGATTATCCCCATGGAGTATCCTTACGGTATGGGCACCCTGCCTGTGATCGCATCATGCTGTTCTCGCTAACCCTGACGGCCAGGTTCCCGCGGCCCCGCCGTCCTGGACGACTTCACGGCGTCGTACGGCTACAAGTTCAGCGACGCCGCCGGCTACCAGTGGCCCACAACTTCGGCCACCCCGCCCACCAAGTTGTAAGTCGCCGCCGCCGCCGCCAGCACCATCACAGCACCATCATGTTTGTTACCACGGTCGGGTAAGCTTGAATGAGCGATGACGGCTAATTCGCAGCAGTTGATGTCGCTTTGTATGAGGAAAACAGAGGCCGGTGGGCTTTGCGCGCGTTCCGTGAGCCAGTGCCCTGCTAAAAAAAGGCCAAACCACGCATGACGAAAAGGGGGAAAAGTACGAACCAAGGAACAGCCCGGGAATGGCAAGGGGAGTACGGCCCGACATGTCCTAATGGGGGGGCCTAACGATACTTGGGGAACTGGGAATATCAATAGAGCCACGAATTCTTTTTATCTTCAATGCCAGCTTGCCGGCTTGCCTAATCTCACAAAACTTGCATGACTCTGAAGCGCAGGCGTCCGCTGTGGCCCTGGCTGGGAATGCTACAGCACTTATCGGAGTGCGCGCCTCGCGATCACCAAGAGAAACCGTTTTCTTGCTTGTTGCCTGCAAGTAAGTAGGACAGTATTGTGCGGGACCTTGGATACGGCCTTAAGGAACGACGGCAGCCCCGCCCGGATGCAATGCGCCTCATCTTCTTTCTATACCCGCATAGGAACAAGTCCAAGTAGAACCGAGAAGTTGTGAGCCCGTCGTCAACTTAACAGCCGCTACCGGTCTCGACGGACGACCATGCCAAGACAAGCGTCAGCGACGGGTAGTCGAGGGGCCGCCTCTTCACGGATTCGGATTCGGATTCAGCCAAGGCGTCGGATTCCCTCAACCGCTTGGACTTCCTCCTGGTTCGAGTTGAGCCTCTCCAACGTATGCCGCGTATGGGCGTCTGCGGTGCTCGGAAAGAAGCGCCCATGTTGCAGCCACAATGCCTCTCCCGCTCCGTCCTCTATCTCACCCTTGAGCATCTCGTTGGCCATAGAGGATGCGTGGTACGCGGTGCCACCCCTGACAGGGGAGCCAGATGCCGGGTGGTAATTCTCGTCATGGTCTGTGGCTTTGTCGTGGATGACGGCCTGGCGGTCGAGTTGGGCATTGTCCGTTTCTGTTGAAAGGCGTGTAAAGGGTAACTGCCGCGGCGGGGGCAGTGGCGGTGGGACGAAGTTTACCTCGGTGAGACCCGGGATATACATGGCGGTCCTGGGTGCGGTGCCGTGACCTTGGCCAGTTAAGAAGTCATTCCAGGTATTGAAGGATGGGGGAGTTTCAAGGGACTGGGAGAAGGGACGCAGAGTCGAGTCACTTAGACGCGAGTCATCAGCGAAGCCGTGCGGGCGCAGCGTTGACGATGAGCTCTCGCGGGTGAGCGGCGCCCTAGGGTTGATAGGGCGGGTCATCTCTAGCAGGGATCTGAGTTGTGCGTTGGCCTCGTCGAGCGAGCGGTCAAGATCGCCAAAGTTGACCCTAAGCCCCTCGCCGAAGGACGTATCTGGTGAAAAGATCATCCTGTCGGCCCAGGATGAGTTGGCGGGCCCCTCGTAATCCTCACGAGATCCTCGCGCGGGCGCCGGCATAGGCACCCATTCGAGCTCCTCCCGGATGGATGAGAGGGTCACCTCATCATCTTTCAGGAGTGTTGAGCAGTCTGCCACGGACAATCCCGATACAATCGCGAGGCGCCGTGCAAGGGCCTCAATTTCATGCAAGTCCCGGGCTGTCAGTAGGATCCGTGAACTTCCCACTCCATCCCCGCTGCTAGCTTTGCACATCTGGAACGTTGTGTCAATAACTGACACGCGCCTGTACTGGCTGATGTCGTCGTCCGCCGTTTGAAGCTGGGGTTTCTGTGGTCCGGTCACCTCGGGGGGGATGATCGAAGGCCCGGGTGACGGCAGCCAGGTGGGTTGCTCTGCGTCCAAAAATTCGTACTTTTGTATTTCCTGGACTCTCTGGTAGGACAATCCGCATCTCTTGCTAGAATGAATTGGTGAGAACCCGACTTGAATCCCTCAGCCGGTAGTATTTACCATTGAGTTTCGGTATCTGTATAGCCACGGTTGCTGAACGAACAAGAAGGGCATCTTGTCGACGGTGTTTTACGTCGTCGAAATATCATGCTCATAAAAAGCACTTGGTTGGGCTATTGGATAGTGAGCATATTGTCTAAGCAATGGCCGCTGACTCCCTACCTTGAAAAGCGAGAGCCACGGCATGGAGAGATCGAGGACTTGCCCCGTATCCCTGTCTTCGAGCGACCATTCATTCCGTTCTATCTTGCCAGTTCCGAGATCCCCAAACCTTTCTTTGAGAATATGGGTGAATAACTGCAAATAATTAGTGCTTTGTAAGACCAGCAAGGTACTGGAGAGGTGGTACTTCTTTCGACGTTACTGTTTCCAAGTAGAATGGCAATGGTATCCCGCGCGCGTCAATGACCGTCACTCGATGAAACGACGGCTGATCTCTGAGCTCGTCGCTTGCCAGACGTATGACATGTGTGGTCTGACTAGCTCTCTCGAGAGTTACAACGACGTGGTGGTCGCGTACCGTTACTCGAACTGCAGCATCAGCTGTGACCATATCAGTCGAAGAGCCGGCGCACCTCGCGGGCTGCGGCGCATCATCTCGGTATAACCAGAGATTCAAGAGGCCCTTCATAGCAGAGGCTGCCGCAGCCGCCGCAAAATCTTGCCACCTTTTGTGCTTATGGCAGTCGGCGTAGTCGCATACACCTTTGACAACAACGCTGGGCATCTCGTCCCACACGCCAGCGCCCTCCATCTCGAATGCAACAATGCCATCGCGGGCAGCAATGCTATCTCGATCCTCGCCAGATTTCATGACTGTGTCGCCAGACGCGACCAGCCCAACATGTATGGCAGGGTCTCCCGAGCTATGTGCGTTTGCCCGTCGCTCAGTTGTACTTGCGCGAAACCGTTCTCTGGGGACCAAAAACGACTCGTCGCAACCCAAATCTTCGCATGATGATGCTATTGCCTTCGCACAGACTGATCCGAATTGCCCGTGATTCTCGTGGCATATGCATTGCGGGTAACCCCTGTGCTTGTGTCGGTAGTCCGCGTCGAAGAGTTTGTCCTCAACCACTCCGGGGTAGGCATAGGTATTTCCGATCGTTTGTCCCTTGGCGTTAGCCTGAAGCTCTTGTAGGTATTCGGCGGTCTTTGTCCGAAGCCGGCCTCTGCCACGACGAGTCTCGAGGAGCGCCAACATGTTGCGGACATCTTTACTTGGCATGCCGAGTGTGTCGCCAACCGCCTCCTTCCGAGCAAAGTGGCCAGGATACTGCCGTCCAAAGTCGTACTGGATGATTGTTTTGCTGATGACCACATCGCCAAGGACAATCTCCTCCCCGTCTCGCGGGAAAGGGACGCCGCCACAAATGCCCACGAGAAATACCACACGGAGGCCGGTGTAGCTCAAACACATGCTTGCGGCTGCGCCAGCTGCCGTCGCCTTGCCCATCCGGTAGAGAAGGACCAAGACTACATTGTGCTTTCCGATGCGACCGTTCGTGTATGTGTTGCGGTCTCCGGTTGCTCTCCCATAGACCTCGACGTGATCGTCCCAGAACTCGTCAAACAGGAGGCACACGGCATCGTATTCGAGTGGCAAGGCACATATGATGGCGATTTCGAATTCTTGGCGACAAGCCGGTCGCCGATGATCAGGGCTCCCGCTGGCGCGTTGGAAAGGCAAGCTCCCCGTCGCATGCTGCGAATACGTTGAAGGGAAGGGAGTCCGGGTTTGGTGTCGCTGTGCCACGACTTCTTCGCCGTCGGCCGGGGATGAGCCTCGCTTGCGCTTGCCTAGGCGGTGGCCAAGTGGGCGGTCGTACGGCGACCCATCCATCCTTGAGGCTTTGGCATTGCCGAACAGTCAGCCCTGGAGTTCTGACGTCGGTATCATTCGCAAAGTGCAGGTCAAGACGGAATGCGCTTGCGCCTTCCGGCCCCCAAAGACTGGTTCAGCACCTTGCAGTCGTGGCTGGCAACCCCGCTCACTGCGCTCAGCATGGTCAGCCGGACCCCCTGGCCGAAAGAGCGACGCATCCGAGCCCTGGACGGCGCGGCTGCGAGTCTTGGCCAAGGTGGATGACCTCGCAGACTGTGGTGTGAGCGTCGCGCGGGGACATACAATTGCACCCACTTGTGGAAGACGACAAATGACTAGCAATCGGCTCCAACAATGAATGCCAAACACCTCGGTGTTGGCAGTCGTGAAAGGGTTTGGGCCGTCAAGGGCCTGCCTGTCTCGTTGACGCTCCATGCCACGAACGATGTATGTGCTCATGCAGGCGCACCTTCCAGGTAGGCGGGCAGGCCATCTGTGTCGGCAAGAGCAACCAGGGCTATTTGTGCAAAATAGACGGCACCGATCAATAGAGCGACGAAGGCATAGAAGACCGAGGTCTGCTTTCTTACATCACGATAGGGCAGCACCAGGGTTCAGACAAGATGCCTGCCGTAACTCATGTACCAGGCCACATGTGATTTGTTTGGAGCAAATGTCTCCCTTGCCTACCTCTCCGCCAGGGCAGCTCGTGCAAGTCGATTTGTCTCCTTTGAGGAGATGCTCTTGTCAATGCCGGTCGTTGCGGGCTTGTGCGCCAACGAGAGCTCGAGCCGTCTCGGCCGGCAATGCGATAACCAGAGGCGGTAAATCGGCGTGGTCTCCAAAATAGACTTTCATACCTCCAAGAATGGCGCACCAAGCCACAGCAGGGTGGAATCGAGAGAATGACGTTCGCGTCGCCCAGACTCCGCTCCGCTTGTGCTGCGTGAGACGACAGCAAAACGCATTACATAAGCGCCGAAGCCACACAGGCCACGGCCCCATTGGCCCGTGCACGACCAGCCTCACATGACCCGAGCGCTCGTCGCTCGCAGCTCGGCTCCGCCGCAACAAACCAGAGGCAGGCAAGCAGGCGGATCCTTGAAGCCGCCATCTTCTCATCACCACCAGCTACCTCTCACATTTGCACCTCCACCCGACCTCCCTACCACGACGCGCCCACCCACCACGCAAAGCATCTCTTCAGCATCGGAATACCGGGCGATCAGTGTCATTCGTTTACCATCGTCGACAGCGACAACCGAATCGACCGTCCCGCCGCGTCGCGTTGCCCCGAGACGCCCTCGACTTCCCGTCCGCTTCCCTTGGGGCCCTGCGACGCTCTCCGCCTCTCTGCCCTTCGCCCCGAGCCCGAGCCGTCGTGCGCTCAATCGCGCGCCCTCAAAGCCAGAGGAGGCAGCGCGTCGGCCGCGACCCGCCGCTTGCCCGGCTTGCATGGGCATCTCGCGCGCGCCTTGCCTGCGTGCTATGGTGCGGACGAGCCTCGTGGTCGAGCACCATTAGGCCCAGCTTCCGAGACGCCTGCACAAGCTGCGTCCATGCCGACCCAAGTGCCACTGCTACTCGAGCGCACTTCTTCACCCTCGCGCCTGTCGCTTGTTGGGGTCGTTGGCCGTTGGTCGACCCGCGTTGGGGGCACGCGCGCGCCGACTCTCCCCTTGGAGTAGATGCCCGGCGTCGTCAACATGGAGCCTGCCGGCCAAAATGGCATGCGCACCGACCATGACAGGGACCTCGTCATCAACGGAGTCAACGGTGCCAGCGCGGCCGGCCATGAGCAAGTTGCGCCGGACAAGGGCAAGGCTCCTGCGACCGCCAGCCACCATGATGCTGTCAACGGCGGCGACAGCGTTGGCGCGGCCGCGCCGTCTGGCGATCAGCTCTCAAGGATGAATGACCTCCCCGACGAGATAGTCCACATCACCCAGGGCTTCGTTCCGCTGTCGCTTCTTCTCACCCGGCTAGCTCAGGTGTCGCACAACTCCCTCCAAGAGAAGGTCGCAGAGCTGGCCAAGATGCCGATACCAGGCGCAGCCGTCAACGGAAACGCCACGTACAATTCGAGCGGCCCGGACGACAACTCCAACGAGAATCTGCGCAAAAAGGCGAGCCTTGCGAGCTTCGCGCAGGACATGCACGGGAAGTGGCTCAAGGCCCTCGTCATCGCAGAATGGAGTAGGAAAGCGGGTGCCGTCAGCAAGCTGATAGACCTCAAGTTCCACATTGACCAGCAGAGGATCCTATACGATGCCACCCTGGATAACGTCGTCAACCTCAAGCGAGACTTGACCTTTGCGCGGATGCCCAGCCCAGACCTCAAGACAGCCTTGCAGGTTCTGTCCACCGGCTCCGCGCCGTGGATACCCGATGTGAGTCTACCCGTGCTGACCATTCACGCTGCGATGCTGACACTTTGAAGCTTGGCTACCTGGACCCGCCACCCATGACCCCGACGGAAGAGTTTAAGTGGTTCAACGATCTCAACACCCTCCTTTCCCTACGACTGAACCTTGAAGACTATGACAAAATCCCTTATGCATTCCGAAACTACGAAATCGGCTCAGGGCGTGTAACGTTCAAAGTCGACGGCGAATTCGAGGTTGACCTCACCATTGCGGATGAAGACTTTGACAAGCAATTCTGGTTCATTGACTTCAGATATGCGTTCACACCTTCGGCGTCATCGCTGTCTGACTCGCTGCGCTCATATCTCGAAGGCTGCGTCAACGATGCCCTGAGCAAGGACGGCCTGGTGGGCTGCTACAACTTCCTGCATGAGTTTGTCCTCACGTGCAAGATCAACGAACTGAAGCGGCAAGCCCTATTACTCAGTAGGGGCTCCTGGACTGGAACTTTGGCCGTCGAGCCGCTCAACCGATCTCTGGCCATCCAATACTGGACGCCTCGCACTGCCATTACTGGCACCAAGAGCTGGGTTTTGATCGCCATCAACAGCGGGCGCCAAGCGGACGGCAAGCCCGACCCCAAATCGTCGAGTTTCCTCTCTGCCAAGTGGTACCGCGACAGCAAGGAAGTCAAGGATGTCGAGATCGATCTGAATGTACAGCATCTGTCGGCCGAGTCCCTTCTTTCAAACATTGTTGGCCGCCACATCCAGTCCATCTTGACGAACACCCACGACAAGCTGTTGTCTGCAGCGCGCTATAAGAACCGGCAGGCCAGCATGGTCCTGGACGTGTCAACGAGTGATCCAGCGGCGTCGTACCTGGCCACTCAGATTGGAGAAAACAACAGGGCTTGTCTGCTCGTAGAACCAACGACTGGCGCATTTGCCGTCAAGCCTCACTCCAAGTTCACGGTCCAGTACGAGCATCAGCTGAACACTGGCAAGAACCCAGCAGAGGATGGCGTGGCCTGCCTCGAAAACGCCCGGTGCGCAATCATGGAGGACGACATTAGCAGAAGAGGGAGCTCCATGGGCTGGTTCACGCGCAAGGCCCCTCTCACGATCGAGGAGATCAAATCGGCGACCAAGCTGCGCGAGTGGACCCGGGCCATTTGGCTGCAAAAAGATGGCTGGGGAGCGAGCTGGTTCGTGGGGGTGTTCCTTGGCCTGGGCGGCGATGAGTGGTGGCTCTTAGAAGCGTCAGCAATGCCCGTTTCGACCCTTGAGCATGGCTTGCATGCTAACGAATCTCTCAGGAACCGGGACGAGACGAACCGGCCCGTCAAATTCAAGGCCAAGCTGGCTCTCGACAAGGGCTACCCAGACCGTGGGGAGGAGTTCTGGAACAACTTGGCCCTGTTCGCGACTGGCATCATGACACAGTCAATCGATATGCGAGAGCTGCTCCGGCACAGGATTAAGAACAAGTCGAGCGCTGGCGCCGAGGTGTCGCTTCCGCACCAAGTCAGGATTCCTTGCGTCAAAATCTCGCTTTCGGCCCTGTTCCCCGCCATGGTATCAGACACGTATCAGGCCAGGTCAAGAAGCAACTCTTCTGGCAGTGACTCCGGCGTAAAGGATGCGGCACTGTCTCATCTTATGCAGAAATACGCAGGCGCCGCACTGGAGTCGAAGCAGGCGTGGGCCGAGGACATGGTTACAATCAACTTCAAAGGCATCCAGTCCATGCGCCGGCCCGGGGAAGAGACGAAAGAGGGCGACACGCCAACGGGCGTGCTCGTGTGCGAGTCTGAAGCAGTCATCAGAGTACGGAGACCGTCGCAACTCGCGGCTCTTCGGAACCTAATGAACCGCGACGTATCATACAACGTCCCTCGGGGCGAGTTCTCGCTACGCCTTCGGCGTCCCGTAGGGGGACCTCTCCTTGATACTCTCAAGACCCGGATCAAGTCCATCGATCGCTTCATCAATTTCTTCGAAGCACTCGAGAAGGCAAGCGGGGTAATCACTCGGGAGGCGATCACTCTCAAGTTTGTGGCCTTCAGTTACAGCGAACTCCCCTCCACACCACCAGCGAGCGGCGAGGACGGGCAGGACGACGCTCCCACGACGCCGCCTCGACGATGGCGTGTGGGACTGGACCTCTCCAAGGATGATATCGACATCAGGATAGAGGACGGAAACCCCCACCTTCGGGTCGTCGATCTTATGCGCAAGCTGGTCAACACCGATGGTGGCATCGGCGCCCTGATGGCGTGGCTGCCCGCCTCGCTCCCAGCTCTCAGGGCAATCGACGACATGCAGTCCCAGTGGGACAGCCTGACCGCGGAGAAACGCGGTCGTGTCGAAGTCTCGATGAAGTCGATTGCGTGGATGAGCATCGCGTACACGTTACCGTCGCCCGATTCGGGCGGCAAGGATGCCCAGAAGCGCGTCACGCTCGAAGTGCGCCTGAAACCGAAGCAAGGGGAGGCCTGGTGGCACGTCTGGCGATCCGACCCTGGGACCAAGGCGTCGCCAGACGATGAGTTCACGAAGGCGCTGAAACCTGTATGGGCGTCGCGCGGCCAGGGCTGGCTCGGCCTCACGACGGGCGCCGCGGGTAAGCCCTCCGGCGGTGTCGTCGGGATGCTCAGCGCCGTGGACGAAGCTATTAGGGGTGCCGCGCAACAAGTCGCCGCGGCGACGACGGCCGATGGCGCCAAGATCAAGAAGGAAGGCGGGCAGCAGCAGGAAGTCGTGATTCTCGACTAGAGCGCCTCTACGAAGCGACCCCGGGGGGCGAAAACATTGCAGAGGGCGGCGGGCGTCGAAAACAAAAACGGGGGGTTCAACCGGCGACACGGTGTTTTTGGGGGAAGAGACAAATGGGGGCCGGGGGCGGCGCATCTGGGACGGCGGGAAAGGGTCCTAGGTTCCACCCACAGCGGCGTGTACAAGCGATTTGGTTGCACGTGTATGTCTAGGATAATGATGATACCAGAGCAGAAAGAAATACAGGGCCGCCCCGGACGAGGCGCAGACCTTTGTACGAAGTATTATGTTTTTATTATTTGCTTGCTTGCACGCTGTGTAATGCAGCGCGGGCGGGACCTGCGTGCGAGAAAGGGATGCGTGTGCGTAGGACCTGGTGATGCATGCTTGTCACGAAGGACAAGGAGCAGGGAGCGTCAGGACATGAGATGGCGTTGAGGGCGACGACATGTGAATTTGTGCCCTTATCCAGACGTCACCTGAAGGATAGCACAGCGATGCGGACGGTGATTCGTAAGTGAAGAAGAATCGTTGCCCACCAGGGCAAGAGCTTGCTGTTTCTGCAGTCTACTCTTACATTCCGGGCCGGTTATTTTGATGTCCCGGCCGTTCTACAACTACTTTGGCTTGACCAGGGCCAGTTACAGCTGCATCTAGCCATCTACTCAGCTCAGCTCGCCGCCCGGTGATAGGTAACCCATCTACTGCATCGTGCCGGTCCGGACTCTCTGCCGCCAGCCACCCCCCCTTTTGCCGCCTTCTTTGATGCAAGCATACCCTGTACACATTCGAATACAACTGATCATACTGCATCCCACTCCTTCTGCGCCGTGGGCAAGCAGCGGCAACAGGCCGCCCTCACTCCAAGTGCCCATGCCTATGGCGCCCTACCCGGAGAGGAGACAGCGAGTTGCGCACGGCATAGTCAGCGGTGCGGAGCTGAGCCTTGCCGCGCCGTTTTCCGCCGCCTGGCTCACTTCAGCTGCTTGAACCTGCGCACGGGAATCTTGCCGACGGGGACGCCGACAAACGGCTCCGGGAACTCGAGGTGCTCGAGCCCTGTGGTGAACCAGCCGGCCTCGTTGCCGGCCTCGCCTCCCGCCGTCGTCTGCGTGGCGACGTCGTAGCCGGCGCGCAGGGCGCCCATGGCGCCAATCTTGCTGTAGGAGCCGCCCGCGACGGCGAGGCGGCCGTCAAACCCGTCGCGCAGCTCCTGGTCGGCCTGCATCATGCGGTCGTGGTGGCCGACGTAGTGCTGGGGGATGCACTCCTTGGCGAAGCGCGCCATGGCGAAGCACGGCGTCGAGGCCGGGATGTCGAGGTGGCGTTCGAGCAGGGCCTTAGCCTGAGCGATGGCGTCGGCCTCGGTCTCGGGCGGCGGCGGTCCGGAGTCGTAGTAGTGCCCGCCGAGGAGGACGAAGAGCTTGGTGCCGGGGGGCTCGTCCGGGCGCGCCGCCGCGCCGACGTCCGAGTCGAAGAAGACGCCGAGCGCGCGCTCCGGATTGTGCTCGCGCGGCACCGATCGCGGGATCAAGTACCCGAAGCCGGGGGGCTTGAGGTCCGTCCGCGGGTACCACACGTTGACGGTCCAGATGGAGACGGAGTGCGTGTCGGCCAGGCTAGGGAGCTTGTCGCCCGTGGCGCGCGAGAGGTCTTGCGACGAGACGGTGGAGATGACCCTGTCGTACGTAGCGGGGGAGGCGTTCTGCTCCTGGTCTCTTGCCGTGGAGATCTGCGCGCGTTGCTTGTGAGTTTCAATTACGTGGAGTGAAGGGTTGAGAGCGATGACATACCTCGACCTTTTGCGCCTCCTTGTCGTACGAGATGCTGCTCACGGGGCTCCCCTTCCTGATCTCGACGTTGGGCTGCGCCTCAAGAGCGTCGGCCAGCGCCAGCGGCAGGCTCTCCATGCCGGCGCCGCCAAAGTGCAGCAGCGAGCCCTTGGGCTTGAGGGCCATACTGCAGATCTGCGGGTCGCGCGCGAACGAGCTCATGAGCACCTCCTCGCGGGCCGTCATCTGGCGCACGCCGGGCCCCATGTTGGGTAGGTAGTAGCCCCAGTAGAGGCGGTCGAAGACGCTCCGCGCACTGAGGAGGTCGATGTCGCCGCCGTAGATGCCGTGCACCATGGCCGACGCGATGTTGTCGCCCACGCTGCGGCTCATGCTGATGTCGCGCAGCCACTCCGATATGGACATGTCCTTGAGCGGCACGGCGCGGCTGCGCGAGCGCGTCAGCCTTCGGAACAGGAAGCCCAGCCCGGCCCAGAAGGACTCTAGGAACAGCGGCTCGCGCACAAACTCGGCGAGGCTGGCGGCGGGGGGCAGCGTGACGAGGTGGTCCGGGTAGAAGATGTAGCGCGGCTTATCGGGCGGCGTCTCGATCTTGAGGCCGAGGTCGAGGGCCTGCGGGATTGCGTGGGGCTTCTGTCAGCAAAGGCGCGGTAAAGCAGAGACTAGCAAATGAGGACAATGCATGCGTACCAGGTCGTAGAGCACCAGGTCGTCGAAGCGCCAGGTGCTCAGGTGCAGCGACGACAGCGTCCGCGGACCCCTCTCGAAGCCGACGGTGCCGCGCGTGCCGTCGACGTCCACCTCGACGCGGTCGGTCCAGATCCAGCCGCCCAGGCGGTCGCTGCCCTCGTAGAGGGTGATGCGGGCCGACGCGGGCAGCTGCTTGGCGAGGTAGTAGGCCGTCGTGAGGCCGGTGAGGCCGCCGCCGACGACGGCGATGCTCTTGCCGCTGTCATTGTGCGTCGCCGTTGCGTAGCTCGCTCGCCGCTCCACACAAGATGAAGCTCCCAGAGCTGCTGATAGCCTGGTGCGACCGCGTGCGAGACAGCACTGCTGCTGCTGCTGCTGTTGTGGGCGGCCGAGGCTCGTGCCGCTCAGCATGCGCCGTGACCGTGGGGCGTTGTAGCCGAGGGACGCGCCTCTCTTCGCGGCGCCGGGCCGCCCGCCCGCGGCTGCGAGCCGTATCACGGCAATGGCTGCGTCTTCTGCTTTGCCGCGGCCCATGCTGTGGTTTCAATTGCGGCTGCTCATGGCTGGAGTCGAGGATGACGAGGAGGCGGTGGTGCGAGTCTGGTTGGCAAGACGTCGTCGGCGGTGGGTCCGGCACCCGGGACGACTCCAGCTCCAGCTCCATCCACCTGCGCGTCATCAAGGCTCCTCTTTGCTCTCTCCTTGGAGCACCATCATCACGCCACACGCGGGCCCCTTGTTAGCAATTGCTGGGTACACGACATAATCATTATTAGACACACATGCGCAATCAATCAATGGCACAATGCGATCATGCTGGAACCCGCTTTGTAGCGACAGAAGAAAGCCTCTTTTTGTATTTCCATGTCGCCCGCCGGGCTCCTCCTCGGGAGCCCAACCCTCCATCACGGCCGTCGCTTCCCCGGCCGCGGTCCTTTTTACAGACCCTGCCCTGTCGCGACCTTCTTCTGTATCCCAAATAACGCCAGCCATGCCCTCCCTGGTAACGTGAACATGAAACTACACATACACCTCCGTTATAGTACACATGACACGCCTTCGCTGTCCCGAGGCAGTGCCCTCCTATAATAGTCGCCCCCTATCCTATTCATGCATCACCCTTAGGCGATGGCATCTGCTTCGGCTGCCTGCGCCGGCTCGTCCGTCGTCATCTCGTGCTCTTCGCCGGGTATGACACGCTCGACGGGTGCACTCTCATCCACAAACTTGCGCTCGCTGACGTGCTCCGGGCCCGATTCGGCCGTCCACACCTTGTCCCGGAACCCACCCTGCTGACCCTCCTCGTGCACAAACATACAGTTGGGGTTCAGGCAGGGGTTGAACTTGCACTTGGTCTTGACGTGCGTGAACTTGCAGTTGGGCGTCGTGCAGTCCGGTCCGTTGCGGCAGACGGGCATCGAAGGGTGTCGGAACGGGCACCGCGGGTTCTGGCAGTTGGGGAAGAACTTGCAATCCTGCTCGTTCTGGTGCGCCAGCCGAGCCGCCGGCGACGGGTGCCGCCCGACGCATTTCCGGTTCTTGCACGCCGCTCCGAAACTGCAGGTGTCCGTCACGTCCACGGAAACGCCCGGCGGCGCCGCTGGCGACTGGTGCGCAAACTTGCAGTCCTTGTTTGTGCAGTGCAGGTTGTATTTGCACACCGTGTCCTCCGGGTTCGGCGCCTCGCGCTTGCCACCCGACATGTCGACATCCTCGCCCTCGGCTCCCTCCTCAGTCTTGGAGCCCTCTCCGTTGGCGTCTTGTTGGTGTTGGTTTCTCCGGAACTTGTTCTTGTGGTGCGGGTCCGACACTCTGTCGAAGAGGGACTTGCCGCCCCGTCCGCGCTGGCCATAGCCGCCACCCCGTCCGCCCGGGCCACCCGTCATGAGCTGCTGTGAGAGCTGGAACATCATCTTATTTTGTTCTTCGAGCATCGCCATGAGCTCCATCTGGTTCGGAGGCTGGCCCTGCATCATCCAGTTCGCCTGGGGGCCGCCTGCAGCGAGGCCCGCCTGGAGGTTCGCAGCGCGATGGTTGTTGTGTCGTGGAAGTCGGCCAGCGCCCGTTCGAGGACCCGTGGGAGGGGCACGGCCGTGCGTGTTGATACGGTCGTTGCCTCGAGTGCGATGCAGGACGCCGTCGCCTGTCCGGTCCATGGCCCTGTTCATCTGGCCCAGCATCCGCTTGTCCCGCCCACCACGCATGTTCCCATTGCGCATCGACCGAGGTCCCGTAGGACTTGAGTGCTGTTAGCAGCAGGCTAAGTTTGGGGGTAGGAGGTGTCATCTTACGCGTTCAACTCAGAAACGTCGTTTGTACCCATGTCCGTATCCATCTCGCCGGATAGCCCGCCCTCCTGGGGTGCGTCGGCCATGGCATCGCCGCCAGCGGCGTGTCCACCGTTCACCTGCGCGTTCAGGGTCTCTATTTGCTCGAAGAGCCATTTTGAGAAGTCGCGCACGCCGGGATCGTCGGCTGGCAAGCCCAAAAGCTCTCCGGAGAGCTCGCTGGCAATTTGGTCTTGCGTCTTTCCATTGGCAAGCATAAGGATGATGTATTCGGCGAGAGCGGAGTCGTCAGTACCGCCGGTGCCCCATCCAACCTCGACGAGCTTGGGCTGGATTGCTGAGTTGAGGGCGTCCGCCAATGGCGTGTTCATCGCTACTTCGACGGGCATCTTGGCGGTGGCGCGCGAGCGATGCGTTTCGGGGGTGAGGAGATTGCGCTTCGCCAGAGGCGCGGTCGTCAACAATAGGTCCCGCTTGAGACGCGTTGCTGGCCTCGGCTGCCTCGACGAAAGAAGCTGGCCACGGGAATGTCAGATTTGTAGGTCAGTCGCTCGCGTGCAGAAGCAAAACCGTGTTCTTTTGCGAAATCACGGCAGGTCGATAGCGAGGCTGAGAGGAGAGTTGATGGCGGGTGAAGATGGACAGCCGAAAGCCTTGAGCGCGAGAGGCAAAGAAGCCAGAAGAAGTGGGTCGCAGGTATGGTTATGGTCACGTGAGGGGCTCGTCTTTGCTCCGTCAGAGGACAACGGTCCGTTTGTGACTCTGCTAACATCGGGTTTGAACGCCCCAAGCCCTTTGACGGTGAACAATCGTACCTCCCGTTATGAATGACAAAGCTTTATCCATTGCCTAGTCACGTCTAGAATTATCTAACGTTTGTTCACAGGCGTTGAACGTTGGTCTGCGCCGACAGGTCTAGTCACGTGCCGTCGAAAACCGTTGAATCGCAAGGTGGCTGGATTATTCAGCGGCTCTTATTGGCTCTCCGCGGTCTTTGCTTCGCAAGTTCGCAATTTCGCATGCGCCGCTGGTCAGCATCGACTCGGACATTGGGTCCCAGTTGCGGTCTTTCCAAAGCCCGAGAGGTTGTTCACAGGAGCCAATACGGCGAGATATTCGCGACTTATCGCTGAAAATCCGCTTCCCATCGGTCATGGTACCGCGACTGTTTCGAGTTGTCCAGGACTTCAGGCCCCCTCGCGCTAGGCGAAATGGTTCCGAGCTCATTTCGCGACAGCTGCCCGTCCGTGGCAGCCTCGGTGCGAATATATGAACCAGATCCGCGACGTCGCTGCCTGCTAGTTACGGTTTAAACCTCAATCGCGCCCAACCTAGGCGGCCTAGGACACCACTACATGCCCTGCACTTGACACACAACAATAACGTTAGGCAGCAACCTGGAAGGCAGCCATGACCAGGCTGACTTGGATAGCGTCCGCTCCACATCGTACTGGCGCAATCTTCCAAGATCTCTGCGAGAGCAATCTATGCGCGGACACTGCGCGAGGGCCACCTCAAGGTTTCACTAGAACCCAAGAAAGCAGCCGAGCCTCTTACGTGGCTCATCAGTCCGTTCGTCCAAGTGGGCAAGAAATCAACACACAGTCATGTTCGAGATCTATATTCGCCATGTTGCTGCGTGGTTTCATCGGCTGCTACGGATCAAACAATCCAGCTTCGTCTTAGCTCACATACCTCGGACCTGCTGGAGCTCCTTCGGCGACAGCGACTGGCTGTAAGCCCGAGTACTTGGCAATCCTCCAGCTAGGGAGAAGCCAGGAGCCGGGGCGGATCAGGTCGATAACTTTGGGTAGGTTGCAGTGTCGGTTTGCCGGGCTCATTGCGTCTGCGCTCGGCTCGTCACAAGTGGCAGCTTACACGCGTGTCTCAGCACCAACTGGTCAGCTCTTTCAAACGCGGGGTACAAGCGGCACCGGGCGGCCCGTGACTGCGGGGATCATCGACCGTTGTTGACGAAGAGCCGAACCGTCTGGCAAATGGATGCCGCGTCCGGGATCTGAGGTGACACGGCGGCAGCTGCGGGACCCGTCGCGGGAGTCGAAGCCTCGGTCGTGCCCCCGGACGGCGGGGTTGACTTGCGTCGGCATCGGGGCCAACGCGGTGCGACGTTGGACAGGGCGGAGGGCCAGGTTTGGCCGCCGCACCGATCTTACACCGCCGGGTGGGTGGAGCCGGCGCCGTTGTGGGCGCCACGGCTCGTGTTTCATCACCGGAAAGGGCGCGATGGCCGTTGCATCCTTGGCGCCGAAGTGAACAGTGACTGCATGCCTGCTAATGGCCGCCTGTTGATAGGATGAGGATACGCACCGGACTTTTGGCGACAGGCTGAATTCTCCTGCCCTGGCCTGAGGTGGTGGTCAGTCTTGCAGTTTTGACACATTCCAGATCAGGATCGACGCAACGACGAATGCGTACGCTCGCATGCAGGAGCCCGATGGCGCTGGACTAGCACGATCCCAAACTTGAAGACGTCGCAGCCGCCATTGCCGCTGCAGCTGCGACATGCAGGGGAGCATTCGGGCTCGTTGTCTTTGTCCTCTGCCGAGCTTCCTGGCCACAACAGGGAGCTTTGGAAGCTCGACTGTCGACTCTCGGACAGACGACGGGCTTTCGGGGCGGGAGGTGGGTTCGCCTAGGTGGGACACCGGGGCCCCGGATAGATAGATCGCTGGGGGTCGCCATCGCTGGCAGGCTGGCCCACTCTGCCCGCCTCTACACATGCCACCCAAGACACCCTTCCCATCCGCCCCTCCCCGCGACCGGGGCTGGGCCGCCTAGGGCTGGGGCTGGGGCTGGGGGGAGAGGGGCGGCGTCGCGTGTTTGAAGCTGCTGGCTTGTGATGCTTGGCCGACGAGTCGATGGGTCAAGGGGTCAGGCGCATTCCCTCTTGTGCCGTTGGCTGTGGCCGCCTCCAAAGCCTCTCTGGGCTCACTTGAGGCTGTGTCAGGTCTGTGTCCGCTGCGGCCGTCTAGGGACGTACCGTATTATTACTCGCTCGCATTCGAGGGCGCCATGGCGGGCAGGCGCATTGCTTGAAGAAAGCGGAGCGCACTTGCCCTGTTGACGACTCCAGTCCGGTCTCCCATCCCTGCCTGGCGCGTCGTCTCTCGGGCGGTTCTTGCCTATTTCGCCGGCTCCCCCTCAACTCCGCCGGGCTTGATAGGCAACTCCACGACCGCAAACCGTTCAGTATACATACATATACCACCCCATACAATAACCTCCCCCTTCCCCGGACCGCCGGCCTGTTTCTACCCCACACCAATGTCCTCGCCCAGCATTGTGACGGGCCTTAGCCGAACCGCCGACACCTGAAATATCATTACTATTTGGGTACCCTTGGACTCGCGGGCCTGGTCGATTGCATTTGCGAATCCCTTTTCATCCTCCTGCGACATTGGACAGGGCCATACCCGCCGGCCACCATGGGTCTCGTTGAAGCGCTCTTGGAGCATGCCTCCGCCAAGTCCGTCTCCATCTTCCTCATCTTCGCATACGTTCTCTGGACCGTCCTCGCCCGCATCAATGAGTACCGCAGCATCAAGCGCCTGGGTAACCATGGGCCGGCCGTGCCGTCGTACATGCCTTGGGGTGAGTCGACCCTCGTTCTCCTGTTCCTCAACCACTGGCGTCGCAAAGCTAACTTCAAGCAGGGCTCGACTTCATGGCCAAGGGAATCCGCGCTACAATGGCGCAAAAGAACCTAGAGCTGTGGCGCGACGATTTCTTCAAGGACGATGGCTGGACTCGCGAGGCCCGCATTGTCGGCCAGCGCATCATCTTCACGGCCGACCCGGAGAACGTCAAGGCCATGCTCGCGACCCAGTTCAACGACTTCGGCAAGGGCAAGCCATTCCACGAGGAGTGGAAGGAGTTCCTCGGCGACAGCATCTTCACCACGGACGGCTCCCAGTGGCACAACAGCCGCCAGCTCATCCGCCCGCAGTTCACGAGAGACCGCGTCAGCGACCTCGAGTGCTTCGAGTCTCACATGGAGACTCTCTTTAAGGCCATGGCCAATGGCGGGCCGCTCAATGGCGAGAACCAGGTCGTCGACATGTCGCAGAACGACGGTCGTGTCTTGGATATCTCTAATCTCTTCTACCGGTACACCCTTGATGTTGCCACCGACTTCCTACTCGGCACCGACGTCAAGTCACTGAGGTGAGCATCCGCACCCCACGCCCCGAGTGACTGACCGCCATGCTAACCTCCTGAAGCACCCCGAAACAGGAGTTTGCCGAAGCCTTCAACGAGGTGCAGCGTATCCAGAACATCATCACCCGCACCAACAAGCTCCGCTACCTCGTCCCCAAGTGGACCTACCGAGCCTGCCTGCGCGTCATCAACGCCTTTATCCACAAGTTCATCGAGCGCACCCTCCGTATGGCCCCTAGCGAGTTCGACAAGACCAAGTCGGACAAGAGCTACACTTTCCTGCACGAGCTGGCCCGCTTCACCCGCGACCCCAAGGTTATTCGCGACCAGGTCATCGCTGTCCTCCTCGCCGGCCGCGACACCACCGCCGGCACACTCTCGTGGGCCATCTACGAGCTCGCGCGCCATCCCGAAGCCCTCGCCAAGCTGCGAAACGAGATCCTCGACACCGTTGGCCCGGACAAGCCCCCGACCTACGAGCACCTCAAGAACATGTCGTACCTCAAGGCCGTCCTCAACGAGACCCTGCGCCTCTATCCGTCGGTGCCGTTCAACGTCCGCCTCGCCCTCAAGGACACGACCCTCCCGCGCGGCGGCGGCCCCGACGGCTCCGAGCCCCTGCCCGTCCTCAAGGACACCCCCATCGGCTACTCCACGCTTGTCATGCAGCGCCGCCCGGACCTCTACCCGCCCGTCTCCGACACCTTTGCCGACCCCGGCGTCTTCAGCCCGGACCGCTGGGCGCACTGGCACCCCAAGCCCCACGAGTACATCCCATTCAACGCCGGGCCGCGCATCTGCATCGGACAGCAGTTTGCCCTGACGGAGATGAGCTACGTCCTCGTCCGCATGTTCCAGCGCTTTAGCCACGTCGAGAGCCACATGCAGGCCATTGACGGCGGGTCGCCCATGCTCAAGACGGACATTGTCTTGTCCCCGGGCCAGGGCGTTCACGTCGCCTTTTTTCAGGCTGAGAAGGCGTAGATGGGGTGACCGGCCTTGTTCAGCTTAAAATCGCGATTGTCATGTACAGTACGGCAGATGATGTGATGAATCTTTGTTCTCTTTTGGCCTCATGACTATGCCACTTCCTACATTACATCCTAATGAAAGATGCAAATGAATCCTGACCTGTACCTTGAACGTGTGTGTGATGGTGGATAAGACGTGTCATTGACCATTGTCAAGACATTTACCGCGGCACCTACACACCTGGTGCTCGTCTCCTACTCGGGACACAAAGCGAGCCCCCTATTTCTTTCCAAAACTGTCCCGCACCGCCTTGCCGAATCTCTTGATTGCCTCATTCATCGCGTCGGGCGTCGCCATGGCATACGTCGTGCGGAAGTAGAGTCCTGGCAGGGGCTTGTCCTTCTCGGCCAGGAACCACGAGCCCCTCGCGACCAGTACACCGCTGTCGATGCACGAGTTGAAAATCTCCTCTTCAACCTCCTCCAGCGATCGCGTGCCGGCCTGCGGGTGCTGAGAGTAATCGACCTTGAGCCACATCTGGAACACATCAGTTAGCTGGATATCCCCCAGATATGGAGTTGGCAAGACTGGGTTGCGACTTACAAACATGCCCGCGGCGGGTGGAACCCAGCTCACAATGTCGCGTGGCAGGTTATCCTCGCAAGCAGCCAAGAGGGCGTTGCGCTTCTTCGTGTACTCCAGGCGCAGGTTCATCAGCCACTGCAGATAGCCCTCGTGTCCCCACGTCTCGTCGAGCAGCTTGTACAGGATGACTTGGGAGAACCCGGCGGGGCCCTGGCTGGCAACCTCGGCGTGCCGCTGGTATCGCTCGATGATCTGCTCGGAGGCGACCACCCAGCCCAGGCGAGAGCCAGGCACCAAAACCTTGGAGAACGAGTCCATGCGCATAACTCGGCCGTCAACGTCGATGCTGACCAGAGAAGGGATCAACGACGAGACAAACTCCTCGACGTTCTTGGGAGGAGGCACATCCGGCTGATCACGCCCGGTGTAGGGTTGCATCTGGAGGAAATAGTAGGGCTCGTCCTCAATGATGAAGATGTCGTGCTTTTGGCAAATGCGATAGATGGCCTGCCTCCTCTCTGCGCCTTGCGTGGCACCCGTAGGGTTCTGCCCCGACGGAACAGTATAAAGGACGTGAGGCTTCCTCGCGCCGCGGGACTTTGCGTCCCAGTTGGTGAGAAGATCGTCCATGGCTTCCGGTATCAATCCCTGTTCATCAATGGCAGCGCCAAACACCTTGACGCCGAGTGGCGCAATGGTTTCCAGTGCCGTAGAGAAACTGAACTCCTCGGTGAGGACGGAGTCGCCGCGGTCCTTGTCACAAAACATGCGCAAGGCCTGCTCCAAGGCACCCGTGCTGCCGATGGTCTGGCACACCCGCCAGTCCGCGTAGGGCGGCTTGCACACAATCTCGGTGTGCTCTGTGAGGAAACGAATCATCTGGGCAGAGCCGGTGGACTGGCCATAGTTGAGGGCAATGGAGAGATCATAGACACCATCGCGGTCCCTCACGTCGTATTTGCCGATGGTGACCGTCTTGCCATGCTCAAGGGTTTCTTTCTCCGAGAAGTTTGGGGCAGTAGGGACTTTCATGCTGAGCTCAGCAAAAGGGAAGACCTCGCTGGACGGAAGGCCACCTCCGAGGGAGATGAGGCCAGGTTTTTTTAGGTGCTTCGCAGCCTGCTTGAGGGTGCACGGTTTCCTTTCGATGCTCTCATGGCTCAGGTGGGCTATCTGGTGTTAGTCTTCATCGGCGCCTGCGGGGGCAAGGGGTAAGGGCCCAAATCACATACAGTCCCAGCGCTTGGCCTTGGGCTTTCCCTCTTGCTGTAGAGCAGTCAGCGTCCGGCTCGCCGAGGAGGGGCATGGGCGAACGGCTTACCGAGCCTTTAAACATGTCACTATCCGAAGCAGCGGCAATGCCGGCTACCAGCTTGCCGGCCTTGGCTCTTCGGGCCAGGATGTCATCTACGGCGGAGGTGCGCTGGCCCTTATCAAGGCGTGCGTCACGGGCGACTGGGGCCGCCTCGGCGTTAAAGAGGCCATGAGACTTGTTGTGGATGCGACGGGCCTGGCATAGGGCTGCTGTTTGCGCGGCCGCACGACGTGCAGCGTTTCGGAGACAAGCCGCCTGCGTGGCTGGCAGCATGGCGAAGGGAGCAAGCGCTGTCGAGGCGATTGCGACTTATAAGAGTGCGCACTGGCAGCTGAAGGGCCCTCGCGCCGCCGTCTATATGTGTGCGCGGGCACCAACACGGGACATACGCTTATTCCCTGATGCAGGTAGCTTCAGTGTAAGCCGCGTGGTGCCAGGTGGAAATGAAGGCGAAGCTGAGCTGAGCACGATGTTGAGAGAGAAGAAGAATCGTGGTGTGTGGTGTTAGAGTTGCAAGGTGTGGAAGTGGTACAAGGAGATTGATGTAGGTTGTAGGTAGGGGCTCCGAAGAAGGTGGTGGCCCGGAAGGCGCATCCGGCAAGTACATGCACCTTGTAAGTGACGGGGGGGAGGCAGGGGACCAGTCACCCCGCGATAAGGATGGCCAGCAGATGCCGTACATTCACTAACACCACAGTACTGTTCTCTCCAATACTTTGCCTTATCTGCAGCCCTTGGAAGCGGTGACGAGTGGGCTCCCACTCCGGCGTCGGCGGGACACCGATCGTAGCCGTAATGACCCCACGAAGTAGCAGGCCAATTCCAGCAGCTCGAGGGAGACGCCAGGCGCGCCAGGGCCCTATCAGCGTCCGATTTGGGGCAATGCGCGCGCCGAACGCCAACGGGGTCACAAGATCCATGGATCCGGGGGGGCGCACCGTCGACAGGCCCGACGGCGCCCCGCACCCGCACTTACGTACAAGGAGCGGCGGGCGCGCCCTGGGCGACACGGACCCGCAGATGACAGCACTCGCCCGCTCCGGCGCGGCCAGGTGATGGGAGGGTTCGTCGGCAAGACGGACAGAGACGACGCCTTGTTGAGCGATGCGGTGCGGCAGTTCACGGGCTGGGACGCCTCTTGGCTATTGCGTCCCTTGCAGTCCTCTTCCAACACGTCTCTTTCACCCAATCTGCTCGGCGTCGCCAACCGCAAGCTGTTGCACCGGGCCGCACAAGCAGACAGCGCCCCACGGCCGGCCGGTGCTCCACCACTAGCTCTCAATTAGGACATTATCCGGAGAACCTCTCATCCAGCACCGTGCCACCATGGTCTCACGGTCACGCCCGTACGTACGACTCGAGCTGGCATGAACCAGAACGGGTCTCGAATATGGACACGAGTTGTCTCACGGCAACGGAGCTCCACCCGGAGTCGCAAGCCGGCCGGGGCATGAGCGCCCGTTCTGCCCTCCGTGCTTCTTGACCACGCTCGGTGAGGCCCTCGGTGGGGCGGCGAGCTCAAGGTCCAAGCATGCAGGAAGCCGCACCGTCTGAGCACACCTGCGTTCCAACGACACACGACGCTTCAACTCGAGCTCCTGCTGCCACTCTCTGTATAAGTGGTAGTCGCCCAGCATCGATGCTGTATACTCTGTACTTCCGAGACAGATGATGCTCCTGGCTGCGGCCGCGTCGCCGGCCGAGTATATCCGATTATGTAATCCAGCCTCGAGCTCCAAACTGGGGAGCTCCAACGCCCCACGGACCGATTCGGCAGGCCCCCTCAACTCTCAGTGCCTCAACACTCGACAATAGCGATTTCCATCGACAACGCAAGGCGTCGCGGCGAGCACCGGCAACACAGCCCTCGGTCTTGCCATTGACAGGCGCCAATGCTGCCGGCAGCTGCACAGTGTCTCTGCGCCGTGCATGGGGATGACTGAAGCGGCGCATCTCGGGGACATTTTCGCAAGCGAGTAGCCATGTATTGGCCCATCGGCACTCCGCGCGTCTATGCCACAAGCAGCAGCCGAACGCCCGGCTTGAACCTGTTCGTCTCCAACGATGGCCTCCCCCCGAGCCCGCTCAGGTCGGCCACGTCTTCTCCTCCTCCGGCGTCTGACGCCCCATCGCGGTCCGCTGCCGCCCACGACGACATCGAGATACACCCCCCGCCGACACCCATCACACCCGCCACGCCCGCCGTCCAATCCGTCGAGCACGATGACAATCCCATGAACAGCGCCTTGACGGGGACGGGCGTTTCTGGGGCGGACATGGTGCCGCTCAAGGACCCCGTGCTCGCTCTTCGCGTTGCCCGAGCCGGCCACCTGTTTGCTGTAATCACGGCCACGTCCATCACCGTCTGGCAGACAAAGGTCCCGTCTCTCGTGCCTCCCCAGGCGATTGCCCGCCTCGCTGACTCCTCTTAGCCTGCCGTTGTCCTCGCCGTCGTCGTCCGGTCCGACTCCTCCCTCGCACTGTACGGCAGGAACGTCGACCTCCTCCTCCGACCCGATGCCGCCATCTTGGTTGTTAGAACCGACCAGGGCTACCTCATCACCTACTCGATCGCGACCGACGGCGAGTCGTGCGTGTACAAACCACATTTCCCGAACCACCACCATGTACAGCGCCGAAAACAGAGCCTCATTGGCGGACAAATCGGTCTGCGGCCAGACCAGTTCCTCTGGGGACCCGGGGAAGGATCGGGTGTCCGCGATGTCAGCGTCCGGTTTCGCATGGTCATCAAGGTCGACGCGGGCATCGAAAGCGCCCTGGCGCTAGATGACGAGCTCGTGGTCGCAACGAGGAAACCCGCCGCGGTCCAGTGCATCCGATGGACTCCCGACAGCACCGGAAGCCAGACCCGCACCGAAATCATGAGCCGGATGGGGTGGGTCGAGAAGAAGGTGTCCATCGTTGAGATGACGCACGACCGGCCCATGAACCTGGCGACGTGGATCACCAACGACGGTCGGGCATATGCCGTACAGCGGCAGCAGGCGCGTTCAGATGGCGACAACTCCGACGACACAGAATCCAAGCGCCTCTTCAAAGGCCATTGCTTCCATGTACCGCAGAGCCCAGGCGGGCACGCGGTCAAGGCTGTCATAAACGCGCGGTTCTCTTTGATTGCTGTCGGCTGCGCTGACGGCACCATACAAGTCTACTCGGTCAGAGACTATGCGGGCAACATTGCGCTCTCTCACGCCCAGCAAATGCCCGTCTCGGTGTCCGCGACCGGCGCCTTCACAAGTCTGAGCTACTCCCCCGACGGATACTGCCTCTTTGCCGGCTTTGAGAAGGGATGGGCAGTCTGGAGCATGTTCGGCAAGCTCGGAAGCCACAGCTTCGGCGTAGATGAGTCCATCGCAGACGGGAACGGCGAACAGTGGCTCAAGGGCGTCACAGGTGCGTCGTGGATCGGCGGTGGCTCTGAGATGCTGCTCGTTGGTCCGCCTCACGAGGCTGTCTGGAGCCTCGAAATGGCCAAAAGCGCCGTCACCGGTTGCTACAACGAGGCCAACGTTTTCCGGACCGTCTTGCAGACTCCGACAGCAGTCATGGTATACCGAGGCTATGACCTGCCCGACCTCACAAGCATTTCTGCAGAGCCATTCCTGTGGCACACCGCCAAGGTGCCGCCGACTTATCTCTTGAATCAGTGGCCCATTCGCCAGACCGTCATCTCTCCCGATGGCCGTTACGTTGCAGTCGCCGGCCGCCGGGGACTTGCCCACTACAGCGTCAACAGCGGACGCTGGAAGACGTTCGTCAATGAGGAGATGGAGAACGAATTCCAGGTGAGAGGGGGCATGTGTTGGTACCAGCACATTCTCGTCGCCGCTGTGGAGAGCAACAGGACGTACGAAATTCGGCTCTACTCGCGCGAGACAGCGCTCGACTCTTCGCACGTGCTGTACACGCACCAGATCCCCGCCCCTGTCGTCCTTGTGACCACCTCTGGCGACGATTCCCTGCTCGTGTACACGTACGAGAATCTGCTGTATCATTTCATTTTCACACCTTGGGCAGACTCGGTGCGGCTGGTCCAGGTTGGACAGATTGCTTTCCATGGCATAGTCCGATCACCGGCCAGAGTACGCGGGCTGAGCTGGATCCTGCCCGAGAGCCAGCTGGTGGACGGCGATCCGTCTCAGGATGTGGCCGTGGCATCCGTCATCTTCCTCGTCGACGGGAAGCTGGTGCTACTGACGCCTTCGCTCAACGACGAAGGCCAACTAAAATACGACATGCGCATAATCGCGCAGAATGTAGAGTACCATGCGAGTATGAGAGATCAACCACTACTGAACATGTCAAGACCATCGAAAGGCACGCCCCTCAGCCACCGGCCTGCGGCTTTGCGAGATTCGCTGTGGGTATTCGACGGCTTGGAGGTCAAGGCATGGACCAGCATGAAGGAGGTGCTCGAAGCTGCACCCAGCGACGGTGGCAAAGATTTGCCGATGCCGGTGTCTATACCTGTGGACTTTTATCCGCTGTCGATTTTACTGGAAAAGGGCATCATCTTGGGCGTTGAGTCGGATCTCGTGCAGCGGCGAGACGTGACGTTTTCCTTTTTCCACTTTGCAATCAGGGTAAGTTTCGGTCGATGACGGACTCGGTCGATGCGCTAACGCTGTTCCAGACACATCTCGTGCTCCCCGATATCTTGCGATACTATCTGCGGCAGAACAGGACGGTCGACGCAGCAACGCTGTCGGAGCAGTACCAAGACCTCGAGTATTTCTCTCACGGACTCGAGATTCTTCTCCACCGCGTTCTGGATGAGGAATCGGAAACATCGCCCAAGCCCGAGGACGCCGTCTTGCCACGAGTGTTGTCCCTGCTGTCATCATCTGGAGACTACCTTGATGTCGTACTGCAGTGCACACGCAAGACCGAAGTCTCGCAATGGAAGACGTTGTTCGCCTACCTACCGCCCCCGCAGGAGCTCTTTGAGGAGTCGCTGCAGCGTGGATCCTTGAAGACGGCGGGCGGTTATCTCATCATTCTACACACTCTCGAGGAGCTGGAGTCGTCGACGGAACAGTCAGTTCGTGTCTTGTCCCGGGCGATTCAGGAGGGAGACTGGGAGCTGTGCAAGGAGCTCGCGCGTTTCTTGGCGGCAATGGACGAGACGGGAGAGGTGCTCAAGGAGGCCATGGACATGGTGAATGTGGTGCTGAGGCGAGACGAAGAGCAGATAGTGAGCCGGTTAGAGATTCCGCCGTCGCGGATGAGGGCGAACGGTCGGAATCGCCGTGGCAGCGGGGACGATGACACCGAGTCGGACGTGCGCTCGGCAAGCGATGCGTCGAGCATCGCGTCGACGGTCAGCCCGCTGAACAGTTCTGGGTTGCTGTGAGGGGACTGGCGGGCCACGACCCGCAACAAAGTGCAGACATTGGCGTTAGACATGTGATGTAAATGGGGTGGCAAAGGCAGCCAAGTGTACCAAATGTAGCGAGCGGGAAGTCTATAGAATTCAGTCGGCCAGCCTGCCGATGCACTGGTTGAGGCTCGTATGTGTGTTCCGGTGTTAGTTGTGCCCGACCAGTCTGCCCAAAGGGGAAGCGGAAGCGCTGGCGGCTGGCGCACAGCACTGATTGATCCAGTTGACGCTGGCAGCCGCCAGCCAGGCGAGCCGCCCGCTAGTCACGTTATTGCTTCAACCCCACCACCCACCACCACAACCACCGCATCCGCATCCGCGCAGGCCCTCCGTCCGAGAGGCATCAAAAAACCACGACAGCCCAAGCATTGCTAACCGCCCACCGCACTCCCGTCATCGGTCCGGGCGCACATCGTCATCGCCTCGCCGTTGGTCATGGTCGCTCGCTGACGAGCCTGGCCCCCCTCCTCCTCTTCTCCTCCCTCCACGGCGCGCCTCCTACGACAGAGCGTTCCCCCTCCACGTCGTCCTCCTCCTCGGTCTCTTCCCCTCGTCCCCCGGCAAGCGACGACGGGTTGCCGACGCCATGATGGACGACTACGTGAGCGAGTCGGATAGCGACTACACGAGCTACTGGCGCGACTGGGTGAGTGGCCAAAAAATCTCCGCACACCGGAACGGGCGGCGGGCGTTGCTGACGGGGCGGGTTGGCAGTTCATATCGGCGCGCGGCAACGAGTACTTTTGCGAAATCGACGAGGACTACATCACAGACCGCTTCAACTTGACGGGCCTCAACACCGAGGTGCAGTACTACCAATATGCGCTGGATCTGGTTACCGACGTGTTCGACCTCGACTGCGACGATGAGATGCGCGAGACGATTGAGAAGTCCGCCCGGCACCTGTACGGCCTGGTGCACGCGCGTTACATTGTGACGACCCGTGGACTGACCAAGATGGTAAGGGAATCTCGTCTCTTGTTTGTCCTGGTTTGTTTGGGTTTTGCTTCCCCTTCCGAGCTCTTGTGGAGGAACGCCCCTCTCTCCGGTCCCCGCCCCCGCCATCTCCCCTCCCATCGGAAGCAGGATACACAAGGGCTGAGGACTAAGAGGGGTTTCACAACGGAAGCAATGGAAAGGGAATTCGGGAACGGAACCCGCGCTGACATCTGGCTTCGCAGCTCGACAAGTACAAAAAGGCCGAGTTCGGCAAGTGCCCGCGTGTCAACTGCCACTCGCACCCCCTCCTGCCCATGGGCCTCTCCGACATCCCCAACGTCAAGCCCGTCAAGCTCTACTGCGCGCGCTGCGAGGACATGTACAACCCCAAGTCGTCGCGGCACGCCTCCATCGACGGCGCCTACTTCGGCACCTCGTTCCACAACATCATCTTCCAGGTCTACCCGGCCCTCATCCCGCCCAAGAGCGCCGAGCGCTACGTGCCTCGCGTCTACGGCTTCAAGGTGCACGCTGCCGCCGCCCTCGTCCGCTGGCAAAACGCCCGCCGCGATGAGATGCGCCGCCGTCTGCGCCGCCTCGAGATCGAGACGGGCTTCCGCGACGAGAGCGGCGCGGAGGACGACGACGACGAGGATGACGTGGACGACGATGTCGACGTCGAGTTTGAGGGTGTCGACGGGGGAGGCGGTGCTGGCGGTGTTGGCGGCGGCGGCGGTCGGGTCGTCGCCGCGCCGCCCGCCGAGGCCCAACAGCTGTGAGCGACGCTCCGACGACGACGAAGTCCCTTCCCGTGTGCACTGCGGGATGACCAAAGAGTGTCTTTGTTTGACGAAGGTGAGGGGATGCGGCGAAGCGAGATAGAAAGCAGGCAGTGGTCCTGACTTGTCTTGTTCTTTTCTTTTCTTTCTGTCATATATCTGGTCGAACAATCGGATGCCTTACAAGGGGTGGGCCGGCGTTGGGAATGGAGAAACTAAATAGCAGCGGAAACGTTAAAGCCTTGTCTAATGAAGCAATCGGGCGGTTGCAGCCGAATCGAACATGAACAATACCGATCGATGATCCTTCCCTATGACTACCAGACAGAGTCAACATCTGGAATTGTGCTGCAGGCAGTCAAATCACCGTTGGCAACTGTTACAAATCAACCAGAACGTCGTTGCGTAGCTCATACATGGCGCGCCGCCGCTACTAGCCAATACGTACGGGTAGCTATTCAAAGTCGGCCCTCCTTTTCCATCCCTAGATAGAAAGATCCAAGACCCGGTCGGTAAGCAGTAAATACAGTGGCATATATACTCGCGACTCCATTGCACTCGCCCTTACACACCCCGCCCAACCGTCTGTGACGGGTATGCCATATCGTTCATCTCAACACTCTCATAAGGGCCACCGTGTTGCGCACCCGGCGCGGGCGGCGCTGGCGTTGCACCATACTGATTTGCGCGATAGTTCATGCCACTCATGGCAGCCGGGCCGTGGGAAGAATACGGGTCGACATCGCCAGACTCGCCCAGGTCGGCGCGGTCTACCCGGCTGTCGAAGTCGTCCTTGGTGCCGACGTAGCCCAGCCGACCTACGCCTGCCCAGAACGCCCTATCGGAGCTGCGAGGGCCCCAGGCCCAGCCAGCACCGGCCATGATCGGCATGTGGTAATATCGGAAACTGTAAATGGCAGTGATGATGCCAATCAGAAAGCCAAAAAGAATGTCAAAGCCGTGGTGGCGGAAATCGAACCAGCGAGACGCTGCGATAAAGATGGCGAGGCAGAAGGGCACGAGGGTGATGGCAAGGAGGTAGACGGGTGGCGCCGCGGCCTGTCGGCGGAGTGACTGGAGCTTGGCGTTGTGTTGCGCGTTGCGGCCTCCGGTGCTCGTCTTGACGGGCGACGAGGGCGCCGAGAAGCTTGGCCCACCGTTTCGTGAACGAGAGGGCTCGTACGCGCCGCCCTGGGATTGATGTCGGGAGGGGAAGGCAACGTGCATGGAGGCGTCGGTGAAGGAACCCCAGTTGGGGACGACGAACGGGATCGTGACGGAGAATTTGCTGGCGAGGAAGAGCGAGAGATAGATGAGGCCAGCCGCCGAAGCAGCAGAGTGGCCGCTGGGGTAGCTTCGGAAGCCGTCGTCAAGCTTGTGCTTGTCGGTTTGCTTGCAAATGTCGCCAGAGTAGAGGAGATTGGCGGTTGGCTGTCCGTTGAAGCCGCCGACTCGATACTTGGACAGGTTGGCAAGGTCGGGCTGGCAGCGCGAGAGCAGATCGGGTCGCGGCTTGCCACACATGTTCTTGATGCCTGAGATGAAGAAGAAGGCGGAGCCGACGGCCATGAGCAGCCCGAGCCAGCCAACGTGGAGCTCCCATAGCTTGCGCTTCCATATCAGGCTCTGTGGCGTGTTCTTGGGCACGGTGCCGCCGGGGATGAGCAGGATGGAGACGATGAAAATGATGACGACGGGCACGAGGGCGCAGAGGATGACGAGGAGCCAGGTCGGGACCGTTTCCTTTTCGGTGAAGGGGAACCTGTATAGGAGAGTTGTTCGTCAGCGCAGTGACATGATGGAGATTCGGCTTGAGGACTCACGAGATGTCGGGGTCGTCAAGAGCAAAGGGTCTCATGTTGGGGGTGATGCGTCCGAGGAAGCCACCGACGATGACAATGACAACCAGAATGATCCAGTCGAGGGCATACGAGGCCAGGAGACGCATTGAGAACTGTCGCCCCAGCGAGGACGACCCTGAATGGGCCATTTTTTGGTACGTGGACATTCGTTACCGCGAAGACGGGATGCGGACAGAGGCGACGGGAGTCGAGGCGCGGGCGACGCGACCCTGAAGTACCTTTCCTGAAGGTTTTCTGGTAGCCGCGACGAAACGAGAGGGTGGTCTGAGGGCAAGGGCGGCTGGCGCGTGATGACGAAGCTCGAGGTGGGCGCGAGTCGGTGCGGACACTAAGGCAAGGTTTCAGGCCGGCGCGGTCCTGTGTGGATGGATCGCCGCGTCGCTGATGGTGGGCGCCGGCGCTTGTGTGTTTCGGGGAAGAGTTCGCGGAGGAGGAGGAGGACCGTGGACGTCGATTTGATCATGAACCAACATTCAAACCCCGGGCAACGGCAGTTGGGCGGCCGGAGCGGGAGGGGGGATCCCCCGACAGTCTTATACGGGCCAGGGCAGGAGACGACATCGGACGGTGTCGAGACACACGGTGTCCCCTGGATAGCCGGCCCAGCAGGTGGAGCGGTGGCTTGTGTCAAGAAAAAAGGGATGCGATCCGCAATGCTTGGCCCGGGGGGGTTGGCGAGGAGGGGGGCGAAGCTGTTTGGATTGCCGCCGAACTGGGGCCTTCATTTGTCAATTTGGGGCTCGCCTCGGTGGGCAGGCGGGCTCTGTGAGGAGGCCGACGGAGGGCGCAGGGCTCGCAACGAGTTGCTGGCGGCATGGTCGAACTCGAAGCGGTAAGGGCAGAGACTTTGACGAGGCGCAGGCACGCACCGCACCGCACCGCAGGCGACTACGGGCGGGCGTATCGCTCGGGAGGGCCCATGGGTCGCTGCTAGGTTGGTACAAAAAGCTGACGGACGGGCGGGCAGGGAGGGGCAGGCGGGCGGACGATCCCTGGGGAGGGCACAAGGACAACCTTGGAATACGCGGGGAGTTGAATGACAACCTTGGAAGCGATGATAGGTAGGCGCCATAGCTACGGCGCAGTACCGGACTGGACTCACTGCTTTGTTTGCAGAGCTGCCTGCATGTCGGTCCTCGCCCGTGCGCAGGCGGGCCACGGGGCGGGCCCTGGCTGCGGCGGACGCTGCAGCTATTTCTCTCACGCGTGACGTGGACATTGTCTCAGAAGCTCGTCGCTCGGGATGGACTTGCCGTCACAGTGTGAGTGAGGCGCGGTGTTGCAGGTGCAGGGCGCAGGCACAGGCGCAATGTTCTTGCTTTTCTGGGCACTTAATTCGGCACACGGCAGTCACAGCCCGCTACACTACCGTCACTGTGGCATTGACGAGGCGCCCGCCCGCATCTGCGCGTGCTGTGTCTTTTCTGTCCTGCGCCCCAGCGAGAGAGAGCGCGCACAGGCGCGCGGCGGCAAGGACCATAAGATGCGCCAGATTCGGAAGCAGATCGTGTGGCCATTGTTGCTCCTTGTCAGCAACTCGCTGCCGCCAATGACGTAGCGGCACCTCTTGGGGGCGGGAGGCGCTCGCTCCCGTCGGTCAATCACCAACCATGCCGTCCTTTCGGCGCCTCAACGCTGCTGTGCTACCAAGCATGGGTTCCGTCTCTGGACATCGCCGGAGGATCAGCTGACGGGGGGGCAACGAAACGGAGGCCAAATGCGGCGCATACATACATAAATCTACAGTACCTGCCACGGCCGACGTTGAAGAAGCGATTTGTGCGATCCGCCGCGGAGGGCTGAAAGTTTAAGATTCGCGGGAACGCGCATCAGCCAAGAGCGGCCGGATTCCACATCGTCTGACCCGTCGCGCCGCGCCCGTCATCAGGTCAACCTTGGCGGTTCGGTTCGGTTCGTCCACTGCCGTCGTGCGACCGCACGCAACTCTCGCTCACATGAAGTATTCTCGGCATCTTGCCGAAGTAACCTGGCATCCACGGACCAAGAACCATCAAGGCTGTGCCCAAGCTACTACTATCACTTCGCACAATGTACGACGACCTAATGTCCGGTCCTTGGGCCGGTGACAACCTAATAGTCCAACCGAATTACCAACGCGAGAATAGGCGGTCTACCCTGGGGCCGTGGAATTGCCCTGCCATGCCTGCTTGGCGCTGCAAGCTCCTAGCTTTTGCCTCAAATTGCCACGCATGGATCCCGGCGCGTGGAAACCCCCCGGCGACACCGCCAAAATTTAAGCTCACAGCCACCGGGCCCATCCCCTGTCGGCGGCCGCGGGCCTGTCCTGGGGCATCCGACTCGATCCATGGAGCCTGTATTAAGGCATTGAAGCACAATGCATCGCACCTGGGCGGGACGGTCTTTCGGACGGAGCGGACTCGTCCGCCCTTCACTGACGCCATCACATGCGGTCTTCTAATCAGCGCAGCGCATCACCTCCATCGATCCCCTTCGATGGCCCCCGCGATCCCTCAAAGCCCTTCGCAGACACATAAAAATGACGCGGCCTTCGCCACAGCCCCCCGTCATATTATCCCGCCGCCGGCGCTGCGCGCACAGCCGGGCGCGCCGTCACCAAAAGCGTACTCGTTCCGCCGATTCGGGGCGCGTGCGAGGTCGGGCCCGCGGTAGGTCGCTGTGGCAGTGAAGAAACCACGCCCGGTTCACCGTCGTGTCCGCGCTAGCAGACGCAGGTGCCGTGCCCATCGTCAATTTGTCTCGGGCACGGCGGAATATCACGAGCAGCTCTTCGAATGCGATATGTGGCCGGCCAGAGTACGATACCGACCGAGTCCGTGCCTCACTGTTCCATGAATATGGTGAGACGTCGGCACGCGTGTAGCGTCATAAGTTGCGCAATATGTAGTATCCGTTCTCATCACCGCTCCGGCTGTATATATCTCACATATGGTACAGTGGCACATTGTAGTGTACAGGAAATGCTCCCGCGCCGCCGTTAAGCATCATCGAGGGCTAATGCCTCCGCACAGATCACGCGTGAAATGTCGTGATCGCTTCCTTACTCCTTGGACGACCTCTTATCTCTCCGCTTGCCGTGGTTGCGAGGTCGTGGCGTCACAACCCACTTGTTGACGTTGTGCGTCCGGCGCGTCTTGTAGCCGCTCTTGGTCTGTCCCGCGTGTCAGCTCCGTACAAGATCTTGCTTCACGATACTTGACTTACAGGTCGGCCCCAAGGTGTCACAGGGTGACGGTTACTCTTGGACTTGCCTCGGCCACCACCGTGAGGATGGTCAACTGCATCAAACATTAGTCATGGCCGCAAGGAGAACCAGATTCAAAACCATCGAGAGAGACGTACCTTTGTTCATGGCGACACCACGGACTGTTGGCCGGATGCCCAGCCATCGGCTGCGACCAGCCTTACCCAGCTGCCTGTAGTGGTGGTGGATGTTGCTGGCGACGCCGATGGTTGCGCACGCATTCTTGCTCACCCGCCGCACCTCGCCACTCTGTAGCCGCACCTCGACGTACTTGCCCGTCATGATCTTGGTACCATCGTCCTTGGTCTCTTCGTTCTTGTTGACCACGGTTGCCGAGGTTCCGGCGCTGCGGCAGAACACCGCACCGCGCTTCGCCGCAGACCCGACGCAGAAGACCTGCGTGCCCACGGGGATCATGTGCATCGGCAGGCAGTTGCCGCGGAATGCCGTCTTCGCTGCCAAGATACCGGGGTCGATGATGCCGCCCATGCTGTCCAGGAGGTCCTGGGGAATGCCCGATCTGTAGCTGTGCACCACATCGCCGGCCCTCAGCCCCTCGGCCGCGACGATGTAGGACTTGCGGCTGGTCGCTTGCTCCGTGACGAGGGCGATGTGCGCGCTGCGGCCGGGATCGTACTCGATGCGCTCGACGAGATGCGGGCCCGGTCTCCATCGCTCGAAATCAACAGTGCGTATTCTCCGCTTCGCACCTCCGCCACGATGCCGTACTGTGATCCTTCCGTAGACATTGCGCCCACCCTTGGCCTGGCCCTTCTTTGGGATCGTAAGGGGCAGGAAGGGACGTCCTTTCCAGAGATGGTCGTTGATGGGGCGGCGGAGATGTCGCACACCCGGCGTCCGCGGCTTGTACGTCCGCAGAATGACCGATTGCGAGCCTGTGCTTTCGATTGAGTTGGTGCGGCTCTCGCTGCTGTCGGGCGCGGCCCTAGAGCTCCGAGACGAGTATGTGCGCAGGGCAGGCTGGCTGACCGCGAGGAGCTGGAAGCTTCTGCGCACCGCCGCCAAGGAGAGCCGTGGCTGCAACATGCTGAAGGTTGTTGACTGGGCGACAATTGCTGGCGCAAAAGTCTAGCTGATCGATCGAGTCAAAGTGGGCGTCGCTCCTGAAGCCAAGGTTTTATCTGCTCGTCAGCAGGCGGACATTGGGTTGGAGCCGAGCCGACGTAGAAGCCGAGGAGTAGCAGCAAGCTTCCTCGGGCGAAACACCGCTGTCCGGCGCGTGGTGATCCTCAAAGGTCGCCGGCGAGAACCCTGGGTCGTCGTCGTGCTGGCGATGATGTCCTTCGCGCAGCCATTGAAATTTCCACCACGAGAGACGGCCAACACTTTGCCGAGAAATAACCGAGAAGCTAGCGTGGTCGAGCTCGCAGCCACAAGCTTGCAGCCACACGGCGATTAGGTGCAGCCACGCATCAGCCACAGTCGCGCTCCCACTGCCCGCATCACCTCGCGCCAGCTCTAGCGCGCAAGAGGCACCGGCGCGGCGGCCAATGAGACCGCCGTTGCTCCGTGGTTGCCACTGTTGACATTTGGCGGGCTTCCGCTGCGGGTACGTACCTTGCGTCGCGAAATGCAGGCAGCTCGCGTTGTGAGTCGCTGCACGCTTCTGGCGAGCTCCCTCCTCCCCACTCGGACGCCCGCCAGCCTCTCGTAGGATTCCGTGCCCGACGACGCCGTTTACTGGGAGCACATCGTTGACGAAATAGTCGAGTATCTTGCAGCACTGGTCGCACTGCAGAGAACCGCGCCGCAGCAGCAAGCTTTGGCCGCTTGTTGTTGTTATTATCGCAGCGGAGGGGCCTCAGCACCGCCGCCACAGCCCTTACGAGCACCCAAAAGAGGCCTTCGCACTCGGACGACAAGCTTTCGCGGCGCCCTCTTGCCGTCGACGGCCGAGTTCAGTTCCTCACAAGCCAGCCCGCTCCTGCAGCAAAGACGCGCATCTGACGTGTGTGTGTCCCTCTTTTGTTCCCACCTCGCCCTGGCCTCTTCTGCCGGGCAACCAACGGTCTCGCGAACCGCGACGCAAGACAAGCCCCAGGCGCAGAGGTACGTACCGCCAGCCGCGACGGGCCCACTACACGCTCCTTCCTTGCAGCTCCGCTCCCCAAGGAGTCAAAACACTTCCTGTCTTCCTCGCAAACCATCCTCATCCCACATAAACACCTTCTGCTCGTCGACGTTGCTTCCCCATACCACCTCTTTCCGCCTAACATCGCGCTCGTCGTTGTGAATTGGGTCGCGAGCAATCTCTTATACCCCGTTTCAATAGCCTTTTCGACGCGGCATACCCGTATCTCTCGTCACAACATTCCAATCGCGCTGTTGTGGACGACTGCCCCATCTGTCTGTCTCTGGACCCAGAGGTAAGTAGGGCAGCGAATTCCTCGTCTTATTCGAATGTCTCAGCGGCACCGACTGCCTTTTCTTAATTCGCGATCCCCGACCTCTTTTTGTCCTTCTTCTCCGTTCATTCTCGACGCGTTCTCGACTGACCCGTCCTGCCACAGCTCGGTCGCTGGCATTACTATATGATCTAGTCACATCCGCTGCTAGACTTCACAATATGCCTGTAAGCCGCGCTCTTCCTGCTCTCCACCTCTCGTCTTGACATCGTCGTCGCTGACTCGCCGCCTCAGGGCCGACCCGCCACACGAGGACGTGTCGTGTCAGACGAGAACGACTCGACGCGTATCTTGACACGCGCCAAGGCGGCTGCCCTCAAGCCCGAAGACGCCAGTATGCCCGTCAAGGGCGCTCTGCAACCGAAGAAGTCGGCCGTGAACGCAAACAATGCCGGAACCCAACGGAGTCGCGCCGCACTCGGCGACGTCAGCAATGTCGGCAAGGCAAACGTGACGGAGGGCAAGAAGGCGGCGAGCGGCAAGGTTGGCTTGGTCTCCAAGGCTGCCCACCCCACTGGCGTCCAGAAGACGCGCCCTGCGAGCCGCGCTGCCCTCACCACCAAGGCCACCAACGCGTCGGAGAACAAGAGAACCGGATCTGGTGCCGGAGCCATCGCTGGACCCAAGCGAAAGGTCGCGTCATCAGCTGTCAGCAGGGACGAGAACAGCGTCGAGCCGGCGGAGCCCGCCCGAAAGAAGGCACACACTACCGCTGAGGGCAAGCGTGTTCGCGCTGAAGCAGTCGAGGCAAAGGCAAAGCCGGCACCGCCCAAGGTTGAGGAGCCCAAAGCCGCACCAGCTTCAGTCGAGAACGACGACGAGGAGCAGCCACTTGACCTGGACCAGGAAGATCTTGATGATCCTCTGATGGTTGCCGAATATGCCAATGAGATTTTCGAGTACCTCCGCGACCTCGAGGTCAAGTCGATCCCCAACCCGCAATACATGTCGCACCAGGACGACCTGGAATGGAGAACGCGTGGCATCCTCGTCGATTGGCTGATAGAGGTTCACACCCGCTTCCACCTGCTCCCCGAGACACTCTTCCTCGCCGTCAATATCATCGACCGATTTCTGTCCGAAAAGGTTGTCGAGCTGGACAAGCTCCAGCTCGTCGGCATCACGGCCATGTTCATCGCGTCAAAATACGAAGAGGTCCTGTCGCCTCACGTCGAGAACTTCAAGCGCATCACCGACGACGGCTTCAGCGAAGCCGAGATCCTTGAAGCTGAGCGTTTTCTCCTCAGCACCCTCAACTACGACCTGAGCTACCCCAACCCCATGAACTTCCTCCGCCGGGTATCGAAGGCGGACAACTATGACATCCAGTCTCGGACCATTGGCAAGTATCTCATGGAGATTAGCCTCCTCGACCATCGGTTCATGGCCTACCGACCGAGCCACTGTGCGGCCGCTGCCATGTACCTGGCCCGGCTGATGCTGGACCGAGGCGAATGGGTGAGTGGCATATTTTGCGGGCACAGCAATAACCGACTGACACCGACGCTGCAGGACAAGACACTCGCACACTATGCCGGCTATGCCGAGGAAGAGATTGAGCCTGTTGTCGAGCTCATGGTCGACTATCTTGCGCGCCCGGTTGTTCATGAAGCCTTTTTCAAGAAGTACGCCAGCAAGAAGTTCCTTAAAGGTATGTGTCGCGACCGGATCCAAGTCGTGTCTTTGTGCTGACACTTTGCAGCTTCTATTCTCGCCCGGCAGTGGGCCAAGAAGAACGCGGCGCTTTTCGGCATCACGGATACCGAACTGTCGCTGGATCAAATCTCATGATTACGACACCGTCCTAGCAAGGCGTCATGACGCTCGCCTGCAACTCGGTCACGCATGGCTGCCGCATTCGGCTTCATGGACACAACCAGCCGGAGTAGTGCTACGTCACGACCTTGTCCCTGACGATAATACATCAACGGCTGCTGTCCTGCACGCTACCGTCTGCGAAGGGGTAGCATATTTTCTTCTGCCTGACACCCTCGACAACAGTTGAAGGGCAGGGGGCATCGGCGGGCCTCACTCGGAACGGCCCGTCACATTATTCCCGTCTGATATCTGGCAGCTCGCATCTGCATTTGTCGTCTTTTTCCAGTATTTCAGCATGGAATTCTGCACATCGTTTACACATGGCGCTCGGAGTCCTTGACAGAGAAGGGGAGGGGCGACATGGTTGGGCAGGGATGGAGTTGGCTGCTCAGGCGGTCGGTACGGCACGGGGTTTGGGGTTCGGTACCTGGAGAAGCCGGCCACTACGGAGTTGCGCTCCAGCGTGGGCAACGGTATGCTTTGGTCTCCAGATGAGGCACGGCCAGACCAGGGGGTTTTGAGCATCTTGGGAAAATAGGGAGACTCCCTATGGTCCGCTGGCGGCTCTACTACTGGATAAACGGCAAAGGCGACGTCGAAGGGGTGTACATATATCATGATCGGATCACTGGCAGGATTGGGAACAGGAATGAGACTCATTGCATACAAGCGCATTGCCATTCGAGACTGAAAGGCGCCTCGCTGTGATTATCGCTGCAGTGCATAATACCTTCACAGGGTGCTGGAAGCGGTGCGAGGTGGGGGCAGCAGCCTGTGGGTACGAGGCTGACGAGCCGCCCGTTTGGTTGGTGCCCTGATTAGCGCTGTGCCCGCAGCCTTTCAGCGACGTCTCGCCCTGTTTGTGAGTGTCGGCAGCCTTAGGTTGCGACGTCCAAGTCCTAACCTCACATTATTCTTCCTGCCCTGCATGACTCGGCTCAGGTCGACGCACGCAATCAGACACCAGGCAAGACACACACGCGAAAGCTGCTCAATTCTTTCGGGACAACTGCGAATTGGTACGGGCTGCCATCGAGGCTTAGAAATGGCCAGTTTGGCAGTCCTGTTTGAGGCACGCTGCTCAACACTCGGTTCTGGCAAAACGAGAACTCACACAAACGCCTCCCGCTCCCACGATGGCGCCGGTGCTTAGGCCCAGGCAGAGCCTACCCAAGGATAAGTTCCCTGGGTACTTTTCCAACCTGAAGAGCCAGGCGTACACGGATCCCAGCTCGTCTAGAGGCGCGGGCACTCACAGGTATGTCGTCTGCCCAGCTCTAGAAACCGCGATGGTGTGGCTGGCGACCTGACTGATGGGAGATGAAGTATACGATCTATTGCGTGGAATCCGCAAGGGACGCTCGTGGCAACCGGGTCGGCAGACAAGACGCTGCGCGTATGTGAGTTTGTCCCGGCGACCGTCTGGCCGTGGAAGTGACAGAGTCGCATCTGACATTTCGCAGGGAATCCGGAGAAGCCACATGTCAAGTTCTCAACAGAGCTCAAGGGCCACTCCGCCTCTATTGAGAAGGTGGCGTTCAATCCGACAAAAGACGCCGAGTTGTGCAGCGTGAGCAGCGATGGCGTTGTCAAGTTCTGGGACGTGCGCACCAAGGCATGCTTCAACGAGGTGCGAGGGCTCGGCGACGCGCTCAGCCTTGTGTGGGCTCCCGACGGGCAGACGCTCCTCGTGGGCAACCGGGACGACGTCATCTTCATTCTTTCGCCTTCGCAGTCGACGCCAGTCTCATCCCACCAGCAGCCGGTGCAAACGAATCAGATCAGCTTTTGCTGGGGTGGCGAGAAGGTCTTCCTGGCGACGGGAGACGGGCGGACACGGACACTGACGTATCCCGGGTTCGACCCCGTCTTCAAGCTCAACTACGGGCCCGAGCCGAGAGAGTTTAAGCTGCACGGGCACACGTCTTCGTGTCTGACGGTGGAGCTGCAGCCGACGGCGAGGTATCTTGCGACGGGGGGCTCGGATTCGATCATCTCGTTGTGGGACACGAAAGACTTCATCTGCCAGCGGACCTTGTCGGGGATATCTGGGCCGGTCAGGAGCATCAGTACGTGAACTCGCCACCTCAAACCTTTACGCCTCCTAATCTGAGTATCGCCAGGTTTCACGTTTGACGGTAGCTACATTGTTGCCGGCAGCGACGAAGGTAATATTCCGCACTGGGACATTTTGATCTATTTCTGGAGTTTACGCTGACCGGATACAACGCAGGGAGCGGCCTCGAGGTCTACCATGTCGAAACGGGCGAACACGTGCATACCTTTAAGACGGCGGGCTCGTCGCCGGTGGTCGCATGGGCGCCGACACGCTACTGCCTGGCTTATAGCGATCTCGGCGTGCTGAGGATCGTTGGTGTCGATCCGGATCGCAAGTGAGGCAAGGGGGCGGGAAGGGCTGAGCTGTCAGGACAAGACATTTCGGTACAGCCCTGGGCTGAGAAGGACCAAAGAAATGTCGATGCAGACTCCTTGCTCTGAGATCGTGAGACACGCCGGGCAGATATCGCAGCCAAACATGCAGTACACTTTGGGGTTGGACGCGGCATTACGACTGTGGCACCTTCGTGGAGGGCGGTCGTCCAAGAATAGCAACCAGCCCGGGAACGCGCTCCGACCGGCCAATGCAGGATGACATGACAAGGTCTTGGGGTGGCATCGCGGCGCCAGCTGAACACGTGCCGTGGCGGTGGGAGCCCTCTTGGCTCTTGGGGGGAATTCTTGGGGAGTGTCGGTTGGTGGTTAGTGCGTCAGCGCGGGTCAATGTGGTACCGGCAGAAACGGGCTGGGCACGGGGACGATACGACGGGAGCGACGGCAGGGAATTTGCCTCAAATCTGACGTGCCGCACGCGGTTGAATCTCTCGGCAATGAGAACGCGTGAGTGTGTGTGCATGCATCGGCGACTGTCCGTACGGGGCGGTCGGGGGGCAGTGCAGGATGAATTGAATGAATCTTTTGGAGGCATCGATTGATACCGCCTAAAGGCGCGAACATTGCAGCCGACATGGGGCTCCGGGCGATACATCAACCCGCCTACCCTGCAGGCCAGAGTGCGACAAGTCAAGCAAAGGGCGCTGGGCACGGCACTCACTCACATATGGGGCTGCGGCCAATGTCAGAGCACAAATGCGTTGTGGTGATGATATGATAATCTGCATGCTTTATTGCTCGGTGTGACTCGTGATGCGGCTTGCATGCAGGCAAGACAGACAGACAGCCTCGGTTGCGAGCAGCATTACGTAGGCATGTACTTCGAATGTATCTCGAAGGATAGGCAACCCATTGGGTACCACCACGAGGGAACCAACGTGCGTCCTTGTACATCGTCACGCAAATAACACACAGGTGACCCAGCCCGCTGGGACTGTGACTCCGTTGGTTTCTCTGGCGCTCCCGGCGCTGTGGTTGCTTGCCGTCTGTATTTGCATCCTGCACTCCGTACGGGGGCATGGGGGGTGTGCAGGCAAGGAGAGCTTTCCCCGCCTCGATACAGTGAGAGCGTCCATCCTGTCCAACACGGCGATCGCGCTGCTGCTGCACCCGCCGCACCTGAAAAATGCATGGGAGCGGTGAGTAAGCGGGCGAGCGAACGCGTTGGAACGACGCCCGGCATTGGAGATTGGAGAGCACATGTCAACGACTTGTCGCGGCATCCGCCTGTGTGACCTGCCTCTTGGTCGGTGGGTGCGCGCAGAGACGAGCCACATGAGCCCTCTGCATCTCTCAACCACGCACAAAACAGCACAGCCCATGGAGTGTTGACAGGGCATCTGGGCGTTGTTGGGGAATTACGTAGGCCATAGGGCTGGTGTTGGGGCGGGTTCACAAGCATGTGAAGCCCCTCTGGCCCCCCTAGGAAGCTCTGGGAACTGGGAGCCGGGGGCCGGGGTGGTGGCTCCCACGCGTCGCATTTCGATCAGGCCAGGCCAGGCTGCGATGCGACGCGCAGCCATGCGACAGGGTTTCGCGAGGACGGGAGAGGGGCAGCGTGGCAGGGACAGACAGAGAAAGAGGGTCGAGATGTCAGGGACGAGGCCACGTTGACGGGACTTTGATGCCCGTCCGTCCTGCCGGGTACGCCGGCCGTAGCGTGCCGCTGGGGGGGAGTGGCAGTTGAACCAAGGGTAAGATGGCAGGCATCTGGCGACGGAGCCATTGGAGACGCATGTGGTACAGACGATGGCACATGGCTATGCGAATGCGGTTGCGCTTTGGCCCAGACAGCACGATCATTCGAATGGCATACCGCGTTTGGGGGAGGGGGGGCAGACGGCGGCCGAGGCACCAAGAGCGCCAGGAACGGGGATTGATCGATGGCGGCCAGCCAGCAACCAAAGTTCCGAGCGAGTGCGTGTGAGTGCGTGACGCCTCAGTTGGTCGCCTCGCCGCGCCTCGCCTCGCCGTCGTCGTCCGTGTGTACATATGAATGTACATATCGGGCGGGGGACTACTAACCTCGCTCAGTCACTCCTTGGGTGGGCAAATTTACACGGATGACGAAGCGGCCGTCGTTCCCTTCCTGGGAGGGCGCGGCGGCGGCGGCGGCGCGAGGATAAGCCACATGGCTTGCTGGCAGATTTGAGAAAACCGGCAGCAACTGGGGGGGACCTGGACTGGAGAGCGCGCAGGGCAGGGCAGGGCAGCGCCGGGCAAGGCTTGGGGTCTGCTGGACGGGCGGGCGCGGCACTTGGTGTAGGTACATCGAGGAGTGTAGGTTTTTCGTACTCGTATGTGAAGAGGTGTGCCTCCATGTGTGTATGTATGTACGTACGAGCATGGCATGTGGACATATCGCGGCAGAGGGCGTAAGCAGGTGAAGACGCGGCGGCGGGCTGCGTGCCGTAGCCTCGCTGGAGACAGACGACCGAGCGGTTTGCCCGCCGACGGCTTGTTGACCATGGATCTAATCGATCCATCGCTCTCCAGGCGAACGCGAGCCCTGTGAAGCTTTCATGTTCTAGCCCTCTCGTCCGCTGGAGCATCACAAGGTGGTTCCATGCTAGGGCCGCGGCACGGTGGGGGAACTGGCGCTTAACTAACAGTTTGGTGCAGAAACCTGAGCGCCCCCGGCCCGGGGTGTGTGGCTTGGGCGGCGTGGAAGAGACGGGAAGCCGTTGCAGTGCGACCGCCGCGCTCCCGCCGAGCGTGGCCGTCCCAAGCCCCGGTACCTCTGTCGTCCAGTGCAATGCCCCAGATTGGAGCCCCTCGTCCCCCACCGTTGGTAGGCAGGTAGGTAAAGTTGGCACCGCTTGGCCAGACCCTGGAGCTCCAGTCGACAGGGCAAGGTCTGTCTCTTATACACATCTAGATGTGTATAAGAGACAGGTACCCACTGATGCCCACCTCCATGACCACCACCATCACCAACTGGGCGCGCTCACCCACCCCCCATCCTGTCTCTTATACACATCTAGATGTGTATAAGAGACAGATCACCAACTGGGCGCGCTCACCCACCCCCCATCCCCCCCTTCCCACCCCAAACCCCAGCTGATGCGGGCGGCCACCAGTCCCCACTGGGGTCAGCAGAGGGTTGATTGATGGATGGGTGGATGGATGGATGGATGCACGGATGGAGGGGGACGACGGCACCCGCGCCAGGCAGCCAGGGCCACCTACCTCACGACCTGGGCTGGGCTGGTCTCTCGCGGCACACCTGCAGCAGCGCCGCCCAGCCCAAGCCCGTCTCGGGCGCTGCGGAGTCGAGGCGGAGTCCGCCTTGGTCCTGGCGCGGCCGACCGTACAGACGTCTGGTCGATGCAGGCAGGATGCGGTGCGGTGCAGCCAGCACGAGGTGGGTAGCGGTGGCTCTGGCCAAGTCGTCGTCGCCTTCAACGTGGGTGGGTGCGTCCGCCCGGCGCGGTGGGTTCCCGACCCAGTGATGGAAGAGCTCTGACGGGAGGCCCAAAAGTATCTACAGCACCATCCTTGGGTCCCTCCTTGGAGCCTCCATTAGCGCAGTCTCCATCGTTCTTCACCCGCTACGTACCGTTAATCTCAACCGTCGCCTCCATCCGTGTCTTTCTAAGCCGGCCCCAGCTTCACGCTCCATCCTCACCACCACCACCACCACCACTACCTTTCCTCCACCTTCTCCTCCCCGGGTTCCTCGACTATACGACGACCGGGCCGCGTTCCGAATTGCGAGCCCGAGCATCGCCTCTCACCGGCACGCGATTTTGTGCTCGTCCAAGCAACGCCCGCCGCAGCATCTCTTTCGTCCTCCTCCCCCCCGCGCCGGGAGGATCGGGGCGCTGCGTCCCGCTCACAAGCTTGCCCCCCCGTTTGTCGAACCGACGCCCTGTGCGCCCGCTCATCGTCGCCTCCCGTCCCGTATCACCGTCGCACGCGCCATAGCCCTTAGCAGAGCCCTGGACATAGACATTACGCGAACAAGCTCTCGTTCACCATGCCTGGGTCCTCGGACAACGGCTCCTCGAGCAACGGCAACCAGGCGCCGCAGAGCCCGCCCGGCGACACCATCCACGCCGCCTCCGCCGGCGACTCTGCCATCCCCGACAATGCCAGCGTCCCCAAGCCCAAGCGCCTCGCGTGCATGATCTGCCGCAAGCGCAAGCTCAAGTGCGATGGCGTGAGGCCCAGCTGCAGCACATGCTCGCGCCTCGGCCACTCGTGCGCCTATGATGAGCAAAGGAGGAAGAGCGGCCCGAAGCGCGGATACGTCAAGGCCCTTGAAGAGCGGCTGAGTAAGTTTGCTTGCCCTGTTTGCGCATTCGCGGGAGGAATATTACTGCCTTTGGTGCTGTCGAGGCAAGGATGCGCAGCTGCTGACGACTCACAGAGCAAGTCGAGACGCTGCTCAAGACGCAAGACCCGGCCCCGGCCAACACGAGCCCCTCAAAGGCCATGGGCATGTCCATCTCCGGCTCGCGCAACTCGGCCGCCACCAACGGCCTGCCCGTCGCCAACCCGCCCATGGGCATGGCCGGCGACCACGACATGGACGGCCGGTGGCAGCACTTCAACGGCGAGTCGCCCCGGCAGGGCGCCATTGACGACTTCAACTTCAACGCCAACATGGGCATGCCCATGAACAATGTCGGCGGCAACTTCACGTGGGAGATGATTGGGCTCGGCCTCGAGGAGCCCTTGCCGCCGCAGGAGACGATTGATGAGCTACACCAGGTCTACTTTGAGAAAGTTCACCCCTCGGTGCCCATGATTCATCGCTACCGGTACCTCGCCGCCATGAACTTGTACGCGACCCCCTTCCCCTATATTGGATTATGAAATAAGCCCTCTGACTTGTGTGTACAGGGCGCCGAATCAGCGGCCGCCAGTGTGCCTCCGCTACGCCATGTGGACGATGGCTTGCTCCATCACGGACAAGTATTCCGATCTCAAGGACCTCTTCTACCAGCGGGCGCGCAAGTACGTCGAGGCCGACTACGTCAAGGGCTACGGCGAGCACATGATTTCGGTTGCCCACTGCCAGACGCACATTCTGCTGGCCTGCTACGAGATGAAGATGATGTACTTTCCCCGAGCCTGGATCAATACCGGCTCGGCCGTTCGTCTCGCGCAAATGTATGCTCTGCCCCCTTGCTCCATGCTCAGCAGTGCAGATCTCTAACACCCTTTAGGATCGGACTCCACCGGTTAGACGGCCAGGGCTTGGACGTCAAGCAATGTCTACCGCCGCCAAAGGACTGGACTGAACGGGAAGAGCGGCGTCGCACGTTTTGGATGGCCTTTTGCGAGGATCGCTACGCCAGCATCGGCACCGGGTGGCCCATGACGATTGACGAGCGGGACATTATGACCAAGCTGCCTTCGTCGGAAAGCGCCTATGACATGAGTCGCCCCGAGCAGACGCAAACTCTCGCCGAGTGCACCGGGCCGAACGGAGCCGGCAAGCTGTCGTCTTTTGGCGGCATTGTTCTCATGGCCTGCCTGTTCGGCCGCAACCTGGTCCATCTCCACCGTCCCGACGATGACGATCTCGACCATGACCTCAACGGTCCGTTCTGGAAGCGCCACCGCCAGATGGACAACATTCTGCTCAACACCTCGCTCTGCCTGCCCGCCCACTTGAAGCTGCCGGGCGGCCTCAACAACCCTAACGTCGTCTTCACAAATATGAGCATCCACACGTCAACCATTTGCTTGCATCAAGCCGCCATTTTTAAGGCCGAGAAGAACAAGCTCGCCGCTTCGGTCAGCTCGGAGAGCAAGGTGCGGTGCATCACGGCAGCCAACGAGATTGCCAGCATCATGCGGACCATTTCCCACATGGACTTGTCAGCTGTAAGGATTTCCTCGTGCGAATTGACCCCTCAAGGGTGAACGCTGACATGGACAGATGAACCCCTTCATCTCATTCTGCCTGTACGTGGCGGCACGAGTGTTTGTGCAGTACCTCAAGAGCCGGCCAGACGATGCGCAGACTGCGGACTCGCTTCGATTCCTTCTGTCTGCCATGAACGCGCTGAAGCGCAGGAACCCCTTGACGGAGTCGTTCCTTGTCCAGCTGGACGTTGATTTTGAGGCGCTGGCCGCGCGCATCCCCAAGTTGAGGAACGCGTTCCCGCGACCTGGTGACAGCGTAAGTGGTCAATCAACGGAGAGATATCGATTTGATACTGACCAAAGGCAGCCTGGAATGGGCAACGGGGCTGGAGGCAAGAACCAACCCATATGCGACGACCCCGAAGGCGTTCAAGGTATCATGGCCTACCGCAACGAGTGCCACTTCATGAAGATGGCCGGGGACGACGGCAATGCCGCAACGGCACCAGATCTGGTAGAAAACGAGAACCAAAATTCCGCGCCGCCGGGCTTTGCGCAAACGTGGCTCTCGGCCGACCAGCAGTCGATACCAGTGCTGACGCCCAGCTCGGGGACAATGTACGAGAAGGGCGCCGAGAATCAGGACGCGCAAGGATCGCCCGAAGGCGGGCCATCCAACGGACCAACGCCCAATTCGAGCGGCGCCGGGTCCGATGCCAAGTCACATTTGCCAGCCGGCCACATGAACGGAGCGACGACAGAAGCGGCATTCCGACCTCCCCTCTCACCGCAGCAGAACATGATCAACCCTTCCCATGGCATGGACAGCGGGAACCACCAAAGCTTCTTTGGCGACTCGGGATTCATTCCGCAAAGTATGCCGCAACAGAGCAATGGGTTCGGGATGCCGGCAGGCGGCTGGACGGACATGAACGGACAGCCAGCCGGGATGCCAGTGGGCGAGGGCGTGCTACGGGCTCTCATGAACATGGGCCCGATGGACGCCATGGACCTCTCGTCGTGGGATAACGGAGCCGACACGCACATGAGAGGGTGATACGGCTGGAAAGGACAAGATTCACAAAAACGGGGCAATGGCGGGGTCGGTCTCATTCTCTATGACGGCACAGCGCATAGCTGGATGCCTTTTTGGTTTGCGAGGCGAGCGGGCCGGCTGGCAGACAGGCAGCGGCATTTGGGACAATGGCGTTTAAACGATTGATTACCCGGTCTGCCGTCTCTCGTTTAATGGCGGCCGGGGGTGGGCAGGCAGCACATTTGCGGACAGGTTATCAACTATTTGGATGTACTATATATCTCACACGTCAGGGCCGCGACGACGACGACGACAATGCCGCCGCCGCAGAGTGCGACGTTGACGGCTGAGGAATGGTTTTTGGACTGGAAGCTCGAATGTTGGGCAGTTTTACATAGTCGATAATGAATACCCCCTCACTCGCGGACATGTACGGGTCGGTGTGTCTTGTGACATGACGTGACGGCCATGGGGGAAATGTCCCGACGAGTGCGCAGGAGACGACGCAGGCGACGTCACTCGATCATTCGTTCTTCGTACGCAGAGTGGAATTCACATGCCTCTGGGACCGCCGTGACGTCGCAAGTTGGCGCTGCGTGCGTAGGCGTGTGTGCGTACGTTACGTGTGTGGTGCCTGGATATTGTATTGTAACCGCGGGCATCCCTGGGACCGGGGTTCGGGGCCCCGGAGTTCGGCTATTGGAGGGAGAGCGAGTCCTGGGGCGATGTGGTGGGTTGCAGGAGGGGGAGAGGGGGGAGGAGATCTTGGATGGTACGCTGTGAAAACTCGCAGTGAGAGAACTGTGGCGCGGGAAGGGGAAGGGCCTGGGGCTAGGCGGATGCACCTTTTGCAAAAGCGTGTGAATGGCTGGTTCGTGGATTGCTGCAGATATATGTATACGGACTACGGTGCAAATAGACAGATTGACAAGCTGTGATATAAGCAGCGTTGAGATCTAAGAGGTGTACAATCCGCGGAGGAAGTCGCCAAATGGTAGAGAGCGAACTTTTCATATTAGTACGAGCGAGACACGTCTGATCTTCTAGAGATCATTGCAATGACGTGAGAGAAGCGACATCTTCATATGAGGGCCCATCACCCAGACCCTACCTCTTCCACGCGAGAAAGAACCTCCTCCTCTCACGAGTAAGACATTGTCTCGGAAAGGGCCATCCGTTCGCGACATCAAAACTCCGAGAGCCTCGCCTCCCTGTTCTCCTCTATCAACGCCTGAACCTTGGACCACATCCATATGATGAAGCCGTCCTCGTCAAACGAATCCTCCCCCTCAATGAGCTGCCACTCTACCTCGGTCCAGATCGAGGTGGCGTAAAACTGCTGGTACTCGTGATCGTCGGGCATATCGTCTTTTTGAACCCGTTCATCGCCGTGAAAGAAATATTCGGGAAGGGCAGGGGTGATTTCGAACGTGGCGAGCCACGGAGGGCGTAATTCCAGAATACAGGTGGCGAGAAGAGACCAGGTTTCGATGCAGCGGCTAACGCAGTTGGGGAGGCGCACTTCTTCGAGGTTGACCAAGTGATTCGCGATGAACATGCAAAACCCTTCATCGATTGGGGTCCATTCTAAATGAAGGGTCTTGAGGCATGGCATCTCCAAGCGCATCCAGGGGATCGCGACCTCTTCCGCGAGCAGATGGCGCCACTGCCTACCGGTAAGGCGTAGATGCTGCACGTTCGGGATACAGCTAATAAAATAGCTGCATAGGGTGCTCAGGTATAGGCACGGCTCAATATCGAATTCGTAACAGAAGTCCTCGACGGGGTCATGCAGTTCCACGTCCAACGATGTCAGGCCAGCGACCAGCTCCGTCCACGCAGGGTTGGCTGAGCTGAGCGCAGGATAAGGAGGTCCAGTAGTGTAGGGCCATAGCGGAGGCTGGTGGACCTCCAGGCGAGTAAAGGCTCCCGCACTTTGACAGAGCGCCCATAGACTTGCGTTCAAGCGTGCAATCGAGGGCACCATGTGCTCAGCATAATCATCCGCATAGCCATCCTCTTGTCCTTCTGACTTTACTCGCGGATAGTAGACAGGCGCGAAGGAAAAGGACTCGAGATTCGGGAATTGGAGGTGTAGGGACATCAATGCGAAGCTTGTATCGACAGCCAGTGGGCTTTCCGTATCTACTGGGCGGTCCTCATCGTCCAGCGGAAGGGGCTTCCAGTCGACTCCATCCTCCTCGGGCGCAACGGGTGCCAATATCGCGGTTCGTATTCGATGCGGCGGACGAACTTCGCGCGCGGGCCCAAGCCGATGGCTTGTAACCGGCGGCCACACGAGGGCTTCGCGGTAAGGGAAACCTTGGCGTAAACTGTAGGTTGTAGCCACTCCGTGAACGTCTTGCAGGCGAAATACAAGGAGCCTAAGTCGTTGTCGGTGCAAAAGGACTTGATTTCGAAGAGGATCTCCCACGGCAGCTGTGTCAGGCTGGCCATGGCGGCAATCGAGGATTGAATCCTTGGAGGATGACTGTTCCAAGCTTCATTTTTCGCGTTTCCCGCACAGCCTGCTCTTTCGAATCTGGGACTGGGCGGATGTCAAGTGAAGGCGATGTGCGCGGTGTACAAGGAAGGAGCAACCAGCGTGGGGCCCCTGCGCGGGTTGCCGCTCTCAGTCACGCGTCGGCCCCACCCAAAGACTGACGATGGAAGCGCGGTTGCTCCTCACCATCACCTGTAAAAGCAGCACCGAAAACGAGCCCGGCCTCCGTGTAAGTCAGCGACGGGCCCGAGAACGTGAGCAGGCAAAGGCAGCTGGCAGACGAAGCGACCACGGGCGACGCGCTGGACGGGAGCTAGAGGAACACCAGCCACTGCACCATTGAGGGGTGCCGCTGCCCGCGGCCTGAACGGGGAGGGTGAGCATCGGAGACGCGAGCCCAAGCTAAGCTCAGGCGACAAGGCAGGCCACGGTAACCCAGAGATCGAGGATATACGACCCGATGGCCGCCTACGCTGGCGAGAGCCACTTCCGTTTGAACCTCGGGGTGGGACCCGGAGGCGCGGGTCTGGACGGCTTCGCGCATCCGGGGCCTCCTCACCACCACGGACACACTCACGATGCGGGGCCGACGACGGCCGGCCTGGACGGCGCGTACCCGTTGCAGGATGTCGCCGCCACAGCCACTCCTCCTTCTGCGGGTAGGCGACGGCGTCGACAGGCGGCGGACGCCGGCAGCAGTAGCACGGGTGGTCAGTTTGGCATCCTTGCGCCGACGACGATTCCCGGCGCTGGTCCCGCCAGTGCGGTCCCGCTGCCTGACGCGCATGGCCAGCCGGCCGGGGTCCCAACGGTAGGCCTCGGGAGGGACACAGGTGAAAGAACGGGTGGCAAGCTGAGCGGCCGCATCGTTCTCGATCCGCCAAACCTGCAGGCCTGGCGAGAGAAGCTCTTTGCCGTCGATGAGACCCTTGTCCTGACCAACGAGCAGTGCGTCTCCCCTCTGATTATAATAGTATTTCCTTCAAAGCTGAGCCCTGGGCGTACTCCCCGCACGATGTGAGGGACGCGTCTCGGTCTCGACGCTGACACTCAACTGCTCCAGATTCGAGGTGTACTTCCCGCACGTGGACAACATCTACTCGCACCGCTCGACACAGCGCTACAAGCGCAAGCCTTTCATCTCGCACTACTACGACTGCCGGATGAAGGGCCGTCCGCCAGGGACACCCAAGTCCGATGACCCGAACAAGAAGAAACGCAAGCGTGTCGCCCGCGAGCGCGACCTGTGCGACGTCAAGATCCGCATCACAGAGTACTTCCCCGGCGCGTTCCTCGACCGCGACACCGCTGCCGCTGCCGCCGCGGCCGCAGCCACCGGCAACGCGGCTGTGCTCACTGCCGGTGCGGGCGCAGCGACGGGCGTGGCGGCACAGGTGGTGCCCGAGGGCCAGCGCTTCTGGGCGATTCAGCGCGTTAATGGTAACGGCGGCAACGGCAAGGGGGATGGCATAGACGGCCCTCATAGGCATACGCTGCAGCGCAGCGATGAGATTAAGAGGAACAGCGTGCAGCGGTGGCTGGCCGACAGGGACAAGGAGGTCAAGAAGATACAGGTGAGTGATGATGACCCTCCGTAAATGGGCAGAGAAAATGCATGGACAGATGAACTGACGGGACGATGCAGAAGCAGGTCCCGCGCAAGGCCACCGGTGCTGCGCTCGCGACGACAAAGAAGCACTCCAAGGAGAGCGACCTGAAGCTGTACGCTGCATGCTTCTGGTGAGGACTTCCCTTGCTGTATCAGCAGCGATCCAGTTTCACTCTTCACTTGTGCCTGTACATGGCCTGACGGTCAAAATCAATTCACTGACGACGACATCCTCACCAGCCCCTTCTCGCAGCGCGTGTGGATCGCGCTCGAGGCAAAGGGCCTGGCTTATCAGTACTGCGAGACAGATCCCTACCGCCGCCCGGCGCCGACGGCGCTTCTCGAGGCGAATCCACGCGGTCTCGTCCCGGCCATCCGCCAGGGCGAGTGGGCATGCGCCGAGAGTGCCGTGATTCTCGAATACGTACGCACTTTTGCCCCTTATTCCTGGGCTTCTCCATCTCTACCCATCTTCTCGAGTGCTGGACAAGGAAGGTCTCGCCTTGTCGTCGCCGCTGCTAACTAAGCAACAAATAGCTCGAAGACATGCAGCATAGGAGCGGAGCGCCCTTGTTTCCGTCCGATCCGCGGCTCAAGGCAAATTGTCGCCTATGGATTGATCATGTATGATGAAAGACGCCCTGGTATTGCTGTGCTGTCAGACGTATTAACGTCAGGACAGATCAACGCCCGCGTGGTGCCCTCCTTCTTCGCGCTCCTACAGGCTCCCGACCTGGGACAACAGAGCGCTGCGACCGAACAATTACAAGGTCACATTACGAGCCTCGTTCTCGCGGCCGATGAGCATGTAGGTTTCTCTTCGCTTTGCTTTGAGACGCACTTCCTGAGAAGGCGAGCTGATCGCAATTGCTCACAGGGCCCTTACTTTCTCGGCTCGTCCCTGAGCCTCGTTGACGTACACTTCGCCCCGTTTGCTCTCCGCTTGTCGCGCGTGCTCGGGCCGCTCCGCGGTTGGGCTGACCCAGTGCCTGGAACTCGCTGGCAGCGGTGGCTCGATGCTCTCGAGCGCGACCCTCACGTTACTGCCACGACCAGCCTGGACGAGCTGTACGCGGACACGGCACAGATACTTGCCCATCCCCATGCTCCCTCGTCGACACACCTCGGAAGGCGCTGAACGCTTGGCAGCACAAGGAGAGAGTATGCCGTAACGGGCGCCACCACTCGGTGTGCGGACATGTGCGGCTCGTCGATTGAGCGCCTAAGGGGGAACATAAGGACTCTCAGGCAGCCGCCTCATCACAAAGCCCCAGCTGGTGGTTCCGAATTGGCGGTCTACTGGAGAGGGGAACACATCATGCTGGCCCCGTAGGCTGCTACAACTACAAGATTACTTGTCAAGCCGCGAAGTCAGCTGGCCGTTCCCGTGCTGTGCCAGGGCGACAAGCGTCTGGAGGGGCTGGGAGACCATTCCCTGCCACTTCAAGGCGTAGACGCTGACGTGTGCAGCGAGCGGGCGAGACTGCGGTCGCCGGACGACGGGGGGAGGAAACAAACAATTGCTTGAAACAGGAAGTGCAGGAGCTTCGCAGCTGCGCAAGGTTGTTATTGTACGCAAACTATCTTGGTCCGAGCACATGCTCATCTGAGCAGCGCGAAGTGCGGCTGGAGTTGAGTCTCGTATCGTTGTTGAGCGAGGACAGGGGTGTCGTTTCATGTTTCACTCGACGATGCCGTTGACATCACCGAGCCCTCCGGCCACACAGGAGAGAGCTGCGAGGCTGCGCCACGTCGTCAGGGCCGGCGAGCGTCAGCAGTCGAAAACGGGAGTCCAGCACACCAGCAGTCGCCGCCAAAGTCTGACGACGGCTCGGGGCAGCAACGAGAGAGCCCGCGTGTGGGCGGATGGCGATGCATACAGTCTGTGATCCAAGGGACGTGACAACCCCCCCGGTCCTCGACCGGAGTCTCCCCTGGGTACTGGAACGCGCCACGACTGGCCGGGATTGGCAACATGCGCTCAACACTCCGCCACGCCGGCGGCGGCTAGGCATGAACCGGCCCGCAACCACCATCAACACCACCACCCAGAAGTTGACTCCAGCTGCGACCACCTCACGCCTCGCACATCGAGCATTTACAGTGGGCGAGCGTGACAAGGCGCTGGATCGGCCCGTCGCCGTTGGGCGGGACGCAGTAGCACGCCTGGCGGCGGCGCCAAGGGACAAGTACGGCAGGTCGACGCTCGCATCGGACAGAAACGTGCCTGGCGCCCACTGTGTTAGACTCGCCGCAGCCTGCGTCCCACACATGTCCTCCTCGTTCATCCGCGGGCTCATCCGCTCGTCAAGGTATACGACCAAGTTGATGCCTAAGGTACCTACGGTTGACTGAGCGCATGTCAGGGCGGCCACTACGCCGTCTGATCGCTTGCCAGCCGGGGGGTGTCGAAGCCCCCAAGGGTCCCATCCTGTCTCTTGGTCTCCCGGGCCTGGCGGGCGGGGCACAAGTGGCTCCTCCACGTGCCGACCGATTTGGATCGCCCACTGCCACTGCCGGCCCTAAACCACTTCGAGGATCGTCCGTGCCTGCTGAGGTGGGCATCGAGAACTTGCTGGCAGTTTACCATTTACACGGGGCACTTCGCGTGGTTCCATTGTCAAGGGGAAAACGTGGCCAGATATACGTACGTACTACGTACATACTATAGTAGTCTAATTGGCGGGTCAGCGAGTCGTTTCCTCCCGCAGCCAGGCAGCCAGAGTGATGGAACTACGGACCCTGAATTGACAATCCAGTCGACGACGCCGACACCCTCCCGCCGCGCAACCAGACGCCATGAACAAGGCTGCACTGAACAGCGTGTGAATCGGACAAGGTGGCGGCCCGTCACCGACGTACCTCCCAGGCTCCCAGTCCCCGCCCATGCGGTCGCCAGCCTCTACCACCAGGCAGAGGCCGTCAGATAGGTTACGCCTGGATCGTCGAATCAGAAATTCCGCGCGCATGCCGACGCCCCGCCGTTGCCGTTTCCCTCAATGCCTAGCAGCTAGGGACAGGCCACCCGAGAGCCGGCCCCCACGATCGATGCTGGCTGGCCATGGTTGGGTTGGTAGCCGAACAGCCGTGGTGCTAGCACCGGACGACCTCCCCCACCACGTCGTAGCTTACAGCCCACGAAGTCCGCAGGCGATGGGCTTCAGTTCCGGAGAACATTGCCTCTTGTCACCTCATCAGGAATGCCAGTTACCCGCGCCATCAAGCGTAGCACGCCAAGCAGGGTCCTCCACATACTCCGCGTATTGCGAGGTGAACCTCTTGCTGAGCTTGAGCTGAGGGTCGGCTCTTGGCAGCTCGGAACAATGCTCCCCGCAACCCAACCCTCGCCCGGTCTTCTGGAGGCTGTGGCCATTCAATGGAGAGCAGACACGACTGCACGAGCTTGGCGCCTACAAGGCCAATTATGTGCTTGCGTTCGGCGCGTTCCGTTGCCATTGGGGGGTGGGAGGGGGGTTCGCCGTTAACACTTGACGGTCAACCTCGGAAGGCCCCGAAGCGGCCTGCGTGGGCTTGCATCGTCGTGCCTACCACGGTAATCCGCCTGACTGGCAGCCGGGGCGCGTTGGCCGTGGACCAGTACCCCCTTTCGCTGCCTGCACTGCCTTCTCGGGATGTAGATGTGTACTCCGTATGCAAGAGTATGTATGATTGTATGTGCCTTCCACCCCTCGCCACCAAGGGCGTCCATTGCCCATTGCATGAAGATGGATTCTGAAATTCCCGATTGGGCACCGACAACCCGCTGACGATTCAAGGTTGTTTTCCAGGCCCCAGTAAAGGGCCAACTGTTGCGCCGCTCAAGTCCGTTCAACACATGTGCGCCATCGTCCGCGCGAGTTCGATACCGGCGGAAAAGCGCACCCCTAGGTTCCACAAGGCAGACATGGACGGGATCATATGCCGTGCGCCGATGGCCCATGCGGTCAACGCCTGTAGCGCTCTATATACCCCACGCATTAAAGCAGGACCATCAGATTGGGGTGCAACCCTTGACCTGCAGCTTGGAGCGTCGGCCACCTGGCGAAGGAAAGAGAGCTGCCCAACCAGCGGACGGTTGACCCAGCGGACAATAGACCCAACAGACAGTTCGAGCCAGCTGTCGCCCAGGATCACTGGAACCCCGGCCGCATGCCCGTGCTCAGCCACAACAACGCTATCTTTCGGGACCTCGATCCCCGCCACCTCGATCCCCGCCAACCCCCGCGCCTCATGCGTTGCGAGGCGCCGAGATGCACTTTCTGACCTCTGAGAGTCCCCACAGGGCGGTGCGTCGCGGAGGGGGAGTGAGGAAGTTGCCTGTTTTGGGGCAGTTTCATTGGGGTGGATGTCGAGTTGTAGACCGTCGAAAAAATACCATACTGCCCTGGATTATATATCCCGTCGTTGTCCCAAGGAGCACTCCAAAGACTCGGACTCTTTCGCTCCAGCTTCAGCAAGCTCCTCTTGTCGCGCCCATCCTGTCTTTACCGCCTAACCTCGCTGTCTGTCCTTATCGTCTGTCCGTAGCCCCCTTCCCTGATCCTACGACGCTCTCGTGTACGACTACTTACGCACCCGTCCGTAGGCGTCCCAGGCCCCACGGCATATTGAAACACCCGCCTCGACTCTCCACGTCACACGACATTAAAAACACCCAACCCACTGTTGCTCCTCGTTACTCCGTCGGTCGCCAGCATGGCGGACACCCCGACCCTCCCGTACGATGCCATTGTGGGCGGCGCCGTGGGCTTCGCGACCACCGTCATTGCCTTTCTCAGCTTGATCATCGCCTACCACACGTACCGTGACGCTCGCAAGCGGAGAGCGCGCCGCGACGATGTCGAGATGCAGGACGGGCCCGCGGTGGGTGACTCGTCCGAGTCCACTTTGGCTCTCCTCGTAAACGCGTCGCCTCCGGAAGTGACACCGCCACCTCCGGCTGCGAATCCGTCTTCGAGACTTGCGAACCCATACTCGCTGCCTTCAGCCGCCGGCTTGGGATCCTCGAGCGCCGACGCCGCGTCTAACGAATAACGAAAATTGGACGCGACGATGATGCTGAGAAGGGCGAGCTGTTGTTCAGTAAGTGACTTCCTCTCCATCTCGCAAATGTCGTATGGGATTTAAACCTAGATACAATCCATTTATATTCCACGCAAAATAATCGCTTGCTGACAACTCCAATGGCTCAAGTTCCCTTGTACATAATATCACTTGGTACACAATTTCAGTCACGGCGTCGTCTCGTCGTGCGAAGGGCTAGGCGTTGTTCGCCGCGACGACTCCCTTCTTCTCCTTAATCCGTCCCATTTCTCTCGAAACGTTACTGCTTCCCCCCCGAGGCGGGCGCGTTCGCGTCCTTCGCCTAGCTCTTCAAGGTCCTTGGTCTCCAGAAACGATCGGCCGTCCTCCTCTACTACACGACGTTGCACATCTGGCAAATAGGCCCACGAGAATATGGCGCCGAACGCGGCGACAGAGCCAAAGAGAAGGAAGATGAGGCCCTGGCGTGTCTGGCTCTTGTATGCGGAGTTGATGCCATAGACGACGATGACGGCGACAATGCTCCCCAGCTTGCCGGCCGCAGCGGAGATGCCGTGGCAGGTGCATCGGTAGCAAGTTGGGAAGATCTCGGCCGGGATGATGAAGGTCAGCGTGTTTGCTCCTGTTTGCACATGTTAGTTCTATGTACCGGTAGCTATAGACTGCATCGCCCGCTTCACTCACCAAAGTTGAACATGAAGTGACACAGCGACACCATGACAATGGTTGCTGGGGCGGCTGCTGACCGATTGACCTTGTAGTACACGGCGCCGGTGATGACGAAGAAGAGGGCCAGGACAAGAAAAGACGCTGTGAGCCACTGTCGGCGGGGAATGCGGTTGGCGAAGAAGATGAAACAGACGCTTCCAGCAATCGATGCAAGGGAGACAGTCAGAAGATACTGCTTCGTCTGCTCGACCAAAACGTCATAGATAGTGTTGCACGGGTGCAATGCATCCGTCTGCCAGATAGGCAGGCCCGTCTTTTGCCAAGACGGAACCAGGGACCTGCCACCTGGTAATGTCGAGTTCCAACACTCGAGCCGGTCGTCGATGGGAGTGGGGTCCGCCGTTGCCCACATGTCCGACAAGGTCCGTCGGTTGTCCAAAGACAAGCCGTAGAAACTGACGTCAAGGAAGAACCATGTGGCTGCAGTTCCGAGCAGATAGTACCAGTTCCTGTCGCGTATGAAGTAGTTGTATAGGTCCAGCTTCGAGAACTGAACTGGCATAGGCCGAGGAGATATCTCGGGGTGAACGCCGTTGGACTGGGCCTGCATCTGAAACGAGTTGGCAAACCCACCCGAAGGGGCGCCATATACCCGCTGTGTATTTTGGATAGCGAGAGACGGCTTGTTGCGCACTTCGAGGCTGTAAAGACCGCAGTCGAACAGAAAGAAGCGGAAGATGATGGCCAGAAGAGCAGGTACCGCGCCGGAACCGATGACGATGCGCCAAATTCCGTCAACAGCCTTCCTGCATTCCTCTGCGTGTAGTTCGTCCAGACCGCAATGCAGCGTCTGAAGCTTCTTGGTGCTGTCGAAGCCAAGCAAGACCCAGAGGCCCACCAGCTGGGCAAGGGCCTGTCCGATGGGCTGCATGAGGAATACGCTCGAGAGCATCGTGGCTCTAGACTGAGTGCTGGACCATTCGGAGGTGATGACGGCGCTCAGAGGGTATTCGGCGCCGATTCCTGGGTGGTTGTTAGTCTGCCGGAAACACAACACGAGCGGCGGATACGCAGCGAAACATACCCACTCCCATAACAAATCGCCACCAAATGAACAAGCCGAGAAATTCCAAGTCTCCGTAGCCATGGCTACTTGTGGCGACGCCGATGGTCGACACGATGACGAGCACAAGCTCAATGCCGTATAATCGGGTTCGCCCGAACCAATCCGCGAGGAAACCAAAGAGGAGCTGTCCGAGGACGGATCCGAGAAGTGTGAAGAGGTTGATGAGGAGACTGGGCCATTGGCGGCCATCGGGATAGTACACAAAGGCGACAGAAGCAAGGATGACGTTGGTAGAGAAGAGGTTATAACTGCGCATTGAAGAGTCAGTATCGCTCTGTACTGCGCGGACTAGCCGCAGACTCACGAATCTGTCAGGAACCCCGAAGCGGCCACCCCCCAAATACGCAGGTTCCATGAGTTCAAGTCGAGTTCGTAGCGCAGTTGATGGCGGTCCTGTGGCATTCTTCTTCAGCATGTTGAGCACGCACAGACTGTGAAGGGCGCACCTGGAGGTCTTGGGCGGGCAGCGCCGAGCTGTCGGAGCCCAGGAAGCCGCGGTTCCTCCGCCGAGTCGAGCTCGGATCAGGGGCCATTTCCAAGAATTCGGGTTTGTATTCGGACAACATATGGGGCTATCTGTTGAGCAGGCACTGGGAGGGGACGAAGAGAACTCGAGAGGTAGCTTTCGGCCGACGAGTGCCGTGTTTGGTCTACGTGCAGCAGCTTGTCATTTGCGGAGACACTGGTCCTGGGCAGAGGTCGTAGTTGACGGCGCACAAGATGTCATGACCACGAGTGAGGAGTGCGTCTGGGCGAGCATAGAGACTTCAATGTAGGTCGCCTTGCGAGACACGGGCGCGACGGCCGGTGACGAAGCTGTCCAAGGTCAAGGCTGCACCGTTGGGGGCGGCATCGCGGGACGCCTCGAAATCCGCGGGACAAAGGAGGCGGGCGTCATATGGCCAGGGCAAATGTCGCAGTTTGCGCCAAGCTGCCGGAGCCTGCTTGGCCTGCAGGATGGCTGAGCTTGAGACCGATCGACGGAGAGGTCGGGACGAGCTGGGGAAAGTCAGTCGAGCTGAGGGAGCGTGCCGGATCCAGGCCGTGGAAAGGAACAGCGGCTTGTAGGACGACGGCGCGGGCCAACGCGGCCAGCACGTGGTGGAAGGACCCTTGGGAGTGGGGAGCTGGAGAGCTGGGGGAGACGCGGCGGCTAGCACGAAGTGGCAGCGCAGGCTAAAAGGTGATGAAGAAACGGTGGGAGGCGCCGACTAGCTCGGGCCAGGCGGTGGCCGTCGCGGGCGCAGGTGCTGCTGACGGCTGTCGATTTCGAGACGGCTTTGCTTGCTTTTGAAGATGGCACGGGGCTTGGCAGGAGGAGGGGCTTCAGTTATCCGGGGGGCCGTTGGGGGTTGCTGAGGCTGATGTTGCATTGAAGGGGCGAGGACGTGGAGCGGCGCAGGGGCAGAGTTCAGGAGGAGCATGGTGTTGCACTGTTGATGGATGGCGCCTGCCAGAGTTGCACGACATGCTGCGAGTACGTATCCCCATGTAGTTTTGCCAATTGCACGACATTGCACGACATGACGCACGGGTGGACGAGTGAGTGTTGGTAAGCACCTCATGTGCCGGCAAGAGGGACCCGTACCTTTCCACGTCAATGGATGCGGTCTGGAACTCTGGATATCTCTGGACTCTCTGGATGAGAGCTGGAAAAGGTTTTTGCATACTCCACAGCACAATCGCTCGCGCCGCGATACTATCAGGCTCCGTGCCGGGCCACGAAACCGATACTGGCCTCTGCGTCGGTATCGTGCAGCCGAGAAGACCGGACGCGGTGATGAAAGGTGGGTTGGACCCCGTGCCTCGTTAAGGTTGAAAGGTGGTGGGCATTGCTGCTCCGGTGGGACAGGGATCTCGGGAGCTGCAAGACATCGCTAGTGAGCAGGAGCTCGTCCCACCAGGCTTGGCTGTCTGTCGTCTGTGTCTCGCGGCCACGGTGAAACAGGCGCGGGGGGCCGTCGCAGAGCCCGGATGGCGGGCAAGACAAAAAGGCGTTGAGCCGCGGAGTGTTTGTCAGTACGGCGACGAGTGGAGAGGAGCGATTCATATTCAGGCGTGAAAGGGTATTGCCAACCACCATTGCGTCTTGCACTGTGGCTCATGGTCGAGTCGAGCCGTTACCATGATGATTGATGACGGCCACGCACACGCCAAATTGCGCCGCGCAGACTATGCGTGCGTGCAAGGACGAGTATAATCAGCCAGCCTGGGCACCACCACCACCACCACCACCACCACCATCTCCGCCTCCTCCCAAATCCAATGCACCACCAACACGCGCGCTGCCGGTGGGCCACCCACACGCCCGCCATTATTAGCCGTTGGTCCCCTTCTTGGCCAGCCCATCACAGGGCTCCGTTGGACCCCGTGCGCACGGCTCCCGCGCCTAGTGGCAGGAACGTCTTCCGGAGCCGCCCCGCCCCGGACGACAGACGGACCCCCAGCAGCAAGAGCTGGCCAGACAGGCCGGCCAAGTTGCAACGTGCAACATGCAACAGGCAGCGAGCGGCCTCTGGCCGGCAGCCATCCATCCATGCCGTTCAGTCCCTACGAGTATTGTACGCTACAGTACACGCTCTGCGGCGGAATTGCTGGACCAGCACTGCCTTCCAGGTCACCAGCAGATTCTGGCTCCGACGCCCGACGCCCCGGCCACGGCGGAGGAAGGCGCGACCGCGCAATAGCCTCTGCGCCGGGCGTCCGGTCCACGGCAGGTACTGCATCGCGCCTGCTACGTCGGGCAGGTACAAGTGCGCGACGAGCACAAGCTTGGAAGCACGCTGGCTCCCGCCAAGCCCGCCTCATTTTCTACCGTGACGTACAATTACTCCGTACCTACAGCTTGCATCTTTGGCCGGCGCTGCTCCACCACGCTGCCGCCGGAGCTTGCATCCATCGTCAGTCGTCCACCCGCCCGCGCCTCGGCACCAAGGTTTTCCACCACGATAGTGCTCATGCTATCGACGGCACACCCATCCATCCCGCCAGCGCACCTCCACGGCATTACCCACCCACGCACCCACGCGCGGGCACCCTTACCAACTACCTTTCCTCCCCAGGTTGTACGTGTACCGACCGGGACGCGCTGGCGGCCCAGCAAGCACGTTGCACACGCCGCCCAATCCACCACTGCGGCCCTCTCCCGCCCTGCCGGGTCGGCCACTCGCCGTCCGTCCCGTGCCCGGATGGCACGTCGTTGGCACCTTGGTCCTTCTCGCCTCTCTGCGCCATCAGCGTCCACGTCCTTCCCCCAGGCCAGCGGGGGCCGTCGCGCGGAACACGGACCCTATCCGCGAGCTTAGGTTGGCCTGGCCAGCTCCCCATCCCCGGCCATTGTGTTTTTTTTTGTCCCGCCCTCGCGCTGCGTCGCTGTGTCTCGCTCTGCCTCGCCCCGTTACAGCAACGAGCAAACGTACCCTCCGGGGCTCGCTGTCGTCACTCGCCCACCTGCTGCTGCCGTTGACAACTGCTAGTCCGGGATGATGGATCATGGCTCTTAGTCCGTGGCCCGTTACCTTCCGAGGGGCCACTTTCGCATATCACCGCCATTGCTGCCGCTCATCCTGAGCTTTCTACCCCGCCATCCGCCGCCTCTGTCGTCGCGGCCGTCGTGTCATGACCCGTTCTCTCGGGACCGACACCTTGCCAGCAGATCGTCGCGCCGGCGGCCCACAGACGTTGCACGGGGGCGTAGAGTGCCGGCCACAGCTATTCCGTGCCGTGCCCGTGCCGGTGACGGTGACGGCGGCGAAGCAATAGCCGCCCCAGCCAAGGCGGCCAAGCTCCTTGGGACCGACGCAGCATGGCCGCGGCGTCGTCCTCGTCGGGTTCCTCCTTTACCTCTTCCTCCCTCGGCCGCCCTCCCACCTACAGCCGCTCCTACGCCAGTCCGGTCGACTCGACCTGGACGCCGACCTCCGGCATTTCCACCATCTCGGCGCCGTCCACGGGGGGCTCGGCAGCTCCCCAGACCTCGTTGCGCCACTTGGACCTTGGCCCGCCGGGCTACCAAGCAACAATGTACGACCATGCCCCAGAGCGTTACCGAAGACCCCGCCGCAGTGTGCCTATTTGTCTGACCCCGTCTTCTCTTGTGTAACAGAACTCTTTTCCAAGATACGCCCGACGAACGAACCGTCTATCTTGGCCCGTGGGAGGTGGTGGGGTCGGAGCAACGCCGTGTCCTCTGGCAGTGCAGCTATCAGAACGAGCTCCTCGAGCATTATTGTGCGCCCATTGGCCTCTTCGCTCGTCGTACAGCTACTAACGGGTCGAGCAGTGCCGTCGGACATCCCTTCGGAGATTCACCCTCATACGCTCCACTCGCGCCACCGCCAATACCATGACCCCTCTGACATGGAACGATATCTCACCTTTCCCGAGCCGCACCGCATTCGCTACACGACCGATGAGGGGGTCTGCATCCACGACCAGTACATACAAGTGAGATACGAGTTTACCTCAGTCGAGGGGTCCATCCAGTTCCAGGGCGATGTGCGGAGAAGAGACATGATCAACTACTTCGACGTTGATGTCGTCTGGACCAACGTCCACGGCCGCACTGACGGCTTCGGCAAGGTCAAGGGCATCGGCGCAATACAACGCCTCAAGATGTGGCGCGACCGCTATACCACTTTCCACTCCATCAGCGTGCTTGCGAACAAGACGGACGGCCAGTACCGCGAGTACGACGTGCACCTGTTCGAAGGCGAACTGCGCGGCCGTGACGACCGCGCAAAGCAAGTTCGGCTCAACGTGCGGGGGCGAAGAGGGAGTGCGCCGGATGAGAACAACCCTCAGCGCCGATTTTCGTTTGCCCAGAGGGTACGCCCGCGGGTGCGATCGACCGGGCATGCGGGCCATAGCCCGCAAGAGTCTCCGGGGCCGTCACAGGCATCGGTAGACATCAAACATCTGTCGATCCAGTTCAGCAGCCGCTCAGGTACGCATGCCGCAGAAATACACTTGGGAGCTCGAGCCACAGTCAAACTAATGCGTGGCAGACTACCGACGATTCTTGGAGGCGTGGGCATACGCGCACAGCACGGATCGAGATTTTCAGGGCCTCCCGTTCCCTCCGAATCACTTTGAGCTGCCGTCGCCTCAGATGCTGCCAGGACAGGCGTCTGAGCTACCATCGCCGGAGCTGTCGCGCAGCCTGGACCCTGTGCTGGAGCCGGAGGACCAAGATCCGCGTGGCTGAAGTACACGAGATCAATTGTCGGGCCCGGAGGGATGATTCGACGCAATGCGTCCGCTGGGCGGCCGCCGCTCACTAGCAGATTTTGTGGGTATGAAGCCGTCGGGGCACACTCTAACAACACCAGGCTCGGGGTCTCGGCACGCCAATATGAGGCGATGCGATGGCCTGGAGATGCTTCACGCCTTGAATTGCTCGGAATGACCGGGGGTGGCCTGGTGCATCTGCACGGCAAAGACCAGACTGACATGTCGGGCGCCTCAGCACATGGCGTGTTGGCGGGAGGGCAGACGATTGGCCCCCACCCGTCACCAGCCAGCCCAGTGAGGTCAGCCCACCATCTTTCGTCATTGATTGTGACGCCGCATCCGGATGCATCAGCGTCGACGACCACCACGCGTTTTTATACACGCGGGTGCCGTCGTCGCTAATTCACCACCTGCCACAACAAGTGTTTGCTCGTTGGCCCTGTCATTCTTTCCGTCCCTGCCAGCACATTACCACGATCTGAAGCCGGCCTCCGCCATGAAAGTCATTCTCGCCATCAACGCTGGATCGAGCTCGGTCAAGGTCTCCGTCTACCTGGCCGACAAGAACACATCCCCGAGACAGATTGCAGAGGCCCAGATTAATGGCCTCACAGCGCCGCCAGCGGAATTGAAGTACTCGCGGGGTGAGACAAAGGTCATCAAGGACAAGAAGGTCGAGGAGCCGTTGAAGACACAAGACGACGCCTTTGGCCTCATCCTCAAGACACTCATCAACGACGCCGACCTTCGTGAGATCAATTCCAAAGACGACATCGCCATCGCGGCTCACCGCATCGTGCACGGCGGCGACTACGACGAGTCCAAACTCATCAACGAGGACACTTACCACCGTCTCGAGGAGCTGAGTGACCTGGCGCCTCTGCACAATGGGCCCGCTCTCACCATCGTCGACTCGTGCATCAAAACGCTGCCCAATGCCTCCAACGTCGCCTGCTTCGACTCGCAGTTCCACGCCACGATTCCGCGCCACATCTCTACGTATCCGATCTGCCCGGTAACGGCAAAGAAGAACAGCCTGCGCAAGTACGGGTTTCACGGCACTAGCTACGAGTTCATCAGCCGGTCCGTGGCGGCGTTTCTGGGAAAAGACGTCGACAAGCTCAACATCATTGCCTTGCACCTGGGTAGTGGCGCCAGTGCATGTGCCATCAAGGGCGGCAAGAGCTGGGATACGAGCATGGGCCTGACGCCGCTGGCCGGACTCCCCGGAGCCACTCGCAGCGGCAGTGTTGACCCAAGGTCAGTATAGCTCGCGCCCAATTCTGATGCCCGTGGTGCGCTGACACGTATTCGATAGTCTCGTTTTCCATTACGCGAGCGACGTGGGCAAGCTGTCGCCGGCTTCGACGGAGCACCTGCACATCACCCGCGCTGAGGAGATATTGAACAAGGAGAGCGGATGGAAGGCTCTTACCGGAACAACCGACTTTCGTGTCATCTCAGAGTCGGACGACCCGAAGCACAAGCTCGCCTTCGATCTGTTTGTCGACAGAGTGTGCGGGTTCGTCGGCAGCTACTACGTGACCCTCCAGGGCCAAGTAGACGCTCTCGTGTTTGCGGGAGGCATCGGCGAGAAGAGTGCACTGCTGAGGAGTGCCGTTATTCAGCAGGCAGGATGTCTCGGCTTCGCCATCGACGAGAAACGGAATAAGAGCGTCGGGGGCGGGGTGGTGGAGGACATTGGTGCTGCCGGCGCAAAGCACGGTGTGCTGGTGTGCCAGACGGACGAACAGTATGAGATGGCGCGCATCTGCGCCAACAAGCCAGAGCTGTGGTAGCGAAGTCTGTCGTGAACGTCAGACAGGGTGTAATGATGATGATGTCGAAGCTAGAACAAGACGCCCATCGATGCCTTCTGGCAAGCCATCTAACTTACCATAGAGCGACTAGCCAGCTCGAGCCTTGGGGCTGTACGTTAAGGGCGAGCAGTCTTGAGTTGATGACTCGTTTGTCGCGCTTTGATAACGGATTCCTCCGTGGCGCCGGGCCGTTAACACGGAGTACGAGGTACATTGTTGTCATATCAATTATGGTAGGGCTCTGCCAAGAGTCTCGGCCAACCGTGGACCAACACAAAAGCAAGGCAACAACGTTGGGCGAGGCAAGATGGTTTCCTTTTGCCCGCTGAAGATACTGTACCGTAGCATAACGCCACTCCCGGCACTAGATACCGTGCGCCACCGGCAGGGCGGGGGCCATAATCGAACCACATTGGAAAGAGAAAAAGAAGCGCCGAGCAACAAAAGCCGTGATGAACGGCCCGCCAAGCCCGTGACGTACGTACCGTGCGGTTCGAGTCGAGTCGACGGGGGCCCGGAGGAGAATGCCCGGCGCATCCTCGGCGTGCCGATGCGGTGTGAAGGTCTACCGCTCATTTGTTTTTCTTCTTTTCTGGTGCCTGTTTTTTGGTTTGGTTCAGGTTGTTTGTTTGTTTATGTGGGTGTTTGGCGGCGACGACGGCCAGCGGCGGGGCCGTGCTGTTCTATCAGAAGAGGCACTCGGACTCAAGGGAGAGGGAGTGTGTGTGCGCGCGCGGACGTGGTATGTACCTATAATTGGGTAGTGAGCAAAGGGGGCAGGCAGGCATCGGCCACGGGGAGGCCACGTGCGGTCGCAGAAAAGGACGGCCCAAGGGGTGAGCCGTGCGACGGAACGGAAGGGAGGAAGATTTTCAGGTGGTGGTGTTGTATGACTGGTTGATGAGGACCCTTGGACGGCCCGGTAGAGGGACATATGAGGGAGAGGTCCGGGAGAGAGGCGGTAACGGGAGGAGGTGCCGGACCACCTACGTACAACATGTACATGCCAAAAATAAAGTAAAAAAGAAGGGTTCTTTGGGGACTGTGCGCGTTCCTGCCCCCGTGTGCCGCCGTGCCCCGTGCTGGGCATCGGCCACGCGATTCGAGAAGCAGGGGGACGGACGGACGGGCACAGGGTACATACTCGTACAGCGAAAGAGCGAAGTCCCGTACGAACGGCCGGGCGTGCGAACAGGGAGAGAAACAGAGGAGAGACTCGCGCCCCGTGGGATGGCGTGTTACCTCGTACGAGGGGGGCGGGCCCTGGATTTCGACACGGAGGGACTGGACCCTTGGCTTGGCTGCCCCGGGGCCTTGGCTAGCTGAGCGGAGGAGCGACTCGCGGGTCACGGGGTCCAGCTGAGCAGGGCACGGTACGGAGTCGGGGTCGGGGTCAGGTCCATCGGCCATCCATCGTCGTCCATCAAAAGGGAGAGAGAGAGAGAAAAGGTGACGATGAAATGAACCTCACCCGCTCACTGCCGTGGTACTCGCACCCCCCTCCCGTCCCCTCCCCTGCAGGCCCCGGCGACGAGGTGAGAGCCACCGAGCCCCCCAAAAAGGGGGGGACGGGAAACACGCGATGGAGGAGAAAGAAGATCCTGGGGTGCATTTCCAGGTACCCGCTCGACCTGGTTTTCCTTCACTTCAAGGGAGGGAGATGGTAGGGAGGGTCTTGCTGGGGAGTGAAGGGTCGAGCGAGGGTCGAGGGTCCCGCGCGCACCCCCTGTGGACCCGCCTCGGTTATATAGAGTTTGTTTCTACTATCGGCCTCCGCTGTGTCATCGTCGTCGTTCTCTTGACTTGGCAACCGTACTGGACTGTGTCTGGGCGTCGGGGAAGGGAACCAGATATTATGTACAGCTGGATGGACAGGTAACTAACTAACCGGAGGTTTATCAACGGCGGATGTGGTTCGTGCAAGGCAAGGTGAGGGTGGACATCACGACCCGTGGCGGTCGTTCGCCAAGACGACAAACGTCTCCTCCAGAGTCATCATCATCATTGTCGTCACCCATCGACATCATCGTCGTTCGCCACACTCGCGCGTTTCCTGCAAGTTGGTGCTTGCTTGCATGCATGCAAGCATGCATGCCCTCGTGCATGCGGGTAGGCAAGTAGGGACCCTTACGCCGGGGGACAGGCGGCGGGGAGGAAGGACCTTGTCCAGACCCCTTTCGTGCAACGCAACACCGCAGCGCGCAACGACTCAAGACAATACCTTTTCACCCAGCACAGCACAGCACAGCACAACAGCACGACATGACCAACACACGGGCGCAACATGCATCGGCTGCTGCTGCTGCTGCTGTGCGACCACACCGCGCGGGCCCGCTCGCCACGCCACACTCCACCTACCCGTCATCGCATCGCACCCGCATAGCACAGAAGAAAAGCAAAATCAAATCAAAACAACAAACCACAAAGGCAATGGATATAAACAATGAGGCAAAAAGTGACGTGTAGCCAAGGTAAGGTGAGAGTGAGAGCGAGTGGGTATGCTATCTGCAGGGCGGGCATCTCGACGTAACGTTCAAGGTGCACACGGTGGACTCGACTCGCGCCCACAACACCCAGACAGGCATACTGGAGGTCAGCGAAACACGCCCCTCCCTGTTCCTAGCTTCTAGTTGTCACCTTCCCGAAAATATGGCTACAGAGCATAACGCTCGTACGCACATACGATACGCATACCTGCCGGCCTGCCTGCCTGCCTGGCTTCTAGATCGCAAAGAACATCCCTTCCGCGGCCGTCGCGAGCAAAGCTGGCCGTGCACGCCCGGCCCTTCCGCCTGCCCGCTCGTCCACCCCACGCACACACCCCCTCCCGCGCCAGGGTTCGTCGTCGTGCCCAAATGCAGGGACCGCGCCGCGGGCGGCGGCGCAGCAAGGCAAGGCAAGGGAGGAGCCGCACGACCGTCGTGGACGCCGACCGCCACCGCTGCTCGCTCCCCGCCAGCGGGGTCGAATAATAAGGTAAGGAACGGTAAGGCGCGGTACCGTACGGTGTGGTAGGGCAGGCAGGCAGGCAGCCGGCAGCGGCAGGTGGTATGAGCGCGAAAGGGGAAGGGAGAAGGACCCCCAGGCAGGACCCTGAAGGGACCGACCGACCGACCGGGCGCAGGCGGCGAGACATGCATCAACGGTGTGCCGAGTCAACAAGGACGGGCAGCCAGGGCGTGAGAGCAATGCCTTGCGGCAAGGTGGAGGGGGAAAAAAAGAGGTGGTATCAATTGACTCTTTCCAGAATCGCCAGTCGTCGTCATCGCGGTGGTGACACGTCTAGACCTGGCAGCTATGTACAATGTGGTGCCTCTCGGCGGCCTCATCGCCCGATTGCCTTCTGTAGAGGCGGGTGATGGGAATAAAAATCACAATCAATGCCAACCCATCAACGCCGTTGCGCCTTTTATTCCTCGCCCCCTTGTCATCGCACCGCGAAGATGATACTCGCGCTGATGCATGTAGCTTCGTGCCCGCCGCCCTTCCAGGCGGACACCGAGGGCTGAGGTCCGATGCGGGATTGCCGCCCCAAGAAATGATTCGTGAGGCGCCTGTAATCGTGTGTAGGCAGCCTCTATTGGTATACTGTACGAGTGCTGTACCCCCCGAGGAGTCCAGTGACCCAACGCAGGTAGGCAGCGTGGAAAAAGTGCAACAAAACACGGGCCAGTCGCCGGCTTCATTTGCTGCCGCTGGCATGCTGCGGCGGCGCCCAAATGCTGCGTGTGGATGCGAGCGCGCTCGTCGTGGAGAAATGCCCCCAATGACCGACGACCAGGCGCCCTGGTCGACCCGGTCGGTGAGGGCGAGACGCGGCAGTGCCTCGTCAAGCGCGGAAAATTGCGGCCGACGGCACTCCCAGGTTGTTTGAAACGAGTGTGGGGACGGCTGCGTGTGGACGGAAATTCCGCATCAGCCGTTGATTAGGCATTAGCAGTTAAAGAGCCCCATCCGTCGAGGGGGACCCCTGGTTCGGAGGGGGCGGTTCGGTGTCGGGGAAGCGGGAGCATGAGTCGAGCAACGTCGCTGCCGCTGCCGCCGCCGCCGGTTCCGCCCCCTCATTCACGCCGACCCCGTTCGTTCATGAGCTGCCAGCCTGGCACTCCACCGCCATGGCCAGGGCGTCGAGGCCGCTGCTGGGCGTCCGCGCCGCGACCGGCCGGCTCAGCAGGGGCAGCTTCATGCCGCCCATGTCCCAGGCGGCGGTGCCGGGCGAGGGTAGCGGGTACTGCGGGTGATGCGTCTCGGCGCCCTCCCATTGCTGCCCGGCTTCGCGGCCGCCGGCGCTGCTGGCTGTCGTGGTGGATGTCGAGGAGCGGCTGCGGCTTGAGGCCGTCGAGTTGCGGCGCGCCTCGGCGAGCGCGGCCTTGTGAGCGCGGGCGCCGCCCGATGAGCGGCTCTTGTCCTTGTAGTGCGTCTCCAGGTGCTGCTTCATGTTGTCGGCGCGCGTAAACTTCTTCTGGCAGCCGGGGTAAGTGCACTGGACGGCCTTTTCCGCCGTGTGGATCTTGGAGTGACGAGAGGCGTGGCCCGACGTGGTGAACGTCTTCTCGCAGCCGTGGCTATCGCGATACCGGCAAGGATACCGCTTCCCGGGGCGCTGCTCGGGCACGGCGGGGGTCGCCACCGACGAGCTGCTGTCATCGTCAAACGACGCAGACCTGCTGCTGTTGACGTAGGCGGGGCGCTTGGCGGGCGGCGCGTCCACGGGGTAGAGAGCTCCGCGGGCATAGGCGTAGTCCACCGAGGGCGTCAAGGGAGAGATGGGATCGTTGCTGCTCATCTGAGAGTCATACGAGTCCGACCGTAACAGCTCAGGCGTGTTAGGCGACGAGGAGCTGCTGGTGCGGGGACTGGGGTAGGGGCGCGGGATCGCCTGCTGGGTTGAGGGCTGGAAGGTGAGCGGGCGGTGCTGCGGCGGGTAGAGCGAGGCCTTTTCGTAGCCGTCGTCGTTGAGGAGCGAGACCTGGCGGCCCGCGGCGTCGCGAGCCTGCATCATGGTGGGTGAGGCTGCGATGTGGTCGGTGGTGGGGTGAAGCTGAGGGCAAGGCGCAGAGGTGGTGATGCGCTTTCAAGTCCCGCGACGGACAAGCCAAGGAGGGGTACAACGGTGCGGGAGCCGGCAGGCGGGACTCGTGCACGGCAGTAAAACGGTCTGGCGGGCGAGACTGGTGACGCTATTGGCGATGGCAGGGCGCGGCAGCGACAATGGCGTGTGCGAGTGCGTCTGCGGCGGCGATGGCGGGCAGGATGCGAGCTCTGCGGGACATGCAACCGAGCTGTTCGGGTGTAGATGAAACGGCGCCGAGAGGCGTTGGGCGGAACGGGTGCAAGTGGGCGATTGAGGTTGGTGAGTGCAGGAGTAGTCGCTTGTCGGGTGGCCGGACCGGGGGGTCGGGACGTGACGTGACGTGAGGGTGAGCGGCGGTGACGTTGTTGACGAAACGGCAGTGCAGCAACGAGGCTTAACGCAGCTCAACGGTCGAGGGATGCTGTTCCGTGTCGAATGCTCTCCCAAAACGAAAGGATTCGCGATTGCTTGACCTGTATGGACTGCAGAGGCGAAAGACTGCGTGTGCTGGAGCTCGACGAGATTTGTTGTGTGTGTGAGAGGGAGAAAGGGAAGGGAAGGAGGGAAGGGAGCCGGAGGGATGGAGGGAGGGATGGAGGTTTTGGCCAAAGCAGCGTGTCGCGCATGAAACCCATTTGGAGATCGACGGGATCGAGGAAGCACCAGACGTCGGGTCGCTGGGCTGGGCTGGGCTGGGCTGGGGGGGCCATGGGGGGGTCGCTCACCCACTGGGGGACGCCCACTTGGGGGAACATCCACTCGCTGGGGGGAGGGGGCACACCCACCACGCACGCCCACATCCACTGGCGGCACCGCTGGGTGGTGCACCGGGCAGCCTCCTGCGGCGTCTCGCTGCGCTGCCCTGGTGTGCGGGCAGGCAAGGCGGCGAGGTGAGGCAAGGCAAGGCAAGGGCAGGGCAGGGCGGCAGGCGTGCGCACACCCACACCCCGGGCCCGGCGCAGGGCAGGGCAGGATGGCAGGGTAGCGGGAGGTACCAGCAGATACCTCGACGCCTTGGTACCCACAATGCTACACGCCTGTGGGCGCCTGGGTGCAGCTCCACCCGCCCCAAGGAACCTTCTGTCGACGGGTCCCCAAACCGGCCAAGCACTCCGGTTCTTGCTCAGCACCGCCAGGCGGGCATGCGGGCAAGCACCATGACCTGCTGAGCACTGGATCGCCCCGGGAGTGCCAAGGGCGCCTGGGGGAACCCCCCGGGGGCTGGGGGGCAGGAGGGGCTCGAGCTCGACGTTTTCCACGAGCTGCGCCGGGCAGTCCGTAGCTTCCTGGCTGCCTTGCATTGAGTAAACGCCAGCGGCGGTACTGCATCAGCAGCAGCAACAACCGCCGAGAGCATCGTAGGCTGCGCCAGCCCACCCGCGCGTACCGGGAGCGGCCATGGTCCTGCGGCGTCGTCTGTCTCTCTCCCGCCGTCCTCTTGGTCATTCACTGGAGGACAACTCCGCTCGCGCCCACACGGCACACCACTTCGTCAACGGGCCCGACCTGACCGACTGCCTGTTCCAAGCACTGCACCGCTCCGAGACTGCGCGTGTGTGTCTGCACCTGCGCCTGGGCCTGCGCCCGGCTTGCACCACACACCACGACACCCACACGCACCCCCGATCCCGCTGCAGCTTTCCATGCTTCCCCCCACCCGACGCCTCCCTCCCTCCCTGCGTCGTCTCCCATTGGAAAGCGCCGGACAGGGGCCAGAGGCAGGACCGCAAGGGTCCACGAGGCCCCATCCCGGTGGAGGTCTCTCGCTCGTACCGGGCCCCCTCGCCAAGTACCCTGTGGCTTGACTCGTATCTTTGCTTGTTCTGTTCTTGGCCTGGCTCCCCCCTCCCTTGAGCTTCCATCCGCCTTCGCCGACCTTGGCCCGCCTTGACCTCGCTTCCGTCTGCTCCCCTGTCCGGCCTCCCCCGCTGCTGGAATGCCCGCCATCTGCTGCCCGTGCCGTGCCCAAGCCATGCGCATGCCTCTCGCCTCGCCGTGCCAAGGGCAGCTCGACGGCAAAGCTCGTCGTCGACCGCCTGTTTGCTGCGCCACGTCTTCTCACGTTCGGCCTGCGACCCGTGGCATGTTCGTGGCGACGAGCCCGTCAGCCGCCCAGGTTCCGGAGTTTGACCCCGGAGCTTGGACCAGACCAGGTGCCGAGCAGGCAAAGCCGTTTCTCCTCCGCTGTGAGCCTGCGGTCTTGCTCAATCCATATTACTCACCGCATCTCCGCCTGCCCCGGTGCAGACGCACCAGCAGACGCACCAGCAGGAAAATAAACAATAATCACGCTCGACGTAGGGAGGCACGCAGGTAGCCAGCGCTTAGCCCATTCCTGGCAAGAATCTCAAGGGTTTCCTTGAGCGCGGCGCCCCGGAGCCCAGCTGGCGGGGACGGACCCGCCGCTCCCACACCCGAGGACCCTGATCCGACCACCAAAATCTCGATCGCAATGACACCTTCGTAGCCGCCCTCGTCGCCCGGGACGCGGCGGCGCGCTTCAGGGCCAGGGAAGCCTGGCCGCCAGGGGCCGAGCCAGCTCGTCAGCACAGGAGGCACGGCCATCGCACGGCCTAGGGGACCGTGATTTTTCAACTCTGCGACGGCTTCTGTGCCCCTGCGCTCGCTGGAGATGACGTCAGGATCGAGATCTCTTACGCCCGCCGGTCTGTCCGCTGGCGCCCAGCCCGCTGGGCCACGAGTTCACTACGCCGCTCTGGAGATCAGCCATGAATGTCCCGCGACGCTGGAAGCCGCTTCGGAGCGCTGGAAGCGGGGCATGCTGCTGGTGTGCTGCCGCGCAGTCCAGCGACAAGATTCGACTGTGCAAAGAATGTGCTTGGTTTTTCCTGCGCAAAGTTGGCGCCACTGGTTCGTGCGACGCATTCGTCAACGACATTGCGATAGCATGGCGGCCGGCAGGCCCAATCCTGGCACTCAATGTGCGACACGCAACCGGCTACCCGTCGTCTGTTGCGCCTGTGATGGCGCCTTCAAGGCAGGAATGCTGAGATCGCGAGAACCCTATCTTCCTCGTAGCCTCTTGGCGTGCCATCGATGCTGTGCTGATTGTTGTGCGACCCTCTGCCCCGCCAGCAAAATCCGGCCCTGTCCTTGCTGCGTTGTTCCCGAAAGCGTGGCCACGATGGCGAGAGAGGCGTTTTCTGTCGTCATTATGATTTTAATATGATTTCGCAGTGTTTTTTGTCGGACCTAATTCCCGGATGTGCAACATGTCCAAGGGAGAGAGAGCCGAGCTGGCGGGCCCCGGCCGGGGGGGGAGAGGGAGGGGCCCTTCGTGGGGTGCTGGGGCGTGTGCTGGGCCACAGTCACCCCAAGGGGCCCGAAGCTGACGCCTCATGAGATCCAGGGTCGTGCCAGGGTCCAGGTCCGGCGCCGAGCTCTCGACCAGTAATCGGACAGATCGGAAAACGTCGACGCTGGCAGGTACTTGGGGTACATGCCCTCCTCTGCGCCGGCCGGCCAAACGCTCTGCGGCGCCTGACTTGAGGAACAGCCGTCTACCTCGCCGCTACCTCTGGCGCCAGCATGCGATTCTCACACAATGGCCATGCTGGCCCGGATGCCTTTCTCTGCCCCGCCCCTGTTTCCGTCGATGCTGGTTTTTGACTTTGCGCCATTCCGGCTTGCAGGCCTGTACGACAAAGCCACTGTGTGCGCCGTGGCGGCCCTTTTGCTCCGAAGGGCGACGAGGGGTTTTGCCATCTTCAACGAAGCTGTTGTCTCGCTCGACGCTTTTGGCTTCTGGGTCCACGGCCTGCCAGGCCAAGCCGTCTGGGGTCGCGGATCCTGACTCCCGTTTTTGGAAATACTGCGCCTGGCGTCGACGTCACCGCCCTGGACAGCCAGCCAGCAGACGCCAAAGGAAGGTCTCGCCGAGCATGAGGGACTCTGCATCTGCCGGACATCAACGAGAGCTCTTACCCGCCTCTGTGACTTTGGCAGGCTTGCGCGATTGCCATGCCGGAGCAGCCGCGCCGCAATATGTGCAACGAAGGTTGGGCATGAGGCGTCGGCTCAGGTGCAAGCGCCGCTCGCTTGGCTCGCCGTCCGTGGCGGATGAGCACGGCGACTGGTTGGTGTGTGGCGCGGTCACGACATCATGGTGTTGGGCTAACCACCCGTGGTCGATAGTCTGTTGAAGCAATCGTGAGAAGCAGCGCCAACCAAGACTAGACGTTTGCAAGCGCCAAGTGCAAGAACGCGCTGGCAGATGAGCCTGCGTTAGCGGGCAGATAAAAAGCCCTCGACTCTCGACATGGCAAATTGCATTCTTGGGTCAGCGACTGCCAGCAAGTGCTGCACAGGTCTAGGCATGGCGAAGGGCGTCGCAAGCTCTTCGTCTTCGTCCCCGGTAGCGCAAAAGCGTCCTGATGGTACCGTCCAGATGCGTCGTAGCCCCGGGCGACGCGGCAGCGACCCTTTGACTTTGCGAGCCTCGGAAGCCGTCAATTGCCAGGGTCTCGAGACGAAGAACCGGTCAGGCGGTTGACGATCGCAGCGTTGGGGTGGGTGGTGCTTGCGGCCCTGGCCGGCCCTGCTGCGGCAGAGCCGGCAGCAGGAGCAGAGCCATTTTTCGAAAGGACCAGGCTTGCTGTGGGAAGACTGCGCGCGTGCATCGCACGGCGTATGCGGGATCGGGGTTTGGCCCGGCCAGGCTGAGCATCTGGAGACTTGGTGTCTGATCGACCCTGTTTTGGATGGGTTGGGCATGGACGAACGGAGCAGACGTGCCAGCGAGCGCGACGTAATGCCTGCACAAGCCACTGCAAGAGACTCTTGAGGCCGGGCAGCCAGCGCTTGCGCTACTGAGCCAAGGAACGGAGTATCACTGTAGTAGCGGGCAGTACTAGGTAGCAGCCGTGGATGGCGGCAGCGGCGACCCGCGGCGCCCCCAAAGCACCAGGGCAGCTTGGCAGGCAAGCGGGCTCTTGTCGGACGGAACCTTGGAAAGCACGAAGTCCCTCACTGCGCGAAGGAAGGCACGCGCGTACCTATGCGCAGTGCCTAAGTAGCACTCGTACATGCGTGCTGACGCTGACAAGAGCGAGCGCCAAGTACCTGGTCGGATTTGCTGAAGTGCTCCTGCGTTATCTGCGCGCGAGCCAGACAGGAACAACCGGCTCCAAGGTGCAAGTGCAATCTTGGCTCTCGCCCCGCTCGCGGTACCCCGTCGGCCCGCAAGGCTGCCTGGGAAGGCACGGCGGAGTGCACTCCGTCCAGCACTTGCTTATTTACCAGAGGAAGAAGCGCAGGCAGGAGGGCACCAGGAACCGTTGGCTGCGCACTTGCCAAGGTGCTGTCGTACTGGAGGCAGGTTATCACCGCATAGCGCCTGCCTAGATCGAGGCACATCCCTTTTGAACGGCTTGATTGCAAGACCAGGGCCCAGCGGTCACCCGACTTTTGGTCAGCGAAATGAACCCTTATCAAACAAGAGCCTCTCCTCTGGGGAAGGTATGCGTTGCGCCCATGAGACAACCGGCGACGAGTCGTCATCGTCAACTGCGCCGGCTGAACCATCTGCCGGCTGCAGTTTTTCGTCAGGACAGCCGTGCACCCCACCCGTCTTACCTGTCTGCACACACGCCGTACCTCTCGTACATTGAATGTACCTCACCTCTCGTCTCCGTCGCTGTTTGCGCTGAGGTGCCCGCCGCTGCTGACTGCAGTGGGCGCTCACCCAAGGTCGTAGGTCGGCGCTGACCCCACCAGAGCTCCACCAAGCTGCACCCCCGTCCCTGGCTGGCGAACAGGGTGTGCGACAACTTGGAGCGACCTTCCATGTACCCCATGTACCCTGCCCGGCTGCTGCGCCAGCACACCTCGGCGCAAGGCCCTGGAAACCCACTCTCCACCCCTTCAGCTCCACGTTCCTCTTGTCATCGCGATCCGAAAACATTGTCCATCGGGATGCCTGGCTTGGTCGTTTCCCACCGAAAGAGCGACGCTTGCGCATCGTCCAATCTCGACAATGGCCATGCAGAACCTGCAAAATGAGACACACAAGACGCCGTTGAGCTGGACGGGCAAAAGTTATGGATCATGCACGCTCTGCCTTCCCCCGCGTCCGAGTTAGCAGCATGATTGACAGGCACAGGCAGTAAGCCGTCCCTGATGATCCCTCGAGAGTCCACAGGCGTTGCCAGCTTCGCGACTATACGCAATCGGCATACTAGGCCCTCTTCCGGAGACAAAGCCTTGTGCCTCCCTGTGCAGGGTCTCGACCCTGAGGATACGACAGCTCTGGTGGCTTGCTTGGCTGCATCCGGCGTCGATGCTTTCCGCTGTCTCGTTGCGGCGGTAGCGACAGCCTCGACGGCGCCTCAAACTCTCACTAACAGACTATCATGGGCCATGTCTTTCGTCGCTCACGACATCCCCCGGGTGCAACTGGTGATGTTGCTCCCGTGGTTTCTAACAAGACAAACCGGTCTTTGCTCTGCCAGTCCCGCCCCTGGCTACTGCGCGACTGTTGCGACCGCAGCCGCTGACGCACGTCGATCGTGTGGGCGGATGATAGGAAGAAAAAAAAAGTGACAGACCGTCCGTACCCTGGGCGTGCCAGCCCTGCGTCAACGACGTCATATCGACGCCGCACCTGGGCGCCCAGTGAGCCACGACTTGGCTTTTCTTTTGGCAATGGCACCCTTTCTCGAGGCTCGCTCTGTGGGCGACTTTGGCGGCCCCTCAGGGGTGGGCGCCATGTTTTCCGTCCTCACCCCAAGTCCGGCTCGGCTCCTCTGAGTGAAGCTCTCGTCAGGGCGGAGGAGCCCGCAGACAAAGGGTTCCGCTTTGGACCGGGTTCGCCGCGACAGCGTGTCCCAGGCCAGAGTCATCGTCGTCCCCGTCCCCGTCCCCATCGTCGTAGCCATCTCACACAAAGCCGGCGGTGACGGCGATGCAATTGCGCGACCCGACCGCTGCCCGGGAATGTCCACCCTGTTGCCGGAGATTGGAAGACACGGGCAAGCGGACAGCCGCGACATGGCAATATCACGAGCACCGTTCGTGCGCCACGCATGACATTCCCTGGAGCAAAAGATCCGAAAGTGATAGACTCCCATCTTCACGACCCGGGCGTTGTGCTTTTGCGATGATCCCGGGGCAGTAGCACGTGGGAGCGGATCGGCTCCCGCTGGAGGCTCTGGAGACCGAGTCCATTGCTGCTGGGATGGGCAACCACCAAAACATCTCTGGCGAGTGCGCATGGCGGCCAGACCTCGTGCCCGAACCCAGGCTCGTCGACGTGACAGTATTAGGTTGCTGCCGCTGTCACGTTGCGCGCATGACATCCCTATCTTGGCCGGATCCCTGCCATGCCCTTTGTGCATGCTGCCGGCCATCACGCGAGCATGCCTCGGCGTTGAGCCTGGCAGATCTCGATGCTGTAAGACACTGTCGCTTGCGGCGGCCCACTGCGCCGGTGCGCCTGAGGCTCCAGGCGCCCCACGGCGAGTAAAGAAAAAGGGAATGAGGAATCTCGCAATGTAGCTTGGGATTTGTTGAGACGGCAGCTTGTCACCTGTCACTTGCGGCATAGGGGGCATTGCGCGTAACTGGCGTCCTCGCGCTCCCTTGACCTGTCATGCGCAATGTCTTCCCCATTTCTGACTTGTCGATGGGAAGAAGAAAGCAGGCAAAGACAGACCGAGATGATCGAGATCTTTTTTTGAGATGGTTCCTCGCGGCTCGAGCTGCCTCCGAGTACCTACTTCCTTTTGCTGGGCTGGCGCACCATTCATCCGCTGAAGCTTTTCTTTTGCGCCGGTTGCGCTACCGAGGGACTCAGATGCCCTTTGGATCTCTGGGGTGGAGAACTCGAACTCAGCATCGCAGTAAGATCTGGGGAGTGGGTGAAGATGAGAGGGGGTTTCATCCTCGACCGCGCGAATCTGTGTTGACCAGAGAAGCCTCACCCCTGCCGCGCTGAACTACCCTCAGACTCTGTATCAAGTCTCAGAAACCCCCGTTTCTGCCCGCTGCTACCCTACCGTGCCGTAGACGGGGGATTTGGCACAAGGTGAGATCTGTGGTGCCGCAGGTGCAGCGCGCGCGCGCGACATAAAAGTCGAACAGAGTATAAGTCATGATACCCTGCACTAACTACGTTGGCACTTGTCGTGTTCACAGCAATGCCCTAGCTATGCACCCCGGATCGAAGCTTGACAGTAATGAGTACATATGCAGCTAGATGCAGGCGGATAGACCCCTAGGGGACTTGCATAGCCCGTCCCCTGCTTTGGATGCAGATATCTCGCATCGGGATCGGCGCATCATCCTCGATAAGGACAGGACATGGAGGAGGGCGGCGGACCCCTACGTATGTGCAAAGTACGTTTCCATGACGGCATCTGTAGCCGCAAAGGCCATCGTGGCAGGTACATGCAATGCACCAGCGATCCTGAGTCCCAGCACTGTCCCAAGCACGGCATAGATGCGCTTTCATGATAGCGTGTTTGCGCTTCGTTGGGCCGGCCGAAGTTGCCCCGAGCGTCGTTGCCCGTGGAGGGTTTTTTTCTATGGAAGCTGGCGAGGCGAGTAACCTTACAGTAGAACCCGACGAAATCAACTTAAACGTGTGAAAGGGTAAGCCTAGAGATGTATTAGTACTTCCCATGATGAGAGGCGTGAGGCTCGCTCGTGTCTCCGCGGCTATCCTATGGGGTATTGCCCGGAGGGCATGTCGCTGCGAACGACGTGTGCCCAGTCTGAGCATCACGTTGGACGCGGCGAATGCCCTTAGGCAGTTACAACTGGGCAAACAAATCCGCGGCACCCGCTGCGTGAAAAGTCTTGAACCACTTGTTCTTCCCCCTCCCTCACGATGCTGCGGCTTCAGCTGGAGTCGTAACTTCGCGAACGCGCTTGTCTCGCTTCCACAGGGGTTCACAGGATGAGGATGCGTGATATAGCCGTCTCGAAGAGCCGTGTCCTGTGTACCATTCATTATACATACATACAAGTAAAAAACCATCAAGGGGCTCTGTCTGCTCCCCGGACTGCCCGCCATGCCCAAAACGCCTCCTTCGCCGCATCATCTAGTAGTAGCAAACAAGCCGCCGCCGCCTCTCCATGGCCTAGGTATCATCGCGCCGTGATTCGCTGCCACAAACTGGGTGCTCCCTCCTCCCAAATCCACAGCAACTTGTTGGTTGTTGTAGATTCTGCCTCACTTCTGCCGGCTCGGTGGCGGCCCCATCTTGGACGCGCCGGTATCGACCCTCTTCGCGGCCGGCAGCTCGGGCACCTTGAAGCCACCGTTGGCGCTCGAGCCCGAGCCGCCTCCGATCTGGGTGAACGAGCCGCCCTTGAACCAGCGGTCCTCCTCCGCTTTGCGCTTGCGGGTGAGCTCTGCTTGCGTCTTGGGATCGACCAGCTGCAGACCTTGCACCGGCGTAAAGGTGAGTGACGAGGCGGCTCCGCCCACGCTGCTGCCGACGCCTGACGAGCGGAGACCCTTGCCCGCCAGGTCGATGCCGCCGGAGGGGCCAAACGACCCGATGTTGGACGCGGAGCCCACCGTGCTGCCCGTGCCCCAACCCTTGTTCTTCGCGCTGAGCTTGGCCCTCGTCCGGTTGTCGACTTGCAGGGCCCGAATCCGGCCGTCGTTCTGCTGGCCGATCATGCCCATGCCCACGGTGCCCTCGCCGGTGCCATAGCCCACCTCCTTCTCCTCCTTGCCAAAGGCCATGCGGTTCTGGGCCTTGCGCAGATCTGTCATCGCCAGTGCCTCCTTGGCCTTTCGCGCCCTGCGCCCGCCACGCTTTCGCGCGGGCTTGTCGTCGGGTACGGGCAGAGCCCGGCCACCCTTGTTTGGCGGAGGCTCCGTGAGCTTCTCCAGTCGCTCCAGGCACGCCGACTTGAGGTCGTCTCCTGTCTTCCCGTCAGGGCTCGAGTGAATCCTGTCGACTCGCGCGGCCAAGACTAATTTCGCGGCAACGATTCTCATGGCCTGCTTCTTCAAGTCGTTGGGAATATGCTGGATCATCTCTGAGTGGTAGAGATAGCCCTGCTGCCGGACACCAATGTTGGTGGCCAGACCAGCCTGGCGCTTCTTGGAGCCCCAGGAAGGTATGTTGCATGCGGGCGTTTTTGACAGGCCTGTCAGGCCGCCTGCAGCGTTGAGGAGCTGGGCCGCCGTGAGAGAACCGATGAGAGTCGTAAGGTTCGGCGCGAATATCGTCATCCGGGACTGCACGTATTCCATCAGGGTGTTCTTGGCCTTGTGCAGGGCAATAGCCATGTCGCAGGCCTGGCGGACACGGAGCAGCTCCTCCTCGCTCATTTCATGGCCTTTGGATGTCGTTGCCTCCACGGTGACAATCATGAGCGATGGGCCGTCGAGGACGGCTTTCAGGCCCACGCCAAGGGGGTTGTTCGTGGAAGTCTGTAGCGACTTGATGCTTTCCGAGTCCATCGGTCCGTTGCCGATGATCGAGACGACCTTGGCATATTCGAGCGGCGTCGTGACGAGACGCTCGAGCTCAGGGAACCGCGCCGAGTAGTGATCGCGAATAAACTTGTGCACCAGGGCGACTTCGCCGTCGATCATGGTGGACAGGCTGTTGGACTGCGTGAGCAGACTATACTCAGGGTGGTCCTCGATGTTGCCGATGACCGACGTCTCCGACTCGGACTTGGCTCGATAGTGTGCGATTTTCTGTAGCGTCGGGGCCAAAGCGTTAGGTCTATCTCTCCAAAGGCCGATGTGAACACATCCTCTCAAACATGGCATGTGACGGGGGCAGCAACTAACCTCGAGAACTGGCTCCAAAGTCTGCATGAGGCTCGCGACGCTGCGTACGTCTTTGACGCCAGCGAGCTGCATCTTCTCGACCCTCGCCTTGGTCGCCTCCGCATCCTCTAAGTCGGGCATGTTTTTGTCGTCCTCGCCGTTCGCGTCGTCCTTCTTGGCACCGTCCACCTCCATGGCGTCCCCGTTGCGCTGGTCGTCGCCATCTTGCTCGTCATTCTCGCGGTGGACAAGGCCATCGTTCTCCTCTTCCGCCTCGTCCCCGGAGCTGCCAAAGTCGTTGAGCAGCTCGTCCGCGACGGTCGACATGGCGGGCGAGATTGGACGGATGCGCGATGTCGAAAGATTGTTCGTGCAGGATGATGAGTTGCCTGCCTGGAGGTATGGCGCTGGCCCAAATATTTTGTTTGGCGGTTGAGGCAGCGAGGCTGAGGGTCAACGCCACAGGCGGCCAAGCAGCCCTGTGGCGCTGACCAAGCAGGGAGCGCTGTACTGCCGCTAACTCGCTTTGGTGCCACGAAGACGTATCGGCGATACCAGTCCCCAAATTTTGAGCCTCGTCACGACCTCGTCTCCGGGCCGCGACCACGCTTGTCCGCATCATCCATCACCTCCCAATCTTCATCCCCCAGTCGCCAGCAGCGCCGCGCATCTCAACATGGAGTCGGCTCGGGGCCCGCCCAGGGTCAAGAACAAGGCCGCCGCGCCGGTGCAGATCAGCGCCGAGCAGCTGCTGCGCGAGGCCGTCGACCGCCAGGAAGTCTCATTGCAGGCGCCCACGCAACGCTTCAGCGACCTCGAGGAGCTGCACGAGTACCAGGGTCGCAAGCGCAAGGAGTTCGAGGACTACGTTCGCCGAAACCGGCTGAGCCTGCACAACTGGACGCAGTACGCGCAATGGGAGCTCGACCAAAAGGAGTTTGCGCGCGCGCGGTCCGTCTTCGAGCGAGCCCTCGACGCCCACCCTCACAATGTCCAGCTCTGGATACGATATATCGAGGCCGAGATGCGGTCGCGGAACATTAACCATGCCCGCAACCTGCTCGACCGCGCCGTCGCCATCCTGCCCCGCGTCGACAAGCTGTGGTACAAGTATGTCTACATGGAGGAGATGCTCGGCAACATCCCGGGCACGCGCCAGGTCTTTGACCGGTGGATGCAGTGGCAGCCGGATGAAGCAGCTTGGAGCGCGTACATCAAGCTGGAGAAGAGATATGGCGAGTTCGACCGGGCGCGCGACATCTTCCGGACCTTCACCATGGTCCACCCGGAGCCACGAAACTGGATCAAGTGGGCCAAATTTGAGGAAGAGAACGGCACCAGCGACCTCGTGCGGGAGGTCTTTGGCGAGGCGGTGGAATCTCTGGGTGACGAATTCGTCGACGAGAAGCTCTTCATCGCCTATGCCCGGTTCGAAGCGAAACTCAAGGAGTACGAGCGAGCACGCGCCATCTACAAGTATGCGCTGGACCGCCTGCCGCGCTCCAAGTCGATGGCGCTACACAAGGCGTACACGACGTTCGAGAAGCAGTTTGGCGACGAGGACGGCGTCGAGGACGTGGTGCTGTCCAAGCGGAGGCGGCACTACGAAGAGCAGGTGCGGGAGAACCCTAAAAACTACGACGCGTGGTTTGACTACGCCGGGCTGGAGGAAGCCTCGGGCAACGCCGATCGCGTGCGCGACGTCTACGAGCGGGCGGTAGCGCAGGTGCCGCCGACACAGGAGAAGCGACACTGGCGGCGGTACATGTACCTGTGGATATTCTACGCCATCTGGGAGGAGCTCGAGGGCAAGGACGCGGAGCGGACGCGGCAGATCTACACGACGTGCATAGGGCTGATACCACACAAGAAGTTCACGTTTGCCAAGGTGTGGCTGCTGGCGGCGCAGTTCGAGGTGCGGCAGGGCGAGCTCCAGGCGGCGCGCAAGCTGCTGGGGCGGGCGCTCGGCATGTGCCCAAAGGACAAGCTCTTCGTCGGGTACGTGGACCTGGAGCGTAAGCTGTTCGAGTTTGTGCGGTGCCGGACGCTCTACGAGAAGCACGTCGAGTACAACCCGGCCAACTGCCAGACGTGGATCCGGTTCGCGGAGCTGGAGCGCGGGCTCGACGACCTGGACCGCACGCGCGCCATCTTCGAGCTGGCCGTCGCGCAGCCGCAGCTCGACATGCCGGAGCTGCTGTGGAAGGCGTACATCGACTTCGAGGAGGAAGAGGGCGAGTACGAGCGCACGCGCGCCCTGTACGAGCGGCTGCTGGCCAAGACGGACCACGTCAAGGTGTGGATCTCGTACGCGCACTTTGAAATCAACATTCCCGACGACGACAACGAGGCGGAAGGTGAGGGTGAAGAGGACGAGGAGCAGGAGCAGCCCGTCAGCGACGAGGCCAAGGCGCGCGCGCGCAAGGTCTTCGAGCGGGCGCTCAAGTCTATGCGCGACAAGGACCTCAAGGAGGAGCGCGTGTCGCTGCTCAACGCCTGGCTGTCGTTTGAGCGCACGCACGGCTCCGAGGCCGACGTCGACGGCGTCCAGCGCCAGATGCCGCGGCGCACCAAGCGCCGCCGCCGCCTCGACGACGACACGTGGGAGGAGTATGTCGACTACGTCTTCCCCGCCGACGACCAGCAGGCCAAGAGCCTGTCGGGCGTGCTGGCGCTGGCACAGAAGTGGAAGCAGACGGGCGGCGACCTGTCGGGGGCGAGATGATGTGCGGCGGAGAGGCAGGGCAGGGGCCCGGCAGGGTGGACAGCCAAACATTCAGCCAACACACCAAAAGAAAGGGGGGTTTGCTGGCGGTCATGGTACCTACTTGAGGGCTTGGGCGCCGGAATGGCACGGCAACCAGGCGGGCAGGAGAGCAAGCAGCAAATGTATTGTGCCCATCTATCCGTATCTTAATACGCCTCCGTCTCTCCACGATGGAGGGCAGTACAGATGAGCGCCGTAAATTCCTGCTCATCCCTGACCTGAACATGCATGCACGCACTCGGCGCTCGCCGTCCAACACCAACTAACTACCTCACCTACATACATACATCGTATGACATGATCACTTCATGGGGGCCGCGCCGCGCAAGCACGGCGAGGAAGCTCCATTCATGGTCAAATCCGTCAAACACGTGGCATGTGGCCGGCGCCCGTCAAACCACATCAACGCGGCACTCCGTACAGAGTATTGACAGCAGTCTGTACAACTCGAAGCAGGCTAACTGGCTTACTCCACGGAGTCCTCCGGAGAGACAGATAGATGCCTGCCGCAAAGCCGCCCTGCTCCCAGCAGCGGAAGGGGCCCCGCCCCGCGGGAGGCTCGGCTCGCTTCGCAGGCCAGCCCGTTTCCATTTCCATTTTGGCACCCGGCGCGGTGATGTCATTGATGGTGGGGGTTTCGCGTCCCCCTCCGCTTCCCCCCAAATCAAGGCCCGTCTCGTTTCAACGCCCAGGGTCCAGACCACACCACACTACAAAGTACGCTACACTTACCACCAGCCTCCTCCGATGGCTCCCTCCCAGATCGCACACCGCACACCGTAGAACAGAACGCTTCACGAGGCACGCAGAGCAGCGATCCGAGACAGGAAATCGTAGTCGTCATTCATTCATCCAGTGTCTCTCGCACGTTGTCTAGTTAGATACCTTTCGTCCACAAGTCCTCGTCCGCCCGTAGGCTGGACGCGAAAGAAAGAAGCAAATTCCCTGCCACGACAAAACGTTCCCGTCCAAGCCCGATCCCCCGATCGCCGCGCTGGTCCTGCATGCCTCGTGTCCCCTGCAGACCAGAGCCGTCTTTTCCGGACTGGCCCTCGTCAGCGCACAACCCAACCTCGGCCCCCTTCCCCTCCCGTCCGACTTTCCCACTTCCGCGTGCGTCATTGGTAAGCAGGTCAGGATCTCACGGGCCACCTTGCCGACCGATACTCGTAAGACACGGGCGGCCGTGTTCTACACCGATCCTCGATCGTTCCGCGTCCCGGCCATTCGGAAAATGTGCCGATCACCTCCTGGCCAGCTCCCGGCGCGTCGGCAGGGGGGGGGGGGAGCACAACCGGCGAATTGAACCACTCAGTAGCGGCGATGGTCTGTTACAGTTCGTTCCTCATTAGTCGGTGCGCCCTCGAGTACATGGGTGTGGACGGAAGAAAGGAGAGAAGGGGAGCGGGACTCGCAGAAAACACCGGGGCGACGGGGAGACGGGTGAGGCTTGATCTATCATGCATCTCGCCTCTCCTCTCCGCTTGCCAAGGTCATGCCACGCAGCACGGTGAAGGGTCAGTGTCTCAAAGCAGCGTGTTTTTCGCTAAACCCATGCCATGGAAATCTTTGTCTTGCTCTCCAACGCCCAGTGACGCCGTTGTTCAAGTGCTCATGAGACCAGTCGCAGATGTGCGCGCAAGGCCGTAATCGTCGTTATCATCATCGTTGTGACATGCCAGGTCGCGATTGGAAGCGCCGACCGTGACACGAGTGCTGAGGAAAGATGCAGCAGAAGTCGGACAGCAGCCCTCAGGGACGGTATCCCATAGGCGGGGCGGGAAGCCTGCCCGCGTTGTACGGGTTGTCGTCGTAGTATCGCGGCCCGTAGTCATCCTCTTCGTCAGACTCGTTGCCGCCATACCGAGACCGCGGGCCAGCAGGCAGGCTGTCGGCCCTCCTGCTGCTGCCGTCCCTGAGGCTGCGCCCTTGCTGCCTGCGCATCTCCCGTCGCTCGTGGCGACGAGCCTTTTCTTCTTTAAATTCCTTGCACTCGTGCGTCATCTCCTTGGCCTCCTTCATCTCGCCGATGGCGCCCTTGATGCCCAAGGCCGCGATGCCGACCGACGCGGCGTCTTGCATGATGGCCTTGGTCTTGAGCTTCTTCGCCTCGGCGGGGCTGAGACGGCCTTCCTTGACGGCCTTCTGCCGCGCGCGCCTCTTCTCCATGCTTTGGTAGACACCGTGTGCTGCGTGGATGGTGGCAACCGTCGCAAGACCAGTTGTCAAAATTTGCTTACCTCGCATTTTCCTCTGCCTCTTTTCGTCCTCGTCCGAGTCTCCGAGATCAGACTCGGACCCGTAGCCGGAGCGGCTTCCGCCTCGCCGGCGGGATGAGTCCCGACGGCTGCCGCGATGGGACCGCTCCGACTCGTACTCGTACCCACGGCTTCGGCCATGGCCCCGGTCGTCGTCGTACTCGTCGTCGGAGTACCGACGGGAGCGTCGGGAGCTCCCGCGGTCATCGAAGTCGTCCTGGTCCCGCCTGCGGTGGTCGTCGGCAGCCGCTACCGCCCCGCCGCCGATGCCGAGCTTGGCGAGGCTGTTGCGAGCCTTGTCGACGACACTGCGGCTGCGGCTCCTCTGGCGGTGACGATCGGGAGAGGGGCTTCTGGAGTCGTAGTCGCGGCCGCGGCTTCGGGACCGCGAGTGGTCGAGCACCTTCTTCGCCCCGAGAGCTCCAAGTCCAGCGGTGGCCAGGGCAGCGAGGCCGGTGCCGCCGCCGCCGCCGCCACTCTGCGATCGGGCTCGAGAGCGCGATCGGCTCCTCCCAGTCAGCTTGTCCTCTTCAATGTCCTTTTTCGATCCGTTGATGAGGCGGTTGCCGACCAAGCCACCAATGACCGACTCGGCCAGCCCCAGCTTGCCGTGGCTATCGCTCTGGGCAGCATCCACGGTGGCCGCGCCCGCAGCGGCAGTAAGGATGCGCTTGGTCTTCTCGCCCTTCCAACCGCCGGGCTCCTTTGCCACGCGAAAAGCTTCGGTGGCGCCAGCTAGAAGGGACGCCATGGCGGCCTTCTGAATCTTGTTCGTGCCGGGCCCACGGGAGCGGGAGCGGGAGCCGGCGCGGGACCCAGAGGGGCTGCCCCGACGACTGCGAGTGTCGGAGCGCTTGTCATCGCTGCCGCCACCGGTCAAAGTCTTGACGGCCGCACCCAGGCCGGTCGCGGCAATGGCACTCTCGAGGAAGTTCTTGTGACCCTTCTTTTCCTTGGAGCCTTCCTCCTCGTCCGAGTAGTATTCGGTGATTTGGCCGTCGCGGCCGCGGTGCAGGATGTAGGTGGCCTTCTGATCCTTCTTGGCCTGCTGCTTGCTGTAGAACTCGGCGCCCTGGTAGCCTGCGAGAGCGCCAAAACCTGCGAGGGCCGCCGAGGAGAGCGCGTTGCGCTGGACGTTGGTGCCGTCAGTCTTGGCCTCGTGGCGGTCGTAGAGCTCCTTGCCGCCGACCAGGAGGGCGGCGCCGGCGACCGCGGCAATGATCTTCTCCTGCTTGGACATGCTCTTGGGCTTGGCCCTGCGCTCCTCTTCCTCGTAGTACATGCTGCCGCCGGCGCGGCGGGCGTGACGGTCAGAGTGGCGGTCATGGTCCCGGTCACGGTCGTGGCGGGAGTCGTATCCGCGGCGGTAATCGTACTCGTCCTCGTAGTACTGAGGCTCGGCAGAGCGAGCGCGGCGAATGTCACGGCCACTGGGCGGAGGGAAGTCGCGGCGAATCTCCTCGACTGACAAGTCACTGTCCTCGCGGGCGCGAGGCACCAAGTCTCGCGAGGGGTAGACTCTCCCGTAGTCACCGCGCGAGTCTAGGAAGCGAGGGTCCCTGTCGTCGCGCCGCTCTTCTCGCACGTAACGGCGGGAATAGTCCCGGTCGTACGGGTCGTAGCTGGCCATTCCGCCGGCAACAGGTTGACGAACGGTTCGAAGACGATGTATCAATACGCTGAGACGACGGGGAAACACGAAGTTGATGAAAAACAGAGCCTCTGGCCTCTACCACAGCGTGGGGCGATATGAGGCGATGAGTTGTAATGGTGAAGTAAAGTGGTTGGGGAGGAGGCGAAAAGCCGGGTTGCAGTCAAAGACAAGATGACGGAGGAGTGGAAGGAGCGAGGGCGCACGGCCTGCCAAGCAAGGGGGCGGGCAGGGCAGGACTCGGGAGCATCGAGGTGCGTGGGCGGTGGGTGTGGCGGCTTCTGTTGCTGCAGGAGGTGCCACGCCTCTTCGCTGCCTTCCATGCAAATCTGCAACAGCGACGGGGAGCACTGTGCCGTACCGAACACTACAGTTACGCACCAAGCACTACGACCAGTGTTCTTGCCGCAGCGGCAGCCAAAAGACATGCACATCCCATCCAACATGGGCGGCGGCGCGCGCGCAAGGCGGGCGGCGGGGCAAGACGTAATGATGGCGGGGGTGCTGATGACGGATGCCCCTCTCATCAGGCCCTCCTCCCACATCGTCGTGGCCGACCTGGGTGTCCAGGCGGTTGCCTCTTTGACTGAATGCTCTGCTCTCGGGCGCAGTCTGTTCAGGACGCCTCACAGGGCGTTTGGAACCCGTGTCAGTCTCCCTTCCTTTGGCGTGCCTTTGACAGCGAGCGATGCCAGGCTGTGCACGCAACGAAGGCGGCTCAAAGGTGGCCAGCGCCCACCGACGACCCCTCGTTCGCCGGGTAGTTACTGCGCCACCGACTTTCTGCACTTTGCCCGACGGCGGCCGCAGACTGTGCCCCAATCTCGCCCCCGTTTCCCCGGCCGCGCGCCCCAACGGGGAGGGAGGCCTAGCTGCCTGGATGCCTCTCACAAGTCTCTCTCACTCGGGGTTTGTGTGCGGCTTGTCTGGGATCAGGGCACTCCGCCAAGTGCCGGGCCGTTGCGTGGGTGCTACCCAAGGCCGCCGTCGCGCCGACCGGGTGCCCGACGAATGAAAGACATATCCTTGCCGCTCGAGGACGCTGTCTTTTGCATGCTGCCCGCTTCAACAGTATTCGAACCGGTTCCCATTTCCGTGGGCCGGGCGGCCGTGCAAACTGCCGGCGCAAGCTCTCAGACTGTGTCAGGAGACCGTCCGGGACGCGTGACGAACGCCCTCGCTCTCTGGTTGCTGCCCGGGCAGCGATCCAGCGCGCCCGACAAGGCGGCGGGCAGGCGGGCGGCATGACGCCGCAGGCGGCCCTAGTGACTGGTCGGCCCGCCGCGCCCAGCGCTAGCAGCAGTTTCGACTGGAGGCAACAATGGGTGGCGGTTGTTGAATGAGAGCCTGAGGGAGGTGAGGTAATGGGTGGGTGGGGGATGATGGACCATTTCGTGGACAACAAACTGTTGCTCAGCCACAGCAAAGCCCCAGCGTGTGGCGCGGAAGAAGGTGGGGCAACGGAGCTGGCCGTGGTTGGTCACCGCAGGGAACGGATGCCAGGCTGGGCAGGCACAGCTAGGCCGTCGGTTCTTGCTGCGTGCACCTGGATCGTTGACAGTGGACACACACGAGCAACCTTGGAAGCCTGCAACCCTGGCCATTCCGCGTTCTCCCTCACCTATTTGTACTCCGTACTCGGTACGCGTGTGTTGAGTTTTGGGCTCCTTCTCCATCCAGGCCCCGGTTTCGTCCCTTGGCGGCGTTTTCCTACCAGTCCGGTCGCCCAGCGTTTCATCTGTTGCGTCTCGGTATCAGCTACGTTCTCAACGTGGGTACGGCCTCGGGCACGCTGTACCCCCGGATGGCCGGTGATCCTGCGGCGGTGTTTGCACATCCTCGGCCTCCGACGCAGCGGGACTCGTCTGTCACGCAATGCGCACCGCGATGCAAGGCAATGCTTTGTTGCCCACGCCGAGCTTGACGTCGATTGATGTCCTCTTGCGCATCTCAAACGTCGCGGACAGGGCCATCTTTGTCGAGCCAACAAAGCAAAACTGACAAGACGCAGTTATGACGATGTGCCGGCCTTTTCCCCCTTCCCGCTCAGCCTGTAGCACCGCCGGCAGCGCCGCGTGTCCCGATGCCTTGCCTGTTTCCGCGTCCAGGATCCTTGCCCGTCCGCCACTCCGTCTCGTCTGGGCCCTCTCATCCGTGTGTCCCTCCCTCACCGGGGCCAAGCAACCAAACCCATGCCGCTCACCTCGTGCCCGTTGCGGCCTAGCCGCAGTGTCTCCTGCTCGCGAGGCCCTCACCACACCGGCTGCGCTTGTCTCTCTCGACGAACCGCCTCTCGCCTGGCCAGACGCACGTCCAGGTGCATGACGTTCTCGAATCGGACCACGTGCAGGAATGAGGCACGGCTGCGGCCAACGTTCGCGGGGCCCCGTCCAGGCAGAGAGCACTCACGGACAAGCGAGCGGCGTGAGCTCAAGCTAAAGCTCCGTCCACGCGGGACGCGCAAGACACACACGTTCAGCCTCGATACCTCCGGCTCCGGCTCCTCTTTTTTTATTTCTTTCGTTTCTATTCTCAGACACCACGACCGTGGAACCTTGCACCTCGTGTACACGATGTAGCAATGGAGCGACCCCCTGGCCCACCTCTTCCTCCTCAGCCTCGTATTGTGCAGCGGTACTGTACAGTACGGTACCGACTTGAATGAGTGAGAGGCGATGGCGCGCTCGCCCCGGAACCGGCAGTGACACAGACGGCATTGCTGCTAGGTTTAGCTGCCTACCCATCTGGCGAGGACCCTGCACCATGCGCTGGCGTGATGTTTCTTCAGGTATCATATACTCGACATTAGACTTGTATAAGTCTCCATGCGCACCACCCGGGCAACCGTCCCTCAGACCCCCCCTCCCCCGGTCCACTTCCGCAACGCATTGGTTTTGTTTTGCCGGCCTTTTGCATGATGGCGCGACCTGACTCGGTAGAAATGCGTGCTGGTGCTTGTCCGGCTGGCGGCATCTCCCCGTCTCTCGTGCATGCAGGCGGCTAAGACCCAACAAGGCATCTGGGAGCCGGGGCGTGGCGCCGCGTGTTAACCGTATATATAAGAGTCGCCCGTTACCCCAGTCGGCGGCGACGGGCCCTCCACGAGTCTCGAAACTTTGCTCCCACTTCTGTGCTCATCACCATTTCCAGTCGCTCTCGCAACCTTTTAATCTGTATACATAACCCGTCGTTCCGTGTTTCGATTCAACCCCAACGATGAAGGTCGCCATCGTCTCCGCCGCCCTGCTCGCGGGCCTTGCCTCCGCCACCGCCGTCGACGTTGAGCGTCGCCAGCAGTCGTATGTCTTTGAGCTCCTTATCCTCTTCCTCGGTCCTGGTTCTGTTCTCGTCATCTCTTGTTGCTCGCTAGACATGGCGACGTTGAGAGAAATTACCTAACCACCACGCAGGGTATCTTTCCCCGGCCAGCCTACCACTATCGAGGGCGCACCCCTGCCGACCCTCAGCGTCGGCACGGCTTCCAACTCGGCCGCCAGCTCCGAGTCGGCCTCGGACGGCGCGACGGGCACCGCGACCGGGTCCGGCGCCGCCTCTTCGAGTGGTGTCAGCACCGGCATCCCCACCGGCCTCACCAGTGGTGTGACGTGAGTACCCGATATCCTTCCTCCGTCCTTCCCCCTCCCGGTATCGTATACAGCTTTCGCGGCTACAATGTGCCCGCGTGCAAATACAATCTTTCGCCCAGACGCTGACAGCAATTACTCACGCCCAGTGGCACCGGCATTGTGACCGACACCACCGTCAACGTGACGCCCAGCCCCAGCTCTAACGTCACCATCACCACGGGCCGAACCCCGGGCACCACCACCGCGCCGTCGTTGTCATCCGGCACGACGACGGGCCGCCGCACGGGCTCAGCCTCCTCCTCCCGCACCGGTAGCAGCTCCTCAACCTCCAACCCGGCCGCCCAGGCCACCGCCGGCCACGCTGTCGCCGGCATGGCCCTGCTCGCGGGCCTCGCCGCCGCTCTGTGAGCGGGCAACGCAGGGAGCAAAGCACAGCAATCGAGCGGCGAGTTCAAGTTTATCCGCCCAGTCCCTCGTTAGTGGTATTTGCGCAAGGTGCGACGGGGTCGTTGCTCTTATCTTGGGCCACTTCCGCCCCCTTGAAAGATTGCATCGCTGTAGGGCGAGGGCGTAGCGAGGGCAGATGGCCCATGATGGCCCTTCGCGGGAAAGGTAATATAGTAGTTGCTATCTCCAATGGAGGAGACCTGGACTGGACTGAATCGGGATGAGGACAGTGTATCTTGACAGAGTGTAATAAAATCGGTGTGCTTTAACAACCCTGCAATATGGCGTTTGCCCTCACTTTGTTTTCGAGGGTTTACTACACCAACAAGACACGGCTCTGACGCATAACTGCAACAAACAATCGTTTGCGCTGAACCCGCTGTAACTCCAATGCCTCGTTACAAGTTCATTGCCATCGTCAATCACCTCAAGCCGCTCCGTCACGCTCCGTCACGCCCCGTCACAGACAAGCAACACCACCCTGTGCACGCATCGCGCACGGTGCGTCACCCGGCACACGGCGTCAACAACCCCCCGTCCCTCTCGCCCCCACCCGCATTGCCCAACGGCCCCGCCATCCATCATGGTATCAGGTATCCCGCCACCCACAGAACTGAATTTCCATGACCACCTGCTCTTTTTTATTTTCGATTATTTCGCTGGTCTTTATTCGTACAATACAAGTATGCCACGCCCTTTTGACCCAAACCTTGTTGTGAATAATCATGCTTAGCAGCAGCACCCGCCCTCCCACCTCACCCAACATCCCCTTCGCGCTCTCTCTCTCCCCCTGCCTCACCTGCGTTCGTCCCCGTGGTCTCTCTCCCCCTTGTGTGTGTGTGTGCTCGGCTTCCACGATACCCCTTTTACGGCTTCTCTCTGGAGCCGTCCACGGCAGCCCAGTACGACGCCATGTCTTGGATGTCTCAAATGAAAATGAAGGAAGAAAGATAAAAAAAAAAAGGCAGAACTTTCCGCCCCAAGCCCAGCCGTCACAGGCTTTGAGGAGGGCTCGCAGAATATCCCTGCCCGTCCACGGACTGGTTGCGCCCCGGCTCGTGGCGCCATCAAGGCCCCAGAGAAATGTGAACGACGTCTCTTGCGCCGTTCCTCCGTCTTTGAATCAGTAAATGGGACCACATCTCGTACAAACATTCTGATCATTGGTGAGTGCCAGCCTTCGTCTGGCCTCCTGTGCTGCGTGCGGCAACCCAGAGCCTTTGTGTGAGGTCGTATCTCGTCCGGCCCCGATAAGGGCCAGCATGGGCAGACGAGTCCTACGTCCTGCCCCACGATGCATGGCGACAGGAATCTGGCTTGTCGTCCTCTCTCGACGCCGCGTATCCAGCGCAACTTCTCACTCCCCCGCGAACTACCCAACGCCGTCCACGCTGGACCAGAAGATTTACGACTGAGCACCTTCCGAGGTCTCTTCAGCGTGAACACCGTTCGGTAGAGCCTTTGTCGACGTCTCAGCGTTGACTTTTGTGTCACTACCAGCATCGATGGTAGCCTTGTCGGCCATGACGGGCCCACCAACGGAAGCCAGGCCCGACGGGGAAAAATCAGGTACCTCCGCGGACAGCTGTGTGGGCGCGCCGTGGCCACCTGCGCTGCCGTTGACCATGCCATTGACCCCATGCCTATCGGGGAGCTGCTGGAACTGGACCTCGCTCTGGGGGTTGTACCCAAGCGGCGGCGAGACTCCGTACGGCGCGGGCGCCATGCCGTTGAACGCCCCAAAGTTGTAGGGCCGGTTCTTGAATGTGATGTGCGAGGGTCCGTTATTCCGGGCCAAGTCGTCGCGCTCCTCGAGCGGCAGAACGAACGTCTGCCAGTTGGAACGTCTGCGCAGACGTTCAACGTCGTCCTCGCCAACGACGTAATCCAGCTCGACCGACGCCTCACAGACGGCGCGAATCATGCCCATGTCCGACGTAAGCTCCCTTATGCGCTTGAACGCCGTGACAAAGTGCAGGTGCACAAAACCCTGACTGTCCATGCGCTTTCGGAGGTACATGTCCTTGCAAAGGTTCTCAATTGAGAAGTAGTATTCGATCTGGCCCTTGAGCATCTGGATGACCACGTTGTCCCAGTATGGCGGCTGGAAGGGGATGGCAGACATCGGAGCCATGGGGAAGTCGTACGGTCCGAACTGAGTCTGGACAGCCGGCGGCCGTGTGGCGCCGTTAGGCAGGGACATGCGGTGGTGGAAGTTGGCACCGGCACCGTTGCGACCCCGACCGCCTCGCTGAGGAGGCGGCATGAACATCTGGTTGTGGCCACCTTGTCTCGGCGGCGGGCTGTACGGGCCCTGAGGCCGCGAAGTCATCGATCCGGACGCGAAGGCAGAGCTGTTGTGCTGGTGTTGCGAGTGCGTTGAGTTGATGGAGTGGTGACCGCCTCTGCCGCGGAATGCACCTCGTCCACGCTCGTTGCGGCCCTCATGACGGTCCCGGGCACCACCCTGTTCCTGAAGACGACTATACTTAGCATGGTTCATGGGAGCGGATGGGGAATAAAGAACCGAATGAACGCTCGGCAAACCTCGACGGGAAGTTGATAAATACAAATCAATGGGGTACGTACGGATTGATGGGCAGAGGCAACGTCCTTGGTCTTCTCTCCGGGAGAGTGACCTGGCGCCTTTTTCTGGTCCTTGGCGTTGCTCGAGTCCATGGACATGCGCTTTGCGGCGGGTGGCACAGACGCAGCTCTGGTAGAGGCACCACCAGACTCGCGGGCTCGATCTCTCGACTCGCCACTCTTCGTGGTTGATGCTGCGGTGGCCGTTTTATCGGCGACGTTGGCGCCAGCGGGGGAACGGGTCGAGTTGGTGCCTCGGGCGCCGCCTCGGGGCTTCGAGTTGCGCATCTGGGGAATCTGTGTCTCGAAGTTGACAGAAGGCACGTATTCGTACGCCACCCACTTCTCCTTCTGGCGCGGCTTGGCCTGGGAGGCGTCTTCCTGAGCATCCTTGACCTCCTTTTCTTGGCGGTCGACGCTAGCCGTCACCGGCTTCTTCTTCTCCTCCTTTACGGCGGTCTCTGGCGTGGGCCAGGAAGAAGAGTCGTCGACGGGAGGTGGGAGCTCAGTCTTGCTCTCCTTGGCGTCCTTCTCGGCGACCCTGGAGCCTCGGCTGCCGTTCCGCTCAGGGCGGGTGGAGGCATCGGTGGCCTTTCGGGGCGGCTTCGTGCCATTCGTCGTAGCGACAGGAGCGGCGTCGCGTGCGGGAGAGGTCTCTGCGCTGGGCTTGACGGCCTTCTTGGTATCCTCCCCGACGACGGGGGCAGACTCGCCGTTGGTGATGACCTCGGCTGCAGCGGTGGTCGGCTTGGCCTTGGCCAAGTGTGCCTCCTTTCGCTGATGCCAAATGTTGACAGAAGGGATTGGCGCCTCGGACAGCTCAATCTTGGGAGTTTCGGGCACTGGTTCCTGCTCCTTCTCGGTCTCGGCCGCTTGGTCACCGGGCTGCTTGTCCGATGCCTTGGTTTTCTTGTTCTTTCGGGACTTCCGCGAATCTTGTTCATCCACGGACCGCGTCGCCGTGCTCGATGACCGCGTGCTCTTGTCGGCCCTCCGCCAGGGTCGATCTAACCGGCCGGCGTCGTCATCCCGCTTGGTCTCGGACCGCTTCTCGGCGGTCGCGTCGGATCGCAAATCGCTCTCGGAACCGAGGTTGGAATCGATCTCCTGCCGCTCAGCTGCTGGAGCGGCGGACTCCCCTGTGCGGGTCGACTCGGGTCTGAAGGCGTCCTCGATGGTCGTCGAGGATTTGGTCGTGGAGGAGGCCGGCTCAGAGGCTTGCGGCTGGGCGGTTTGGTTTGCAGAAGTCGTGGCTGAAGGGAGTGGGTTTTGTCCCTTGGCCGCTTGGGCATATGAAAAAGCTGAGGGAGCCGCCATCTCGATGGAGTTGGATGCGACTGTGAAAATCACGCGAGAAGTAAACCAATGCTATGACGCTCGGTCACAACACGCGATGCGTCGATGCCGATTCTGGGCGTGATGCCGACGCTCCCCAAAGGGGGTAAAATGGTTTGACCGACAACGAGAAGTGGTTGCGGCGACGTGTGACGAGAAAATTCGGCGTGTGTACTCCGAAATAGGTGTGCACGGTGTGTCTGGTCGGCTATGACCTGACGGATATTGCTTCCGATAACTCAGCCTCCTTGCGATGAGCACGTCGTCGGCTGTGTTTTTTTGGGTGTCGTGGTTCGACGAGGATGGTTGCAGGCAGACAGGTGCGAGTGCTGCGAGCAGGAAAAAAAAAAAGAAACCGACCGGCTCGTCGGTAAGCAGCGGCAATCGGGCACCAGCGTAGGTGGCGGCGAGTGTCAAACTACCGAATAACAAACGAACTGCTAGCAGTGATGCTTCGTAGGTGCAAAGGAGTCTGGCAAGACGCCTTGTTGTTATCGCAACGCCTCAGCAAACACGTCGGCGGGAGGAAAACACGGCTCTTCCTGAGACAGGCGTCGGCTCGCAAACGATGAGGGGGGAAAACTTTTGAGTCGAGCGTCGAGCGACCGAGAGCGACGGCACGGCAGAAAAAGCTAGCTGGCGACGTTTTCGACACGGTCAGCCGGCAGGTTTGCAGAGCCGAGGGACTCAGCTGGGCCGCAGGACGAGGCCAGACGAGGAAGCAGGGAGGTCGGCAAAGGGTTGGTGATGGCGGTGGCCCGTGGAAACACTGGTCCTCGCTCGGGAAGGGCGGCGGGGACGAGGGAGAACCTGACGGACTGGGCCTGCACGGGCACGACACGGGACTGCACTGCAGGCGGCAGACTCGAGGCGAGGCGCGGTGGGCGGGCAATCCGTGAGGGACTTGGATTGGGTGTCGGTGGGCTTGCGGGAAGACGGGGTTGGAGGGGGGAAAGAAGGGCAGACGGAGAGAGGTCAAGGTAAGGTAGGTAAGGTAGGTGTGTGTGGTGGTGGTGGTTTGGCGGTGGTGGTGAGGGAGTGAGTGCCGGCTCTGCAAATGGAAGGGCAAGCAGCGCAGCAAATGAAGGCCGCGGGTTATTTTTTGCGTTTTTCGGATTTTTGGAATAAAATTTTTGTTTCTTTGGCCCGGGGGCCTCTCCACTGCCAGGTCGTTAGTCCCGCGTCCCCTCATGGGCAGCCGCCCGCCGCCGGGTCGGCTACAAGCGAGTGCCTGCCGAACGAGGCACCTGCTGGCGCTGGTGCTGGGGGCGCCCGGTGCCGCTACGGGTTTTGGGTGGGCTCGACCGGGACTGCGCTGAAGCCAGCCAGCCAGGCCACGGCCGCTGAGCCGGTGGCGGACGGTGGTGGTGCTGGTGGTGCCCGTAATGGATTGAAATTGGGGTGCCTTGGGTGCCAGGATGCGCGCAGACCGGTGCCCACGGCGGGTGCCTGCCCTGGCGCCGGCTGCTAAAAACAGTGGGCGGGCTGTGGAGGGTGCCCTGCTGTCCCCGTCTTCTGGCTGCTGTCCCGTCCAGCGTCCAGGTCCCTGCTGGGAGGAAGAGGGGCCTTTCGCCGGTTCCTGAGTGGCCCGAGGCCTGGGTGCGGGCAGCCCCAAGTGGCACCCCCAGGTGGGCGGGATCCGTCCGCTCCGCGGGCGCGGTGCAGCGCACTGCAAAGAACCCGGGCACCCTCGACTGGCGGGCAGGTGGGTACCTGAGGCTGCTGGAGCGCGTTTGCAAGGTGGGCGGCCAGACGGGACAGGTGCTCGCGTCAGAGACAAGTCACAGAAACAGGCGGGCAGACAACATGGTCACTGCAACTTGATTGCACCACTGCCGTAAAAGTCGACCTCAAGATCAAGTGTCTGAACCGGACCAGTGCGCTTGACAGGCCGCACTCTCCCTTGTCCCTCCTCCTTGTACGTACTCGTACGACCCGCCGCGGGGCCATTGGATGGATGGATCGCGTCCATGCAGAGTGCAGAGGCAGCGAGGGAAAAAAAAAAAAAATGCACTGCTGCACTTTGGCGGCACGGTCGCGGGGTTTTAGCTTGAGTTTTTAGTTCTCCGTTGTCCGATTCTGCGCGCGATATGCTGCGTCACTGACTGGCTGCCCTCTCGCTGCGCCCCGAGCCCTAGCTCCGTCAATGACAGGAAGGGCACATATTGCCATACCTGATGAGCCGCTGTCGTAGACGTACATAGGTTCTCTCTCTAGGGTCCATTTCTGCGTTTGGCTCGGATCAAACCATGTATCCGCCACACGTACACACAAGCTCGAGAAGTGCGTACGTGCAGGCGATGAGGAGGATGGGGAGGCCACCGATCCGGATGAGGGAGGCGTCGCATGACGGAGCGCCGGGGAGCATCACACAGCAGGTGTTTCTTCGACAGCCCCCCGCCGCGCAGCACATGTGTCGAGACACGCCGATGACGCTGCCGACGAGCACGGGCACGGCTTACACAAACTCTTGTGCCAGTGTGATGTCGATGCTCTGGCGATATGGCTGGCTGGCTGAGCCGTCTCTGCAATGCAGCAGCCATCCCACGGTGCGTCGCCGTCATCAGCCAGCCCGGAAAGCATGTGCTTCATCACACACTTTTTTTCCCTCTTGCTCTGTCGTGTCTTCACCCTTCCATTCTCCCGAACGTCGCTTGGCGTGGGGTCCATCCACATCCACTTCCGCTTCCACAACCATGCACCGTCCCTCCATCCATGTGGAACCAGCAAGTCATCACTCACCAACCAACATGCTTAAAGTGCCAACGGAGTTGCTACGGCCCTCGTGCGAAGATCAAAGGGCCGGCCATTCATCTGTGCCGAGCACGGACTGGCCTTTGTCATCGGACGTTTTTGGAACCCCAGGCAACCTCCCATGCTCGCCTCCCAAGGCCGCCGCCACCAGGGTGCTCGCTCGTACGAACCACAGGCAGCTCGGGCCAGGGCGGCCGGCCGCCTGCCTGCTCGCGTGCGGTGCCGTGCGGGTTGGATTGGTGGTACGTAGTGCTGTCGGTCTGGCAGGGAGGAAGGCTATGCATGCAATCAATCCGTGCCGCCCCTCGTCTTACGACTTCTATTACTGTACGGTACCGTAGAGGGCACATTTGCCGAGCAGAGGGGCGCGCAAGAGAGACAAAGGTAGGAAGAGAAAGAGAAACAGGAAGAGAGACAAAGAGAGGGGGGAACCAGACGATGCTACTTCGTGGTCCTTCCTTCCTGCGGCCGCGCCCACACGAACCTCGTACAGGCACATATTCGCTCCCGTCCTTTTGGCTTGCCTGGCCCGGCGCCAACGCTGCCGTGCAACCATCCACACCACACACAGTCGCTGATGGGCCGACAGTTTGTATGAAGCAGGTAATAAGGGTGGGAGGTAGGTAACTGCACTGTACCTCCCGCATTCGTAATAGAGCTTGCTTGCTTGCTCGCTCGCTCGCAAGCAGGCAGGCAGCCAGCCAGCCAGTCAGGCAGTCAGGCAGTCAGGCAGCCAGGCAATCAACCGACCAACCATGCGTCAGTCCAAGTCTCGCAGGCCTCGGGACGACGCGGGAGCCCGCCAGGCCATCGCCCAGCCCGGCCCAGCCCAGGGTGCTTGCAATTCCCGCGACATCCGCCGTCTCCGTTCCTGGCTCCATGCTTCCCTCGTCCTATTCCCGGGGCGGAGCGAACCCGACATGAAAATAATATTGGTTCATGGAGTGAAGGCGTTCGGTATTGGCAGACCGCTCCGCGGCACCGGACAGGGTCCTTGATCGCCCTGGCGAGGAGGGTCTGGGCATGTGCATGCCACGGGCGAAGGGCGTCCTCATACGATATACCTCAGGGGATGGTCTATCTTGTAAGCGTTGTGTTAAGCGCCGTACTGTATTTGGTAACTCTAATGGGATGTCTTTAGCGATGCCAGGGGACCCGCAGTCGCAGTCGCAGTCGCAGTCTGTGTTTGATGGACCTCATCGTTTCGAGACGTGGCAGCTTGCTGCGGGCGTTTGGGCCGACTCATGGCTCGCCCCCAAGCTCGAACGCATTATCCACCATCCGCGGCATTTCCACTTCGACTCCAGAATTCGGTGACAAGACGGCCCTGCTCCGCCGGTTTGACAGACGGCCCCAAATAAGAGCCTGTGTTGCTTGCACTCGGTACCTTAGGCAGTCGCCAAGATACCTACGCATGACTGTCACGGACAGATTGCGTTAGGCACACATACGACGGTAGTAGCACCAAGGGACGAAACGGAAGGAGCCGCCGTGGTGATAACCGAAACAGACAGACAGCCATGCTCGTCAATAATCGACGCCCGGCGTCGCCAGCCGGCCCTCCGTGTCCTCGACGTACTTGACCAGGTCCCTGATGGTGCAGACCTTAATTCCCCACTGAGCTCCAAACGCAAGGCAATCGTCCCTCCGCATCATGCCCGCGCCGACGCGCTCCGTGCCGCCCCCCGCCGCCTCCTCCCCGTCGAGGATCATCTCGCACAGCGCCCCGGCCGGCCTCCTACCCGCCAGCCGGCACAGCTCCACGGCGGCCTCGGTGTGCCCGCGCCGTGCCCGCACCCCGGCGTCGATGGCCCTCAGCGGGAGGACGTGGCCCGGCCGGCGGAGGCTCGCGCGCGTGCTGGCCCCGTCTGCAAGCGCGCGGCACGTCAGCGCCCGGTCGTGCGCCGAGATGCCCGTCGAGACGGACGGGTCGGCGCCGTCGACGGTGATGCTGTAGGCGCAGCGCGTGGGGTCCGCGCCCTCGCTGACCATGAGCGGGAGGGCGAGCTCGTCGGCGCGGGACGTCGGGATGGCCACGCAGACGTACCCGGACGTGTGCCGGATCATGAAGGCCATCTTGCCGGTTGTCATGGCGTCGGCGGCGATCATGAGGTCGCCCTCGTTCTCGCGGTCTGGGTTATCGAGGACGATGACGAACTCGCCGCGTGCTGCGGGTGCTCGTCGTCAGTCAAGGCTCTCCATGAATAGTACGGATGTTGTACCAAAGGCATCGATAGTGTCTGGAATCGAGGCGAACCCCCCATCTTGCGGGCCGGCGTCTGCCATCTAAAAGTTACAGTAGTTCAAAGGGCGTAGGAGAATTGCCTACGGAATCGCATAAGTTGAACTCGATCTCGCACTCATACGAGGTCAAGGGAGGGCAACTGTCGTTCCATATATATTTCATAGAAAGTTGTAGACACTACTTCGGCCTTTCTCAAAACTATTAGAAAACCATCCGTCAGCCGGTTTGTTGATCCTCCGACTGGACGGGAGACAAACAGCCCGCAACCCCGACATCGAAAAGCGCAAAAGAAAAATGGCGATTCGACGCCGCCGATGTGTCCGAGCCGAGGCGGTCAATGGTCGCCGGTGGCGGCCCCATGAAGTGCGGACGCTTGTCGTGGGACGAGATCGGAGCTCCCATGTCCGGGTTTCGGCCCAGCCCTGTGAATGTACGCCCTACCGTCAACGGGCGGACGCTTGGTTCGCCCACGGGCCCATGCACAGCGCGCGCACATGTTGCAGCGCTGCACGTAGAACCGACGTTTGCCGAGCGGCGCTGATGAGGCTCAACATGCAGGAGCGAGGAGTAGTTTGTGCATCATACGATCTCGTATCCCGGAGTCGGAGGAGGATAAACGTTTAGAGCAAGACGCAAGCATGACTTGACAACCTTGCAGTCTGCGCGTGTGCTACGGTCTGCTCGGGCGGTCTCTGCTCAGGTCGGTCGCCCAAGCAGAGCCGCCAGACATGCATCAAGTGCACATACAAGTGGCGAATCATGAGCGAGATGATATAAGCAAAGCCGGGAGAGAGTGAAGAGAGGCGAAGTGAGAGTCGGCGTCGAGGAGCAGGAAAGTGGCGAGAGGATGTGGCGATAACAGTCACAGAGCGGTCGCTTATGCGGCAGGTCCAGTAGGTACGCTCAGGTTGCGGCAAGGGCGTAACGTATGTCCTGGAACTGGCAGGCCCCCAGACAGCCATCATTTGGGGTTCATCGTATAGACTAATGAGACTCAAAGGAAGACTGATGAAAATGCTATGATGAGTCGCGGATCATGCTTATTCTAGTTTCGTACAACCTATCTCTCTGCTGTATGCAGTATATGTCCCTTGCCATCAGTCGGCGTTCGAAACAATGTGCCCGCCCAAAACAAACTATAACACTTTAGTCGCGTTGTCTACACGGCGCACGTGGGCATCCGCCTCGTACTATACGACCAACAGTCGGCGTGACTCTGCAGTCCACACCGACGAGGCTTTCTGCTCGCCCTACCCAGACATCCACGCCGTGGCCTGCCTAGTTCCAAACGACGCGGCTAACCGGAGTCCTGACGCGCCCATGGGGAAGTAACTGACCAGATACCAGAGCAGGCAGGCGAGCTGCGCCACGGCGGACAGGAGCGTGAGGATGGTGCTTTGAAGCTGCGCAAGGGGGGTCAGAGATGTTATTCATGGCTAGGCGCGCCTCGTGATCACGCATGGACTGGGCTGGACTCACCTTGATCGCAAAAAGAAGCGTCATAAAAATGGACCCAAAGTAGGCCGCCGTGAAGGGGAGTCTCGGAGCCGACAGGAGGTGGTACAGGTAGTTGAGAGGACCCATGACCGCTGCGAAGGAGGCAAGAAAGAGAGCGGACCCGACGGACCATCTGCAGCGAGGTTAGCTCCCGAGACGTCATGGAGAGTTCCGAGGATCAACAGCATGGGTATCTGGGTCACGGCATTTGCATTCCCATCATGCGCGGACAATACCCATGCCAGCCGGCGGTCGCCACACTGGCCGTGGGGGGCAGCGGGTTGCCAGACTGGGAAGGAGAATGGCAGCCGGTGATATCGGTGCGGGAGGCGACGACTGACTGGCCCAAAGGCCCGAGGGACGGGAGGGTGGTGGAGGTAGCGACTCACAGTATGACAAACTTGCGCGGCCGCAGCGATAGCACCGGAAACAGGGTGAAGCATATGACGAAGCAGGCCAGGGCGGCAAGGTTGCAGGCCCCAAAGATCAGCAAACGGTCCCATCTACTGACTACAACCTCTTGGTTAGCCTTGGTACCCACGGGGCGCGACATGTGCATCGGTGCATCACATGCAGGACGAAAGGTAGGGCTCCAAGATGCAGAATGCACATGTCCCGCTGCAGGGGTTGGTGGCGGCGCGGCGGGTGCACGCTGCACGATGCCGTCAGGGTGACTCACGAACGAACCAGCCCTCCTCCTCCTCGCGCCGGGTTGGTGCCGGCAGAGGTGCCCCCGCGTTCTCGCTCGTCGGCAGGCGCAGGTACCCACGGTCCTGGAACGGGTTCAGGTTCTTGATGGACGCCAGCAGGCCCGACGGCTGCGCCGTGGTGACGGGCTCATCGTTTTCGCGCCGGCTCCAGCCCAACGAGTTGATGGAGTCGCGGAACGAGTTGGAGGCCATGTCGGCGACAGAGGCAGACGCGACCCGCAAGACGCTTTATCGCTGAAGAAACGGACCTCGCTAGGACGATCGGCGGCGTTCGTGATGGGCGAGCGAGGCACCCGAATGGGGGCCCGGAGAGGTCAGGCCAAGGAACAGGTAGCGTTGGGCGGCAAGGAAAGCGACAGGACGAGGGGCGGTCCTATTCGAGTCGAAGCGGCTTGCTCCACCTTGGAAAGGTCAGTCGGACGGTCTGATATACACGGAGACGATGGCAAGAGAGGCGCGCGATGGCAAGCCATGGCAGCCAAGGGGGGGTGTGCGACAGAGCTGCCTACCTCTAGCGGCTTGGGAGCAGGCTGGACACGAGGCTGCGGCCGCGCGTACCGCTGAGAAATGCGGGCGAGGCGGCGCAAAGCAAGGCAGGCAAGGCAAGGACGACGAGGCAGTCAGTCGTCCCTAGGGCCCCCGAGGACAGATGTCGGGGTCAAGGCGGCAATGGGGGTGATTCTGGTTGCGGGACGCGACGTTGGAGGTGGAGGGCAGGACGGGGAGCTGGGGGTGTGGGATGGAAGTCGATACGTGCTGGGCGAGGCCACATGATTGGCGTCGATGGGGGGGGCCGACGGTTTTGGCTGGAACGGGTGCTACCCAGAGCCGGGTTACCTGAGAGGAGGGTAGCCGTGTCCGAACGCCACCGACCCACAGGCCTTAAACTGACAGGATTAAAGTACCCGCTACGAACCAGTGAAGTACCGATCTTGGGGTGGTAGCCGTGCAGCACGGCTGACCAGTGACGCGCCGGCCCAGCACACTGGCACTTGCTCCGCCTTTCCGCAACTCGTCGTCCTCGTCGGCGCCGACTCCATCCGCCCATCCATCCATCCCCTCCCTCCCCTCACGCCAGCCCGCCAGCCAGCCAGTCCGCTCGTCGCGACGCCTCTGGCTCACCTCGTTCGGTCCCTCGATGCTAGTACCAAGTCAGGCGGTGCGGCGCGGGTGCGCACGAGTGTGTGCGCGCCAGAGGCCCGACGCGGACGGCCCCACTGCGGACGGGCGGACGCTTCGTCCCTTGGTCCCCGACTCCCCGACTCACTCCCCTAGCTCTCTTCAGCTCTGGGACAGTCCAGAGCCTCGTTCCCCGCCTTTTGTGTCGCTCACCGTCTTCTGGGCCTGCATGCCGGCGCGGAGGAGGGAGGCCATGGGTATTGGATGTGTGGCAAGTATGGGTAGGGGGATCAGCGCGCGGCGTCGAGTCCGGTTCGCGCCGTGCATGGTCAAGTCGGGTGGTTGAGCGGGAGATGGGCATCCTGGCCGGCTTCCTTGTCGCGGCAGACGCACGCAGCCTTGTTCGTGCATGCCCGGCGGCGGCGGCAGGCGGCACTACTCCTGCACACAAGATGTGCATGGCTGCATGCACTTCGTACATTGTACATGGGCGACCATACGGGTGCCCGCGACGGACAATGAAGGGGGAGGAGGAGGAGGAGGACATGACGGCGGACGACAAGACGACGACGACCCCGGCGGGTCCGGCATGGTGCATGGTGCATCGTTCCCGTGGGATGCGTCGCCGTGCCTTACATGACCTCGTGGCCCAGGCTCTGGACGAGAGGGCCAGGAGGGCGACGGCCTCGCATGACCCGGACGTGAATGTCCGATTCTGCGACGCAACTCGATGGACGAGCGCGTCAACGCCGTGGCGCGGTGTCTTACCTCGAGAGTCACGTTCAGCCCACCCTCGCCGGTGGGTGTGCGCGAGCGGGCAGAAGCTCTCGCGAACACCACCCTCCAAGGCGCTGCTGGAGGGCGGCGATACAAGTCAGGAGACAACCCCCGTAGCCCTTTAGACCAAACTTAGCCCGCCGGCGGGACGAAGCTCGTACCGTACCGCACCGCACCGCCCACGCCGCCTCCACGGCGTTCGTCCCAAGACCGAGGCGACGCCGTATTTTTAGCTGAGCGCGCGAGGGCAGAAGGCACGCGTAGAGATATAATACAAGGCGTTGCCCCCGTCGCGAGCGGCCGGAAGGATGGAAGGGAACGCGTACTGTTGTTCGTAAAGACTGGACCAAAGTGCAGAAACGAAACGCTGCAGCCTTGGAAATCGTCATAGCGCCTCTCTGCGTATCGGCAAAGGTCCTATTTATAGTGGGACGTGCAACATTCTACTACTACCGCCCACCTTATCTACCATCACCGACCGCGCAAGGACGAAACACGGAGACGTCGATACGAGCCCGACGTCTGCGGGATTCCTCGACCAACAACACACCAGACGAGAACAAACGAGACGCACCACGCAAAGCGCAGCCGTCTGCACGCGGGCAATAAATCTCCGTGGCGGCAGCAGCTCCATCGAGCATCTCTCTCGTGTGTGTGTGTGTGTGTGCGTCTGCGGAGTGCGTTTGGGTGTGTCTTGCATCGCGCCGGGGCCATCAGGCGCTACCACTTCGGTCTTGGTGCAGCTTCACCATCGCGCGCCGACCAACGACGGCCGTCTCGAACCAGCCTTCCTGCGTGCGTGCCTCAGCTCCTCCCCCCGGGTGGCAGCGAACGAACGAGTCGAAGTGCGTTGAGCGAGTGAGTGAGTGGTTCGCGCACGCCCGCCCGCAGAACGCGCACTAGAGAAGAACGTCCGCCCATGCATCCTTGGCCGTGGAGCGACCTATCACTTTACACCATCGACCCGACCACCATCTCGAGGTCGAGCCTTGGAGCGCCAGCACCAGCACCAGCACCAGCACCAGCAGCACCGTCGCCGCGCGCGCCCGCACGTCGTCAGCCCGCTTGGCCCAGCGCGACAAGGACGTCGCCTGTGGATTTGGTGCGCCGCCGATCACAGGCGGTAACGCTATCAGCGTCAACGCTCGCGCCGCTATCACCAGCATCATCATCGGCACCAGTGGAGGCCTAAAGGGTCCCGCGTCCAAGTTCCATAACTTCCTTGGAACCGCCTCGCGCAAGACAAACTGGTCGACGAATAATTCGACTTTGGACGAGGCATCAGACAGCATAGCCACCCCCCGCTCTCGGTCTTGTCCTCCCCGCGCGTGGAACCAAACGGGCAAAAGAGGCTGCCTACCTGCCTGCCTGCCTGCCGCCGCCTCCTCCTCCTTGGGCGCATTTTCTTGCATTTACCTCGCCCATTACTTGCTGCCCACACACCGGTCAGGTAGCAACATCGCCGTCTTGCAGACGACAGGCTCGTACCCGCGCCAGCCTCACCGGCTCTCCCGCATCCTCGCCATCCATCGCATCCACCTCGCCCATCCCTCCATCCCGTCCGCCCGTCCGCCCGCCCATCGCCCTCGCCCTCGCTCCCTCTCCCCTCCCGCGCCGGCTCTGCGCCACCGACCAACTGCACATCTGCCGTTACTTAAGAAGGGCGACTCCACCCAGCTGTCAACCTCGAAGCGCTGCCGGATCGAGAACCTGGCCCCTGCTTCTGTCCTCCGTCGCTTGTCTGTTTGATACAGCACATTGCCGCGTCTATACATACGTACATCCAGCCAGCCCGCACTGCCGCCGCTGCCTGCGACTCCATCGCCATCGTCATCTCCGTCGCCGCCCATTCGCATCCGCCTCGGCATCAGAGCCTCATCGCAATCGTGCGACTGACTGCACGCCCCGAGTTACACGCCGCACCGCCGACGTGGCCCGTCTACGCATTGGTGAGTCCGTCCCGAAGCTTCCACGCCCACTCTCACTGCCTTGCCCTGCCGTGCCGCCAAAGCCGCCACGGCCAAACGGCGAGCCAACGCAGATCGCCTTCCCTCCCTCCCTTTGCTTGCTTGCTTGCCTCGTCTTGCCTTGCCCTGCCCCCCTCTCCTCTTGTCTTGTTCGGGCGCGCGCGGGCAGTGGGTTTAACCCGTCTCCCGTCCTCGTCCGCACTCGCGTCGTCTCCGCATCTCTCACGCACACAGACTCTCCCCTCTTCCCGCCCGCCAGTGGCGCTAGTCGTGCCTCCTGTAACCCTACCTCCCCTTCCCATCCGCGTCCATCGCCAGTGCCAGCTCCCCTACCCCTCCCGTCCAGTCCGCCAACCCGCGCGTCCGCCCGTCCATAGTGACACACTTGCTTGGCTCCCGGCCCCGTCGCCAGTTGAGTTCCAGGGCGCGAGCGGAGGCAAACGGCTAACAAGGCCCAGCAGTGCCACAGGAAGAAACCATTGACCAACGCACAAGCGGCACTCCCGGGCGCCCTCTGCATAGCCCTCTGCCTACCGAGCACGACTCCGCAGCCGCAGAAGCGCAGCTCGGCCCCGTTTCTACCAGCAAGCGAACGCGCAGCGCCGCCGCGCTCGTCACCGCTTGGACGGTGCGCACCGCTTGCTAGGACCACCACCCTCGCAGCCGCCAGCCCTGAGGCGCACGTTAGGACCCTCCAACGGGCCCCCAGGACGCCCGGCCAAGAACGACGGGAACACGCCTAACCAGGCGCACGCCAGCCCAGCCAGCCCAGCCCGGCCCTCGCGTCGCCCACCACCCACCGCCCTGCCGTCTTACACGCCAGCGAGTCAACGGCCACACACACCTCTGCGTCGCCCGCCCGCCGGCCAAACCCCTCCGACGTCGCATTCCTCTCCCGCGCCTCGCTCGCCCAACTAACCTTCTTCCCCTCTGTCCGCCGCGACTGTTCGCTCCTCGCGCTGCAACCAACGACAAGCGACGACGAGCGCCATCATTGCGACGACGCGCGCTTTTTATTCTGATCGCCCTTTGATGGCCAGGAAGTAGCAGCCGCCAGCGCTTTCCTTTTCTGCCATCTGTCCAACTGTCCACAGGTGAGTAATGCCTGCGCCGCCGGCGGCAGGTGGAATCCGTTGATGCCACCTGCGCTTTCCCCGAAACTTCCACCCTGCCGTTCTTCCCTCCGCCGCCTCCGACCGCGCCGCCCGTCCATGGCCATCCATCCATCCACCTTCTCCCTACTTCGCCGCCTGCCGTCCGCTTTGATCCTTTCGACTGGCGATCCCAGATGGACTGACCTTGTTGCCTGCTGCAGACCGCTTCGACGAGCCTCTTCGCACTCACTTCAACCCGAGCGGCGAATTGCGCCAAGAGCCGCGCGAACCTAAACCCGCGATAAGGCAGAAACCTCCCACCGCCGACCGCAACTTCTGCCCAACGACCACCCCATCACGAGCCCGCCCACGGCATAGGCGCTCCAAGACCCGACGCTGCCGTCATGGCCCAGCACGGGTTCCATCAGTTTGGCAACGCCAACGCGGCCAACATCGACCCCAACGACCTCGCCATGAACAGTGGCTACTCTCCCTCCTTCTCCAACAACAACAACTTCAACTCGGGCTCCGCAAACGCCCCCAATGGCTTTTCGAGCGGCTCCGCCGTCTTCGGCGACGATGAGCTGCTCGACGGCCTCGCCAGCCCCTCCGATGGCCAGGGCGGCATGCACGGCCAGGGAGGCCAGGACTTCCCCGGCATGAACATGGGATTCTCCCAGGGTGCCTTCCAGTCACACCGGGGATCCGGTCTGCAGATCGACCCCAACCACATCAACGGCTTCTCCAACACGCCAGATGGCGACCCGATCCAGAGCCCATACGCCGCCGGGTTCAACGCGCAGTTCCGGCAGATGCAGGGCAACCACGGCATCGGCAACGCGCTTCACTCGCCCCTGTCCTACTCTGGGTCTCCGCTGGCCGGAGGAGAGATGGGCGCGGACGGCAGCGATCCCAACTACCTCAACGCCAAGGCCAGAGCCCGCATGTCTGCGCAGCAGATGCAGCGCAAGGCCTCCAACAACCGCAACCCGATGACGCCCAAGACCAACAGCATGCACGGGATTCCTATTGGCTCCCAAGACTCTCCCGGCTTCGGCGCCCAGCCCATGCGCCATTCGGCCAGCCACGACAAGTCCCCGTCTGGTCAGTGGGTGAACACGCCAACCGGCAGCATTCCGGCGTCCTACAACTCCGGCTTCTCTTCCCCGATGCAGCAGGGCATGGTTCCCATCAATGAGGTCATGCTCAAGGGGGGCACGTCCATGCCAGCCAAGCTTGGCGTCCCGGGTGCTGCGGTCTCGACCCAGGAGATGAAGCGGAAACGCCGGCGCGAATCCCACAACCTCGTCGAGCGGCGCCGTCGCGACAACATCAACGAGAGGATCCAAGACCTCAGCAAGCTTGTCCCTTCGCACCGGCTCGAGGACGACAAGATCCGGAAGCTTATTCAGAACGGGACGCCGCTCTCCCCGACACTCGCCGGCATCTCCAGTCCGACACAGGCCACGTCCAGTCTTGCCGGCCCCGGCGCGCGCCGCGCAGCAGGTGGCAACACCGGCAATATCACCACTGGATTACCTATCGAGGACAAGGACAAGGGGCCCAACAAGGGCGACATCCTCAACGGTGCCGTCAGCTGGACCCGCGACCTGATGTGGATGCTGCACCTCAAGCTTCAACAGCAAGAGGAGCTGATGAACATGATTGCCGAGCTCGGCGGCCACTTCCCTTTCGAGCTCACAGAGGACGAGAGGCGCATGCAGTCTGAGCTCATGGACGCCATCAACAGGAATGAGAGCGGCACTTTCTCGTACTCGCGGACCGCAGGATCTGGCCTTCGGGTCCCCAACCACACCGACTACCGAGGAGATCCTATGAACAGCCTGGCAGCAAACTTGGACTCGATCGGCCTGACGCCCGAAGATAACGGCAATGTCGCCTTGGGCGGGGATATTGGAGACACGGCGCAGTTCTGGCACGACCCCGATGACGACGGCAGCGGCAACGCCTCCCTCAACTTCAAGGAGGAGGACGAATACGAGATGGACATGACTCACTAGTCTTGCTATCTTGCTGTGTCGATTTGAGGATACACCAACTGCCATTTTCCCTTTGAACTGCGATGCTGTCTCATTCCTGCTATTTCTGAGCACTGGCCTGCCTGGCTCGTCTTTGTTGATTTTCTACTATATCCTGGTATCGGTTGGGAGAAGACTTTTTGCATGCGGGACATCCCCTCCCTGCCCGGCGGCGTTGAGGGTCATTTAGAGCTTGGCGACTGGTGGCCCTGTTGATTTCCTGGGGCGTGTTACTGGAGAGGGCATGGACATCGGGCATGGGGTTACTATATACAAGGGGTCTCATCTATACAGCGGCGGATATATCTTTGCTACCGGGTTGCATGGCTTTTTCCTCTTTTTTTTTTCTTTTCTTATTCTCTGTTCTGGGTTCGCGCGCTGGCTACTGCCTGCCTGTCTTTGCTGAGAGAGGGGGATGGATGGCTGGAGATTAGATTTGGTCATTGACGACGGCGCTTCGGCTAGTGGCTGGCGCCGCTTTCTTTCGTCGTGGCGGATCTAGATGGATTTCTGGGATGGGTTGGGGGATACAGGATCGATGACCGCTGGCTTTGGGACTGTGCTGCTATGGACTCTTGTTGGGCACTCGATCGCTGGTGTTGTCTGCACTATTTTGGCTGGTATCGCTCTTTTCTAATTGATTGCTACCATTAATTATTCCCAACTCTCATGATGGCACTGCGTCTAAATATTTTGGATGTGACAGTCATTTGTTGACGATGTGTATGTGTGCCTGCCTCTACTCAGTGAAGCCGGACTATGGAGCAGCTTGATTTGCCGCCCGTCATGCCAGCACTGGTTGCATTGAGCGTCACCAGAGGCGGTGTATTCCCCCCCTGGGAATGGCGTGACAGATGCATGGCTCACTCTTTCCGGGCTGCCGCGGCTCGCATCACCAATGCCGCGTGCAGAGCAGGTACTCGGACATGGCGGTGAGGAGGTTCCACGTCTCCTTGCGCTTCATGTCCTCCTGGAGGGCGATGCGCTCGAGGGCGCAGTGGCCGTCAAAGTACTTGCACATGACCTGCCAGGCGGAGCGGGCCTTTTCGTCGCGCAGGCGGTGCGCGATGGCGGACAGGTAGCGCGACTCCTTGCCCGTGGCCTTTTTGGCGTCGAGAATGATGTGCGGCGTGATGCCCGCGAGGTGGAGGGCGTCGTTGGTGGAGGGGCGGGCCGTGGCGACGGGGACCGTCTTGCGCGCGTGCGCCGTGGCCTTGTCGGCGGCATCGCGCGTGGCCTTGAGGGCGATGCGCTCGAGGCGGGCCATCTCGGCGGCGTGTTCCGCGGTCGGACGGGCGGCCGAGGCGGAGCTCGTGGTGCCTCCTTCGTCGGGGTGAGCCTCCGCCGTTGGGGAGGCGGCGGAGCCGTTGGGCGGCGTAGACGGGCCCGCTGGTCCGTTGCCCTCGTCCTGGGCCCGGGTCTCCTCGGCGGCGGCGGCGAGCTCCTCGGCCTCGATCTCGTAGTCGACCTCGTAGAGGATCTCGGGCCAGACCACGACGTAGGCAAAGGTGCAGAGCTGGGTGACCCAGCCGCCGCGCATGAGCCACGCCAGCATGCGGAGGTAGAGCGGGCGATGGGCCTTGCTCGAGCAGAACGTCTTGTACGGCTTGGGGCACATGGAGAGCTCGGCAAGGAAGTTGGGCAGCGGCGGGGCGACGGGGAAGGCGCGCTGCCACTCCTGCGACGCCTCGGGGAGGCGGGACAGGTCGCAGTTGGGGGAGACGACGTAGACGTCGCGGGCGTGGAGCGGCGGGATGGCGATGGCACGGCGCCAGAAGATGAAGTGCTGGGCGTACTTGCGAACCTGGCCCAGGGTGAGAACGCTGTTGGTTTGCCCAACTTGGTAGAAGCTGCGAGGCGCGGCATGTCAGCATTGGTTCAGGTTGAGACAGCCGACGGCAGGGTGACGATGGTGTGAACGTACGACATGGTCGGCTTGGCAAGCCGCACGAATTCTATCATGGACAGGGTGGTCGGATCTCTGTCGGCCTGAAGCTCCGAGATGATCTTCTTCTCGTCATCCATTAGCAGCAGGGCAAAGTTGCGATCCAGGAAGCCGGGCTCCTCCAGGGCATCCTGACTCAGAAAGGCGTTCGCCGTCGTGAGCCAGAGGCCGCGCTGGCCGCCCTCGTGCTCATTGGGGAGATCAGACACGTAGAATGGCGCAGGGATCTGGACCGAGGGCGACAGCACGCCGGCCGCCGTGTCCAGGTGAAGAGTCGCGATTTTGTTCTGCGAGACGGCCTCGTAGATGTCGTGGACCGATGCTGCCAGCGACGATGTCTGAAGCAGCTCTTTCCACAGCATGCTCATACTCTTCTCTGTGGACACGCACGTCAGTTCATAAAATCAAGAAGCTTAGATGGAAATGGACTGACTGTCTTCTCGTGCCTTGTCCTTTGCAGCGAGAATCCGCTTCGATTCCTTCCAAATGAAGTCGCTATGCTGCTGGCTGTACTTGTAGGCCTTGTTGACCTTCTTCACAATGTTACTGTAGAGGCTGTCGACGAGCTCCCGAACCTCGTGTCTCTTAGGGTTCAGGATGAAGACGAGGTTGAACATGGTCATGGAGCTGCGCTTCTCGTCGTCGGCGTCATCCTTCTTGCCGTCCTTGTCCTTGGTGACCGTCTCGGGCGGCGGTGGAGGAGGCGGGGGTGGCTCCGTTTCGTGGGGGGCGATGTTGTCGTCCGCAATCCGCGAGCTGGCGGATCGAGCGCCCGCCTTGTCAGCCCGCTTGGGCTTCTTCCATTTGCCATTTTCGGGCACATGGATGGGGTAGGAGATGCACAGGAGGGGATCGAGAGATAGCTGGAAGAGCTTCTTGTGGTAAGGGCGGGCGGGCGTCAAGATGCCGGCGAGGTCGCGGATGGGGAAACCGGCAACATGTTCCCAGGGGACGATTTGCGTGCCGGACTCGGTCATGAGGTGATCGTCATGATGGCGGTGCTTGGCGGAGGTGGTGCCGACATCGCTCTCCCTACGCGTATGTACAGACAGGCGTTCCAGAAGGAGGTCCTCGGTGTCATGCGTCTCTGCAGGCTCCGCGGCGCCGGAGACGGGCGGTTGAACGTCGGGCGGGTAATGGAACACAAAAGCCGGGCCGTCGCGCGAGCGGTTGATGACGAGGGCGACGGCCAGGAAGTTGTCAGAATTGATGCACGTCATGGCCGCGGCAGGGCGTCAGACGCGGAGAGCCTGGCACTGGCGGCCTGCTAGGGAACGCGAGGCATGGCCGGAGCCGGTGGCAGGTCCGGTATCGAATGGACTCGGAGCTGAGAAGCGGCCGAGGTCAAGCTGGCAGTGCCGCCGTGGTGGGGCAGCCGGGGGTGGTGACGGACAAAGGTTGGAGTTGGGACACTTTGTGGTCGGGATGAGGTCGACTGACTTGAGCTCCGTGTCGGGCGAGCCGGTGGAGGAGCTGCGCATCGGATCGGTGCTGAGGGGACCCGCTCTGGCACAGTGGCCCAAGGCCTGGACGGGACCACCTGGACAGTCGGCTAGGCGGGGCATGGAATCATTAGGGGTCCTGACAGTGGAGGTTGACAGTGGGGTGGCAGCGCGGCTCAGCGAGATGCCAAGTCGGGTGCGCTGTGAGCATCGCTGGGGGTCCGCACGTCGATGGGTTCCAAACGTTCCATCCACCTCATGTCCGCCCAGTCAGGCAGCGCGACCCAGTATCAGCGAAGGGGCGTTGGAGCCCTAGAGGATCCATGGAGTCGTTCCATGCCCGTCCCTCCACTGTCACCTGGAGGGGTCACGCCGAGATGCCGCGAGACACGCCACTGGCGAGTCACGGGCCCCCAACCATCACCTGCCCGTATCTCAGCCTGGGTGTCTGCCCCCGGCTGTCGCGCCGGGTACCGTCGACGAAGACGGCCGCAGCTGCAGCCGCATCGCATCGCATCGCAGCGCATCTGTGCACACGGAAGCTCGGCTGTCGGCTGCTCCTCATCACATTTGCGTACCCATGGACAGCGTGCCGGGTTCGATTCGTGCCTGCGCCTGCGCCTGTGCGGCGACGGATGTGATCCATGGCTGCAACGCGGGACGCGGAGGGGCATTCCGTGGGCAGAGAGTACTATAGGTAGGTAGGTACATAGGTACCTTCGAGTCGGTACGGTTGCCCCGAGTTCCTCGTAACAACCCAACTTACCACTCCATGGCTGCCCGCCCGTATTCAGAGGACTTCGGCGCCAGTCTGGCAGGCCTTGCCGAGGTTGGGCTAGCGCGCCTCCCTGGGCGTGGATGGCTGGCCTGCAGCGTCTCGACCGCCCAAAAATTCAAGTCCATCTCGCGTCCCAATGGGCGCTGTTCGCGGCCAAGTCGCGGCGTCCACAGTCGACGCCACGGTGCCTGGCGGTTCATCGTCCCCGCCTTGCGGCCCCTTTCCGTGCCGCCAGGGCGACGACGCTCACTCACAGCCCCCCCTCTGCCCCGGTCAATTTCCAGCTCCAGCGCTGAGCGACGCAAAAGTTGTCGAGCACCAACTGGCTGTGGCCCGCGTCTTGCCCCTCTCGATCCCCCCCTTTGGGAGCCGCGAGCGAACCGGACATCTCATTGCCCTGGCCCCCCGGCGGCGGACAAAAAGACCGGGACAGTAATGGCAGCTAATAAGAAGAAGCCTCGCAGCCTTTCGCAGCTGCAGCCGGGCCCGTAATTTGCAAACGAACCCAACGAAAAAAAAACCAGGTGGCATCTTCCGTACGGCGCAGAGCGGTACGGCTCGTGTCCCAAGTGCGGCCAGCAGTGGCCGAGCGAGAGGCGAATGCCCACACCCCCCTTCCAGGGTCGCTCCTTTCTCCTGCCAAACAGTGGCCACGGCGGCTTTCACATGGCCTCTCTGCCTCGTTTGACTGGCCCACCCACTCCCTTCATCCCCCTTCGTCGCCCGCGAAACTTGCCAACTCCCCCCTCATTGACTACTGCTTGGAACGGCAACAGGTCGTGTGCTTGTCTCCAACGTCAACCGTCATCTCTACCGTCGCCTCGGCTCCTGGGTAAACGCTCTGGTCGCCAGTAAACGGTGTCGTCCGCAGCCCTGTGACACGCGCCACCTCGTCGATCGCGCCCGTCGCCCGCCTCAACCAACTTCTACGCGCCATCTCATCAGGAAATGATCAATTCGTGAATCATTCTTCTCGCGCCGACCTCCAGTTCTACTCTCAACCCATCTCACTCCCTCTCACAAACCCCTACAACGCCGCCAAAATGTCGCCCGCCGCCGCCATCGCTAACGGCGAGCATGGACACGTGCGCTTCATCCCCCAGACGTACGACAACACCGACTCGCGCCGCTCAGCCCTAAAGCTCATTCTCACTCTCATGCCTCACTGGGCTGCCGACGAGGCTCATATCGACTTTGTCCGCTTCACCGATGGCATCACCAACACGCTGCTAAAGGCGGTCAACCGTCGCCCCGGACAGTCCAAGGCTGACATGGATCGCGATGCCGTCCTGCTGCGTGCCTACGGCAACGGCACCGACGTGCTTATTGACCGCGAGCGCGAGGCGGCTAATCACGAGCTGCTTATGCGCTACAACCTCGCTCCCGAGCTGCTGGCCCGCTTCGCAAACGGCATGCTTTACCGCTTCATCCCCGGTGCCGTCGCACAGCCCAAGGACCTGGCCGATCCCGACATCCTGTCCGCTGTGGCGAGAAGGCTCGCCCAGTGGCACGCGACCGTCCCGTGCCTACCGGGCTCGGGCGTCAAATCTGACAATTCTAGCACCGGAGCCGCTAATGGCGATGCCGACCGTGCCAAGATTATCAATGCCGCTCCAGGCAAGCCGTTCCCCAACGTCTGGACGACCATGCAGAAGTGGATCCTCGCTCTCCCGACCGACACGGAACAACAGAGAGAGCGCCGCGACCGTCTGCAGAGTGAGCTCGGAGACATGATTCAGAAGCTGAGCCAGCGTCCCGGTCTGGGCGATAATGGGGTAAGACAGCGCTGCATCTCCTGCGCGCGTGCCAAGTATATCAGTCGCTAACGGGATGTTGCCTCATAGTTGGTGTTTGCTCACTGTGATCTCCTCAGCGCCAACGTCATCATTCACCGCCAGGGTAATGCTGCCACGACGGTGAGCTTCATCGACTACGAATATGGCACCCCCTCACCCGTGGCCTTTGACGTCGCGAACCACTTCGCGGAATGGGCCGGCTACGACTGTGACTACTCCGCCGTCCCCACCCAGTCTCAGCGACTCGCCTTTATCCGCGAGTACATCAAGTCGTATGCTAAGCTGTCCGGCACCGCCATGGATGAGGAGGAGGAGACACGGAAGCTCATGGACGAGGTTGATGAGTTCCGCGGCGTCCCGGGCTTCTACTGGGGCATCTGGTCACTGATTCAGGCCACCATTTCGCACATTGACTTTGACTATGCCAATTACGCTGAGGAGCGGCTGGGCGAGTATTGGGCGTACAAGGCCGAGGTGGATGGCAGCCGCGAGGCGTCGGGCAAGGAGATGCCCCTGCGGGAGAAGACGTGGTCGAGCCGCGAATGAAGGAGGCAAAGCGAGGACAGGGGGAGGCTTGGGGGGCGCTTCATCACCACCACTACGTCCGACGCTAGCATGCAGAATCGCCATGCCGCTCAGCTTATAATTCCGCGGACCAAAGAACAAGCTCGAGACGCAGCGCGCTTGCCGGCGGCGCAAGACCGTGGCCTGTGCCCGATTGCGGAGCAGCACTCGCCGGCAATGCTCCAAACGGGCGACCAGCAGCTACGAGCGCTCTCGGTACAACGAGACGGGACCAAACGACCGTTCAACCGCAAGACTAGATCGGGGAATGGGCCAGAAGACGTGGCAGCCATTCAACATAGCGCTATTTGGGTATAACACGCCTGGTACTTACTGTGTGCTGGTTCGCGGCGGGACCATTATTCCTCGTACGACAGCAAAGCAACTTAATACAGAAGACAATTCATAAGCCACGGCTGACTCTCTCTGCTCTTCCCTTGTCAGCTCTTGACTTGCTTGCACGCTACGAGCAGACTATGATTGCAGGAGCCAGCGCATGCGAGACCCCCCGGTCGGGCGCCGGGTTCTCGGATGGGGGGGGGGGGGGGTTCGGCCGGAAGATGGACGAGGCTGGCGTCGACTGTCCAGTTGGGCAGTTGCCACACCATCAGCCAGCGACGTACAAGACGCAGGAAGGTTTGTGCTATGCTATATACACTTGATGCATGCATGACTGTCTTGTCTTGGACGTATGGCGGTCCGCCTCGGCTGGGAGGGACGCGACTCAATGCCCGCCCCAAGACTCCCTCTGTACGGTGTCGTCTACATACTTCTACGAGGAAAGGACAGCGGCGGTCACCCCGCCATCGCAGAGACCAACAGGCGCGGGCCGGTTGGAGGAAATGAGTGGACGGCGTCACCATGCGATGGTGTGACAGGTGACGCAGCGCCTGGCATGAGGTCTCGCCGGGTTGGCTCGAGGGCAGCGTCATGGCGGCCCAGCTGGGAGACGTGTGGGAATGGCGCAAACGAAGGACGCGCGCGCGCGCAGGAGGGCGCAGGTCGAGAGAGAGCGGCGCTCTGGTCTCTGGGCGAGGATGGATGGTCTGCCTCGGCGCGCGGGTGGAGGAGCAGAGAGAGAGGCAGGCAGGAAGGCAGGCATATGCGGACGGGCAAGGTCCGGCGCGGTATACGGAGTACCCGGCGCTTGGTACACGAGTGCTCCTAAGGTATGAAGCACCGACGGCCGCGGCGGCGGGCTGGCAGGAGCTGAGGCAGCGTGAGCACGCCAACCAGCCCAGCCCAGCCCAGCCAGCCAGCAACATCACTCTGACGGCGCACGACGGGCCGCGTTGCGTGGGCAGCAGCAGGGCTCAGGCAGGGCTCAGGCTGAGGAGGCGGGAGGTAGCTGACGCTGATTGGGGCGAGGGGCCAGCACGTTGTGGCTTCGCGATGCAGGCTTCGGCTCGCAGTGGTTGTGCGAGCAGGCGGGCGAGGAGCATGAGCTCATCCGGCATGTACGGGGTACCGTGTGTAGTATGTAGTCATGTAGGCATGGCATGGGGTCGGTCGGGCCAAGGGCACGGGCACGGGCGCGGGCGCGGGCACGGACATGGGGTATGGCAAGGCAAAGGCAAGGCAAGGCAAGGCAAGGCATGGCATGGCATGGCATGGCATGGCATGGCAATCGCATGGCCTGGGCCACGAGCATGGGTGCCCGGGGAGGGCAAGGAAGGCATGGCAACGGGCCAAGATGGACGACGACAAGACGAGACAAGACAAGACGAGACGAGATGCAGAGAGGGCTCGAGCTTCCAACCCACGTACCACCTTCCGTCCCTTCCATCCATTCCCTTCCCTTGGTTCCCTGCCGGGGCCCCCCGGGAACCTGTTAGGGCACGACCTGCGCCCCGAGAGCGGGCTACAAGCGGCCGTGCTGGTGGCGGGCGACTCGCAAACTGTGCATGCATCGGTTGTTCAGCGCAAGTCATACAGTGCGGAAGAAACCTGAAACGCGCCAACTGCCTGTACCTGCCGAGCTCCCTGTCCCACTTGGCTAATCACAGCCGGCGACGGGTGCCCCACCACAGTGTCATGGAAGCTCAACCAGATGGAAGCCAGAAAAAAAAAAAGTCCATGGATGGCGGCCGTCGCGGAGCGGAACTGGGCAGGGCAAGCAAGGCAAGGAAGCTGCGGACGGGACATGCAACGCGCCTACCCAGGGAAGCAAGGACAGAGCGCGAGAGTCCAGGCAAGACTCGGTGATGACGGCCACGGCAGCGATTACCTATTATTCAGGCTCCAGCGCCCTTCGGCCGGCAGAACTGCTGCCCTGCCCTGCCTTGGATGCCTGCCTGGGCCTCCGGCTGTGTTCCTCCTGCTCCTCCGCTGCTCATCCACCATCCCATGGATCCCCCTCCTCGCCCCCCCAATCCCCATCATTCCCGTCACATCCCCATCCCGGCGGCCCAGCACCAGCCCAGCCATTTTTCTCCTGTCGACGGTCGGACGGGTGGACCGACGGCGGCCCATGCCCCATGTTCATGCCCAGGCGCTGGCACCCACGCACCCACGCGCGCCCACGCACCACCACCACACACCTCAGCACGCACACCCCCGTCCCGCAACAGCCCAGCCCAGCCCAGCCCAGTGCAAGCAGGAAAGCCCCAGCTCACGCCTGGTGGCCCGTGACCTGGAGCCGCCGGCTGCCACCACCTCCCCCCAGCTTTCAAGCTTCCCTCTGCCCACGCCTTGCGACGACCGCGACGACGACATCAACACTGAGCGACGGCGCCCGACAGCATAGGTAGCTGCGGCGACGGCGACGGCATATCGCCTCCAGACCCTCAATCGCGCAGGCGCGACGACAGAGCCCTTTGTGGCCCTTCGCAACCGTCCCCGGCTCCCAGGCGCGCCGCCGCTTTGGCCAAAAGACTAAGACTGTTCGGAACCTGGAACCATGGACCCTGCGGCCGCCTGCCTTGAGCCCGCCGACATGTCCTGAAGGCGTCCAAGCTTCCTCCAACGTCCAACGTCCACCTCCAGCTACAGCAAAAGACCACCAGCGGCCAGCAGTACAGGCGGCGCCCCTCGCCCGCAGCGCCCGTCGACTTCACTTCTCATCTCATTCTTGTCGCGACGAGAAGCCATGCCATGAGTGGCATGATGAGTCCGCCGTTAGCACCGACACCGCCGTCTCCATCGCCATGTCAGCACCCGACGCCCACGGCGACATCGACCGCGCCATCCGCCAGCTCCTCGACCAGCAGGCCGACATCCAGTCGCGCCTCGCCGCCCTCGCAGCCGCCAAGCATGGCTTCGATCTGCCCCGGGAGCTGGACATGCTCCGCCACAAGCACCGTGTGCTCCAAGCCGTCGTCGACCACCATGGTACGCCCCGTCTCACCTCCTGCCGTCTCGGCGCAGTGTTTCTCCCATGTCCGTGCCTGCTGACACCAGACCCTCCGCCCTCAGGCCTGCCGCCACGACTGCCTGTCTTATCACAGATGGAAGAGGCCAGAGCGCTGCAGTATCACTGCGAGTGTCTCGAGGCAACCTGCCTGCAGCACCGTAGGTTACGCTCATCCAGCTCTCGGCGCAAAGTCGCCGTAATTGTGCATGCTTTTCTGACATTGGCGTATAGAAGTCGATGCGGCCAAACAGTTGAGGCAGTCATACGCCGACGCCCCCGCAGGCTTTGTCGAATGGCTCGATCGGCACATGGACCTCCATGACCGCTCGCTGAGGACCATCAGCCAACTCCAAGGCGGTTATTATCCCCAAACCTCCACGCTCGCATCCCCCTTCAAGTGTCCAGATGCGCACTGCATCCACTACGTCTACGGCTTCCCAAGCCAGCCCGAACGGGACGCTCACGCCCAGCAAGCGCACAAGCCCCACCTGAAGCGAGACTCTGGCTTCTCCATGGGCAACTCCCCGCCACTGCCGCTGTCCGAGCATCCGGCCTTGCGCATCGAAACGTTTCAGGCATCCGCGAGCCAGCTCGCATACTCACATCCGGGACGACAGGGCTCGTCGTCGTTCAGCCTGCCTCCTCTCAGTCTGCCTCCCCAGTCAAGAGAGGACAGGGGCTTGTCGCTGGCTGCAAACGCCTATGACGATGGCCGCCGCGGCACGAGAAGGAGTTCGGGGGCCTCGGAAGGGGAGTCTCTGCTTCCTCCGCTCAAGAAAGCGAAGCTGAGCCAACCGCGCCTGGAGTCCATTGGCGAGCTACAGCTCTTGCGAGACAAAGGCCCATGCCTGCGCTGTGCAGTGACACGTAAGGAGGTAATTTCTGATCTTCTCATCACATCTGCAACGCCTGTGACTGACTGAGCGCCTCCCAGTGTGACGATGGCCAGCCCTGCTCAAACTGCGCCAACGGCCCTCCTTATCAGCGGGACGCTTTCTGGGCAGATGTGGGCTGTTTCCGCGAATCTGTTGTGTCTTTTGCCGACACGTTTCTTCCAGGTGCGTCATGGATCGCAAAATGGCATCGTGAAGGAGTCTAACCTTGCATATTTGCAGCGCCGCTCTCGCCGCGACAGACCCGCACGCCTATCACATCGCCTCTTGCACAGCGGCGGAGCGTCAACGAGTACCTCAAGAACAATTACTCGTTTGAGCCAGCCGTAGCAGATGTAGTCACGAACAACTTGGACTTTGAGGACGGGTTCTGGTGGTCAGCTCAGGTTGATGCGGCGTATGCAGCAGACGACAGCACGTCGGGCTACAACAGAGACGCCAGCAGCTACGCTCCTCCGATACTGTCGACCCTCGTCAACAGGTGGTTGATAATACAGACATCGCACGACTTGCCTCGGTTGCTGAAAGCCAGCGGCGGGCTGTCTGTGTCCCGGGATGAAGAGGAACGGACTTTCCCGGCGCTGTACAACGCCAAGCTGCTTCTACGTGAGGCGGTTGTCTACGGGGTGCTGCAGCCGCATTCGCCACTTCGCTTCAACTTTCATGATCCCCGCCAGTCGCCGCCCGAGAATGCCGATCTGGATGAGCACGCGAGGCTTCTGCAAGAATGTCTCGTGCGCTTCCTCAAGTCGGTAGAGTCGCTTGTCTCTCACAGCTTTGCAGCAGACCCAAGCACGACAATGGCAAACTTCATGGCCATGTGCATATTCAGCGCCGTCCGCACTCTGTTTCTCGACTTCTCCAGATCGCCGGCAAACCCCCAGCATCCTCATTCTGCCGGACCCGAGTCAGACGAGGCGGTACACGCTAGGTACAAGGCCCTCGTTGCACTGTATGCGTCTCGATGTCCGATGCTAGAAGACATCTCACACAACGGCTTAACGGAACATGAGGGGTCGCTCCTCCGGGAGGTCAGTGAAGTGCTCCACAGGGCGTCCTGGGATGAGGACCGAATCGCCTCCAGCGCCGACTTCCTGATGAAGCTTGGAGACGGTGCTGTTAGAACCCGGTCAGGGCCGCTCGGCTTTCTCCAACGACGTTGGCCAGATGGCCTGCCCTGGGAATCGTGGCCAGCCCCCGTTCTACAGACAGTTCAGGGGCCGCGACGGTCAGCTCCAGCAGTTCCCAACTTGGCCACTCTCCAGCCCTGGGGACACGTCACGCAGGACGATAGTGCTGTCATGCGGCCCAACGATTCGGACCTTCGGCCGACGTCCGAGACTGACCGTGAGCGCATGAGGAGACACACGGTCGGCGAGTCGCCGGTGTATCCCCGCTCGGCGGAGCCGTATTTGCACTCTCCCGGCTCGCCATCGAGATTCAGGGTCCCCCCGTACCCGCGGACGCAGCTTCGTCGAGTCTATTGCGACAAGTGCAACGAGTACCCCGAGGGCTTCCGCGGCGAGCACGAGCTGCGACGCCACACCGAGGCGAAGCACTCAGCCATGGTGAGGCGCTGGTTGTGCTGCGAGCCTGAGAGTCCGAGAGACCAGTCTCTCCAGCCTGTCGTGCCGCTGTCAGCCTGCAAGGCTTGCATGGGGCTGAAGCAATACGGCGCGTACTACAACGCCGCCGCCCATCTTCGACGCGCTCATTTCCACCCGCATCGCGGCGGCAAGGCAAGCGGCGACTGGCCACCGATGTCAGTCCTCAAGGACTGGATGAAAGAAGTGCGGCAGCCTATGGACGGAGGCAACGACCTCGACAGCGGGGGTGAAGATGAAGACATCGACCCCATAGCTGACCCCTCGCCGTCTTCCGCCCGGCCCGGCCCGGATCCGTCGATGCAACGCTCATTTTTCGTCTCCTCACTCAGAGATCCATGGCATCGAGACGGCGGCAGCAGCAGCGGCGCCGTCAGCGCCGTCGCGACCTTGCCCGAGAACCGCAGTCAATGCCCCAACCCGGACTGCGGCCGCATCGTCAAGGATCTGGCCGCGCACATGCTCACGCATCAAGAGGAACGGCCGGAAAAGTGTCCCATCGCGTCGTGCGAGTATCACACCAAGGGCTTCGCCAGAAAGTATGACAAGAACCGTCATGCCCTGACACACTACCGCGGCACCATGGTGTGCCCGTTCTGCCCAGGGATGGGATCACCGTACGAGAAGACGTTCCTCCGCGCCGACGTGTTCAAGCGGCACCTGGCCAACGCGCACAACGTCGAGCAGACACCGCCTAATAGCCGTGGCGGGGGAAGGCTTCTCAACGCAATGCATGATCTGAGCGGCCAAGAGCACGGCGCGGCTGGGGCCGCCGCAGGGGCCGGAGCGAGGTGCTCCATCTGCGGGGGGCACTTCGCCGGAGCTCAGGACTTTTACGAGCATCTCGATGAGTGCGTGCTCAGCGTCATCGTGCCGGCTGGGTATTCGTCCGCGTCGGGCGGGACCAGCGCCGCTCCTCACTCTGCTGGACCCGCGGCAGCGTCAGCCTCAGCGACAGATCATGACGCGCGGGGGGTTGACGAAGACAAGAAGCCCATGCCACAGCAGCAACAGCCACCGCCACAGCAGCAGCAGCAGCAGCAGCAGCAGCAGCAGTCCCCTCCGCCTTCGGCGGGACCTGGGTCGGCCGGCCCCCGGTGGTGACACACTCCCGCATCAAACACACACACACACACACAAACTTCCCCTCGTTGATGGAGCCCATCGCAACGGCGTCCTGTGCGACTATATATACATATATAAAAGCGCAGCGCGGGCTGGACCGATGGTGCGAGCACCATATCTCGCTTCCAGGGCCATAAGGGTGCAACGAGACACGACCATCTACCTGACACGAACACGAGATACCAACAAATTCACCAAGACGCTGGGCGTGGAGGCGGGATAACATGCCCATGTTTTCACCTGTGGGATATTTTCTTGATTCTTTCCATTCGATTGTGTATTTTTCTTATAGGAAGACGTGCTTTAGCACCTTCCTGCTCTGCTATCTTCTACTTCCCCATAGTGATACCACAACGAATGCCAACGACATTGCTTGCGCGTTTAGTTGCTCCCCGTCGCCATGCCGGCGACGACGTGAAGGCGATGCTGATATCATGGATGCTGAATGGCAATGACCAATAAAACTAAACGCCGACCCTTTGCCTCGAGACGCTTGTGCGCAAGACTCCGAAACGCCGTAACACAAAATGCTCCCAAAACCCTTTCCATCATGATAGAAACCTGACACAAAAGCCAGTCCAAGTCAACCTTCCCAATGAGGCTTTCCGATGCTCTCTAGCGCAGCCTACTTAGAGCTCGTAGATGTCTCGTCAATCTTTTCGCTCAGCACGCCGCCGCCGGTGCGGACGTTCTTGGGGCTCGAGCGCTTGAAGTAGTTGTGAATCTCCTGCGAGAACTCGCCGTCGTCGGGCATTCCGTGACCCTCGTGCTCCGTCTCCTTGGGGCCGCGGGCAGACTGGACAGCCTCCCACTCGGCGCGCATATCCTCAATCTTGGCCTTCCAGTCGAGCTCGGGGTCGTACGTCTTGCCGATGCCTCGGAGACGCTCCCAGACACTCAAGTGGGCGGGGTTGACGGCGACGCCGTGGTACTCATGGGCCTTACCCTGGCGAATGTAGTTCCAGCGGCGCTCCTGCTCCTTGAGGTCGAGGCCGGTGGTGTCGGGAAGGAACAGCCAGGTGAGGAGCATGCCTGCGAGGCCGAACCAGGGAACGACGTAAAACTTGGTCTGGTCGTCGATGTAGTTGTAGAGGACGGAGGCGAGGAGGGCACCGGCCTTGCCCAGGCAGGCAGAGAATCCGTGGGCGGTGGCACGGATGGGAGTAGGGAAGACCTCGCCAGCCACAAGGAACGTGACCGAGTTGGGGCCGAACTGGTTGAAGAAGGAGGAGATGAAGTACATGGCCTGGAAGCCGTGGATGCCGGCAGGGCTAGTGTAGTACTCGTACTTGAATGCCGGGATGACAAACATGAGGAAGCACATGAAGAAGCCAACCTGCTGCATCATCTTGCGGCCGTAGAGCTTGTTGTCGATGAGGACCGAGGCGAGGTAGTAGCCGGCGAGCGAGACGGTGATGTTGACGAGGTTCCAGGTCCAGGTAGTCATGAGCGACTTGGGGTTGTTGGAGATGACCTTGATGAACTGGCCCTGGAAAAGCTTGTTGCCGTAGAAGAAGACGTCGTTGCAGAACCAGGTACCAGCCGTGGCGAGAAGACGGCCACCAAAATGGGTGCAGCAGTAGCGCAGGGCATTGACATCGTAACCGGTGACATTGGACTTGCTCTTGGCCTGAGCCAGCTGCTTGGAGGCCTGGGGCATCTTCCAGGTTCGGTAGTAGGCGAGCCAGGCGGTGCCGATTGCAGGGAAAGCAAAGGACAGGCGGAAGGCATACTGAGCGGCCGAGGTGCTATAGGGAGGGCCGCCGCTGCCGCTGTTGAAGATGACGAGGAGGACGATGAGGAGAACCTGGTTCACGAACTGACCCCAGCCCTGCATGAGGAAGGCAGTGGTGACGCGGCGTCCACGATGCAGGCGATCCTCTTTGGTGGAGAGCTTGCCAGCAGTGACGGCGCTCTCGAGCGACGACGTGGCAGTGATGGGGTACTCGCCACCGACACCAAGACCTGAGAGAGATGTTAGCTTGGCAGCCGCGCAGTCATAGACAGGGAACCGTTGTGAGGAGAAAACATACTGTAGAAGAAGAGGGACCAGGCGTAGCAAATGACCCAGCCTTGGAGCGTCAGGCCCCAGCTGGCTGTGAGCATGATGAGACCGATAAGCATGATGACGGCGTCCTGGATGAGACCCCAGCGGCGGCCGACCCAGTCGCCAATGACACCGACGAAGAGCTGGCCGACCATGATGCCAATGATCTCGAGATAGGTGACACTGGCGATCCAGTTCTTACTGCAGACGGTGTGGGTGGACCAGCATTCGGGCCAAACCTGCTTAAAGAGAGGCTCCAGGTTGCCAATGGAGAAGAGAACGTAGCCCTCGAGACCGAGGCCGGCACCGGGAATGACTGCGTGGCGGAAGTACCATGAGACGGGAGAGAGAGGATCCTTCTTCATCATGGAGCCGATGGTGCTCAGCTCCTGGGCGGCAGCCTCGCGGTCGACCTTGGAGACGAAGCTGACGCGTTTGCTCCATGGCAGGTCGGCCCAGTAAACGCCGTCGGGCGTGTACGAGTCGTCGGGGCGGGTGACATGGCTGAAGATCCGGCGCTCGTCGGCGCTGGCATCGCGGACGGGGTAGTCGTCGCTGTCGTGGTCGCCGGGCGGGCCATGGGGGACCGGAATCTCACCGGGGACTGACCAATGGTGATGATGGTGGTGATGTTGGTGGACGTCGCTGTCCGACGAGGCGGAGTCGTTGGCCGCCATTGGGTGTGTGTAAGGCGTAGGGTAGGGAGCGTCCGTATGCGGGTGGCTTGTCTCACTGACGATTGCTTGCGGAGATGGCTGACCAGTGGAGTGTCTCGGCGCCGGTGGCTGCAGGACGCTGCTAATGACGACGGGACGTTGCGGCGAGGATGAGAGGGAGAGAAAGGAGGATGGGAGGTGGGTAGACTGCGAAAATTCACAGCGCAGACGAGTCAGGACGTCGTAGAAGGTTATATGGGTGCCGGAGATTCGCCCGACGAAATTGTCGGTTTGAGAATGGCAGGCGAGTGACGGTGCAGCAAGTGCACGGAGGCGCTGGTGGCGAGTGCCGTGTCGCGGAAGGAGGACGAGCGCCACGGGCTGTTTGCCAATGGCGACGATGCGAGAGAAGGCGACCGAGGGCAACAGCAGAAGACCAAGTTCTGCAGAGGCCACAGACCTTTATCTCAGCCGACGAGGACCTGAGTAGATTTGATTTGGGTTTGCCGGGCCAGAACCCGTCTGCGTGGGTTCGTTGCCTTTAAAGACACTACGCTTGCAGTCTGGATACGCTTTCGACAACCGACGTCGAGCGGCCAGCGGCGAGGGGGACCGTCCAGTCAGAGGCCAGCATCAGGAACGTGTTCGATCCTGTGGCCAGCAAGGGCCCAAAAGCTTTTTTTGCGGAGCCCGGACTTCTGGCACGACACGAGGAGACGGGCGGCGGTGGGAAGAGGAGGGACGGGCGGGCGAGCCTCGCCTCGCCTCGCCTGGGGCCGGAGCGGCCGCGGCGCGCCACCAGGGGAGCGCAGGATGGGGGGGTTCCATCGAAGCGGAGGAGAAGGAGAGAAAAAAAGTAGAGACGGACAAGCGTCGGGCAAGGGTCCAGCTGGGGCTACGGTAGCGTGCGGTGGGTGTGTGTGGGCGTCGACGTGGATGCGTGGTGGGATGACTTGAGTTGGCGGTCGGCCGAAATCTGGGGACGCGAGAGTTTGCTGGCCGCTTTCGGATGGGACGGCAACGCGCTGGCCATGCGCAGATCCTGCCCGGATTGCGCCCAGCAAAAAAGGCAGCACAGCGCACAGCGCACAGCTGCGTCCGCGCAGGCGCTTGTGCATATGCGTCACCGAGGGTCTTCCCGTTGCGAGCGACATGCGCGCATGTTTTTATGTGCTCTTATGTTCGTCGTTGGCCTTTTTTTTTATTCCCTGCTCTGCCGGCGAATGAGGTCGCGGGTGGATCATCGATGACGCTGCGAGGCAGGCGCGAGGCGCGGCTTGGCTCGCAGAAAGGGAAGTCGCTCGCGTGCCCTCTTTCCCTCTTCTCCGTGTCGCCCGTCTGCTGGCCTGTCCCCTCTGGGCCGCTGCGCTGCGGCACTGCGCTGCGCCGCTGCAGAGCGCAGGGCCGAGGCCCTTTGCGCAAGCCACCCGATCTCACCTCACCACCAAGTCCATCCACTGTAAGCCCACGAGCGGGACTGGCCGCCCTGCAACCGGTCTCACACGAAATGATGAGATCCCTTTGCACTTGCCGACTTTTGCGCCGATTGTGATTGCGACGGCAACTGCAGAGTGACCAGAGTGCAGGAAGGCAGGTGCAGGTGCGCGTGCGGTGCAGCTGCTGCTGTAGACTCTCAAGAGGCACCACGGCAGGTGCGAGTGGGAGGCGGGAAGTGGGAGCGCATGAAAACTCACGAGCGGCGCGGACTTGCACCTGCAGCCTCAACTGCAACTTTCCCCGCTGCGGCGCTTCCTTCCTTCCTTCCCTCCTCATCCCGATGCTTGCCAAACCCCTCCCACACTCACCCGCTCACTCACTCACTCACTCCCGTTTCCTTCCATCGCCCGCCTCGGCAAGCGCGCCCGGGGCGGCTTGCTCTGCACGCATGGCGCCAGCAGCAGTGAACCGTGGAAGCTTGAGAGTTGCGCGCACGTCCGTCCATGGTCACGCTGCCAAGCAGCCAAGCAGCCAAGCAGGGGCGCTCCCGCACCTGCCACCTTGGCCAAGAGAATTGACAGTTACAGCTTGACAGGTACAAGGAGGTACCTGCCCGTCTGCGCTTGAGAGCGCCAAGCTGCCCCGTAGAGAAACAAGTGGCAGGAGCGTTACCTGGCCGAACTGTCGAGTGCACTTGCAAGCCAGCGCCGGATCTGCATCGGCATCTGCACCTGGCTCCTGCACCACGACGCCCTCCCTTTCCCTGTCTCTCCTCTCCCCATACACTTGCCGTCGTCGCTGCACGGGCTTGCGTGTTAGTCTTGCCGGCCACGATCCGACGCAATTGGTTGCACAACAGCCTCCAACCTCGACGCCTGCCAGCCCGCGCTTGCGCTGAGTCTAAATCCATCGAGCCGGCCTGCCCAACTAACCGCCGCCCCGCCTACGTCCACGTGCAGCCGACCGCGCCTCCAATTAGGCCCACGCCGCCGACTATTGCTGCCAGTCTACATCATAGCCATCGTCATCGCCAATCTCTCTCTCCTTCAGCGCTCGCTTTTCGCCCTCCGTGAGGTCGACGTGACGATTGAAGGAATCGAAACCGAATCGCATCGCGTCGACATCCTTGCTCTTGTGCGGCCGTTTCGTTCCCGCTCAGCCGACTTGGCGCTGCGGTCTGCCGAGATGCCCCACCGCCACTGGTCAGCCAGGCGTGCCGCCCTCTGATCCCGGCGCAACGTCTCGGTCACGGTTTAGGAAATATGTCTTGCCCGGGCATGAAAAGGTGACGCGGCGGTTTGTCATGTCAGCGCAAGTCGATTCGACAGTTCCTTGGGCACAACGACGCTTCGTTTCATCATCGGGCCCTGAACGCTGTCCAGGGGGCGCTGCAGGAGGGCTATTGGCAGGCCATGGAATCACTTACATGCTACATCCGGCGACCCCGACCAGCCGGTGTTGGATACGTCAACGCCTGGGCATGTAAAGCGACCAGTGCGTAGAGTGAGTCGCTGTGCTCACGGAACAGTCTTGGGCTCTAATGGCCCTCACTCAGGAAAAGAAACATTGTCTGACAGGACCACGTGTCAGGCTGCCGAGTGGGATTTACCATTACGTTTTAAAGTGAAGTGTTTGCAGGGCTCGTCATCTGTGTCCCTGACATACGTGATTACACTTACTTCGGCACGCTGTGTAGCGATCTACCCTACCACAAGCCATTCGGAAAGGGCGAATTCTGTTGGCAATAGTTCACGACACATGAGAGCTCATGTGCCTACCTAGGTAGTGAATCGTGAGACTTGTAAGGTGCTTTGCCATGGGCTCACACCGAATCGTAAAGTCACATTGCGCCCAAGAACACTCGAACTTCCAGCGCCCAGAGCCCTCACATTGACAAAGCAAATGGATATTGAAGGTTATATTTCATTGTTGCCTCCACTATCTCCCGCGCGCGCGCCCGGCTCGTCTTAGATTCCGAGCTGGCTGGCTTGCCAAAACATTTCAAGTCGTTACTCGTACCTCGTGCCTGCATATACGTACAAACCATCAACTCGTCTGCCCAGCAAGCAACAACCAACTCAGCTAGCAGTCGAGATTTTGCTCCATGATGATGTTCCATTTATTCGGGCTAAAGATCTGTGCCCCCTTCATGTCGTGGAGCTCGTTGTTGCCGCAACGCTTCCACATTTCCCTGATGGCGTGCGACATGACGGTAAAGTCGTGGACGCTGTACTTTTCGGCGTTCTGCATCGGATGGGTTTGTTAGCTGGGCTGCTGCGGATCTTCATCTTGTCTGTTTGTCGCGTGGCAGTGACCCGGAAGAAAGGGGCAGGAGGAAGGAGGTCTTTTCTCCCGCCCATAGACGAAGCAGAGAGATGAGTCGAGGAACACAGGCTGGGGCCGACTTACATCGTTGCAGGCGTAGAAGGCGGTGCGGTACGCGCAGTAGAGCCTGCCGCACTTCTTGGGCCCCGGCCGCAGCACGGCGGCCGTGTTGGACCGCCACGAGTTCTCGTATATGTTTACAATCTCGTTGTACGCGAGGTTGTTGACGTAGCCCCAGTTGCCCTGTGAGCAGATGACCTTGGCCTTGCTCCAGTCCTCGTCGACCCGCTTCTCAAGGCCGGCGGCGGCGTTGACGTCATCGGGGACCGCTGCTCGAGCCTGGTTGCTGCCCGACGCTGTCGTCGAGTCCCAGTCGGGGTTCAGCTGGCGGAGCTGGGCCTCGACCTCCTGGAGCGTGCCGTTGAGCGTCACGGGCGGCTGGTCGGGGAAGACCTGGACGGTGACTTGCTGGTCGACGATGGTGGCGCCGGAGAGGGGGTCTGGGGAGGGGGCGGGAGCGGCGCGCGCGAGGGCAAATATGCCCAGGGAGAGGGTGAGTGCTTTCATCGTGTGAGACTAGTGGAGGGATGTGACGTGAGGTTGTGGTAGTATCCCAGGGGCAGAAGCCTCACATCATATATACATGTCTGCTCACGCTTGCATTCACATCCAGGCAGTCATTCGTATCTCAACAGAAGCCGGATAGCCCAGCAAGTGGAACACCCCATACTGGGGCTCAGATCCTGCCCTCGACAACTCTCATTCAGCCCATCTATCGACCAGCCGCGAGTACATGTTACCCCCGTGGGGAAGAGGCAGTGGGTTCGCGGCCGTGGGCCACCAGACACCACTGTTGCTGGCTTGTTTCTAAATGCGTGCCCCCTTAACGGCTCCAGCCAAGCCAAGCCCGAGGAGACCCCAGGCTGTCACGAGGTAAATGTGGAGATGGTTCGTGGGCGTTGGTCGTTGATGTTATGCGCCTCGGTGGACTTGGGGTCCCCACGTCGCCCGCGTGGATGATGCCATGCCGTGCCCCGGACTGGTGAAGGGGAGAACAGACCCGCGGGTGGGGGGGAGTGAGCACGAGGTCGGGGCGACGGCGGAGGCGGGGTGCCGTGTTGGCTATTAGCCTGGATACTCGGTACATACATACATGGCCGGTGATGATTTGAAGGAGTTGAGGATATTGAACCTGGATTTATTTGTAGAAGCGAGTTCGCAACTACAAAGTGTAGATATACAGCTCGAAGTAATATATGCCGGTCTTTTGCTTAACCACAAGGTTTAAACATGGCTTCTCAACTGCTTACCGATGTCATGGTGCAAGGCCAACGCAAACCGGGCCCTGACACTGCGAAAGATTCGGAGCTGCGCGTCTTGCCATGATGGCATTGCAGCCTAGTTGACCCTCACGCAACAACGCAAGGCGTTGGTTGTTCCTGGTGGAGAAACCACCACAGCAGTATGTATTCGCGGTGGACCGGCGGATCCGGGGCGGCCTAATAATACAAACATAAGTTAACTAGTACCCAGCGCAAGGACCACGCCGCAGTCCAAACGACACCTCATGATAATATAACGCAGGTTTCATGGCTACGCCCACGCGTCATTCCACTCGACGGAGGCTCTCCCCGTCTCTCAACAAAAACAACCCACCTTCTCGAAGCCCCGTGCAAGCATTGGCAAGCCCCCCACTGGCCGCTGTCTGGTCTCCCTTTTCTCCATTCATCCTGCCTTCACGGAGACTCGGGACGCCGGCCGCGATGGGCCCGGTGACCAGGTCTGTAACTCTGCAAAGTGCCGAATACGGCCCCCGTACGACGTCAGCGGCTTTCTGCGCACAAGGAGAGCGGACGGCACCGAGTGCCGGGTCGTAGGTAGTATGGACGGCTGCACGGCAATTTGCTGCCCTTCTACAGTGCCGTGCCAATGCCCGAGGCAATAGTAGCATGTGTTCGCACGAAGCAAGGCGCATACGTACGTCGCCCGCCCGCGTGCCGCTCGTCCCCTCTCCCTTTCTCGCCCTGTTTCCCTCCTCTCTTTCCCCTGGGGCCGACGGACGCACGACAAGGTCAACGGACGGCTGTGACGGCACGCCGAACCGCGCATGCTTGCATAGAGTGCGTGCAGGGTCGCCTTTGTCGTGGTGGGCCGTGCCATTGCAGCGGCACGCACGCACGACTTGCACGGACTGAACTGCGTGTGAAAAGTTCCTGTCCCGGCCGCCGCCGCGGCGACCCCCTATCCCGTCCCGTCACGCGACCGCCTGCGCATGTCTCACGAATATGTACGCGATGCCGCGTTCAGAATGCCGACGAGACACGCTCGCCTGAGACATGGCCTGACTGCCTGCCGCCGCGCCCATCGACAACGTGAGAATGGTGGGCTTCTCCCTACGTACGTATCCGGCTGCGGTAAAGCCAGAACCCCCAATGTCTCGCATCCTGGAACTGCGCCCGAACAGGACGCAACGAGTCGGCAAAATATGCATTTCGTACACACAAGTACATACACACCCCGTTGGACGGTGCCTTTGTCTCTGCCTCGTCTTGAGCTCTTGCCCCCACCTCTTGCCCAGACGCCTTTCAAACAGGCGGCAACAACAACAAGTGCCTATGACCCGGGCTCGCAACCGTTTTTTGGTGCAATTCAGAACCCTTCGTTGCCCCCCCAAGCTCCGTCCCAAACGACTGTGCTAGTCTGTGTTTCCATTGTAACGCCTCGCTGCAGCCGTTCATTTCATACAGAAGAGAGAATAGAATAGAGAACCAGGAAAACCAGAAACTGACGTGGCTGAAGTGAAATGGTAAAGAAATGAGTGAGTGAGTGTCGGTGGTGATTCTTCTCTGAGAAAGGCCAAAGCTTTCTCGCCACTATCCGCTTTGTTTGCCGACGGGTCTGGGCGTCGGTTCGTCCTCAGTCGAGCCCGGAAGCCTGTTCAGAGGAGTGGGCCGCGGCGTTGCGTCCACGCTGCCCGGCAACTCTGCGTCTCCTGGCTTCGACTCGTCGCCAGGCTCCAGCTTTGCTTCCGGAGGCGTGCGGGTCACCTTTTCGTCCCGCGGCTCCAGCAGCGGCGCGTCCATCTCTTGCGCTGGCGTCGTCGCCACCTGCGTCACCGCCTCCGGGGTGCTTTCAGACCCAAAGGTCACGCTGTCGTGGCTATCCGCGCGCATCATCTCAATCGCGAGCTTGGAACTCGGTAGCGCAGGCTTCCCCTGACTCGGCTTGCTACTCCGGCGTCCGTGCTTGTCCCGCGCCGTTCCGGCATCCTCGTCCTCGTCGTCAGCCGACTCCGTCCCCTCGGCTGCCGCCCTGTCGAGGCTCTCCCGCTTCTGCCTCATCTTGTCGTGCGGGCGGAGGAAATGCTCCATCTGGCCCGGTGCCGAGTGCTGCGCGAGGAGCGAAGGAACGCCCTTGGGGGGAGGTTCCATGCCGGCCAGAATGTCCTGTTCATTGATGCCCAGTCCGCCCTCGTCCCAGTCGTTCGTCCCCTTGCGACTGATGACCACTGGGATATCGTCTGTGGTGACTGATTCAGAGTCTCCAAAGAGGCTAGAGGTGATCGAGTCCTCTCGGCTGGAGGCCATTGCAGAGCTTTGCCGGCCGGCAAAGGCCGAGATGCTTGACGTCGGGCTCTCATCAACCCGCGAATGAAGCTTTTTCAACCCGATTGGGATGGGATGTGGCAGGGGGCCCGACGCAGCCCGCTGCGGCGAGTCCGGTCTCCATTGGCAGAGGGCACGGAGCACCTCTGTCAGCTTGGACGAGCTGATGGGCTTCTCGATCAGGGAGTCAAAGTAGTGGGGCGCCTGGAGCTCCTTCAGATATGCCGTGATCGCCACGATGGGCGTGTGCGAGTTGGTGTTCTTCGTCTCGCGAATCATGCGGGCCACATCGGTGCCGTTGATCTGCGGCAGCTTGTACTCCAAGAAGATGACATCGAACTGTATCTCGCTCAGAGAATAACGCACTGCCTCGGAGCCATTCGCAACTGAGATCGTGCGGCACCGGAGCTTCTCCAGCAGCTTCTCCATGACCATCCTGGACACGGGGTGGTCCTCGCAAATGAGGACGTCCAGAGGTCGGAACGTTGGCCCGTCATCAAACGCGATTTGCGACAGACGTCTCGAGCTTTGCCTGCGACGCTGGACACGCAACAGGGCGTTGTGTTTGTCTCCCTCGTTGTCAGAAGAGGACGGCGACATGTCGAAGACTTGGCTCCTGCGATTGCGGTGATGCTGCAACACGTCGGACGCTATTGGGCTGGCTTCTTGCGAACCGACAGTCAACGACCTCGAGCGGCTTACCGACGAGCCACTTCCGTGTCGTGGCGTCGCGACCATCTTCTGGGGCGACAGGGCCAGAGGTGCAGGCGCCTGGGGGCGCCCCTTGACAGGCGAGGCAGAGACTGTCGTCGCCGCCTTCTGCAGGCTCGGGGGGACCTTGGGGATGTCGAAAGGCGCGGGGGGTTGCAAGGAGCTCGACTGATGAGACAGGCTAGAGGAGTTACTGGAGGCCTTCCTCCGCCCTTCTGCTCCCTGCCCGGCGACGAATGAAACCAGCAAGGGCGACGAAGGCTGTGACGCTCTGCTTGGCGACGAGTTGGAGTGGCTGAAGCCGGATGGCGACTGTGGCCGGTTGCCCGCCTTTGCATTGGAGATGGTCCTGTGCAGATGGCTAGATAGTACGGGGCTGGCGTCGAGGGATGGCGACGGCGACGTGATGTTGGTGCCGGACCCGGGGCTAACGGACGGGGGCTTGTTTTGCGAGGCCAGCGCGTCTGCCCTCAACTTTTGGATGACATCTTTGTTGGCCTTTTCCAAGACGGGCAGATTCTTGAAGTTGAACGAGCCAAAGTCGTCTGTGGCTGGGGGCTCGCTGAGCCGTCTCGGTTTCAAGTCTCGCACATGCGGCGGGATATGGAGCGGCATCAGTTTGCGTCCAGCCGAGTTGACCTGGGACCGCACTCGTGAGAGGGCATCGTGAGGCCTATCCGGATATTCCGACGCGGCGGTGCCGGAGGATTGCGGAGACGTCTGGTCTTCCATTTCCTCGGCGAAGGACTGCAGGACAGCACCTCGTGCGTCAAAGTACTCGGTGTCTTCCGGGTTCTCCGGCTGGGGCACGAACTGCGCATCATCTTCAACAAGCGTGTCCCAACTGATCCCTTGGAACCAAGGGTGATTGCGGATCTCCTCTCCGCCCGAAGCATACTTTTCTTCTCTGTTGGCGCCGAGTCGCTGTGTGGGGTCCATGCAAAGAAGCCTGTTGATGAGATCCTTGGCTTCGTCAGATATGGGCTCGCATGCGTCCGGGTCCGGCCACTGGATCTTCCGTGCCAGTATATTCTCAAACACCCGCTCCGCCTCCGAAGCGTGGAACGGTGGGATGCCGTAGAGAAACTCGAACATGATGCATCCCACCGACCACCAATCGCTGGTCTCGTCTTGCTTGTCTCCCTTGATGGTTTCTGGGGCCAGATAGTCGGGAGTGCCCACAAAGCGGCGGGTCGTGTCCTGCGGATCGAACAGCGCCATCGCGGGCGGCATCATGTTGGATGCGGGGAGCGAGTTGCGAGCGTGGCTGTCTATGCTCATCCTGTTATTGTGGTGACTCGGTGCAAGGTCCGGGGAGCCGTGCGTCATCGCATCCTCATCCATACCCAGCCTGGCGCTCGATGGCTGGGAGCCAGGGTCAGAGTCGTTCAAAGAAAATGATGAGAGCATGTGTGTCATGACCTCGCTTCCACCACTATCGCTGCGATGACTGCTTGATACACGACGCGGCTCTTGCTGAAGCGCAGACAGGCTGAAATAGGATGGCTGGCCGGCGCCGCCCACGTCAGGCGTCATCTGAGGAGTCATGCTCGGGGACTGAAGATGACCATGAAGATCAAGGGATGTCGACCTCGACGAGGCCATGGAGGTTGACCGGGCGAAAGGTCCCTGCTTGAGAAGGTCTGGAGTCGTTTCCGCTGCATCGCTGTTAAGGGCACGTTTCTGGCGCCCTACCAAACCCATTCGAGAGAGACCAAAGTCGGTCAGTTTGAGGTGGCCTTTTTGGTCGATGAGCAAGTTGTCGGGTTTGAGATCACGGTGGATGATATCCCGCTCGTGAAGGTGCTCAACACCCAACACGACTTCGCCGAGGTACTTCTTCACCCAATCCTCAGGCAGGCCGCCGAGTACTTTGATGAGCGAAGCGCAGTCGCCACCATTGAGGTACTCCATAACGAGGTAAAGATAGTCCTTACTGGAAAAGGTCCAGTAGAGCTTGGCCACGAAGTCGCTTTGCCCTTGCCACATCATGATTGCGCGCTCTGCTTTGACATTACCGACTTGGTTCTTGGCCACCATGTCAGCCTTCTTCAAGACCTTGATGGCAAAGTATTCGCCCGTCGATTTCTTCTTCGAAAGGTACACGCTGCCGAATGCGCCCTTGCTGATCGGCTTGATAATCTCAAAGTCCTTGATGGACGGCTGCGCAGGTCGTGGCTGCTGCGGAGGAAGCTGCGTCGCACTTAGTCTCGGGGACGGCGGTGCTCTTATGACAAAATCGGATATCGCCGCCGAGCTCTGCCTTCTGTGGTGTCGGGTCGGGTGCGAGACTGGTGAACTGAATTCGCTGCTCGGAAACATGGGCGAAGCCTCGGGGGACGTCATCCCTTCGTGCGTAAACGGGAGGACTCTAGGCTTGATTCGCAGCGGAGACGAGGGTTGCGTGTGGCGCGACGGCGATTCTTGGCGGCGCGGCGAGGTTGCTCCGGGCATGACCAGGCTGCGTCGATGGTGTTGCCTCGCACTAGCAGCCCGCCTGAGGTCTCCAAATTCTGAAATGGGTGACTCCGTCCTCGGCGCATGGCGTGAAGCAACGGAAGACGACCTCAGGCTGCCCTCGTTGTCGCCAAGCTCAGCTTCTTGAAATAGAGACGAGTTCCGCCGAGTGTCTCGAGACTGGAGGTTACTCCCCAGTGTGCCCTCAGCATGGGAGCGTGGGGTGGGACACTCCTTGGGGCTGCTTGACCTTGTGGAGGCAATAAACGACGTCGGTCGAGATCTAGACCTGCTGGAGCCTCCAGAAAGGTCCATTTGCCGCAGGGCGGTTGCCAGAGCGGAGGGACTGTTGACGTTTCGCTTCGGGAGATCATCTCCGGCACGGCCACGAGGCTCCTCATCCGTCGAAACGGGGGCTAACAGCTCTTGCGTTGGCGGCTCCTCGAGCATGTCGTCCTCGACTCCGCCTTGAGTCCCCTCGCTGTCCTCGCGTTGGAGCTCATCATCGCCCTGCTCCTCCTCATCCTCGGTAGAATCACTGAGACGGCCGGCAGCAAGTCGCGCCGCCTTCCGCATTGCCGTGTCAACGCAGTCCTGCACCATAACTGCCAACTCGACGCGGATGCGCTCTGCGTATTCAATGATCCTTCGGTGGCGGAAGACGGCATCGACCTTGGCCCGAGCCACCTTCTCGGTGTCCGCACAGAGCAGGGCGAGGCCTTGCTCCTGCTCAAGGGTGTTTGTGCTCGGCGAATGCCATTGCAGGACTTGGGAGATTCTCGATTCGGATTGCGGCGATTGAGTCCTGATCTCCCCATTGTCTTGCTGCGAGCTTTCTTTGATCGCGGGGCTGCTGATTTCAATGGCTGTATCACAGAGATCCATTAGCAACTCCACGATCCGGGCCTGGGGCCGTCGGATAGCGAAAGAGCGGCCCCGCGAGTGCCCGAACCCACTGGTTCGATCTCGGGAGCGGGCCAGGGATGTGCCGGGCGATGATTGCGTCGACGGCGGCGGTCCGATGGATATTCCCTTGTATTCCGCCATAGGCCCCGTGGTTGCCTCTCCGGAGATGGAGCGGCTCTTGCGTGCCTCGAGGTCGTCGAGGACCTTGACGATGGCATGGCGATGCTCGGCGAGGTTCTCCTGGGCCAACTGAACATCCAACTCGGCTCGGTGCTCTTGAAGGCACAGGTCGGTATGCTTCTCGAACCACCAGGGAGGTATTTGACGCTCGCATATACGGCAGAGAACGGGTGCCGGTGGTTCGATCGTTTCGGCGTCATCGCCAACGGCTTCAGCAAGCCGCGTGAGGTAGCTGGCGAGGACCTCGGCTCCGGACCCGAGGGAGTCGACGATGACATCTGGCAGGTCGATTTTGATTTCGTGAGGGCCGGACCATGGCCGAAGCATCCACATCGTCTGTGTCGCGCGTTAACGACAGGGGGGTGGCATGGGGGGAAACAAAGGATAAACTTACATGGCTCTCGCCGCCAGACACGCTGTCGTAAACCATGATACCCTGGGCCTCAAGGTCTGCGGTCTGCGGCCTGGGCTCAGGCCCTTCCTCGTGCTCGTTGGTGCCATCGAGCGTTTGAAGCTTGGACAGGGGACCCAGTTGGATGGCAAAGCTAATTCGGTAGCTCTTGGAGTCATCTCGCTTCATTGAATCAACGACATCCGAAAAGGCAGTCTTGTTCTCGCTGACAATAAGGTCGGAGATGGGGATGCCGTTGACTGTCTCAAACGGCGTGCCGACAACGTCGGTCCACGACGGGCTGACCCATTTGATGGTGCCGTCGAGGTTGAGATCGACAATGGCGTTGAGGGTCTGCTCGGCAGCCTCTCGGAGCTCCTCGCGCTCCTCTCGGATGTCCTGGCTTATGGAGCGCTCCATCGGAGTGGCCTGCTGTGCCCGGAGCGAGGACACGGCGGGCGGCGCCAGGGATGGCGACGGTTGGTCCATTGCGTTCACGGTGCGGCACCGGCGGCCACAGCGTCAGCACCACAACGTGCGGGATCGCGGGCAGAGGTTGCGGAGCGCGCCGCCCAAAGGCGAGGTGCCTCCGGACAGCAGTAGAGTGCGTCGGACGGGCGTTGGGGCGCGTCAATGTACAGTTGTGTGTGTGTGTGTCGGAGGACTCGACTCGGGGGAGTGGTTCGTCTGGCAGCAGAGCCAGAACTACAAGGCCCGGGTAGTCGGATACATGACTGGGGGCGCGGCGACGGCGTGGATCGCGCTCTCTCGCTTGACGCAACAAAGGCCGGCGGGAGCCCGGCCGGCTGAGAAGAGCAGCACGGAGGAGCTGCCGGCGTGGTCGGCGGCGGACGAGCCGTCGTTTCTGTCGGAGAGTCGAAACGCCAACAGCCGGGGCGGGACCAACCACACCGAGGGGCGGCGAGTGACCGGCCACTCTGAAAGCTGTCCGTCGCTGCGATGGGAGGCGGATTGACCGGGGATATGATGTGAGGCGCGGCGGTCGGCGTCGGTTTGGTCACTTGTGAGGGCTGAGAGAGGGAAGAGAGACGGGGTCGACGAACAAGGGCGGCGGGATGGCGGCGTCGAAGGGAAGGGTGGTGGTAGCAGTAGTGGTGGCAGTAGTGGTGGTGGACGACGGGTCGGATCAATCGCTCCCCAGCAGGAACCTAGACGGTGAGGTGATGGTGGTGGTGGGCTGTTAGGCGCAACGCGGGCACCTCGCCGGCGGGCCTAGCAGCGAGTCAAAGGGCTGGGGGGCGCCGGCGGTGTCGAGGTCAATTCGCCCGTCACGACGAAACGCCCTGCAGGTAGAGGTATGCATTACTCGAAAAACGTTATGCCGGACATTTGCCCCATGCTACCTCAGTCCGCACGAACTTTACTCGTGCCGTGCCGTGCCGTGCTGCGCTGCGCTGCGCGGTGCTGCGCTGTGCTGTGCTGTGCTGTGCTGTGCCGTGAGGTGGTCGCGTCTGTCCGCGAGCACGGGGGCAGCGCCGCAGGGCCGCTCATGGGCGGGCTGCCAGCACTTGCGGCGGAGTGCGTGCCCCGGGGCCTGCTGCTGATGCACCACCCCGGGCCACCACCACGACCGGGAGAAGCATTGGATGGAGCGTGGAACATGGAACACCCAGCGGCACTCCCAGCCCAGGGAGCGGCAGCAGCAGCTCCAACGCCAAAACTCCAGACCTCCAGACCTCCAGAGTGCCAGAGCCAGCGCGCGCCAGCCAGCAAGCAAGCAACCACCCATGACACATTAAGCGGGGGAGACCCGCTGGCAGCCAATCACGACACACCATCTTGGAGGGTTTAGCACGCCTCCGTCCTGCGCATCGCTGCAGGAGGAGCTCACGGGTCCAGCGCCAGATGCCATTGCCGCCAGCGAAGCCATCTTTTTTTGGTGTCTGAAGAGGGTTGTTCCTTGGAGGCGCCCGCCCATTCTCTGCTCCTCCGGTCATGTTCTCCCGCTGCTGTTGTGTTGCGTCTGTCGGTCAATGTCGGTCAGTCGGTCAGTGACAGCCACGGATGCCATCATGTTGATTCATCCCTCCTCTCTGGGCCGGGTTGGATGGATGGATGGATGGATGAATGCAACACCGGCGCACGCCCGCCGCGCCGAGCACCTCCTCGCTCGCACAGTCTCGGCCAGCTCCGCCGCCATGCGCTGCCCTGCCTGGACGGACCCTGTCCATATGTGTACATCGTATGTGTTGTTGCATTCGACGCGGGCCCCGCGTCGCGTGAAAAGTCGCAGCAGTCGGTCGGCCACGCTTGTTATTTTGCTTGGCTGCCACGACGACGATGGCATGGAGACGGGGGCGCGCGACCAAGGCCGGAGGCACACACACACACACAGACACATACTCCGCGCATACATACGAGTACACACACACACATACACAACTGCTGCTGCTGCTCTAGCAAATTGCATCCAACTAGTGAATCTATGCCGTCGTCAACGCAACCACGGGGCACCATCCGTCCCCTCCCACCACTTGCCGACGGGAGGAGACGCAGAGAGCACGCACGCACCTCGCACCTCTTGGACAGCCCCAGCACAATACGTACCTACGCATGTACTTCGTACTACTTCCCGTCGTGCTTCGTGCGTGTTCCGTACCGTAACACTCGCTACACTCAGTCAGTCCACCGCCGCGCCGGTCAGTCGACCGTCGCTCCACCACAGTGTCAGCTCGCACCTCGGCGGAACAGCTCAACAGCACGCACCAGGCCAAACCTTCACACCACCAAGATCGCCGCCGAGGCTGCCGCCAGACGCCGCCCCGTGCGCCTGGGCCCTCTACCAGCCAGCGACATGGTTTCTGGCGACATCATCGGCGCGGAGAGGCAGACACGATGCCAGCCAGCCCGCCCCCGCCTCCGTTGGCCTCTTCGGAGCTTCTACCCCAGGCTTTGCCAGTCCCAGCTCGAGGCGCGTGCGCGCTGCAGTGCCGCCTACACCTCACATTCGTACTTCGTAACACCATCGTGAGATATGACACCCCGCGCCACGGCGTCCCTGGCGTCCAACATTTCATTCAGTCTGTCTTGCATGCGTGGCTCGAGCGTCCCCCTCTCCCCTCCTCCGGCTCGAGCCTCAAGATTGGCCCGAGCTATCGCACGCCATGCAGGACGGGTGCCACCGGCTCGCCCATTGGCAATCAGATCTCGCCTGCATCCGAGATGGAAGCCGGCTGTTCCGTCACGTGTCGTTTTGTCTTGCTAAATCAGTAAGTACTATGAATGATGCAGTTCTAGATGCACAACCGCCCGCCCAGTGCGGTCCGTGTCCAATGTACGTAAGTTACGGTATATGCCGTCCGCATCCCATTCCTTGAAACGCCCACCCACGCATGCATCTCAATCATGCAAATCGCCCATATCATGCTCGCTGGCCATCCAATTGCTCGGCAGTTACTGCCGCACAGACGCCAACACTCTATGCAGGACCTCCGTTGCCCAGGTGGTGCCCACTCCTCAGAGGGAGGCCGCACTCGTCGTTTCAATAGCCGCGCCGAAACGACAATCTGCCAAGATTTGGTCCAGGGTATGCCATGCCACCAGGAATCCCCGGCCCCCAAATCGTGGGTGCCAAGCTCGGTTCAGAGACAACTCGAGAAGGATTCAAGCAGAGCTTCGCACCGCGCGCCTTGGCAACAGGTGCTTCCCTATCCAGGAATTCGAACCTCAGGTGTGAGGTGTCAAAATAGCGGTGGTCCAACCAGCTCAGGTTGAGCGGCTTCCCGCAGCACCTTCTGCTGGCCAGCTTTGCCTGGCAGACTCTAGCCATTCACCCTTTTGAACCCATCGAGACTCGAGCCATTGCGCCAGCCCTTCGTCAGTCTTGGGTAGAGAATCAATGGGGAATCGCCGCGCGTGCACGTGGAACTCGTAACCGCAGCGGCTGCTCAGGCCGGGAACGCTCAGCGTCTGCCACATGGAAGGCGCCTCCTGGAATTCACCCCCTTGTCGACGATAGGCGACGGTGAAGTCATAGACGGCCTTCACATGCGCCGCTTTGCGGAGGTGCTGAACAGTGGTGATGAAGCCCTTGGTGCGCGGGTAGAGCAGATGCCTCGGCTGCGGCTTGTCATTCTTTTTACACCAGGCCACCGACTCGGCGTACTTTTTCTTGGTGAAGCGCGTTGCCTCGCTGAAGCTTATGAGCCCTGGAAGAGAGGAAGCATATGTGTTAGGGCCTTGCGCTCAGCGGATTTGTGCCGTGCAGATTGGCTTACACGTGGGATACCCATCGCGCACAATGCCGGAGAAGACACGGTCGAGCTCAGCCCTGTCCCTCAGCCAGTTCCGGCTCACCATGGGCATACCCATGGCCCAGAGGCCCCAGCCGAGGAAGGGAACCAGCCGCAGCTGGACCTTGGCGAAGTAGCGGCAGCGACCAAGCATGCCCGCGCGTATGGCGAGCGCTTGAATCATGTAGAAGTCGGACCACGCGACATGGTTGGCCACGACGATCGCCGACTCACCCGGGGGCAGTTCATCGCCGGAGTGGCCGATATCAGCGCCATTGAGGCTCACGAAGATGAGCTGGATCCATGCCCAGATGACGGCAGCGATGCGGGACGAGGCGTCGTAGACCAGGCGCGGGCCAAGCAGGCTCAGCGGCAAAACGGCCGAGAGGGCGACGTCGGCGATGAGGAGGGCCAGGAGCCAGGGCAGCGTCAGCGCGATGCCGCGGAGGTGGGTGAGGCTTGTCGTCCCCGTCGCGACGGCAGCCATGATCGCGAACAGCCGACAGATGAAAAGGCGGACAACGGGACCGCGCGGCCCCAGGATGGCTTGCAGGCCCCGATGTCGATATGGATACCCTGGGTAATTGTTTAGTGATCCCCTGGCCACTCCGGTGCGCGCAGAGGAGGCTACGACTTCTGCTGTACGGTGCGGGTGCGGGCAAGACGCTGGGGCCCACGGCCGTCGGCGATTATCGTGGGACGCCTGGGGCAGCATGCATGACGCCATGGACTTTGGTCAACGCTAAAGCTATGTCTCGTGTCTCGCGCTGCCGACTGTTTCTGTTTCTGCGTGTGCTCCAAAAATGTCCCGGGCCCGCGTCGGCAGCTGGGCACTAGCAGGTCGCTAATGAACGTTGGAGATGGAGGGCCTCAAGCCGCCCGCCCCCAACTGAGTCGTCGGCTCCGAATCATGCAAGATTCGCCAGCCAGCGCGGGAGTCACGGAGATGGCGGCTTGCTCGATGTCGAAAAGACGTCAGGATAGGGGCGTCCCAAGTGCTGGATGACGGAAAACCAACGGTGATATCGGCGATCTCACGCCGCTGCTTCGGGCACAACTCGGGAACGTCGGGCTCCGGCGAGGTCATCACCACCCCTGACTCGCCTGGTAGGGCTGCGATTAACGCTGTGCGGGCAGGGGTTTTGCCTAAAAGACGTCCCCGAAACTGGGCTGAGGTCGGCTGCGCGGTGCAGCGCTCTGTGCGTGCGACATGACGGGAGCGGACCTCGGTCGCCTAAAAAACTTGGCTCGCAAGCCAATCCCGGTACGTCGGACCGGGAGTGGTGTTGAGCGGCTGGATGGGGTGATGGCTGTGACGATGCTGATGGTGCTGCTGATGGTGCTGATGGGTGACGGCCAGATTGAGGAGAGCAGGATGGGCCCCCTTGTCGATGCGGGAGGTGGTGCAGCGAACACGGAGCCTGCTCAGTGGAGGTGCTGCCCGCCCAGCAGGTGGCCTGGAGGCGGGCTGAACCCCTGCCAGACTCGGCCGTGGCCCGCTGGCGTCCCCTACTCGTGGGATTGGGGTCCTGGGGCGCGGAGGCCTGGCACCCACCCGCGAGATCCCAGCAATGGAAGCCCACGGGACGCGAATGCACCAGGCGCTAACAGCCCGGCTAGCGACCCCACTGGGCTGAGGCGGCTTATGGTCCCTGCGGGCCCTGCGCGCGGTCGCCTGTGGCGCCTCCAGGGTTTTCAAGGGATGCAAGGTTCCATGGGTTCCAGCCCGGTTCCAGCCCGGTTCCAGTGGATAGCCCTCAGCAGTAGCAGCCCTGGAGCTCCAGAACTGGAGGGCGGGCTCCCGCAAGAATAGCAACTGGGGCTTCCCTAGCCTTGGAACTTGCAGGTGGGTGTTCAGTGGAGGCTCCAGCAAGCGCCAGCACCCGACCAGCGCCAGCACCCGCACCCGCACCCGCGCTTGTTTTGTGCGCGGTCTCCCCCGCGGCGAGTGCCAGACAGCAACCTACCCGGACCCGACAGCCAAACAGCAGAGACCTTTTGGCGACATGGCAGGATCGCGAGAGGGCTTGCTGGGCCGCACGGCTGCCGCTGCCCGCCGCCCTTCATAATTTCACCTACCAACTAGGCCATCCATCCAAGCCCATCCCATCCCGTCCCGTCCAGTCCCATCCATGCCCTCGTCGTGTCCTGGAAAGGTAGTTGCTCAGGGGGGATCGCTGGCCTTGGATGAAGCAGGCGCTCTTGGACCCGAGGCGCCCAGGTCCCCGCCAACTTTGATGATGGCCCTGTTTGGCGCCCCATCCCAATCGCTAAAAATTGCCCGACCGCGACTTGGTGAGGTTCCATGAGGTCCCCGGGCGGGACCACCCCCGCGAGCGTCTCACATCTCACGTCGCCCCATGCCTCAACGGGATGGGATCATTCGCCCTCTGCCCGCCACCGCCTTCGTCACCCTCTCGCCAATCCGTAAAAAATTCCGGTTGTCGCTGCACGGTGACGGCCGGGAATTGCCTCGCTGCGCCTCCGTCGAGACGACGTATCCGCGGGCCCTGTCAGCCCTAAGATCGTTTGGCTTGTGAGGCTTGACGGCCTCGTCGGCCCTCCCTCCCGTGCGTGCCGGCTGCCGTCGCGATTATATCTATCATATCCGTCGCGCTGGCCTTGGACCCCCTGAGCCGCCTCTCATCTCGTCATCACTGCCATCACCCCTCCATCACTCACCTGAGCCCTAACTCGTCGCGCACCGCCTCTGCTGTCGCATTGCCCCGTGCGCGAGCATTGAGTTCGAGAACGTACGGTACGTGCAAGCAACCAAGCAATTGGAACCGTCGCCGCCGTCGTCGAGCCCCCCCAGGTATTTGTCATGCCCCAATGGCCGGCATTGGCGACCTGAATGGCCGGCCCGTGTTAAGCGGGAGCCGGCAGTGGCGAGTGGCAGTGGCAGTGCCGCTGTCCTCGGTCGTACGGCCCAATCCTGTACTGTCTATCGCCGGGCTGCGGTGCACTGTACCTAGGTGGTGTCACAGTACTCGCGCTGGGCAACTCTGGAGCGGCGGGCGCCGGTCACACAACCGTTCACTGCTGCCTGAGCGTTCCAGGTTGTCCACATTTCCGTCCGGGGCTCGCGGGGTGGCGGCGTTTCTCGTTACACGGCCCACCGTGCGGTGCGCATGTCCTGCAGCTGTATGTACTCTGGCTGACCCGGCGATCCAGAAAGCTCCGTCCATCTGTTGTCCTCCCAGCTCCGCGATCCGCATCAACCACCCTCTGCGACAGCCACGGAAGCACCACCGCCTTGCTGCAGGGAGCGCCCGCCCCATCGCTGTGAACCGCCAGCCATGTCGTCCTCACTGTCGCCGGACCAGTACGGCAGTAACCGGTCCCAGAGCTCCCCCGAGGCCTCGGGCGGCGCACAGGATAAGAGCGCACTGTCGCCTCTGAACCTGGGCTTCTTCAAGTCGCTCGCCGACAAGAGGGCCAACCGTGGTACGCATCCCCAATGCCGGGCACGTCTTGCGCCGATCTGTGTCATCTGACTCGTTCGCAGAGGGCAACCCTCCCAAGCGTCGTGGCCCGAAGCCCGACAGCAAACCCGCTCTCACAAGACGACAGGAGCTCAACCGACAAGCCCAACGGTAAGTGACGTCGCCGATTTGCGCCGATGTTGCCGTCCCTTCTGACCAGCGGTCCCCGCGTGCAGCACCCATCGGGAGAGAAAAGAGCTCTACATCAAGGCCCTCGAGGACGAAGTCCTCCGGCTCAAGGAGCTCTACAGCAATGTCTCTCAAGACAAGGAGAGACTGGCCGAAGAGAACAGGCAGCTGCGAGGGATCTTGGCGCACAACGGCATCCCGTTCCCGCGGGGTGGCGGCCCTCACGATGACTCGTCGAGCAACCCCAGCGGCGGCCATCAGTCGTCCGCCGGTGGCAGCCCATACGCTCCAGGCTCACATGCTGCCTTCTCTCCCTCACAATCCACCGCGCCCTCTGTCACGTCTTCAGGGCATCCGGGCAACATGCACCACATGACGGGCGACCAGATGCGCAGCGCCGTGCATGTTTCCAACGGCAAAGGAGTCGACTTCGAGCAGGCCGGCATCGACTTCGTTTTAGCGTACGATAACTCCGCTTCGTCGAGGGCATACCTCTCGCCTCCCCCGCAGTGAGGAAGGGTGCCACGTCGCAACGCAACGAGGGACCCGACTCTGCTGCACGGTGTACAAGATCGGGTGTGCTAACGATTTGCCGTTTGCGTTGGGTTGTTTAGTCTCGAGAAGCCCTGCATGCAGCACATGCCCTTTTTGCTTGATCGAGCCAACGAGGTGGACGGCGATCCGTGTGGCCATGCCCTGATGGCGACGTGCCCTCCCAAGCCGTTCGAAAACTTGACCCCGGAGACGCCATTCGGTAGCACCCACACGCGTGATAGCCCCAGCGGGGACGTCCCGGCACAGGGGACGTGGGAGCTCAGCAAGGCCGACCTGTCCACGCTGCTCGACCTCAGTCGGAGACTGAAACTGGACGGCGAAATCACCCCCGTCATGGCCTGGGGGATGATCCTCAACCACCCGCGGTTCGCCGACTTCAAGCCCGAGGACTTCCAGCGGCTCGCCGAGGAGCTCGGGCGGAAAGTGAGGTGTTACGGGTGAGTCTCCTCGCTGGCTCAGACTGGCCATGTTCCTACCGCTAACATGATACGTGGCAGATTCGGCGCTGTGATGGAGGAGTTTGAGTTGCAAGATGCTTTTGAGAGCGTCTTGCCTTGCGAGCCCGACACAATGGTGTTTTGATGACGCTTGCGCGGTTCGGTTGTTTAGACGAGCGGAGCATTGAGCAGCTCCCAGGGGTTTCGCCCTGATACAGTATAGTTCTCACGATGTTTACGATAGCACCAGTACGGAGACACATGTCTTGACAGTACGTCGAGGCGTTTGGAAGGCTGCTTTACTTTTGGGGGGCTGCCATGCGTGGGCGGTCCAATATTAGCCTTTACCCGGGAAGATACCTTACCTACGACCATAGTCTGTAGAGGCACATACAGTCCGCGGGCGCGCGGCTACATGTTCTTGAAATGACCTTATCTCTGCTTACGTGCGACGTTTAATTCTGCGCCCATGGATGCTCCGTGTGAGCCTTAGTGCCGCGTTGTTTCCGAGTGAGTTGTGCAAGGGGGTCGGGGTTCGTACCGCGAGCTTGTGAAACTGCACAAAACGATCGGGAAGTGGGCGCTGCAGGGGTGGATAAGCAGTAGCGCGTGAGCGAGGCACGCATAACTGAAAGCCCCTGGTGAGTCAGCAGCAGCAGCACCAGGAGCAGCCACATGTGGCTGGAATTGCGGCGCGGACGCGCGGGGCGGTGCAAAGATTCGCCAGACAGCCCCACACCCCACCACAAATTCGATTCAAACCTGGCAGTCCAAATTCCAAGCGGGACGACGAGAGGCTTCACTTTTGCGACGACGCCCGAGACTGCTCACCACGTTCCAGTCAACGACGACGCAACGATGGCCGACTCACTCGACTACGTCAAGATCTGCGAGAGCTGCCCGCCGGGCGACGGCTGGGGCCCGTCCGTGACCACGGACACGACCCTCAACGGCGTGCCGTATGCGCCCTTCTCCAAGGGTGACAAGCTCGGCCGCATGGCCGACTGGACCGCCGAGGGCAAGGACCGCGAGCGCGGCGGACGCATGCAGTACAACCGCAACTACAGAGGTACGGTAGATCGCTGCCCCTGCACGAGAGATGAAGCTGGTGCTAACCGATTCCAGACCAGCAAGTCTACGGATCCAGCCACGCCATCACCTTCAACGCGCCCCCGGCCGAGGACGAGTCGACCTTCTCGCTCGTCAGCAACACGAGAGACTCGACCAAGTCGCGATATGGCCGCGGTGCCGTCTTCACCCGCGGTCGCGGTCAGCGCGGCGGACGTGGCGACTCCCGTGGCGGACGGGGAACGTTCCAGCGGACGGGCGGCGCTGGCGGGCGCCAGGGCTACGACCGCGGCGGCCGTCAGGCTGGTGGTGCTCGCGGTGGCCGCCGCTTCGGCTGGAAGGACTACGACAAGCCGGCTCGCAACCGCGACGCCAGCATCAACATCAAGGCCGACTGGCAGCTGCTCGAGGAGATTGACTTCAACCGCCTGGCCAAGCTGAACCTCGACGCGGACGAGGGCGAGGACCTCGAGGACTACGGCTTCCTGTACTACTACGACCGCTCCTACGACAAGCAGCCCGTCAAGGGCGCCGAGAAGAAGCTGATGGCCATCGACCGCGCTGCGTACAACGTCACCACGTCGTCGGATCCTGTCATCCAGGAGCTCGCCGAGCGCGACGAGGCCACCATCTTCGCCACCGACAGCATTCTGTCCATGCTCATGTGCTCGCCGCGATCCGTCTACCCCTGGGACATTGTCATTGTCCGCCAGGGTAACAAGATCTTCCTCGACAAGCGCGACAATGCCAACCTCGACATGGTGACGGTCAACGAGAACGCCGCCGACGCGCCCCTCGATGCCGCCGACGGCAGCAAGGACGCCCTCAACCAGCCCGGCGCCCTGGCCGAGGAGGCCACCTATATCAACCACAACTTCGCTAACCAGGTCGTCGCCGAGAGCGAGTCGGCCAAGATCGACATGGCCCACGCCAACCCCTTCTACAACGCCTCCGAGGACACCGACCCGCCCGCCAGCAAGGCCTACAAGTACCGCCGCTTCGACCTCTCCACTAACGATGAGGAGCCCGTCTACCTGGTGGTCCGTACCGAGATCGACGCCGTCCAGAAGAACGCCATCAGCGGCGGGGACCAGCTCGTCACCATCAAGGCCCTCAACGAGTTCGACAGCAAGGCCCAAGGCAGCGGTGGCGCTCTCGACTGGCGTAGCAAGCTCGTCACGCAGCGCGGTGCCGTCGTCGCCACCGAGATGAAGAACAACAGCTGCAAGCTGGCCCGATGGACCGTCCAGAGCATCCTGTCCAAGTCGGATGTCATGAAGCTTGGGTATGCACCCTCCCGAAACCCCCGCGCCATCCAGGCACACTCGGTCTCCTCCCTTCTTATATCTTTGACTGCCTGCTCTTTGCTTTGCCTCTCAAATTCACTTGCTAACCCAAGCGCACAGTTTCGTCTCCCGCGTCAACCCCCGCTCCAACGACAAGCACGTCATCCTCGGCGTCGTCGGCTGGAAGCCCCGCGACTTCGCCAACCAGATGAACCTCTCCCTGTCCAACGGCTGGGGCATCGTCCGCACCATTGCCGACATGTGCCTCAAGCGCGAGGACGGTAAGTTCGTCCTCGTCAAGGACCCCAACAAGTCCATCCTGCGTCTCTACGAGCTCCCCGCCGGCAGCCTCGAGGACGACGACGAGGAGGAGGAGCAGGAGGAGCAGCAGCCCGCCGAGGGCGCCGAGGAGTAGAAGAGCAGGAGGTGAGGTGGAGAGGACGGACGGACAGGACGGGAGGGGATGTGGGGCATGCTCATGAATTTGACGAAGGCTGGAAGGGAGGAAGAGGCAAGGAACGTGCTGGCATTTCCGGTTCGGTATAGCATGTACATGGAGTGGCGGGCCTAAAAGTGGAAATTCAAGCCGGTTACCTGTGCACAACAACGACGACGACGTCTTTCTTCTCGTCGCCCATGTTGCGAAGGCATAGTGGCGGGCATATCTGCACGTCAACACCATCTCACAGTGTTGAGGTTCTGCCATTGCAAATCGCGTAGCTGCCACGGCGCAAGCTGCTTTCTTGACTATACTACACAAACGAAGTGAAAAAGCCCCCGTCGACAAAAGACCACTTGACGGGCGTCTTGCGTGCTATGCAACTCTCCG